CGGTTATAGTTTCCCTCGAGGGGTTTAACCCGCTCCCGGACTACTGCCAGGGGGTTGCTGTCTGGATGCTCCTCGGAGCCGTTATCCTCAGGGTGCTTCCCCTTTGGATCCTTTGATGGGACTGCCATAGTCGAGTGTGCCTGAATAGGTCTTCTGTTGTGTTGCCCCGCGGGTCTTCTGTCGAGATCTTGATGGATGTTCTGTCGCCGTCGCCGGCCGGTGAAGTGACTTTTAGTTGTAGTGTCACGGCGTGCACAAATGAACTTAGGACGAGCCTGAAGGTTGTACCCAATAACGAAAATACAACTAAAAGTAAAGAACTAAACTAAGTGCGGTTCCAGGGGAGAAACAGCGGCCTTTTATAGACGAGGGGACGGTCGGTTCCGGTCGGTCGCTGTTGCTGTTGCTTTCACAGGTTCCTGGATAGTTCCCAGATACAGAGCCCCTGTATCTAATCAACAAGGGACCTGTCTTGGTATTCAGTGAATGAAAGTGGATGCTTCAGAACCAAGCGTGCTGATTGGCGGATGTGTCGAGAGTGGATGCGCCAAAGGTGGATCCCCCGGTGCCGAGGGTGGGGCAGTGTATAAGTGGCTCATTACGTAACCAACCTTGTTGTGACTGCGCCGGGCCGTCACAGTTCTTAACCTCTCTAACCCTCTCCCCGTTCTACTAACTAGACTCCCTAGACCTCCCTACAATAGTTACTTATAATAGCATTATAAAGTAAAGGGTAACCCCCTTCTAATTAGTAGCCGCTAGTACCTCCCCCTAACTTACTGAATATTATAAACCTATAAATTATATACTGGACCTGTATCGAGCCTTACAGAGACCTCTATATACCAACTTTTATACCGATACCTACCTCTAGCAACCTAGAGCCTTAAGAATCGCAGGACTCTAAGGATTACTACCGATAGGTACTTACCTTCTAGTAACTAGAGGAAGATATTAACTTAGTACCCTAAGAGGTAAATAATAAGAGAATCCTATTAATATTAAATAAGTATATAGGATATATACCGATAATTAAGGTTAATAGACCTAACTAGCTTGGAATACTACTAGGATTGGTATATAATAAAGAGATAATAAGGTAGTTATTTCCTAACTATAAGAACCTTCTACCTAAAAGGGCTCTCTACTTTAATCTACTCTAGTATAATATTATACTATCTTTCTATAATATCGAAAAGTAGATTATTAGGAAATAATAGTTAGACTAGACCAGTATTATAGCCCTCCTATACCTTTCCCTAACTTACTATTAGTACTGTATCTTCCTCTTTCCTAAGCCTATCGCTAACAACCTCTAACCAGTAGAGGTTCTATAGTTTAAGAAAGAACTTTTAAAAGAAGCTAGAATAAAGCAATTCTAGGTAATCCCCTACTACCTTAATAGAAATATAGAAGAAGCTTACTAGTTAGTTATAATCTATAACTAAGTATAAGGATTCTATTACTATATAGATTCGGAGGATAGTAGCCCCTATAGCAATATCGTTAGTATTAAAGGGGCGATTTTCACAGTTATTAAATATTTAGGAGGGATTATGAAGCTGGATATCCGAGTAATTAACTACCTAATATAGTTATAAGACTAGGAGTATAAAATCTAAGCGGTTAAGCTTACCCGATTTTTCTTCTAAAATATCAGAACCTATTAGGGTTATACTATAAATATAAATTAATATATAACCCAGCCTTACTATAAACTAACTAAAGGGAGAGCCTAAGCTAAAATACTAAGTAAGTAGCTTAAGGTTATTAGGGTAGCCCTAGGTAATACTACTACCTACTTACTCTATATTAAGGTAATATAGAATAACTATAAAAACAATAACCCCTATAATACCAGAGTCTAGATACCTTCTAGTTAGATTACTCTATAGTAGGGAAATAACTTACCTCTAAATACTAAAGGATAGTTTATATCCCTAACTTAAGGATAATAGAAAGAGAATAAGGGTAGTTTAGATAATAATAAAGTAGCTATTATATAACCAACCCCTATACTCCTAGATATACCAGTTAAACCGTCTAGGTAGGTAACTCTAAAGGTTAGAGCTAAAGCGATATTAGCTACCCTAGAGTAGAATTCAGTTAGATTACTGAAATTCCTAAAGAAGAACCAGTTCGATAACCTACCTAAGCTAATTACTAAAGTATTAAATAAGCTCAGCGATAAAGGTATACTATCGGATAGCTCTAACTAAGAGGACTTAGCTCTTACATTTCTTAATAGTACCCCAGTTCTCAGTAGGGCTCTAAGTAAGGAGTATAAGCCAGTTATTAACCCGGCTGAAGTACTTTGAGCGGTGAGCCTTAAAGTAGGACCTAATATTCCAATCCGCCTTTAGTAGATCCAATACAAAGCTATAACCTAGAATAGAGAACTCTAGAAGGCGGTCTATATACAGTACTACAAAGCTAAGATAGCGAGGCGGGCTGTAGCCCAGTAAGTACTCCTACTAGTACCGCCGGCGCTGTAGCTGCCTGTACCCTAACCACTTCGGACTCCCGGCCCTATTGTTTAACGATCTTCTTAAATTAATACTTAATCGGTAGCAGTACCCTCTAGTTAGTAGAGGAATGATGAGACTGTAAGAATATGTAATCCGATATATATCGTTAGTCCGGAGGATCTGGAACTAGGTTTTAAACGGCCCTCTATCTATAATTATTATAGTTTACCTACCTATTATTTAGAACCTAAGTACCTAATATAGTAGTAGGGTTAGGCTCTTATATAAAGGGAAGTAGTAGATATACCTATATAGTATAACCATTACCTATAGGACCTAGTATTATATATAGAGTATATATAGTACGATAGTTAGGAAGATTAGATTCGAACTTATAGGTAGGAGCTATTATAAGTTTGAAAGGGAAGTATAAACTGGGGTAACGAGCTCCCTCTAACCAGAGGGACATAGGGTCTAGAATTTTCGTTTTTCCGTTTCTTCATTGCATTCATCCGCCTAGGGCATCCTTATATTTAGTTAGAGGCTCAAGCCCTCTCAGAGTTTATAGGGTATACAATTCTATTTCTTTTTCCATACTTGTTAAAGTAACCTCTTTTTACGGTAGTTGTAACCGCAGCCTTCTAACCAGAAGGCCACGCACGCAGGTACATTGATTCCACGGTCGTAGGATCCGTAGTGTTGAAGATTATTCTCTGAGCCAATTCCTCCCTCATGCAACATTGACATCACAACGCGCGCGTGGCACGTGACCCACTGCAAGTGTTTGGTGGTGTGTGTGGTTTTAAGGTGTATCGCCACTTCAATAATTAGGATATATGTAATATACTACTATAGCAATTTTCTAGGGCTTTTATAAAGATACTATAAAGTTATTAAGGATTTAATTTGTTAGTAAATTAGTATGTAAAATGAAATTTTAATTTTATATTAGGGTAAAAAGATAAATCTTATACTTTCGATCTTTATATTATACTAGAGGATACTAAATAATACTATTTGAATTTTATTATATTTTTAATAGTAGTAGTTGGGGTTATATATGTAGTTGAAATTCCCAGTTTTCAGGGTTATAGGTGGGGCACAAATAACGAAAAGGGGGGGGGGGCCGACAAGTGGGGGGGGCGACTTAGTCACAAATCGCACTGGAGCGAGCTTCTCGATTTCATCGCAGTTTTAGGCGACTCCGTGTCTCCTATGTTCCTATATTTATTCATTTGCCTGCGCGGTCTCGATTCGCTTTTATTATATGGCAAAACTCACGCTGTGGAGGGAGGTGCTCACCGAAGGGTGGGCTTCTTGACGCATCGAGTCAACCACACGGGGACGCAGAAACACTGAAAGAGTGGTCGCGGAAAAAGTACAACTTGATTCCGCCAACGGCAAACCATTGCACCCGGCAGGAAATGTAGTCAGGTGTATCTATGGATCAGTGGATTTTGAATGTAAAGGAAATCTTTCATACTGGTTGACACCACAACATGGACTACCTACCTATTTGTAGATGCCGTTGTAAACAATTAAGCTGTAAATCGTTATGCGGCGGGTGGAATCTGGAAGGCGGGACTCTTGGAGAGTGATACTAGCTACCAGGGCAGTGCCTGGGTAAGAGCCGTAAACGTAGACAGAACGGACTTGTGAAGTGTCTTTGGTGTCATTGGTGCCGTTGGGAGTCGCGTTCGTGACTCTCAGGTTCCACGCTATCCCGGGGCCAAACAGCGTGTTATCGAAGGGACCAAGCCTGCAGAATTCTCGTATCACTCGCTTTTCTCTGGTCCGTCATTGATGACGGCCGTTGGGTAATGGATCCATGGGAGAGGTTGAGAGCGGTCTGCCGGCTTCCGAGGTTGAGAAGTTACGTGCCTGATGTCCTCTCAATCCCTAGCATGGGGAGAGCGTCGAGTCAGGGGTGGTTGGATACGGGGGCATTTGACGAGCCCAATCGTGAGACTCAAGTCTACAAATCCGAACACGGCGGCCCCCAACTTGGGGGCCGAAACCAAGCCGGCAAAACCGACGATGGCCCACGACCAACTCAAGCGCTGCGGACAGGGTATCACGGTGTTGGAGACGAGTGGACTCTCCACTCCCTGAGGTCACAACACTTCTGCGCTGGAACATCGCGCGCTTGGTATTGACTCTAGACGACGCATTGGGGGCTGTATTTGAATCCGCAATGCATATACGCTGCAAAGACCGTTAGTCTCAACTGCTCCGCCTCAACAACCGAAGACTTTGCACATTCTTAGCCCAATATCACACGCAGTCCGCCTACGCGATACCACCTTTTGTTTCTCCTCGGCATGGAGGCTTTGGCCTTTTCCTCGGCTTGACACTTGATGGAGAATGAGGGTGTGGGACGGGGTGAGCGCACGCCTATATAAACCTCCCGTGTCCCCTTCTTTGTTGACCAGCGTGCAGACAAGCCCTTCGAGTCATCCCGCCGATAGTCTTGAACCTGCAGCTCCCTTCAAACACCCAAACGCCCTTCGACAGATCCCCAGCCCTAGCAAAATGCACTTCTTCGGCGCACTTTCCACATTGGTTGCTGCCGGCCTTGTCGCCGCCGCTCCGTATGTTCTAGTCTCTCAAGTTGCTGAAGATTTGAGAAGTTTGTTCGCTGACCATCTGCCCATAACCAGGACTGCCCCCGAATCATACATTGACGTGCGGGCAGAGGATGATTACTTCTGGGCCGTGTCGGGATGGGGCAACCCCACGTGTGAGGGGAGTTTGCTCTGGTCTTACCAGGGCACCGGCTCTTCTTGCATCAACGTGAGGACCTTTGCGGCGTCTGCGAGTTATATCGTCAACCATGAAAGCCAGCTGGAACTCATAAACGTCGCCGAATGTGGTTTCTCGGGGCTGGCGAAAACAGACAACCAACCCAATATCACCACTGTTACTGTTGGAGGCAGTGACAGTAACAACCCCCTGGCTGCTCGTTTGCTGCAGGGCTGCGTCACCGCGCCAGTGATGTCTTTCAGGATTTTCCGGCGTTATTAAGCGAGATATCCTGGGGTGGGATGGCGGACATAGGAGGATCGAACCAGCGGATGTTGTCCGAACTTCAGGGACTGGTCTGCTCGTCAACCACGGGTTCATTGCTATAGACATGCGAGATAAACCCACCAAAGCTTATGTCATTGAACCAAATCTGCCAGCAGCCCTAGACTCGGACGTATCTCATAATCTCCATCCTCGCAATCGCCAATAAATGGCTCTGATATTACGTGCTATTGTTGTTCCCCCTTCGATTTCTACTAGCGGTTACATATGCCTCCTGCATTAATATTTAGCCATGTCACCTAACATTAAATATCGACCATGGACTTATACACACTGCTGCTCTTCCCCCGCCGACCACACTTTCTTTTTACCAGCTGAACACCATATCCACATGATCACTTCCATTCAGTTGCTAACCCAAGGCAATGCCGAACACCAACCTAGATACTTTCCATTCCCCCGTGGGTAATCACCGAACCAACTGGTATCAAACACCCACTGCGTTCTTCACAGAGCTCCACTTACAAGTAGCTCCTAGGTAGTCCGACGTGCACCAACCCCAATACACCACACTTTGGCACGTCCCTGTCCCAAAACTAATCCCAATAGCGGCTCTGCAGCCCCCGGGCAACCCACATCACCCCGCCCGCCCAGTCCAATATCCCTCTCCCACACCACATCGTCCGAGTCCACATCATAACCCATCCCCCCCAGCGCGATCACAAACTCACTCTCCGGCAAATTCACCACCCCGCCCCCCCTCCATCAACCTAACCATCCCCGAAAACTACCCCGTTTCCAGCACAAAATACACCCCCATAGCGCGGGGAACCGCCCCTGTCACAACTGCCCCAACTCCTTAGGCACGACCTGCTCCCAGCGATGCGCACTCTCATTACTACTCCGCGGAGAACACACCCTGCCCAGTGGGGGGAGCGCCTCGCGCGTCGCCTGCCTGCAGCGGCCACACTGCGCCAAGAAGGCGGTTGGCGTCCAGGGTACGGCGAGGTGGTGGGCGGCGCGGAGCGCGGGGGACTGGCGGGGCAGGGAGGGGCCGTACTTAGTGTGCTGGCGTCGGTGGGGTGGTGTAGGTGGAGGGGGTGTGGAGTTGGATAGTGTGGGATGGGGGTTCGTGCGTGTTGAGCGTGATGACGAGGTCGAGGAAGTAGATTGAATGGGGGGTAGTCTTGGTCGTTGGGTGGTGGTAGTGGCCGCTGTGAAGATAGCTGGTACCTAGGTAGCTACCGTACTTAACAGCTCAGGATGACCGCCGGATACAACGATATCTCTCGATATGGCTTCGGCGTCGTGGTTATGCTACCCTCACGCAACTTTATAAAGCGAAGTAATTGTAGTTTAGGTATACTGTCACTCGTGGCCAAGCCTGTTGCGATGGCCTTTTCCCCACATACCTTAGGTAGGTAGGTAACGACAAAGAGTGATTAGGTGGTCCTCTTGTAAATTGAGCGTATACGTTGCACCACTCTTTTGCGCTCCTAAACAACAAAGGAGTTGTATGAATTCCCTTGTTGTTGTTGCCTGAATGATACAGGCCTCTTCTTGGCAAGTCGGATGTGTCGTGAAGTACTGGGCTAATTAATTATTATTCCGAACCTGGACACTGCCCTCGATTCCTAATATATAAATCCACAGACCCCATGTTAATTGATCCGACGCAAGGCAGTCAGCAAGCCTTTGTTTCATAGATCGATCAAGATGGCCGATAAAAACTTCTGGCAGTTTGCCCGCCTGCCTGTGGAGATTCAAAAGGATATCTTCGGTCTGATGCTGCGGGCTCCTCGGGTTCATTACCTCGAGATGTACACCGCGAATCCACACCAGGGCTGGGATGATAGTTCCAAGGCAGTAAAGGACATTCAGGGACAGACTATTCGCCAGGACGCTGGACGGGTCCTCCAGGAACTCGTGGCGGGACATGGTTATCTCTGCGGTAATAATCTTGTTGACTCGAATCACACACCAACCGACCTAGCTCCTCCATTCAAGATCTCCGAGCCTCAAGCATTTGGGGGAAATCCGACGTCCTACTATTTCACCGACACGCGTCGGTTAAAACAGGTCAACCAGGTGGCATGCCAAACAGCCCGCAGCAGTGCTCGGCACCCAGTAATGTCGCAACCACCACAAATTCACCGTGACCTGAGCGGTAAACTACCAACCATCCCTCTCCATCTCAACACAAAGGATGACCTTGTTTATTTGCACAACGTGATGCCCGGGGGTTTCGAGATGTCTGAGACCAGAAAATGGCTGGAAGATAAGGAAACAAGGGCATCTATCACCGACCAAACCAAGAACATTCAACACATCATGTTCGCTTTCCACGGGCACAGCGCCGATCGTTGCTGCGCCGGTTGTGATAAACTAGAGATCCATAACCAGCAACTGGGCGTTTTAACTCGTAGGCGCGACCATAGCCGGCAAGAACGCGCCCGACGTGGAGATAAGATTAAGACCGCGTGTAAGATGTGCAGCAAGGTTCAGGAACAGATGAAGGCTAGCAGTGAGCCCGTTGAGGAGGCTACCATCCGTGAGGGCCTGCTAAAGGATCGCATGTTAGCCATGTTGCCGGAAGTGCAACGTGAGTGCGTTGCAAAAAACCACCGCATCGACGCCATCATAAACTATGACGAAAACCGCGCTACCTACAACATGTGGTCCGCCAACGACGGAGACGGCAGCCAAGACCACACCATATTCCCGGCGACGGACACCGAAGATGACGACGAGGACGACACTGTCTCCATCTGCTCCGCTGACATCGACCCCGACGACCATTTCGGCTGGTACAACAACTCCCGCAACTTCCTCGTCGTCGAGACAATCCCCTATCCACAATGGGGCGTTATCAGCGACACCATTACCGGAGACACCATGCCGTCAGATTTAGTTGAGCTGTTAGAACCCCCGAGCACCCACAAACCACCACCCCCACCCCGCACAACCGGCAACACCGCCACGGACGCCTTCAACCTCCCAACCCCGCTCGCCCCAGAGCACTTCCACCCCCCGGACGACCGGGCCAAACCTTCAGAGCGCGAGCCTAGACACGCCAGCCATTGGCAGTGCCGATTCAATGAAGTGGTAACGGACATCCCTCCCGAGGTGGTCACCTGCTTCCCCGACGTGGTGTGCGTGCACATCATCGACCACGACCTCACGCTGCGGCCCGACATCACGGAGCTGCCCGCGCAGGGCCAGCGGTGGCTGACGGGCAGCCAGGACACGCTGTTCGTGGAGGTGGTGGACCCGGAGGACGGGAGCTGGGTCTCCGAGGCGGCGCTGCGGCGCGAGCGGAGGGCGGCGGCGCGGCGCAATGGCGAGCCGGAGCCGGACCCGGACCCGGAGCCGCAGCGGGTGACGGACCCGGGGCACGCAGTCTGGGACTGGGACCGGGAGGAGATAGTCGAAAAGCACCCGGAGGATGAGCGGCCGGATCCGCCGGGGGTGCTGGAGTATGCGACGTGGCTGAAGGCGGCTCTGGAAAAGTTGTTTTCCGGCGATGAGCAGAAAGGGGTGCCGGCGAGGAAGGTTGACGTGGGGATTGTGGCGTATGTGGTCCTGGATAGCAAAGGGAAGGTGACCTACGAGGGGAGGGAGAAGAAGTGGAACACGCGGAGGAAAAGCCGAATGTTCACTATCCCTCAATGGTGCTTCCCTAGTTCTACCTAAGATTGCTTACATTATTCAGAGTCCAGAGGAAAGTGGGGATACCCTCTCTCCATACAGAGAGTAGCTACAGGACTCCCTGATCCTCTATATCTTGTAGCCTCTACACTTTTTTCAGCACTCTCACCGCGTTACCGAGACTGCGGTGAATGAGTAATAAGATGATAACTTAGACCTTGAAACTAAACCCCCTTAACCGTGCTGCTGAACGTTAAGGTATACGAGGTACGAATATATGATGGTTTCCTGGCTACCTAGGAAGATGTTCCCTTGGCCATGACTGAATGTGAAATGTCACTAACCACAAGTGCGTATGACCAGTTAGCTACCTAGGTAGGAAGTAGGCATGGGCCTAAGCCCGCGGTAATCACAACAATAGCGCATGCATACCTGGACAACCGGCTAGGTACCCGGGTAGTATACTTCCCAAAAAGCATAAGAAACGATGGTATGTTGGGTAGGCCGCATCGCCAGAGCAGTCAAATACAACAAGAGAGGGGGCCATTCCATCGAGGCGGGGGGAATATGGCGAGCCAAGCCACGACTGTGGTCTCACTTTTCTTTGCGCAACCCGAACAGTCTCACCTCGATACCGCGCAACCCCGGTTATCCCGGCGTTGTGTTTTGCTTTGCGGCAGGGATGGAATTCACTGACTTTTTGTTTATTCATTGACGGCGACAGAAAGTGAAGGAGACGGAGATATTCACATCGAAAGGTGGAACGTGTCGTGTTCCGCTACATGCACATGCCCGGGCACCGAGCAGTTGGGGTCGGGGAAACTGCATGCCCGTGGTACCACTTTTGCTTGGCCCCGCAGTGAGAAGAAACGAGCACATGATTGAGTTATGGCCAAAATCGGGGATGCTGCAGCAAGTTGCCCCAACGGGCAGTACTTTGGGGTTCGTTCCTCCGCGTTGCTCGCTCCTGACCACGTCGAAAGGACCCAATCACAAAGCTCAATTCCGCCCAGGGGAAATCCACAACTTGGAAGTCCCGTTTCAGATTGCCATAAGTTAATATGTGCTGCCTTGTTAAGGAAAAGAAGGAACTAAATGATCGGCACGGCCGCCTTTACCCGCAATTTACCAGCTGATCCGAGTCTTGATGGGCGTCATGATGGTGTTGAGGGATCGAGAACCCATGTCGTCCCTTCCGTCTCCAACTCTTCAACTGAACCTGGAACCCGCTGAAGCAATGTTCGGGAAGGTGCATTCGACTCCTGGTCGTGGCTTCCTCTGCCCCTTCACTTGATTCTTTCCCCCCTTCCCCGCTTTCAAGCCACGGTTCCGACCTTCCAATGCTGTGAACTTCGAAGGCCGAAATGCTTTCTCGACACCGGATAGTGGCCGCCTCCCTCGCCGTCGGCATCACCCTTTTGCTATGGTTCCGCGCGCCACAATTGCCGGCGATGGCAAGTAGGCCGTCTCCGGAGATTCTCAATAGCACTCTCGGGGTAGGTTGTGCTCGGCATGATTAGCCACAAGGAAATATGCTAAATGACGGCACTTTTAGTTTCAACACATCTTCGCCATCAACCTCCCCGCGCGATCCGATCGCCGCGACGCCTTGGCGCTCGCTGGTACCTTGTCCGAGCTTGACATCACATGGGTTGACGGGGTTTTGGGAAAGGACGTGCTAGACAAGACGCTCCCAGGGGACCCAAACAGTCGCCAGGGCAATGGAGGGTTTACAACGGGAAACAAAGGGTCGTGGCGGGCGCACATGGATGTTTTGCAAAGGTGGGCTCGGAGGTTCTCGACTTGATTTTCTTTCAACTGTCGTCTGACTGCGACGCAGGATTGTCCACGAGAACGTGACTAGCGCCCTCATCCTCGAAGACGACGCCGATTGGGACTTGCGATTGAAGAAACAAATGCAGGTCTTTGCGCAAGCATCGAGGGCCTTCACACAACTGTCAAACGGGCAGTCCCTCGCGGAGCAGTCCAGCAGTCTCCCAGCCCCAGAGGTCCCAATCACGCAGGTGCCATTGAGAACTCGCCCCCGACTCACCCCCTACGGCGACGATTGGGACGTCTTGTGGCTCGGCCACTGCGGGACCGACTTCCCAGCCACGACCACCCTGCGAGTGACGATCCCAGATGACATGACTGTTCCGTCCCCTAACCATCTCAAACCGCACCCATTCGCCTTGCAAGACACTCTCGCCGAGGAGTATCCCCCACATACGAGGGTCGTACACCCTTCACGCGGCACGGCATGTACGCAGGCATACGCTGTCAGCCAGCAGGGAGCAAGAAAGTTGCTGTGGCAGTTTGGGCTGCAAACACTGACGGCCGGATGGGACCTCATGTTGCGGGATTGGTGTGACGATATGTACACCCCTCTCAGCGCCGAGACAGCCGATGCCAACGAAAACGGAGGCAACAGGAGGGCTCCTGTTTGTCTAACGGTGCAACCACCCTTGTTCAGCCACCACTACGGAAAAGGGGCAGCCTCGGACATTATGGCGCCTGGGGGAGGGTTCGTCAACAAGGATAGGGAGATGACTCCGTACGTAAGGCTCAGCGTCAGGCTGAATATGGAGAGGTTGGTGAATGGGCAGCCGGGCACAGAGCAATGGGAGGAGGACGCCGTGCACCTTGCAAACTGATTGTTCACCGGTAATACCATTTGCAACTTGCCCGCCCAAAAGTATGTATTAACCGCTGACCTTTGCGTTAGTTAAAGCCTCAGAAGCTACGCCACTCCAGGCCCACGATCACTCAACACCAAGACGACCAGACACACGCGCACGGAGCCGTGGGGCCTGGCCCCTTATTCGAACATTTGGCCCTATCCACCTCCCCCAACCGCACGGTCGCCGCCCTCTATAAAGACCCCAGCTTTGGTTCAAAGTCCGGCACCCCACTAAAACTCGGATTTGGACGCGCAGCCACCCAACATCTGGATAATTGCATTGTGGCATCTGGACTTTGGACAACACTCCGACATAACTACATCGTCTTGGCTACCTAAGGGTGTTAGCCAGGCTTCAGCGGTTGTTGAACGGGGTACCACGGCGACGCGTTACTTGCACATGTAAACCCGTGCTCCGGCCGGTAGCAGTAGCTTTACCGCGATCCTGCGAGGCGGGGAGAATTCGTGCTGCGCTAAAGTTGATGATATCTACGCCGCGGGTAAGGAGGGTAGTGATAAGCAGAAGGCGGTCCACCCTCCACTACCACGCGGCTTCGAGCGACATTACGACAAAGTGTGTCTATCACCGGGCGGACGCACAAAGCTGCAGGTGTGTATGAGCGGCCGTGTGGTTTATAGCCAGATAGTGACTTGGTTATCATTCAGCAAAACAGATTTCTCATATCCTTAGGTATTGAGGCAATTAAGAGATATACAATATTATTACGCAGTACTCAGCGTACTATCCGGTGACTTCATCTTTGCCGTGTAGGGTGATGCCCAATGGGAATTTGGAAGTTGGTTCAATATCTTGGGGATAATCCGTCTTTGGGCAAGTCTTTGGGCATGTGCTGGAAGCCGATAAGTCACAAATAGCTCGGTGATATGACCTGGTGATATTTCGCGTTGATGCAAAAGTGGCTACGGGAGTCGCAGTCCGAGAAAAGCGACGGGACACGAACACCAGGGGCGCCGTCCGTTTACATATAGGTGGCGAAAAAGAGCCCATGCTTCTTCTCTTTGCCTACCAGATATGCACGCGCGTGGGACTAGTGTTTAGACACTCCGTGTCTTGCAGGGTGAGTCCTTTCAAGAGCATAGTCCGCAAGTAACTCTATAAAGCTACTCCCAAAACCCTCCTAACAAGTACATTTGCTCCCCCCGAGGCGCACTTCTACCGCGTTGACTACGCGCGTGATATGTTCTTCGGGGCTCGGAGTCAACAACACAATCACTAATAGGCTAGCTATCATTTGAGAACAAGAATTGGATTGTGGGTCGTTGAAGATATCGACCATATGTGACTTGCTCTGGTACACCTCTCTTCCCCTCTAAATCACCGCCTGTTGTCCGATATGTTCATCAACATCTGTTCATTTGGAACAGAAAGTGGATGGATAATGCAACAAGAATGCAGACGCCGAATAACCAACTGATTGGTCGTTAAGCACCGACAGGCTTAAACTGACTACCAGGCAGCAGTTACCCAGCTTTAAATACCTCTTACAGACCCGAATTTCATTCCTCTTTACCCTCGCCCGCATCTTGCCTTCCTTGTCTGCTACAGTCGCCGCTAGCACCACTCTTCGATACCGACTTCATCCACAACACGAACCTTCACCTCTAGTAACTGGGAGTTCACCACGGGCAGTCAGCCAAGACCACCACGCCATGCCGTCATACAATGTCTACCTCGCCGAGTCACTCGGGGGAGGCAAGGGGGATCACCACGCCATCTTAGTTGAACACGCGGCATTCCATGCTACCACGCCCGATACGAAACCACGGGGCTTCCTCTACCAAGTCAAGGGCAGCATCGCCCAAGGCATGACGTACGACTTTCGTTATGTTCGGGATGAAGACTACTTCCTCGGGAAGACATTGCTTGGGACGGTTGAAGCCGGGAATTTCAACTGCATCGACCGCATCTGTGCTGCCTTGCCCGCGCCTAAGAAACAGTTCGATGGGCCAAAGAGGCTCTTCCCTCGAGAAAGGCTGTACAAATGCCAAGCGTGGACATGGGATGCTCTGCGGGTCCTGGAAGATGAAGGGGTTTTGATGAACCCGCATGGGGTTGCGTGGCAAGAAATCCATGAGGGGAGGCGGACGGAAACGTGGAGTATTTGAGGCAGAGGGAGATAGCAAAGGAGGAAGTGGGAGTGAAGGGCGCGGAGACCGATGATGGGTTTTGTGTGTCTAACACGACATGGAATCATCAAGGCAGGCGCAGGAAACGGATCTTGGCGAAGCGATGGAGGAACGGCGAGGTGAATTTCGAGTTCCCAAAAGTCTAATTATGTTGAGTCCTTGACCAAACCCTGGAGATAACTCCTCTCTCTCCGAACCTCGCTATGCAACTTGCAGCCAGATTTGACCCACGAGCACCATTCCCCTCAGCCCATGCTTGTATGTCTTGGTTTCGAACCTCACTCCTCCTCCCGGTAGATCCAGGCCCACATGATCGAGCCACCACTGTAAACACACACAGTCATTAGCTTCACATTCCCAACCCAACAACACACCCACAAACAAACAACTTACCACGCATAACCCGCAAAGGTCTCCACCGCCAAACCCGCCTTCTCCTGCGCATCGAACGTCGCAAGCACATACCACACCTCGCCCTCCCCGCGCACCAGCTCCGAGAAGACCAACCCGCCATCCGCCTGATGATGAACCTCTTCCTCATCCCAACCACGACCACCACGCCCACCCCCATCGCGCCCACCACGCGCATTCCCACGCGCATTCCCACGCCCATAACCACCATAACCACCACCGACCGCCCCACCCACACTGACAAGCTTACTCCGCAAATACCGTTTCCCCCCATCGCTATTCCACGCCACGCGCGCGGCCGCACCCAGCGGGCCGATGAGCACGCGCCAGGGCGAGTCGACGACGGTGCGGCCCTGGGCGAGGAGCGCGTAGATGTTGTGGTGCGGGGCAGAGAGGGTTGGGTAAGGGGGCCGGGTGCGGTGGGCGGAGGGGGGTGTGTGTTTGGAGGGGGGTGTTGGGGTGATTGTGTGGGGGAGGGGGATGTTGTGGAGGGTGGTGATGGTTCCGTTGGTGGTGTTGGAAGGGGGGGTGAAGGGGTTGGGGTGTTGAAGCCAGGGCCACTCGGGGATGGGGGGTGTGGTGGCTTGCCCGTTGGTGGGGATGAAGGGGGGGTTGGGCTGGGGGTGTTGCAGCCAGGGCCACCACTCGGGGATGGAGGTTGTGGTGGCCTGGTTGGTGGGGGCGGTGTTGTCGTTGTTGATGGTGTTGCCGGCGTTGATGGTGTTGTTGGTTGCGCCCGAGATAAGAGGGCAGGCACCGATCGTATTGGTGGCGGTGCTGTCGCGGTTGATAGTGTTGTCGCCGTTAATAACGTTGTTGATTGCCCTCGGAATGTGAGCGGAGGCCATGGACGTGCTGCTGGCGGTGTTTCCGGCGTCGATAGCGCTGTCGCCATTGATAGCGCCCGTGGTTGCGCCCGGGATGTGAGCGGAGATAGTAGTCGCGCCGTTGGTGGTGTTGTCGCCGCTGACGTTGTTGAATACGCCCGAGAGGAAGGCCGCGGTAACGGGCGTGTTGCTGGCGGGGTTGTCGTTGATGATGTTGTTAAATATGCCCGGGATGAGGGCGGCGGTGATGGTCGCATTCTCCAGGTTCAAGTTGGAGACCTCCGGAACGGCAGCGGAAAATGAGGTGGGCTGGGGGGCGGCCACAGCAAGGTTGGCAACGTTGTTGTCAGGGTTATGAGCACGGGTGGACGGCGCGGGAATGCCCTCATCGGCGTTGGAGGACAGGGCGAGAAGGTCCTCGGAGTAGGGCGAGGAGTGGGCGCTGGGCGCGTTGGACTTGGAAGTGCTCGTGGCGGTCGAGCTGCCGGCGTCCACTTCATCAGGGTCGGACTCGGAGGCGGCAATCTGCGACTTGGCGTCGTAGAAGATGTCCTCTTCCCGGAAAGAAAAGTCGTCGCGAGGGTCCTCGCACAGTGGGACGTCGCTCAGCAGGCAGAGGTCTTGATCGTGGTGCGGAGTGTCTGTACGGATTCTTGTTATGCGGTTGTTCGTTTCGCGGGCCGCGCCGAGTTACAACGCATGGCAGAAGCTGAACTCGAAGCATGCAACACTTAGGCAAGTACCTAGGCAGGGACTGGAGGATCGGGTAGGAACTGGGGAGCCGAGCAAAGGAATACAGTAACTTACGCCGAACCCCGGGCCCCTCGCCACCTTCAACAGCATTGTCGCCGGCGCGCGACCCAATGTGAGCCGCCGCCTCAGGGTGGCCAATCTCTCTGCCCCGCGCAAATCCCAGGGCCCAGCCGCGCTGGAACCCGTCCCCGTAGCCCTTGGCGAAGTGCGCGTTGTCGTGACCGCAAGAGGCGGAATTGCCCCACGTGGTGGGCGCCATGGTGGTGGTGGTGTGGTGATGTGGTCGTTGGGCTAACCAAGCGGGAGGTTTGATGGTGGGAGGAGAAGCAACGAAGAAAGGGAAGGAGGGCGGAAGGTGGTGGGCGGATGGCGGGAGGGTTGGGAGGAAGAGAACGAAGAAGAGCAGAGCCGGAAGAAGGATGGCAGGAAAAAGAGTAGGGTTCCTAAAGAGTGAGAAAATTCGCACAAGGCAGAGACCGATGAACCGTCCGGCCTCATTCGCCGCCTGATTTAGTTTGATCTTTCCTCACACAACCCAGAGCAACTCCGGTTTGTTCCCTAACAAAGCAGTTTTGTTGTGGTGCATTAAACCTGGCTTGCCAGTCTCGGCGCTGTGCTCACGACGTCCGGGAAAGCGAAATCACTTACACAAACGTTTAATTCAAGATCGGAATAACGACGGCGGGATCATAACGCCGACGAGAGTTATACGGGCCCAGTAAGGAAAGAATGGCGCCGGCGAGCTCAGGAGAGGGATGTACGAAAGTCCGGCAAAAGGGGGCGCAAGGGGGGGTCGGGTCGAGAAGACGGTGACAGTGGAAAACAGGACGGAAACCGCTGGTCAAAGTTGAACCGTGAACAAACATCGACTAGGCTGAGAGCCTGCCATAGAGGCAAACGCTGAGACAGCGGCCATATTAGTTCCTAAGGATGTGGTGGAACCAAATATGTCTCCGGCTTGTGATGATTTAATAACTACCTACCAAGTAATCAGCTTTGAGTTGTCAAATGAACGAGCTCACCTGGCTATACAACGTGAAAGACCTTTAACGACCACCAATGGAACGAGCAGGATGGAGTAGTCGGGGAGGTATGAGTGAAGTTACTGCGGTGACTCAATCACGCCTAGGGATGCACAAGCAAAGTCCATCCCTTCATCAGGTCCAAAGAAGGGGCGGGACTCCCCAGGTAAGTAACTTAGCTACTTGAACCTGCACGCGTGACGACATGTGTATTATAACTTGAACTTGGAGTTGTTGGATATCTCTTTCTCGCGAACAAGAGCCTAATGACCCCGCAAGGTATTCCAACTGTATTGATCATGTTAAGCGTATGTTTTGTAGCAGTAGGTACGCAGCCTGACCCTGAATGCCGACATAAGATCTTTTAAGGGGTGAAGCAAAAGGGGTTTGGCACTACCTACTCATGAATGTCCAGTGCACTGATTCATGCTCAAAGTCTATAATGATTATACTGGACGTGATAGTGTGTGTCGGTCTTGTCATTGCCCTTATCCCAGAGTTGTGGTGGGTAATAGTTGGGAGAAGGCAACAATGAATAGTAGGGACTTGGCCATCTGTGCCTCCTACGTTTGTTAATTATATCATCCATTCTTGCACCTTGAATATTTACCCTTCACCTATGAAGCTTGATTCTGTAGCACAGAAAATCCCTCTTCCTTAGGCTGAGACTCGAGGATCTCCCATTCGCTTAGACAATCTACACCTCGAATAGGCCACGACTTCTCCATATGACCCTTGCGAAGCAACACGGACTCTGACTGCTTTTGTAAACTAGGTTATCCCCCTGTTCAAGAAATAGGCGTTTATTTTACACAGTAAACGAGGCGTCTTTCCCGAGACGATGTTTTTTTTCGCTGGTTAATGTCGTAATAATTAATAAGTGCTGCACTACCTTGATTCCCAAACTCAGTTTACCCACTGCAGGCAATAAAGGCAGCGCCTAGGGTAAGAGCTCTGTCTTGACATTGTGGTAGGTAGTACATAGTGGTAGTGTCAAAATGTCAATAAACTCATGCAATCTGTTATGGGCCAGGATCCCCGAGGGCCCCTTGGGGCAAAGGCGTTTTCGTCGGTTTGTAATCCAGACGAGAAAAATACTCGCCAGAGAGTCTTGCCCTCAAAAAGATAACTAAAAAGTGTGTGGACTGTGCTCGGCGGGTGGCGGTTTGTGTGGAGCCTCGATGGTTCCTCGCTCGATGCCCAAGCCCGAGTTGTTTAAAAGTCTCAAGCGACCGGCATTGCACAAAAGTCCGATGCCATGTCTTGGCAACCTGAAGGAGCTGAGCTCCACAGGGCTGGGCGCGGCTGGAACTTCTGGCCCTGTTCTTTGAGCTCCGTCTGGCCCCTGAATGGATCCCAATCTCAGGCACAAGTTCCCTGCTGGAGAAATCTTTCGGCTGGCGGCTGTCCCATTCGCCGCTGCCCTCGTGTTTGATTGCAACCAAGCTTTTTGTAACATCGCACTACGCTGAAAGCAGACACGCGCCAGGGGAGGGCGCTCCGCCACTTCCATCATTGAGTTTATTTCTGGACAGAAGCGCCCGCATTTGCGATTTTGAAATGTTCCTTCCTCGTCAACCGTCAAAATGGAGAACCAACCGCCAAAATATGTGTCGCCGCCGGGGACGTGGAAGACGAAACTGGGCCTGCGAGCGGGATCCGTCCTGTGTGTCATAATTCTCGCTGGTATCGGCGGGTCACTGGCAGCGAATGAACGAATCGACGGCGGAAGCTTGTTGATGGTGGTTTTGGCTCCTGCCGTGAGTTGCACCCCTCGCTGCCTTCACTCGCGATATTTCCGCGCGATGGTCCTTAGCTAACCATATTCCCGCCGCCAGCTTATTGTCACTTTTATTTGGGACGTCGCCGAAGCCGTATGCATACTGAAACGAGGTGGAAACAGGGGCATCCACCCCGGTGCCGTTGTCGCTATCGACCTCCTCGCCTGGCTTGGCTGGGCCATCGTCGACCTTATGCTAGCTTCGTTTGGGCTGATATCGAGGCCCCGATACATGATCCAAGACTACAGCGGTTACGATGGCGACCGATACCGGTACGACCCGGACATGGTCACGCCGGAGGACCAGGCGCTCGAGAAGGACATTATGAACAAAGGACGGGCTTTGCTTGTGTTTGGCGTATTGACGACGTGAGTCCGCTGTCTCGGGAAGCGAGTGCTGGTTATTTCTAACGTGGCATATCCTCTAGGCTCGCCCATTTTGCTCTCTTCGTCATCGCCTGCTACGAAACCAACACCCGGAACCGCATGCCGAGGACCGTTTATGTCATGCAGCCCATCTACGGCCCCGGGCCGGTCCCGGTCCAAATACCGGGGTCATACCAGCAACTGGGAGCGTTCCCCCCCCAGCCGATGCAAGGACAACCACCACCAAACCACATGTTCATGCACGCGCCACCCGGCGAGTTACCCGCCCAGCCAGCACCAACACTCGCAGCAGAACCAAAACAAGGCGCGGAACGATTCGCATAGATTTCTGTCCCCAGATCTTCATGTACATATCTAATTTTGGAATACCGGCAGTAATCTAATACCTAATGCCACCCACCCACTCTCTCACTCCCCAACCAAACCAAACAGCCCCCCCATGGACCTCTCCTCCCTCCACGCATCCAAATCAAACACCCCGTCACTCAACTCCCCACTCCCCGCATCCCCCGCCCACTTAAACACCACCGCCTTGACCTCCTCCCCAGCAGCACCATCACCACCACCACCACCCTCACCCCCAACCCTCACAACACACTCGACATAATCATACGCCTCTGTCTCGTACCGCCTCAACCGCTCCCACGCCTCCGCCCCGAAACCATCTGCCTCACCACCAACCCGCCACACCTTCCCCTTGATCACGGCCTCGGAGGCCGGGTTGGCGACGAGCACGGGGTATTTCCCGCCCCAGAGGCGCAGGTCGAACCCGCCTTGGATGTGGGCGTCTTCGAGGGCGGGGAGGGGTGCGGGGAGGTTGGTGATGGATTGCAGGAGGGTGGGGTCTTGGAGGGTGCCGTAGAAGAAGAGGGTTGTGGGGATGTTTTCGTTGTTGTTGTTGTCGGTGAGGGGTGGGGGTTGGTGTTGGTCCTGGTGGGTGGTTGTGTGGGTGTGGGTGCCGGCGCGGAGGGCTTCGGCCATGAGTTTGTTGGTTCTGAGGAGGTTGGCCAGGGTGAGGTGGGTGTCGCCGTCGCTGTCGGAGTCGGAGTCGGTGTCGGAGCCGAAGGGGATGGGTTGTGAGTTGGGATTCGGGTCGGGGTTGGGGTCGGGGCTTGCGGAGGTATCGGCTGTGGGCTGTGCCGGGGCCGTGGGTGGGGCTTGCTCAGGGGGTTGTGTGTCGGCCATGGCTGCAGTCAAGTTGGGCGCCATAATGTTGTTGGGGGGTGGACTTTGTCCGGATGCTATTGCTGACTCTTGCGCTTGTTCTGCCCGGGCTCCCGTGGCGCTGCTCTGGCTCAGGCTGGTTTTTTTTTGGCGGGGAACTGAGGGTAGGAACCCATGCAACATTGGCATTTACGGGATGGAACCTTTCTTGTATCGGGTTGGGGGTCCTCTTTAACTGTTTGCCGTTCGTGAGAGGCCACCCGTTCCTTCGGGCCCGCCTGACACGGCCACCGCCTCAGCATTCATCCCATTGACCGCCACCGTGGCCACGGCGCCACGGCCGCCAAGAAGGGGGCCGCTGTTGGCCTTGAAAAGGTCAATAAAAGTTAAGGGGACAGACGATCCGCGGCATCCGCCAGACAATATTCGAATGCAAGTTTGTAAAGTGGGGAAACAACGCGGATCGCGGACCGTGACTGCGGAAGTCAGCGCCGGCGGCTGCGAATATCTCGTGTAAAACCCGGCTTCAGATCGTCCCGTGGTCTCGAGTCGGGATGATGAATTTACTTATCCGTCCCTACCTAGGTAGGTAGGCATTTGCATGCAGATGTTAACTCGTGAATAATACAATCCGGAACGCAAAAGAATTACACGGCATTACTGGTCTTTAGGTACTGTTGGGAACTTGAGAGTTCACGACCGATGCAAAAGGATTCAAGGGCCGAGGCCTGTGTGAGGTGGTTATGGGTCATCGGCCGCCCAGGTCTAAAGATGGACCCTTTTCCAGCAGTAACTAACTTACCTACATACCATGAGTTTGTCTCATGGATCCCAGATGGGCCGTTATTACTGACCTACTTCCTCATCCAACCCTCTCAATCTGACCTGAACTCGTTTCAAGTTTCCTGGTGGCCTGCCTGGCGTAGCGTCAAAATGGATCGTTAATTCCTGGGCAGAGAAAGGACTGCAATGCTTATCGTCCATCTTTGGACTCTTATATGGCGAGCAAAAGCCAACATTGTTATCCTTGTTCCCATCCACAACCTGACCCTATTACCATCTCACACCAGCCATCTGTTCTTTTGCGTCCTGCTTTCTTGTTCTACCTCGGGTGTAAACTTGCTCGATTCGGGTGGTGCTTCCCTGCGTTTAGTTCCCAATGTCTACAAACAACTCGAAGAAAAACACCAAGACGGCCCCCCCAAAGGCCACGCCTGCCGTCAAGTCCACTCCCACGGCGCCGGCGCCGGCGCCCAATCCCAATGAGTTACGTTTTGGCGTAGAGATTGAGCTGATCGTAAAGAGCAAGACCAAGACTCATGCCGACTTCCCAGGCCTAGCCTTGGAGCTCCAGACTCATCTCGCCGCCGCCAGAGTGTCAAGCCACATTGGTGATGTCCTTCAGAAGGACAAAGAGAAGTACCAGGATTGGAACATCACCGAGGATATCACCCTAACGTCGGCCCCCCAGCGCAACGTTTGTAAGCCCAGCCCCCTCCCCCCTTGACACTGTAGCAGTGGGTTCGGTCATACTAATAACCGCCAAGTTGGAGTTGAGCTAGTCTCCCCCGTTTTTCTATTCAAAAACCAGGACGCCTGGAATAGCGAGATTCGTAATGTATGGAGAGCACTCGAACGAAACTTTGACGTCCAGGCGACTACTGAGTGCAGCACCCATGTCCACATCTCCCCTGCCGCGGGTCCCTGGGCCCTCGCCCAACTGAAGAATATTGCAAGGACCACTGTCATTTTAGAACGGTGTATCGACGCCGTCATGCCAGGCCACCGCCGCATCAACCCGTACTGTATGAGCAACCGGTATAACCAGGGGTACAAAGAGTTTGAAATGTCCCTCATCTGCTCGGACATCAATAAAGCAAAGAACGAAAAGGTTCTCGCACGTCACATGTGTTGGTGCTCCAAGAACACGTTGCAGGGCGCGATTACCGGGGCCACCAAGGATTTCGTGCACCCGCACTTCCGGTGGAACTTTACCAGCGCCCTGAGCAACAAGCAAACGATCGAGTTCCGCCAGCCACCGGGCTCGCGCAGCGCCCTCGACACCATCCTATGGGTGCTGTTCGCCACATCCCTCGTACGCTGGGCGGTCGTGGGAGCCCCGGCCCTCGACCCGGAACAGCCTGCTAGGCTTGAGACCCTGTACTCGGCCGTGAAGACTGGCGCCGAGAAGAACATGGTGAGGGACGTGGATCTCCTAATGGGGATCTTCCGGGGCGTAAAGCAGCTCCCGGAGGGCCCGTCCGACTTGAAAGGTGTATCGGCGGCCGAGTATCGGAAACTGGAGGCCGAGGCCGTGAAGAAGGGAATGGCTTTCGAGAAGTACAAGAAGCTCGTTGCCTATAAATGAGAGAGGTGGGTCGGCGCTGAGGAGTTCGACACCCCCGACGCGGCTAGTGTCATTGTAACCCAAGAGAGAATCCGAGGTCGCCATTGAGCGAGGGCTGGGAGGAGGGAAGGGTAAAGGAGAGATATTAGAGCACAAATGACCAAATGCCAACAACAACTTGCCCATCGCAGTGTCTCGGCCAAGAGCTTTTGCTACATGCCCTTGATGTTCCGGTTGTTGTCATTCGTGTGACATCTACTCCGGTGCTTGGTTCCAGGTGTGCGGGTCCATGTTTGTGTCCTCCCATCCAGCGACCCAATGGCTTGTCACCACGGGTACTTCTGGACTCGTGAGACTGGTGTTTACAAAATGCTTTGAACCTTGGTTCCTACAGCCGTTGGGGCGTCAAAAAAAAAAAACAGTCATGTTTGAGATGACCGTAGACCCTAAAGGACATCAGACCCCAGGAGTAAAGCAGGTTCATATTCGTGAACGACACCTGTGGTTACAAACATGAAGTACCTCCATTCCTCTGGAAGCGACCCTATCCTTGTCGGGTTTAGAGGCTGCATGCACACTAACCCGCCCGCTTGGAAATGTTTGGGCGGGCACCAATGGCTGGCTGCGGATCCGAGACCCTGTCCTGTCTTGTGACGACCCTAGCTGAGCCAGCATATGCCTGCTAAGCTTTGTTCAGCTGCAGCGAGGACTGGGAGGCTGGGAACGACAGCATCTCCGAGGTAATATAAACCTGTTGCCACCCCGCCGCCCTCACCTCCTCCCTGACACCCCAAACCCCAATTGGTCTTCCTTCATCTCTCAAACTCACCACCTCATCTGCACCAAGGCAAGATACTCATCATGTCTGGACAGGGAGGCCATGCAGACGAGTCGGCGCCGCTCCTCCCCCATGCGGGCGGCAGCGTAGCTCACGAAGGCGAGAGCGGCCGCAGCGGCTTCCACCCTCGCCATTTCTTCGCGGTGCTATGGCGTAGCTCCAGCCAGGTCTCGATGTTGGTCAACATCCTCTGGCCCTTCGTCCCGGTCGCCATTATAGTGCATTTCATCACCGATGCGCCCCTGTGGACCTTTGCCCTGAGTTACATCGGCATGATCCCCGCCGCCAACCTGCTCGGCTTCGCAGGCCAAGAGTTCGCCCGGAAGATGCCCAAGGTGGCCGGCATCCTGATCGAAACCACCTTCGGCTCAATCGTCGAGATCATCCTCTTCGTCGTGCTCATCGCCAACCACGACGCGTCCCGGGGCGGCGGCAGCGACGACGGCAACCTGATCCCCGTCATCCAGGCCGCCATCCTCGGCTCCATCCTCACCAACCTCCTCCTCTGCCTCGGCCTGTGCTTCTTCTTCGGCGGCCTCCGCCACGCCAGCCAGAAGTTCCACGCCATCGTCTCCGAGGTCGGCAGCGGCCTCCTCCTGGTCGCCGCCTTCGCCCTGCTCATCCCCAGCGCCTTCTACTCGGCCCTCAAGACCGAGGCCACGCCCGACCCCGAGCAGCCGCTGCTGGGCGCGCTGAACGAGACCTTCACCCGCGGCAAGCTGCAGATGGATGTGCTGCAGATCAGCCGGGCGGCGTCGATTGCGCTCATGGTTGCCTTTGCGCTCTACATCTGGTTTTGTGCTAGCAGCCAGCACAGCATCTTTGACGAGGTCATTGAGATGGACGAGCACCGTGATGCTGACCGCGAGGAGGATATGCAGAAGCCCAAGTTCACCATGACTGAGGCTCTCATTGCGCTGGTCGTGTCGCTTGTCTGCGTGACGGCGCTGTTGATTATTCTGGTTGGTGAGATTGAGCATGTGGTGAAGAGTGGTGTGCCCGATCAGTTTTTGGGTTTGATCTTGCTGCCGCTGGTGGAAAAGGCGGCGGAGCATCTGACTGCGATTGATGAAGCCAGGGGTGAGCATGATCCTCTTTTCTACTTATTATTCCACCACAGAAGTCTCGAACGCCTTGCTAACTTGCGCCTTTCCTAGATGGCATGATCAATGTTGCCCTGTACCACTGCCTCGGCCCTTCCATCCAGACTGCCCTTTTCAACGCCCCGCTGGCCGTCGTTATTGCATGGATCATGGGCAAACCCCTGGATCTTAACTTTGAGATCTTCATGGTTGGCCTTCTCGTCCTGTCGATTCTGGTGGTTGGAAACTTCCTCCGGGACGGCGAGTCGAACTGGCTCGAAGGCGCACTTCTTGTGGTATGTATCCTGGAGACACCCATCCTTGCTGGAATCAAAAACTAATCGGGTATCAGGTTGTCTACATCATTATTGCCATTGCGTGCTGGTACTACCCGGACCCTGAGGTTGCGACCTCGAACGGCTTGGAAGGATCCGCCGTGGTAAAGGTTACGATGACGAAGGATGCACTCGAGCAACTCCAACAAATCGTCAAGGGGCTGGCACAGTAGAGCATCAGCCGACGTGACGAATCGCTATTGTTGTTACCATTTATCATCTCGGGGCGTGGGTCGAAATGATGAAGCTTGAAGGTGGCACAAGGGAAGAACTTGGTGACTGGGGGCCCTAGTACGATCGTCATAACCCTGCTGCTGCCCTGTCAAGGTTACAGGTGTCTCGGTAGTCATAGGAGGTCAATTTTGTACAAGAACCGAGAAGTTGGATTCATAAATCGTCTCTTTCATGCGAATATTCGAGTTTCACTTAGCCAGCCAAGATTACCGCCACGCGGTTAAACCCAAGACAACCCCAAGTTATCGATCGGCCTGGGCGTGTAAAACTGCCCTGGCCCCCTGGTTACCTACCGCAACGGGATGGGGGGGGTCGGAATCTGGGTGTGACAAGGGCCCACACCACTATCACATCGCGCCGATGATCGCGGCGCAGCAGCGCTTAATTGCCCACGGATGCCACCTTGTTTGTCTTTCATCAGGGCGGAAAAACCATCGATCCCCAAGGTCCCACGTTCCCCATGGCTGCTGGAATTCGTGGAATAGACCGTGACGGAACCCAACAAGCAACGCGTGTTTGTTAACTTGAAACACAACTTCCACTCCCGCCTAATTTACCCCCGGACGATGCTTTGAATCACGCGTTCCTGGAATTCTCGGCGCAACTCCGTCGTCACCAAACCTCCTTAATAATTCCCACGATGAGGCGGTCAATCCTCCTTCTTTGGCCAACTGCATGCTTGCTACTCGTGGCCGTCACTCTCTACGTCCGCCGTGACCAGTTCACCACGGCGTACTTTACGCAATCCCATCTTTCACGGCCAGATGGAGGAGACAAGCATTTGCCGTCGCAGACCGGGGTTTTGCCCTCAGCGACGTCTTCAGGGAACCAGCGTGAGTTGACTCAGACAACCCACCCTCTCGCGCATGGTCTAACCTTTGCCGACAGCCGCTCTCCCTTTAGAAACCACGGCGCTGTACGTGAAGGCTATTATGAACATAGATACAGCAACTCTCCCGCATCTGGAATGTCCCAAGCTGGACCCATCTCGATACCAGCAGCTGCAGGTAACCAACGACGCCTCCGAAGCAACCATCCGGTACTTCTTCGCCCTCGATCTCCGCCAATGCGTTGCCCTTCTCCCCCGGCTTATCGGGAGCGTGGTGGAAGCCATGCGGTTCTTAGGCCCCACGAACTGTGCCCTCTCCATCATCGAGGGCAACTCAAAAGACGGCACCGGCGAGGTCCTCGCCGCGTTGCTCCCGGAGCTTGAAGCCCTAGGCGTAACCTACTACTTCAGCACCACAGCCATCAACCCCAAAAAGGGCGACCGCATCACCGCCCTCGCCCAGCTGCGCAACCTGGCCATCCAACCCCTCCTCGACGACACCTCCATCACCACCTCCCCCACCACCCCCAAACCCCAACGCCGAACCCCCCCAAAGCCAAAATACGACCCCGCCACCACCACCATAATCTTCCTCAACGACGTGGCCATCTGCCCCGAAGACATCCTCGAACTCGTCCTCCAACACACCACTCTCAACGCCGACATGGTGTGCGCCATGGACTGGACCTACGTCGGGGCCGACCCGACCTTCTACGACGTGTGGATCGCGCGGGCGCTGTCCGGCGACGCCTTCTTTGAGATCCCGCCCGACGGCAGCTGGGACTCGGCCTGGAACCTGTTCTGGAATGATGAGGCTTCGCGGGCCAGATTGGGGGCGCGCCAGCCGTTTCAGGTTTTTTCGTGTTGGAATGGCGCCGTGGTGTTCAAGGCGGCGCCGGTGATGGAGGGTGGGGTGAGGTTTAGGAGGGCGAGGAAGGGGGAGTGTCATCAGGGGGAGCCGCAGTTGTTTTGTAAGGATTTGTGGTTTGGGGGGTATGGCAAGATTGCGGTGGTGCCGGTGGTGAATTTGGAGTATTCTGATGAAGGGGGGAGAAAGATCAAGGAGGCGAAGGGGTATACGTCGAGGTGGGTGGGCTCGTCAGACTGGAGGGATGAGGGGATTGAGTGGCAGACGGACCCCCCGGAGAAGGTCAAGTGCACGGCGCAGTATGATAACCAGTTCTTCGAGGCTTGGAATAAGACGCAGCCGGGGACTTGAGGGTCGGTTATGGGACAAGTAGAGCCGATTCTGTATCGGCCCGGGGACAGTCAACACACACGCACTAGGCCAGGAAGCTTGGGTTGTCGCGTCGAGGAGCAAGCGGACCGGACGCACATGAACCCAATGATGGGCCGAAGCATTGATGGCGTGGCTCAGCTCCCCTTGACCGAGTTTGCGCGGCTGGGAACGGTCACGTTGTCGTGCCAGACAAGTCCGGTAAAGAAGGCTCCCTGCAGTCACTTTTGTGACGAGTCCAGGGGCTGGCTCCAAGGATTCGAGAGAGGTCAGACTGGGCCCAATAGTGAACGGGTGGGATCTTTTGTTAATTAGAGGAAGGGTTTGAGGGGTTCTGCGCGAGCTGCGCGACAGAGTATTGCATTGTCGGCGTGGGTGTCTGTATGATATAGGGAATGTGGCGTTCACAAAGAGGGCCCGAAAAATATCAGTACACTGCAGGTTCAAAGTAGACGAAGCACGCTCGCCCCACTGCGCAACCTCGCCCTCCTCCCCCTAACCACCAACCTCTCCCACTACCACCCCAATACCACCAGCATCCTCTTCATCAACGACGTGCTCCTCTGCCCCGACGACCCCCTCGAGCTAACCCACCAGCGGCACATCCAGTCCGCCGACCTCGCCTGCGCGCTCAACTACACCGGCACTGGAGGGGAAGGTGGCGTTTCGCGGGGCGAGGGGGGAGAGGGGGGAGTGTCGTCAGGGGGAGCCGCAGGTGCTTCGTAAAGAGTTGTGGTGGGAGGGGTAGGGAAGGGTGATGGTGGTGCCGAGTGTGAGTTTGGGGTATGGGGAGGAGGAGGGGCCGGCGGTAAAGGGGGCGAAGGGGTTCACGGCGGCGGTGGTTGCGAAGGAGACGGGGATGGAGACGGGGGTTGAGTGGATGCCGCCGCCGGAGATGGTCAAGTGTATGCCTACTTTTAACGACCAGAGTTGGCGGCCGTGGAACGAGACGTTGGTGTGATGGATGGTACTTGGTTAGTTGGATGGTTTGGGGACTGGCGGGCGTTTGGCCTTTCAGGGTGGGTAGGAATGGAGCGGAGCTCTAATGTCTCATAATGACCATCTTCCCCGATATTTATTTGCCTATAACTTTCTGATATTCGCTAGCCTTTTGTAGGGCAGGGTAATCACCGTCCTGTGACCCGATATCAAAGGTTTAAGCGCACAATTTTGAAAATCACTCTCTTAGGTCTAACCTAGTTCTAGGTACAGGAGATGTGCCAATTCCTCCCGACGTAATCGATAGGAACCCGACAAATGAGATTGAACGACTTTCGCGGCCCCGTTCGGGACATTTGACGAACGGGCCCTCGAGCCGGTAACGTCGCCGGCGTCCACCATCCGTTATCCGCTCCCGCCTAAACACAGACAAAACGTGTAGTGATCCGAGACACCATCTGTTCTCGCCCGGAACAGCCCGGGACAGACAGCCGGGTCGGGAACAGATGGTGTCTCGGATCAGGGAGTTAAGCCTGCGATAACGGAAGCGCGTAACGGATCGTGGACGTCGGCGACGCTACTGCTCGCGGGCCCGGTCGGGAAATGTCCCGAACAGGTCCGCGGCAGTCCCCATCCCCATTCTCAGAGCCGAGGGTGCTTCACCCTCGGCCCTCGAGTAAGCCCACTTTGTGGAAGTTCACGCTGTGAACCTTCTTCTCGTGTTTTTGCAAGTTATCCTTTCGACCGAATGCCCTCCCGCACTTTGCACACCGCCAAGTTTTCCGGCCACCATGTGCGATCTTGTTTTCATGTCGTTTCCGGTCCGCTTCTGTGGTAAATCGTCGATTGCATCCAGCCCTTGAACAGCCATACCTCCTTTCGTCATGGTTCTTGACGTGGCGCTGGAGTTTGGCCCGGCTGCCGCATTTCTTTGCACATTTGCTGCAAGAAAACAAGTCGGCCATGCCGGGTTCGGGGTTTGTCTTGTCAATGGGCGTTGGGCTGCTGCCGTAACCCGACAAGGCCAGGCTGGAAGTCGTGGGGCCGGCTGAGTTTGTGCTCGATCCCGTGCCCGAGGTAGGGCTGAATGGGTCCCAGATTGGTGAGTGATGCTGAAGTTCTCCGTCCCGAGTGAGCTGATCCCAACCGGATGTGTCATCATTTGGAGCCGCCAGCGACTCGAAGTTGAAGTCGGCGTTCCAATCGTCCAATGTTGGATTCAGGGCTGCCTGCTGAAAGTTGAAGCTGGTGTCGATTGTGGAGTAAAGATCAGGCGACAGGCTTTGAACGGGCACAACAGGGAGCTGAACCGTTGCAGCAGGCAGGTCGGGCGGACGAAACTGGGCAGGATAAGGGACCCCTGGCCAGGCGGAAGTCGAAGTGTTGGTCGGAGGCAGAGCCAACGGTGCGAGTGCGAAGCTTGGGTCGAAAACGTTGGTGTATGACGGTGGTGCGTCCAAAGGTGCGAAGAGGCTGGTCGAACAAGGATAACTTGCGAAAAACGACCCGGCGTCATCGCCGGATCGGAGGAGATCTCCAGATCTTCCCCAGGTCCCAATACCCTCCAAATCCCCCCCAAAGTAACCAGGCGGAAGATCTTCGTGGTCATGCCCCGGGATTGTCGAGGCGGTGGGTCCCGGAATTAAACTTGCACCGTCTTGGACCGATCCCGGAAAGCGTAGCGCACGACCACGAAGACCATCTTCGTCGTGATCACTAACCCATTGCCACGGAATGTGGCTGACTTGGCGGGGGCAGGCAATGCCCCCGCGGGCGAATGATCAAGGTTTTGAAAGCTGGAGGTCCAGGTGTCAGCACTCAGCAGCCGCAAGAGGTGAAGGGAGTGGGATAATGTACCTGCGAACCGTGGCCGGCCCGTCTGACCGGCCAGTCACTACAGACTGTTGTGATTTGATTTGGGTTATGGGGAGAGTTGTGTTGGGGAAAGAGAGGGAGCTATAAGTAAGCGTCGAGCGTCAGCGCAGACAACCGGCGCTTTGGACTTGGACTCTTGGCCAACTCCATCCCGTGCAGCATCCCGCGGCAGAGTGGGCAAGAAGCGGGCGATGGAGGGTGTCAATCTGCAGTTCCCATGCAAGAAAGCCTCCTCGCCTCGACCGCGATTGGGCCATGGCCATGCAACTCGACTGCCTCCAAGCTGATGTGCGCCAATCGCAACCCCTGCTTTGACCGGAATTCGAGAAATCGGTGCATGAGAGTTCTTTTCTTCGGTCGTATTGGATGAGGAGGGGGCGGGGAATCATCTGGAGGCAGGAGCCAAGAGAGAGGAGGGCAGGAGGCAGACTCGGAGGCAGGCACACCTGCATGCGGTGGACTTGGTGGAACCCAAGGCTGCCCGTTCGGTTGGGTGCCTGAACCCCTCACCAGAAATTGCACCGGACGGGATGTAATCTGTATGCCTCCCGGGCGGGGCCTTCTTCGCAGGGCTGCGCCTGCCGTGACCGAATGTTTGCGATTGGGAGTAAGGCCCGCTGGTGTTTAACATGGCGCGATTCTCGAGGCTGCAGTGAGAGCGTGACGTCATCCGCCTGCCTCGGTGATATCGAAGCCCGACGAGGGGCCCTGTCCGGGACAGCTCCCGGCGAACCTCAAGCTGTGCCCACTTGGGTTGCAACTCGGACTTTCACATGGCGTTCAGCTACAACCACACGCGTATGCTGCAACTCTCCAGATGACCATGGCTGTCAGCCCTCCGCCTTCTAATACTAATACACCGACGGAGTGGAGTTCACTGGACTCACGAGGTACTTGGCGACTACATGCACCTAGTCAAGCCTCCCCTGACGCTTCCACTCATGCGCCTTCTTCACGAAGTCATCCTTGGCCCCCCGAAACCGATCCCAGCCGTCAACCTGGCTCCGCACCACCATTCCGACGTAGACACCCGCCGGATGCCACGTCGCCAAATTCCACATTTCCTTCAGTTCAACATTCCTCAACAATAGACACGCCCAAACATCATCAACCAACACCGAGCCTAGGACCCTAACTATCCCTTCAAAGCCCCCGGGCGTGCGGCCTGACTCGCTTACTTCTTTCGCCCCAACCACTATGAAAGGGCTCATGTCGGCCTCATCAACGAGTGTTTGCCCAGGCAGCGTAGATTCGCGGATGTGCGAATCAATGGAACTCTGGTCAGCAACCAAGAATGCCGGGGCGTTCAAGCCGTCAAGGCCAGCGCCCCCATTCTCGTCCAACGCCTTGAAGTGCTTCCTTGCCCCTTCCACATCCCCCTCCGCAATCCCATGGTCCCTCCCATCCACCCACCGAATCTCCATCCTCTCCCTGACAGCATCCGCCCCAGCAACCCCCTTCCCCCAGTTCTTAACATTCTCCTCAAACTTCCGCAAAAACGCCGCCCACTCCTCCTCCGAGTGGCCATAACACAACCGATACACCACAAACCCCCACCTCGCAAACAGCGGCGGCCGTCCCTCCCTACCCGGCTCCATAGACCGCCTCAGCGCCGCAACCCACAACTCCTCCCTTACGGGCTCCGGCTCCCCCCTCAACTCCCTCCTCCCTTGCGCATACGCGGCCCTGACCCCGCGCGTCGGCGCCGCCACGCCCTCCCCCGCAAACTCGCGACCCGTCCCCGCCGCGACAGCAGCATCGACACTCCGCGCCGCCCGGTCCCGCAGCATCGCCCCGCGCACCAGGTTGGCCACGCGCTGGTGGTACACCTCGTCCCGCTGCTGGATGTCGGCCGGGTAGGCGCCCCCGAGCGGCGCGGCGCCGCCCGCGCGTATGTACACGGGCCAGTTGACGACGGGCGGGGAGGCGGTGGGGCGCCAGTGCGGGAGCGTGTTCTTGAAGCCGATGAGGGGGATGAGGATCACCTCGTCGAGGCGCCGGATGACGTGGCTGAGGCGTTGGAATTGGGCGAAGAAGATTTCTTGTTGCGGGCTCATGCGCGTGCCGCCGGGCTCGGTGGGCGCGGTTTGTAAGCGGTGGACGAGGTCGTCGGTGATGCGGTCGACGTGGGCGGCCGCCCAGGTGTGGATGCGGTTGGTGATGAATTGGATGTGGGCGTAGAAGAACTCGGCCCAGAGGTCGGCGACGCGGGGGACGGGGGATGGGCGCGGGGTGCTGGGGTTGGCGGCGTAGTAGGCTGCCAGGACGGTGTCGAAGTGGGCGAGGAGGTCGTAGCATTTGTTGTAGGTTTGGCGCATCTTGCGGGAGGGCTCTTCCAGGCTGAAGTAGACCATGTCGGTGGTTTTGAGCAGGTGTTCGACCGCGAGATCAATGTTCTCCGGCGAGTCGAGCTTCTTTTCTGCCCAGCGCCTGTCGGAGATGGGAGGCATGCCCGCCCACAACCGCTGCTTGCACATTTCGAGTTCGGACTCGATTAGTGTTGGCAACGACAGGCCGCCACCGGAGAAAAGGGCTTCCATGTCCATCAGGTCCGGCAAGCCGGTGAAGCACAAGCTGAACCGGTTCATGGCCGAATCGCTGCGTATGGAGTTGTTGTTGTACGGCGCCGGAGCCCAGTCGTTGTACGGCTTCGCCAACCTGGCGAAGTCTGAGGATGGGAGCGTGGGGATCGTCGTCACCTCGCCATTGGGGAGTTTGTGGTGCGAAAGGAACTCTACAAATCCCCCCAAGGTACCAAGCGGCAATGGCGTTTCCTGTGTGGCAATCTCCTTGCCCGTCATCGGCTCGTTGATGGCGTTGACCATCCCAATTGGCCTGCCGGTTGGCCCGTCTGGGCTTGGCCACGCTCGGCGAAGCATGGCGATGAATCGAATGTTGGTTGACTTGGTTCTGGTGAAGGCAACACGGTTGGAGAAGTTGCTGCGTGGCGCGCACCCGCGCAGGGACGCGCCGATTTTAAGCCAAGAAGCCGTTCGCTGCATGTTACCCGCGGTGCCGCTCAAGCGCGTGGATGACTCCTGTGGAGGCCGAGTGATCAGGCAACCACCGCACTATTGATTTAACTAAGATTGCGCCCATCGTTTCTCTGTGGAGGGTTGCCCAGCCTTTCATCTCGTAATAGAGTGGTTTAGTAGACGGACTGTGCACAACAGGATCTCATCTGGGCCCTCTTGACCCAGGAAGGATTCGGAGGCGGGGTTCGAGACTGTCCGGGTACGGTGAGCACTGAGGACGGACGCTCCGCCGGGACTGGAAGAGACGGGCCTGCCTAAAACAGCTATCCGAACTGCGGCAAGTGTTCTGTGCGCGAAAAATAGAAATCAGAAGAAAATAAAAACACAACCGGAGCCAGTGAACAAAATTTGCATTGATCAGCTACCTACCTAAGGGGAGCAATCCAACGCATCAATCACAAACAATCCCATGCTCCGTCTGACCCAGGACATTTTCAAGACCGAGAATAATTAATCTCTCTTCTTCACCTGAATCAAGCTTGAACCGAAGTTTCATTCCCCGATCGCAGGGGTTTTGTATCACCAAACTCAGCGAGGACCGTGTATTCGACCGTGGACAAGCGGAAACCATGCGGAGGGAGCGGGGACTCATGCAAAGTGTTGCCGAAAAGCTGATGCTATATGGAGAATGACCGTGTGAGCTAATACACTCGAACTTGAAAGCCAAACCTCACGTACACAGTGCAAGTACTTTTGCTCAGGCAAGGGCACCGGCGTGTCACCCTTCTCATTCTTGCTGGCAGGTGGACCAGGATTTGTCTCGTCAACCTTGAACAGGGTTGATATTATCGCTTCTGGCTCTTGGTCGTGAGCCGGCGCCGGCATTAAATCTGCGAGGTTTGTTCGTGACTTGTCCGGGCTGTCCAAGTACGAGAGTACCAGACGCATGGTCGGCTCTGTTCTCCGAGTCAGGTCGTCCTAAGACCACCCATACCAACGGATGTCAAAGGGGCGTGGTATTCACCTTCTTTGGTCTTATCGTCATCGGGAGGGCCAGCCATGGGCTGAGCTACCATCCCATTATGCGCCGCAGCTTCAACAACCTCCCAAAAGTGCGTCACAAATTCAGCAACCTCAAACACACTCCTTCCCCTGTGTCTCGCCTCTAGGTCCACATTGTTCGAACTGAGGACTAACGGCAGCCTCCACAGCCCACAACCCTCCTCATGCAGCCAGGCCAAGTCGTGAAGCAGGTACACAGCCAGGTATAACTTCGGTACCTGTTCTCCAAGATACTCCTTGGATGATTCGCGATCAAGTTGGCAGAATAGAACACCACGCACTCCGCCAGTGTCGAGAACTTCAGGTATGTGCTTGTCGAGGTACCAACTCTTGAGGTCGGAGTCGGTGATCCCGTCATGTGTGGGCTGCGATTGAACGAGCATGGCACCTGGTCGACCCATGTTGCTTGCGTAATGCTTCGAGTGATGCAGCTAGTTGATGGTAATACGATACGGTGTGTCAGGTGTGGTTTGAAGTGTTTCTTTGGACGTTGAGGACTGGGTAGAGGTTAGAAATGAGGTTGGGGGACTAAAATGGGGAGACCAAGGTCCCCAAATTCGGGGTCCGGTGTCGGGGTCTAACCTCAAGCGATGCGTGTAACCGGACGAGCGTTGAAATACTGTGAAAGGGCCTTGGCTACCGAAACACATTGTTGCCGGTGTAACAACATCATACTGTATGGAATCAATGAATTCCAGTTTCCTTCCCACGCTCCTATTTCCTCAAAACGTCAAGTATTAGCCTAGGTGGTGCCATTTTCCTTTGGTAACTTGTAAGTCTAGTATCAACCTACTACCGCCGATCAGCACTTGTCTAACCAACGTGCATATATCTGATAGCTGTGACTGCTACCTGGTATCCATTGATATTTCGCACACAAGTATAGGTAACCATCCGTTAACATACCCCTGATATTGCGCCTCGTAACGGCTTCTCTTCCTTTACTCCCATTCACATGATCATCAACGGTCCACCACCGTGATTCGGCTACATTCCACCTTCTACATGCTGCAAAAAAAGTCGTCAGGCTCGATAGGCCTCTCAAAGATATCCTTGACCCACTCCATCACTGCTTCATCACTATCCTCCTCACGTTCCACACCACCGCCACCACCACCACCACCACCATCATCATCACCATCACCACTATCACCACCCTCATCATCACCATCCCCCTCATCATCACCATCCCCCTCATCACGACCACACCCACCCCCCCACCTCCGCCGAATCACCCCCCCAACAACCCGATCCAACCACCTCATCCTCGGCCGATAATACGGATCCGCACACAAACACTGCGCCACCAACCGCCGCAGTGGCCGATCCACATGATCATACCGGTCCATCGGCCCGCGCTTCCACGCGTCGTTGCTCTCGTCTAGGATATACCCGCCGTAGGACCACACGCGCACCCAGTCGGGGCCGATCTCGGGGGTGTTGTTGTTGTTGTTGTTGTTGTCGTTGGGCAGGTAGGCGTTGGGTCCGAAGAGGCGCTCGTCCTCGCGGTTGTTTGTGTGTTCGAGGGGGGTGTTGAGGTTTGTGCCGACCTCGTCGTGGTGCTCGGGGTGGCTGGTATGGTGACTAGGGTCGGGCGGTCCGGGGGCGTCGCCTGCGGGGTGGCGTCGGGGGGGCGCGGATGGGTCGGTGTTGGTGAAGTCGTCCTCCTCCTTGTCGTCGTCGTCGTGGTCGGCGGGGTTGGGAGGGGGGACGTAGATGCGTTGGGGGAAGGGGGGAATCGGTGGCGAGTGTTGCGTGATGAGCGTGAGCATGGTCTGCGGCAAGGGAGGTTAATGAGGGGGGTTGATTCGTCGCTATGGTGGTTCAGGGTGGGTAGTGCTTACTAGGCCCACTTGGAAGAGGTTGGTCCTCCAGCTGAAGTTTCCTGCTACCTGGGGCTTCACAGCCGTCTTCCATGGTGTCTCCCCCAGCGGGACGTAATCCCATTCTTCGGTGAATTGTTCCTAGGAAGACGAAAGAGGGTTGGGTGTGAATCGTCGGTTTTCTTTCTGGACAGCTTCAGGCAAGGCCACGGAAAGGCTACGTACCGGAGTGGAATACCATATTTTGCCAGACTCCCGGAGCTGCAACATGAAGTCTCTAATGGACGTGTACGTTAGTCATGTTTAACATTGGGAACTCCAGGATCTTTACCGGTTACGCAGGTCCACCTCAGGGAGAGGCCTCGCGAGCCCAAAATCGCCCATCTTCAACATCGGAATCAGGGGATGGCTTGAGCCAGGCTCGTTCCCGCCCACCAAAACTATTTTTCACATGTTGATTAGCGGAGCTGATCCCACTGGATAGCCAAGATACTTAACGACGGGACGTACCGTTCCATGGGTCGATGTCGAAGTGCACGAACCTGTCCTTTTCTTCATCTCTGTCGGGTGGAGCCCGCTCACTGAAAGGGGGCTGAAGACCCTGGTAGAGATCTTCGTAGTTTGCGGGCGGGTACGCCATAGCGATGCAAGTTTTGATGACTAGGGGGGAATGAGTGTGTTGATATTCAAGGCCGCAACACAGGACATAGACGAGGGAAACGTGGGTTGACTTACGGCAATGGAACATATGCCACAGCGCCCGGTTGGGGAACTTTATGTCTTTGCTGGCCGAAGTAGACAGAGCCTTGTGTAAACTTCCCCGCGGTAGATACTCGAGGAAGAGGATACTATTTATATCAGTGTCCTCAGCTGCCCATCCACCACCTCCCGATGCTGGGAATCCCTGCCGTACTCGAACCCGCCCGGATCGCCGCTGGTTAGCCACCACGGGGGGTTCTCCCAACTGAACGATATGCATGGCGTTTCTGAATTTCTATTCACACTGGAGTCAGTGATTGAGATCCAAAGGGATATACGGGATTGCCTAGTGGGATAACCGAGACTTACACCAGTCATGCGTCTCTCTGCAGCAAGCTGAGCATCTGCTTGTCCTCCCGCAAAGTTGCACTTGGCGACAAGGTATCTCTTGTTGTATGGGGGGCTGTCGTTCTTGTAGTGAAACAGTGAAGCCAATCCATGCCCTCCCCAGCCGAGATCCCTCGACCAATGAAGCCGGCGGGACAGGAGTTGTGCTCTCAGACGCCGCCGGGCTGCGGTGACATTGGGAGGTTTCCGCACACGGCTTTCCCGTTCCGCTTCAATGGGCATGTGCGGGACAAATCCTGGCCGTAGCGCGCCCCTGTAAAGACCGGGGTATTGCTGTGGCTCTAGGTGAAGGTGTTAGTTGCAACTTACTGGTTTATAGCTCAACAGCACGCCAACTAGAGGTTTGGGTACTCACGTTGGCCAGGAACACGTTCGCGGGGAAAGGGGTAGTCCGCACAAGCTTGCGACTCGTAGTCGACATCCCCTCCCCCTGTAGTGCGGAAAACATGGAATTTGTAGTTCAATTGTCGTTGTTTCGTCTTGAAGTCCGCCATAGTGGGCAAACCTTGATGATGGCCTTGCTTGAGCGGCTTGGAGAGAATAGTGTTGATTTGATCCGCTGTAGAGAACTGTCAGCCGCAGGCCGAGCTCTATGTGCCGTGTCTCCTTAACCCCATTGAGCACCTGGGGCATTAAAAAAAGACAATGAACGACGGCAACACCCGCTGAAGCCCCAAAGACCAAGCAAGTTCACAGCCGTCTTTTGTGAGCATAAGGTAGGTACGCAACCGGACGTCCGAGCCCCAATGAACCTAAAGTTGCATAAAGAAAGAGTCACACCAGTGCAATGAAACACGGTCCAGCGTTCAACCTTTGTTCTGTAACTGTAATTACCTACGTATCAAGCATGAAAGGTTCGGCTACTTCGTTTAGCAGTCTGAAGCTCCGGGTCATAGTCCGCAAATCCGTGTTTTAGAAGCAGTTCAAACAAACATAGGGTTCAGAAATGTACTGTATCCGGGAACCTTTAACTAGATCTAAACCCATAAACACCTGCTTCCCAATTCACCTTTCGGGCTCCAAGATTCGTCCCGAGCAATACTGCCTACCTACGTAGGTACCTAACCAAGTAATTTCTCAATGTGGCCCATAAACCCAACTTGCCCACTAATACATCTCTCACATTTCCCACATCTCAGGCGTATCCACCGTCATCACCCCGATCCCGAGGCACGTCCACATCTAGTACAGTGCTCTAACCCTGCCCCTCCCCAATTCCCATCATCCCTTTTCACCGCCACCACCACCACCCCATACTACCTCGCCTGCCTCGGAACCGGCACATCTAGACACTCCTTAATCCACTCCCTCACCTCCCGACTACTCTCCCCATCATCCGGCTCGTCCCCCCACCGATCCTGTATATTATTCGAGATCTCCCTCTCCAACCACGCCAGACTGGGCCGGTAGCGGGGGTCGTCGGCCAGGCACTGGGCGACCAGGTGGCGCAGCGTCCACGACACGTGGTCGTGGGCGCCGCCGCCGCCGTCATCTTCGTCCTCGTCGCTCAGCAGGTAGTGCCCGTACGACCACACGCGGATGTAGCCGTTCCCGACGGGGTCGCCGTCCGGGCCGTCGTCGGGGTCGTAGTTCTCTTTGTTTGCGTTGCCGTAGTAGTCTTGTTGTGGGTTGGGGGGCGCGGAGGTGCCGGTTCCGAGGGGGTTGTGGCTTGACCAGCTCGTGTGGCTGCCGTAGCCGACGGGGGGTTGGTTTTCTTCGTTTTCTTCGTCGTTGTCGTCTGGCGCGTCGCTGTAATATGAAGGATCTAGGTCCCGCCCGGGGATGATGAGCCTCCCGGGCCGGGGAGGCGCCGGTGGGTAGCATTTGGTTATGAGGCACGCCATGACCTGGGTGCGTGTTGTGAGCATGCCATTGACACGAATGTATGGGGGTCATAGGACTTACGGCTCCCATCTGAAAAAGGTTGGTTTTCCATGTGAAGTTCCCTGCAACTCTGGGACGGGGGTAGGTCGTCGCTGGAATTTCGTTCCAGGGGATATAGTCCCATTCGGCGCTGAATTGTTCCTGTGGTTACGAGCAAATGCACCGTTAGCATGGAAGTCAACTCGACACTGGCCATGCGAGGACATACCGGCGTGAAGAAGAAGTGCTTTGCCCATGTCCTGAATGTGAGCATGTGATCTCTGTGAAATGCGAAGGTCAGCTAGGTAGCTCTCAACCACCCCAAGCATATGTTGGAGCACTGTCTTACTTTTTCCTCAGGACTTCTTCGCTCAGTCCAGTCGCGAGCCCAAAGTCACAGAGTTTCAAGGATGGAACTAAGGGATGTTCCGAGCCAGGCTGACTTGTGTGGACAAGAACTATTTCGCAGAAAGATTAGCAGGTTTCTTCGTGGCCCATCCACTGTACCGCGGGGATAACGGAGTATACAGCGCATGCTTTTCACCATGTTAACCTTACTATTCTGGGGATCGATGTCAAAATGGACCCATCTGGCCTTTTCTTCATTCTCCGGAATCCGTTCCATGAAAGGAGGCAGCAGGCCGTTGTAGAGGTTGCCATGCTGTGGGGGCGGATATGCCAATGCGATGAGAGCTTCAATGACTATTCGGACGCAAGATGAAAACGTTAGGAGCGAGCGGGGGTGGTCAGGGGTAACAGGATCACTGGGGGCTCGGCTTACGGCAGTGGAACATGTGCCAGAGCGCTCGCTCAGGAAATCGGATATCCTTGAGAGCCGAAACCGAAAGGGCCTTGTCTAAGCTTCCGCGCTGGCAGTACTCAAGTAGCATGATGCCCGTCATGTCGCGGTCATGCTGGTCCCATCGGCGCGATGTCTGGGGGCCTTCTCGGGCCCGTACCCTCCGGGAGCTCCGTGGGTTTTGCACCGGGGGGATTCTGCGGGTCTGGATGATATGCATGGCATCTTGAAATTCCTAGCCCTCACGGCCGTCAGTACCAGATTATATCTGGGTTATTCTGGTCCGACTTACGTCCGTCTTGATCTTCTCTTCGCGCAAGATAACGTTTGCGTATTCCCCTCCGGAATGATTGCATTTTGCGACGAAATACTGTCGTCGGCCTATGGGACTGCCATCAGAAAGAAAGAACAGACTCGCCAACCCATTGCCTCCAATCCCGAGGTCCTTTGACCAATGCAGCCGTCGAGGTAACAGTCTCCGCCGAAGGCGCTGCCGCACACCTGGCAGAGAAGCCGGTCGTGCGTTTGACCTGAGACCGCCCCCTATGTTCCTTAGTGGGTAGTCATAGTCGCCGCGCAATATTGCCGTTTTTTGAACCCCGGGATACACGCCTAGGGGCACCTGTCAACGAAGCCTTCCTTGTGGGGAACCCGGGGGTGGATGCCGGATAGTGAGTGCTAAGGTTGTGCAACGGCAATGCAATAAGGAAGGGGGGGGTTCTCGCGCCGCTTACCTGGCTGGGGGACGTCGAAGGCCCAATACTCTAGCGACTCGAAGTCGATGTCCTGCGCCCCATCTCTACGGTATCTGTGGAACCGGAAGTTAGATCGCTTTTGCCTCTCCGGAAATGTCGCCATGATGGAGACTGTCGGGACTGGTTCAGTGCTACGAGACTGAAACTTGGCTTGAGCCGGGGAATACTTAGGTGGTGATCACGTTCTGTTGTCTCAACAGACTGGTCATGTCGTACGTTGGGCCGTGTGCCAAGTAACCCCCCGGACTTCCACAAAGGATGAATCTAATCTAACAAGACCCATGGCACGCCAGGGGAACTCAAAGGTACAAGGAGGCATTGTGATCTGGCGATACGGTGGAGCGGACGCATCCGGAACGCTTTTGATGAGCTCGGTGCTTGAAAGAAGACGATAAGAGTAAGGTACGTATCTATTAAACGTGCGCCGCCGCTAGTGGTCGGCCCTCCGCGCTTTGTTTCGAATCTTTCGATGCTGCACGGGCGGATATCCTCCCTCCATCGGTTGCTTTGTCGAAAGTTTTAAACGATCAGCTCCAGTTTGCCTGGATATCATTGACCAGTCGTTGCCATGCAACCTTGGCCAAGGGAGAGGGAGAGGGAGAGGGGATCGCGAGTCCTGCAAGACTCAGGAGCTGGCTCCTCGGTCCAACACACTCACGTTGGAGCCAAGAAACCGCGCGTCGTTCTGGGACGGTTTCTTGGTTCAAGCCAGGGACTTTTATTGCATGGATTCACATGCCTGCTGTTCTGTGCGTATCCGGACGAACCAGATACAAGTTGTGGTGTAAATGTACTTGATATACTTGAATTACCGTGTATTATCTTGTATTTGATTCAGCCGTTGCAGACAGGGGGGCTGTCTGTCACCTGATACCAACAGATCCTCAGCGCCAAAGTGAGGCGCAGCTGGCGGCACACGCCACGGGCGGTCTGAGTGGTCAATGGTGAGTTTGCAGTGGTCAGGGCGGCGTCTTTTTAAGATTGTGCTCCCGTGAACTGTCGATTTGTGGTGTTTCACAACCCCCCTCTTATCCTTAAGAGCCGCTATTAAATGGGCTTCACAGTTGACGACTCGAGCAGTGGAACCAGAAGAGTCCGTCAACATGTTGGACTCACTCTCAGTGCGCCTCGGGCTGCTGGTCGGCGGTGCCTTCGTCGGATTGCTTCTGCTTATCCGCAAGCTCTACCCTAGACCGTATCCAGGTATCCCCTACAATGAGGCATCCGCGAAGCGTTTGCTGGGAGACTTGATGGATCTTACCTCCATAGTCAACGAGACCAACGAAATCTCGAACGCCGCACTCACCATCACCACCCAAAGGCTCGGCACTCCGATCGCTCAGGTGTTATTCCCCAGCTTCCGCAAGCCCCTCGTCATCCTCGAAGACCCCCGCGAGATTGAAGATATCATTATCCGCCGCAATAAGGAGTTTGACAAGGGGCCGACGGCCCTCGAGGTCTTCCGGCCCATGTTCCCACGCGCCTCAATCTCGCAGTCGACGACGCCGGCTCTGAAGGCCCAGAAACGGCTGTGGGCTGACACAATGAGCATTGACTTCTTGCGTAAGGTTGCCGCACCCAGCATCCACAAGTCAACATGTGAGCTGGTCGAGCTGTGGCGGCTCAAATCATCCATGACGTTCAAGGACCGGGCCTTCAACGTCCTCGGGGACTTCAAGAACGCTGCGCTGGACGTCATCTGGGTGGTCATCGTCGGCGAGGAGCCGGGCACCATCCAGTACGATATTAAGAAGTTGCAGAACCAGCTGGCAGGAAGCACGACGTTCGATGCAGCCCCGCCTGTCGGTTCCTTTCTCAAGGAACAGGTTGCCTACATGAGCACTACGATCGCGCGCAACCTCAACACTCCTTCGCCTAAGTGGGCCCACAGGTTTGAGATGTGCACGCCCCGGTACCGCAAGTTCCGCCGCACCGTCAAAGGCGAGATGCAGAAAACCATGAAGAAGGCCGTCGAGCGTTACCAGAGCCTCGAAATCGGTAGCCTCGAAGACGACACCGTCGATAGATGCGCCATGGATCTAGTCCTACGCCGGCAGATCCTGCAGGCCAGGAAGGCCGGGATTCCCCCTTCAGACCCCACAAAGGACGAGAGCATGCTCGACGAGATGTTTATCTTCCTAGTCGGTGTACGCCACCCCTCATACCCCCCCCCCTTCTTCCCTACCTATCCCCCCTCACCCCCACTAACAGCAACCCCCCACCACCACAGGGCCACGACTCCACCGCCAACGCCCTCTCCTGGTTCCTGCGCTTCATGGAAGCCTACCCAACGATCCAAACCGAGCTCCGCACCGCCCTCCGCACCGCCTTCCCCTCCACCACCTCCAGCAGCACCACCACAGCCACCACAACACCCCCTTCCGCCCTCGCCATACTGGACGCCGACATCCCCTACCTCGACGCGACCCTCGAAGAGACGATGCGCCTGTCCGGCACCGCCAAGGGGAGTCTGCGCCAGGCCCTCGTCGACACGCACATCCTGGGCTGTTCCATCCCGCGCGGCACCGAGGTCATGATGAGCTACCACGTCAACAGGGCGCCGCCGGGGCCGGTGGATGAGGCGAAGCGGAGTGCCACGTCGCGGGCGGCGGGGGAGAAGAAGGGGGATGGGTTGCGCGGGGTGGCGGGGAGGGATTTGGGCGAGTTTCAGCCGCGTAGGTGGCTGGTGGTGGATGGCACGACGGGGAGGGAGAGGTTTGATGCCGGGGTGTTGCCGGGGTTGGCGTTTGGGGGTGGGTTTCGCGGCTGTCCTGGTGAGTTTGCTCCGGTGGTTGTGCTGGGGTGTAGGCTTTTTTTGGGGGTGTGAGAGCTAACATGTGACCGTGCTGTGTAGGACGCAAGCTGGCCATGATGGAGCTGAAGATTATGGTGGTGATGCTGGTGTTGAACTTTGAGTTCCTTCCGATTCCGGAGGAGTATCGATCCATGGCGGCGACTGAGATGGCTTTCCGCCAGCCGGACTTTCCTTTCACGAGGCTTAGGGCGCTTTGATGACGTGGCTGGTTGGTCTCATTCAGACCATCGAGCCGAAAAGGGGGAAGGTTGGATGGTAATAGTAATCAAAACCCTAGGTAACTCTACAAGTAGCTGTCCTCCTACTCCAAAACCATATACCATAAGCACAAGACCAAGCTCTGATGGATGAAGTCTGCTGAAATGGGTGCAGAGGCTACAAGGCGTGGAGGGCAAGGGAGCCCCTATAACTGTTCTCTATATGCTCTAAATAGTGCACGCAATCTTAAGTATCACTGTCTTTCTAAGTAAAGTCCAAGTCCCCTTTTATGCTACGGGAACCATGCCGGCATACCCCCTCCAGCACATTTCTCCCAGAGTTCATCATGGCATCGGCCCAACACCCACAGGCTCATCAACCCACTCCTTCCGACTCCGCGGCGGGGGCGGAATATCCATATTGCCCACCAGCCACTCATGCACGACCTCATCGCTGTCGTTATTACCCCACTCCTTGGTCTCCAGGTAGTCCTCCACCATCTGCAGGAGCTCCTTCATGTTCGGCCGGTGCCCAGGCCTCTCGCACAGACACCATGCCACCAGGTGCCGCAGCTTCCAGTCGACACTCTTGTACTTGGCCTCGAGGATGTAGGCGCCATACGACCAGGCCCTCTTGCGCACGCCGTCCCGCGGGTCGACGACCTCGATCTGGCCGGGGAAGGGCGGCAGGGCGGGTAGGTGTAGTGTTATAGCGCAGACCATGGACTGGATGGTTGGGAGTGTCAGTGACGGGTTGGGGAACACGAACGAACGCATCCGCCGGGGGTTGCTGGTGAAAGTAGACGGGGTGACCTACGAGGGCGAGTTGGTAGAGGTTCGTCTTCCAGGAGTATTTACCAGCTACTTCCATGGGAGCGGGAGGCAATATCCCGTTGTTGGCATCTTCCTCGGTGATGGGTACCTCCTCGTCGGGGTAGTTCTTCACCCAATCCCATTCGGCGGTGAATTGTTCCTTCGGTGGGGGACACGAGTAAGTGATACTGTGGATGACAACCGGAAGGGGGACAAGATCGTGCTCACCGGTGTACAGAAGGATGATTTCCCTTGTTCTCGCCAAGTCCACATGTTATTCCTAAAAGGCAGGAAGGTTAGGACATCGAACTTGAACCCGCCGCCTAACCTAACTCTAACCGTTGTGAGGGCAAAAGGGATTGATTCCTGCTTACCTCGTACGTAGAAAGCTTGCGTCGATGTTCCGAGCATTCCCAAGGTCTGCCACCTTCATAACGGGGAAGTGGTCGTGAGGGTCGTCAGGTGGCCCGATAGGACAGCCGCCGAAAAGGACTAGCGAGAGGTAAGGGGCTGCCCAGGGTGTGCGGCGGTCGGAGAGACAGAGAGGTACTTACGGTTCTGAGGATCAATATCAAAATGAACCAGACCTTCCCCCCCTGGTGCGTTGCCCCTATCCTTCCAGGTTCCATCCCGCACACCTTGATCGTACAGAGCCCGGTGATCAGGGCGGATGCGCTCGCTAACCACTCCGATAATCCCACCTGTATCATCCCTCTCGCAATCCCGCCAATCGTCTTTAGAGGGTGGGTACTCCATCGCAATACATCCTTTGATTGCTAGACGGCAGTCGAGGCGGGTTAGTCTCGGTTATGACCAACCTCCAAATCCAGGCCGGGGGCCCCATCGCAGTGACTTACCGCAGTGGAACATGTGCCATAGTAACCGGTTGGGGAAAGGTTCTTGGTTTTGTGCGGCAGAACAAATGATCTTGTGCAGGCTACCACGCCAAAGATACTCGAGAAAGATGAGCTCATCGAACGAAGCCGGGTTCCGTCCTTGAGCCGGCACAAGGTCTCGCGACTGAACGATATGCAGAGCACCCCGGTATACCTATTCCGTCCCTCCGTCAGCCGTTGGATACACCGTGTTGAGATTGTCTGTGTACCTACCGCGTGACGCTCCCTCTCCCGTTTCAAGCTCGACACCTTTGATTCGGTAGGATTAATGACACTCTTGACGACGAAGTGCTCAACGGGAGCGTTAGGTCCCGGTTTGAAGCGGTACAGGGAAGCAATCCCATTCCCGCCCCATCCGAGAGTGCGTTCCAGGTGAAGCTTGTGCACTTTCAGTCTTCTTTGAAGACTTTGCCGAGCCAGCTTGGCCTCCTCCGCGTTCCAATGGTGGCCGATGTCATCCGGGTCCCAATGGAAGTGGGTTCCTTTCCACCTCCCCGCTAGCAGCCGGGGGCCACGGTACCGTCCGCGCTTGGGGAGGTTGAGGTCGTAGAACTTCCCCTTCTCGATCTCGGAGGCGGTCAAATGACGACCTTCGGTTCGAAACTTCTGGAAGCTGAACACTAGTTTCCGTTTGACAAACAGGAACCTGTCCTCCTCCAGTTGTTTTGCCGCCTGTATTCTCTGCGCAGCCTCCCTTTCTTCCTCTTGGACCAGCCTTCTCTCCTCTTCCTCGACGTCAGCCAGTCGTTGCCGCAGTTGGGCGATTCGTTCTGCTAACTTGTCGGCCATTCTAGTGGAATACTAGGATCACGAACTGGTTGGTGTTGGCCGCACAACTACCAGAATAAGCCGGGCAAGCACCAAGTCCCCCTTAACTAGATCTCGTTGATATGTGAATTTGGAATTTCAGAGGTCGGCCTTGATGGTACGAAGGGGAGCTCGTGGTCCAAGAGGTGGCCAAAACTACGAAATACGTGCTCAACAGCCAATTGAGGTTGCCTTGACGGTTCACACAAAGAACGAGGTGAATGCCGCCATTTACAGTGCTCAAGATGGTCCCCATTCGCAATCGCTTTCGTATTGACGCATCCGGGGACGGCTTTTGTTACAAGGGTAGGAGTAGTTGATCCACTCGAGCACAAAGACATTCTATCTTCACCGAGGTCTACCTACCGCCTTTGTTAGTCGTGTTATCTGTGGCGGGGAAAACAAGGAACATCCGAAATAGCCACAAAATAGTGAACTTACCAATATTCAATACGGTAGTTCTCGGGGCCCTCTTCAGCTAGAAGGTACGGTTCGTTCCGGCTAGCCAATTTGCTATTTATGTATTTACCTAAGGTACCTACAGAGGTCGGTCGAGGAAGATGACAGCCCTCGCAATCCCCGAAGGGTACAGCCATGGCATCTTCCCGTTGTTCTTTGCCTCGATCCAGGTGTTGAATTGTCCACGCCAGGTTCCGACTTCCTTCAGTTGAGTGACAATGTCGCGCCAGAAGTGATGCTCGGCGGGCCGGATTCCGTTCGACCGGTTAAGTTGGCCCCAGGCGAGGCGCAGTATGTCGGGATCAATGTTCCCTGCGCGCCATATCACCCGCAGACGGACGACCTTTCAGAGCGGAAGAGCCAGACCATCGAACTTGCAATCCGCTACCACATCGCGACGAACCAGGAGACACCATGGACGGACATCACACCAGCTCTCCAACATGACCTCAACCTAGCCCACACCGAAACCATCGGACGCTCACCGCTGGAAGTCTCCTACGGATTCAAGCCCAGGAGCGCGGCGGATCTCTTATTCCAGGAGACGGAACGCAATCGGGGTCAGAAAATCGCCCATCACTTTCCTTTTGGACTTTTGTGTGGAGAATTGTATGGGAAGGGCTGAATGTCAAGTTGAAGCCAATGCAGTCACCCACCGTAAGTGATAAAATAGAAAGTACTTTGCTCCATACGGTTTCAATGTAAAACCGTACCTTCTTGCATTTCTTTTTCATTTCTTTTTAGAGAGTATTAGTGGTGTAGTATCGCAGGGTCCCGAAGCCGAGTTTGGGCGAGTTTGGGTGCCAAGATGGGTGTGGTGGACTATTTTCTGACCTTAACTATACCTGCCGGCTACATGTAGGTGAGGAGACGGGATCGGTGTTGCGGATAGGAAAGGACTATCTCGCATAGATGATTTAGTTCTAACTTTCAAGGGCGATGCACTAATTCTCCCAACACCATCTTGATCCTGGACACCAGACTACACCTAATTAGGTAACTGGACGGGCGTCTGTCGGCTAGTTAGGACTGGAGAGAATGATTGTGTTGGTTATTATCCCTCCCATTCTATACTACTAGCCCTCTTCTTTCAGGCGTGGTAGGTGGAGGTTTTGTTCGTTGATGTGAGTACTTCCATAACAGCTTTCCGGAGGTTTGTTGCTGCGCGCGATGCCTTCACGAACTACGTAAGGCAGCTTTTTCCCGCGCCGCCACGAAAGCAAGCGCGCCATCATCGACATAAAAAGATATGAAGCCGTGACTGCGTCTCGTCACAAGTGGATTATTGATCTCACGGGGAACCCAATCAGATTCAAAACTCTACTGTACTGAGTCTTGCACTTTTGAGGGGTCCGCTTGAACGCGGGTTACTTCCCACACCGCCATCAACTATAAAGGAGAGGTCGAAACCCATGGTAGGGTTAACGCAGAAATCGGGCCTCAGCTCCTTCCAGCTATTTAGCTTCACTTGAAACCGGGGATGCAACCGAGTCCAAGCTCTCGATCCTTCATAAAGTCGTACTGAACCGAAACCAGTCCGCACCGTTCCCATATCCACGAGGCTATCTCTAAACACGCCAGAGACAAGGTTCTTCGCGCGCCGGCAGCTCTCGAACCTCACATGGTCTAGCTGCGACATCAAGAGCGACTCTATGAGCATTCCCGTTGCGGAGTCCTCGGAGTTCAGACTCGCCAACACAACAACCGGCGACTCGGTGTTCCATTCGAAGCAAGCAAAGAACAACTTCAGATACGCCCCCTCGCTTACGAGTCCCGGAACAGAGCCGCCGGGAAGGGTCCCTTTTATGATATACGCGCACCAGCCTTTGGTGCCGGGGTCACATGCAAAAAAGACCCCGTGCTCCGTGTCGAAGTGGCTTCCAGGCATGTGTTGAGTATCCCATGCTACAAGCGGCCCCCACCCGACGTGGAGGGCCGAGCACCTGTTTCCCAGCACAGGATCGAGGCCCGGATGGAAGGGAAACCGCGTGGGGAGCTTGGTAGCTAGAGTAAGCGTTTCGACGAGCAGACGTTGCGAACCAACAGCATCCGGGCCCGCCCTAAAGAGCGTATCAGGTCTGGCTCTGGCATACAGGCTGCCGCCAATCTTGCGGACAAATACCCCAATCACACTACCGTCAATACGGCAACGGGTATCCAGGGCAACAATCGATGGCGCACCTCCGCGTTCCAAAACCGGAAGCAGGCTGGCGTCCGTTTGTATCCCTCTCGTGGTCATGGTAAAGTTGGCGTATGCCGAGTCTCCCACCGCCGCTTCCATTTCCCTACACTGAGCAAATTGGGCGGGGCGGTTGGCCAGAATACCCGCATACTCAAGGGAAACGTCGGAGTCCTCAACCCACGCAAAAATGCTCAAGTCGGCCGTAGTTTGGATAATAGCGGCCTGGAGGCGAGCAAACGCCTTGTTACCCTCGCCGTAGATGAGGGATAGGTTGACGTCAAAGATGCCCAGCAGGCAATACGCCATGTCCTCCACTCGTGTTGTTTCCCTGTTGGCGGCCCAAGACATCCTTCGAGCCACGGCAAAGTCGGACAATTCCGCTTCATGCCGAAGCACCGCCACGGGGATATTCGTGATGCTGCTGAGGAGCCCGGCGAGCTCCCTCTTGCTGCCGCGGTAATTCCACTGACTGTCGAAGAACAGCACGCTCCACGGCGCGACCAACTCCTGCAGGGTCCAGCCGCGCGTGAACCAACGACAGGCGGGCAGGTCCCGCACGAGGTCATCCGCAGTGCCGGGGTCCAGGTCCGACAGGTAGACGTAGCAGACCTGGGCGTCGCGGTACCAGGCAAACATGGAGTTGATGGCCTCGGAGAGCTCGGCGCTGCTCGTCTTGTCGATGCAGCACGTGTCGACCCACACGTACAGGAGGGCGTCGCGCGTACGGGCTAGCGCGCACGCCCGCTGCACCTTGCGGAAGCGGGCGCGGCCCTGGAGCGCGAACAGGTCCGCCGCCGCCAGCTGTTTCAGCGTCACTTCGTCGTTGTCCCACGTGTGCGAGAGGATGGCGTACGGCGGGATCTGCGAGCCGATGAATTCACGCAGCCGAGGCACCCCAGAGGGAGCTGTTTGTAAGAGCCGCATGGCGATAAATAGGGGGCTGAAGGCAGTAGTAGAAGTAGGTCTTTCATTCAGGTTGTGTAGGACCAATGACCAATGTTGCCCCTGAGCCTCTAATGATTGATCCAACAATGTCGAGGCTACCCCTTGCTCGAGTCGTCGTGCGCCCGTAATGTGAATAGGACCCCGCAGCGACAACACGGCCAGCTTGACCAGAAAATGAGCAGTCAGGAGTCAAATAGCGGTAACTCAAGGTGAGGCCTCAGGGGGGGCTGGTTGCGGTGGCCGCCCATTGGCCTCGCTCGTCTGACTTGCATACAATCCTACCAAGCAGGCAGCCTCTTCATCATGCATTCTCCAGGGGCCAGCACTAGCCACATCCAGATTTGACCAGCCATTGTAAATATGGACACGGAAATAGAACATCGGTTTTACATGGTGGTTTGTCTTGAGTTCAGTCCATGGTTACCCTGCCAGCAGTGTTGTTGGTGTTGTTTGCGTTTAACGTCTGGCCCGGGGCAGACGTGCTAGGCGGCCTGGCACCCTCTGAGAGAAATAGGCCGAACTGGCGAGAGACAGCAAGCAGAAAGAACATGTAAAAAGAAATTGAGCAAAAAAGTTAAAAGCGATAAATACAAATAAATCGAGCAAGAAGTCAAAACAAAGGAAATGACAACAAGGTCAGCATAAAGTCAAGAAGAATAAGTAAAAGTAAATCGACCAAGAAGAGTCGAGTAAAAGAAAGGGGCCAAATCATGGAGAAAATCTAGTTGTGCTTTAAGGTTAGGTGTCTGGTAATTAACAGTGAAGACTTGAGTCCTCATGGTCGATATCGGCACTTGGAGCTCCGCTTTGTTTGCCCATGAGGTGGCTACCTAAGGTAAGGTACCTAGGCATGATTGTACACTGCTAATCGATCTTAGACTGCACAGTAAACTAAACGATCCGTGTCATGTTCCTCCTTTCGACTGTTCATCAAGCCGACGAGACACCTATGTCCAAACCCGAATATTGAGCGTGTGCTGAGTTAACAGCCGGTTCATGAACTTGCTCCATCAAGAAAACCGGGCAGGATGGGCCTGCTGCTCGAACATGTTGAACAGCGCGATTTGGAATGAAGGTTTGGCTATTCCGCAACGCTATCATAATTACCTAGGTCATAGCGCGTCCACGGGCGAGTACCACACCGTTCGATTAAATATAGGCTGGTAGCTCTTTAAGCCTGGTATTGGGCTCGGGCAGCTCGGGGTTCGTTCGCTCACGGATGCCACGCTCTTGACTGTAATCCGTGTCACCGGTGGCGTAGTCATGAAGCACAACCATGCTCGTTGCTCCAGCACCTGTGAATGGGGAATGAGGAGGATTCTTTGTGTTCTGTACCGTGGCGGGTGTTACGGGCCATGTAAGTCTACAGCTCCACGGAACAATCCATCTCAACCCCGGCCCCTTTCCTGGTTGTCCGACGCCACGGGGGCTTTGGTACGTTGTTCGTCGTAACTGAACAACAAACGGAACGTCACCAGCAACACAGCACGCCCAGATCCCCGGTGGTCAGCTGCCCGCATATGCCACCCTCTTTTATGGCTGCTGTATCACCTCTGCTACCAGCGCAGGGGACGTATAAAGTATTTAAACGCAATATCGCTCCTATCTTAGGACCCCCATTAACCTAATTGCAATAACCACATTCACGAACCGCAAGTCTGAGCTCTAGAAACCACAGCGAAACACCATCACCATGCCTACAGGCGGGAGTTACTACCCGTACACGGGAGGCTATGTCAAGACGACCACCACATCCTACAGCCGCACTCGGTCGCCCCATAGACGCCCCCTCTCCCCAATCCGACGGTCTCGCCCCATCTCTCCACCCCGGCCTCGGTCGCCTTATAGACGTCCACCGTCACCCTACCGCCGCCCTCCCTCCCCCTACCGCCCGCCCCCCTCATCATACCGGCGCCCGCCCTCACCCAACCCCCTCGCACCACCGCCCCTCTTCTCGCCCCTCCGCCGCCCCCATTCCCCCCTCGGCCCATCAGGCTACGGCACCCCACCACGCGCCTACTCCCCCGTAAACACGCTCCCGACCCGTCCCCGGCGCCGCTCCCCATCCCGCGACCGCACCACCCGGCGGCGGTCGCCTTCCCCGCCGCGCCGCACCAGCTTCCTGCGCGCGATTGGCAACGCGTGGGACGCCCAGCCGCGCGAGACCAGACAGGCCTTGGGCACGGAGATTGGGAAGTATGCGGCGCACAAGCTTGGGTGGTCGGATCTGGATGGCAGGACGACGGATCAGAGGGCCGGGGAGGATCCGTATAAGAGGGGGACGGGCGAGTGGTCGGGGTATAGTACCCGTGGGTGATTCGTATGGGGTGGTGGGGGCGGATATGGTGGGGGTCGGTGGTTGGGAGGTTGGGGTGGGAGGGAGGAGTTGGTGGTTGAGCCTTGCTGGGAGAGCGGTGTTTTTGGAGTTGGGGATTTGCGGTTATTTCTGGGTGACAGCCGGCGAGCTGGGTTACGGAGCAGGACTCCGGAGCATTAGTGCGTGTGTTTAGGGCGTAGGTAGCTAGTTATTAACAGCGTTGTCTTTACTCAGCGAGCTGAAGGGTGAGAACCTAGGAGCAAACTTGACACAATGTGAGGGCCAGAGATCGACCAACAAGGGTGTGGAATGTAGCCGTTGTATTACACTAGGTACTACTGACGGCCCAAACCCATTAGCATCGGTGAGTAGGATCCGCCCCCTTCTCAATCCGACTTCACACAGCGTCCCCCATTCCTTGTCGACCGCAACGGGCTCGGTCCTTTCACATCACAAAGGGAGACGCTCGCTTCATGAAGACATCCATCCGGAACCCCTCAAGAGCGTAACGAAGTGCTGTCCGGCCCCCTAATCAGCATCAAAATCTCCCCCTTCCTCGAGCAAGAATTCCAGCATCGTCGTACGCCATACCCTGCGCTTCACCCATTCAAGCCCCAACACAACCACCTACCTACGTACCTACCCTGACTTAAGGACTCGAATTATACGGCCGACCCAACACGCACACATCATCAACCTCATCGGCACTCACATTCTTCGCCACCACCCCACCACTCGCAAACCGCATCATGTTCCGCCCTCCCACCTCACTCCCCTCACTCTCCCCCCACGGCAACCACCCCATCCTCCGCAACCCGCCCTCCGGATCCTCCATGAACGCCAACACATAATCCTGCATCCTCTCCGCCACCTCCCTCTGAAACCCCGTCACCCGCTCCCTCCCCGCCAGCGTCGCGTACGTCCCCATCACCATCGGCACATCACTGCCATGAAACGCGCCCATCCACGGCAGCACGGACAAACTACTGAAATTCCCGGCATACTCATACCGATACGTCGTCCGCCCCAGCAGCCCGCGGGTCCGCGTCGTGTTGCTCGCCAGACACACAAACGTCTCGACCGTCTCGAGGTCGACCTTGGTCTGCCACGGCCCCGCCGTGATGTTCTGCAGGGGGTAGTCGGTCAGGCTGGCCTGCTCGTTGGAGGTCGTACCGAGGAGGATGGGGATGCGCGGGGCGCTGCCGGGGCCGTGGCCGTTGGGGTGGTGCAGGGCGTGGTGGGTGTAGTTGAAGAAGACGAGTTTGTCGTCCGGGAGGGGTTTGAAGACGGGCGGGTCGTCGGTGTCGTTGTCGCGGTGGGCGCCGACGAAGTTCTGGAGGAGGGTCATGGGCACCTGGCGCATGCAGGACAGCTCGGCGAGCGGGTCGGTGGGGAAGTCGCAGCCGACGTGTCGGGCTACGTAGGTGAAGTTGCGGTGGGTTGGGTCCGGGTGGCTGATGTTGACCATGGCGCTGCCCGATTGGAGGAAGAGGCCGGCTGCGAGGGGGTTGTCGGCGAAGGCGTGTGCTGCGATGTCGACGGCGACGCCCCCGGCTGAGTGGCCCCAAACGGTGATGCGGGAGGGGTCGCCGCCGAAAGAGCCGATGTTGGCGTAGACCCATTCGAGTGCTGCGCGCTGGTCGAGGATGCCGACGTTCTGCTCCTCGAGCCCGGCCGCCCAGGGGAAGCCGGCTATGTTGACGCGGTAACCAGCCGAGACAACTATGTGCCGCTGTGTGCGTTGGACCCATGGCGTGGGTTGTTGGTAGGGCACGTCGACGCCGCCGTTACGGAAGGAGCCGCCCGGGATGAAGAGCGCGACGGGTAGGTTGGAGTCCGCGGTTGCGTTCAGAGGCGCCCAGATGGCGAGGTAGAGGCAGTCCTCGGAGGAGGTCTGCGCCATCGTGCCCTGAAGGCGGTCCTGTCCGTGGATGCGAATGGAGAAGTCGGTCATGTTGGAGTTCCATAATGTCACATTCTTGTAAAGGTACTGTGGACAGGGTGGCGGAAACCGGTAGGAGTACGAGTGCTTGAGAGAAGGCCTGACTGGCTCGGGTGGTAGCCATCGCCGGCTTCCAAGTGGCGGCTCGGCGAAGGGGATACTGCGGAACTGACGCACATTGGGAAACTCGGGATCCACGAGCCCGGTGTAGACTCCAGTTATGGTCTTGACCGTGAGCCCGTCCAGGGAGTCACTAGGCGGGCCAGTCGCAAACCCAACAGCGAGGCACGCGAGCGAGATGAGGAGTCGGACGAGTCTCATATTGGGTAAAAGGCGTCCACGGTTAATGCTGAATTCGACAAAGAGGAAACGGTGGGGATGATCCCCACGAGTTATAATATTTTGTCTATTATTACAGAGCTTACTTCAACCGCCCGTCTCCTTGGCCCAAAGGTGCGGGGACCCCGGAGTTGGGAAGGACGTTGCATGTCCCTTACCCTTTGACGTAGCAACGTCAAGAGCCGGATCAAGATTGTCATCATAGGTTGTGACGTTGTAAAATGCGGGCATGAATGCCATTGGGCGTGGTCGCACCAGGGTGCAAGACAGAGTTCTGCAATATAAAGCTGCAGGGACTTTGGGGTAGTCGGATTATATCCCTGGTTCGCCGCCACGATCGGCAGCTATCTCGGGATCCGCGGTTGTGCATAAGACCTCCGCACAGTACACTCCAGCTCACCACTCAAGACCACAATGACAACATCACCACCCCCCTTGCCCCCAATTATACCCTCACAACCACCCCCTCAACAACCCTCCCCGTCTCCGGCGGCCCCAAATAACTCCCCGCCACCCTCCCGCCCGTATCAACCACAATCTTCTCCAAATACACCTCTGGCGAATTCACCCTCCACACCAGCACATGCTCCCCCGGCGCCGCCCGCCCCAACCGCACCGTTGTGGTCCACACCTGATCCGCCACATGATCCATCCACTCCGGCGGGATGGCGCCCGCGTGCGGGTTCTCGACATACTCCCCCAGCACGCGCGTGAAATTCGCTGGTTGGTTGTCGAGCGTTAGGGAGAACTCCATTTTTAGGTTGGGGTCCGTGTCGAGGCCGGCGTTGATGTACACTGTGGCGGTGAGGTCGGCGTCGGGACGGAAGAGGTAGATTGGGTAGGTTGCGGTTGCTGCTTGGGCGGCGGTGAGGTCGGCGCGTGCGGCGTGGAAGGGCCGGAGGGCGATGGCGCCGGATTGGCTCCGTGTGCCGAGGTTGGGGATGTGCACGAGGGAGACGGGGTTGGTGTCTTCGGTGCTGTTTGAAGGCCCGGGGGCGAAGTGGGGCGCTTCGATGGAGATGTAGCCGGCGGACTCGGGGAAGCCCGTGAAGGAGGCGGGGGCGCGGGCGTTGAGCACGGGGATGCGGATCTGGTCGAAGTAGGGGTATCGGGCTGGCGTAGAACGGATGCCCACGAGGAGGGTGGAGTTGAAATCTTCTGGGACGGATGCCCAGTCGATGGTGACGTTCAGCCGGGTATCAGGGGTGTCTTTGTCGAGGGTGCCATTTGCGGGTGAGATGGAGAGCCATGGCACAGGGAGTGGATCAAGGGCCCAGGTTATCGGTACACGATAATCCCCGCGCATGAAGACTTCTACGTGCCGCACGCTGGGACCGTAAGGGTCCATTTGCGGGAGCAGGGGAGCAAAGTCAGTCGTTGGCATGGACGCGTCGACTGACTCGGCCCATCGGCCTTGCTGAACGGGGTTGGATGAGCCCTCGGCGTAGATACCGAGGTTCCCGAGTGAGAACTGCATGTTTTGTCGCAGTTGAACGTAGGAGAGGTTGGCGAGGATATCGCGCGACGGGTTTGCCCACATCTTCGGCTCCTCGACGGCGTCGTATACGGCCTGGGCCATCATATCGGCCCACTTTCCGTCCACCATGCCATCCCAATCCTCCACGAGGTCGTAGGCCGCCTCGAAATCCTCCAGGACCTGCGATGCCAGGAGGTTGGCCGAGTTACGGCGCTCGAGGGCATAGCGGTAGTTGATTGCCGTATTGATCGCGACCGCGTGGTATGTGGCCCCGGACAAGACGGGGTGACCAACCAGTTGAAAGAATGCCGGATGTAAGCTAGGGTCAAGTTGCGAGGTCAAATCACGGACTCGAGCAGCAAGCCGCTGCCATCGTACTAGGACTCCCTCCGCTTCGTGGTAGTTGGTGGATGAGTAGGTGGCCGGGGGTGATGTGCTCAAATCTGCGCATGCCGACGAGACGAGAATGTTCCATCAGCACCTCAGCAATATCCTCAGCATGGGTAGATCCAAACTCTCGAGCGGCGTACTGGGCCAGGTACGATGGCAGAGTCTCAAAACTGATGGTCGAAGCATTCCAGGCAAGGTCCATGGCCAGGTTCAGGGGTAGCTCCATCGGTTTGAGGTCTCCCACGTTCATGATCCAGATCCGGTTGGCACCGCGGAGATGAGCATGGGAAAGCTCCTTGTAAACCTTGGCCAAGTTGTTTGAGTTGTGCCACTTGTACGACCGCGGCAGACCGACGTACTCAAAATGAAAGTAGACCCCTGAGCCACCCTCCCGCTCGGTCTCGTTGCCGGTGGGCAGCCGGTAGACGTTCCCCTGGTTGTCGTCCGGGAACAGCAACGTGATGTCCTCCGCCGGTTTGAGCCCGGCATCGTAGTATGAGGCGACCTCCTTGTACAAAGCCCACACTTGGTTCACTGCTGTTTCAGACCCATGGTACTTCTTGATGATCCCCCTTTGAGTCTCGAATACGTCCTTGAGCATCTCGATCGCGTTGTCCGTGTTGGCTGCCTCGTCGCCGAGCCCTCTCAGTCCGATGGTGAAGTACGACTCGTTGCGACCTGCCCTCGCAACACCCTCGTCCATAAATTTTGTCATGTTGTCCTTGTTCTTCGACCAGTCCCACGGCCCCTGAACCGTCTCGTTCCACTCATTCGTGGCCCTCTGCAGAGGCTCATGGTGAGATGTCGAGATGACAATGCCATAGTCATCAGCCAGTTGCTGGTTGCCGGGATCGTCTGTAAAGAAGATGTTTCCCGGCGGTGGGGTAAAGGACTTCCACATTGCGGGCCAGAGGTAGTTGGCCCTGAGGCGCAGAAGAAGGTCGAAAACGTGAGCATAGAACTCAGTGTCGAGGGGGGTACCGGGTAGCGTTGTGGCGACGGGCCCACCATGTGTTTAAGGCAGGCTCCTCGTCGTTGATGAACAATCCGCGGTACTTGACGGTGGGCTCTCCGTGAATTGTCGTCTTGTTGAGAGCAAATATCTCGGCGTGTTTCTGCGCTGGTACGTCGGCAAACCAGTGGTAAGGGGACTGGCCGGATTGTTCAGCTAGGGTATGGATGCCAAATATGGTACCCCTTTTATCGCTTCCCGCAATCACCAAAGCCTGGCCGTTACCAGGAGCGGGGAGTTTTATGACAGTGGTCTTGAACGTCTCCCATTTGCCTTCAATGTCGGAAATGTCGATGTGCGCGCTGACCGCGAGGTCACGGATCAAAGATGAATTGACGGAGCCAGCAACGATGACCGTGCCGATGTCCGCTTGTTCCGTGATGCCAGACAGCGTCGCATTCCTGACCGTCCTCACGGCACCGGTGATATCCTGGAGATCCTGGACCAAGCTATTCGCAGCTATATGCACTCCAACAAAGTCATCCTGGGCAACAAGAATGGGGGCGTTGGTGATACTCAGTTGTGAATCTGCAGTGCCAACGTTGTCAAATGAGACAAATCGCTCCTCGAGAAACGCGAGGCAACCCCAAGGGAGGCTTGCAATAGCCAGTACGTGGAGGAGTTGACACCGCATGGTTGCTCGGACGGGCCGGGACATGCAGGGTCTCAGACTGCTCTCAGTCTTTGGTCGAAAGTGTAACTTGGAGCCTTGAGGGTCACTATTATACTTGTATCTATCTTTCAGTCAGCCAAGACCAAACAACAAGACCCGGCTCTTATTGATGGAAAATACTCCCTGGGCGGGGTACCCTCCTGCCATTCTTGGTAAGTTGGAAAACAACAGCCGTGATGCAAAACGGGGCTCGAAAAGAGACTTGTTAAACAGGCTAATTACCCCCATAGCAGCCAAGCATCGCAACCATTGTTCAGCTTCGAATGGTTGATACACACCCGTCAAAGTTCGAACCCGACGTTAGGGTTATGGAAACAATATCAGAAACATCGGATGTTGTGAATGAGTATAGATTTGCTCCCGCGTTCTGGTTTAGTGTAACGTACAAACCCGCCGGGGCGAACCATGACAGAATGAGAACAGAATCCGACAACGAAAGTCTGAAAACAGAACAGCTCCATAACTTGAAGTCAGGGCACCCCTGAGTATCGTTTGAAGGAGCGACCCTCACATATGCCCCTTTCGAGCATACTTACAAAATTCCCGCCCGAATATCTTGCTCGCTAGCAACACGCACCACCGCAACTTCCGGTATGTAGTCCATGGCGAACCATTCTCTCTTATTAAGCTCACTCGCCAGATGCTGAAGGCGCCCACCCAGCATCCTCTCCGATGTCAGGTCTTGGGTGGAAAAAAAGAACACCCCCGTATCAGCCAGCTGCCTCGCAGAGATGACGGCAACAGAAACGGTGCCCCTGCGGTTCCATTCTCCATCGAGCTTGACATATGGGCGAGAGATGCGTCTGTCGGCTTCTTCAAGTGCACTGTCGGGATTGCCGAAAAGGGAAATGAAGGACGTGGGCTCCTGTTGATACCAATCGAGATGTTTGGCGATGAGGCTGGGTGTGATGCGGTGGTGGTAACGCATGTAGTACGTGTTCTTGTCGCCGGCTTCAATTCCTTGCCCTTCGATGTAAGGGGTTTGCGATAGTTCATCGTAGACATGGAATAGTTCGAGGTCCCATTCGCGGGACGGATCAAGCTGGTGAGGTGAGAAGTCATCCATCTTTCTGCTTGATATTGGGAACTCAGATAGTCCGCTGGTCTCTTGAGCTGGGCAAGAGTGCCGTTGAAATTGTCGAGATTTCTTTCAGGAAGATGAGAGAAAAGTTGGCATCGACTACCTACCTAGATGGGGGTCTTCTAATTATTAGCCTTGGTAACCAGACTTGGGAGGGGGGAAATGTTGTGAAACCCCAATTGCTGCCCAACACAATTACTGTTTTGTTCTCCAATGGATCGGATATCCTCCGACCCTGCCGCCCCAACCAGCTTACCGCTACCCATTCTGAACCTACGGGAAAAGAACCGGTGTAAAAGCAATATCCGCAGCGGAAGGGAGAGGAAGACGGAGAACAGGACGAGGAGGAAGTCTTTCTCGCTGCGTACACGCCAAGGTCTCGAATGAAAACCTTTACGAACACTGGGGCTTTACGTCGACCGTGAGAACTTAATGAGGAGAAGAACACCTACACGGGAAAATACCCAAACACGCACTGCTCCAATCCCGAATCTAAACATTGATGCCATTTGCCTTGTCCCATAGCCTTCCCACCGCCCACTCGGAAGGATAACTCGCCGGGGCAATGCAATCCGGCACGTACATCCACCAGTCCTGCATGTCCGTCCTCTTGTCTTCATTAAACGTATAAAGCACCTTGCTCGACTCAAACCATGGGGGATAGAAACCGGCTTCTTCCCAGTCAATGATTCCTGTAACGACATACTCTGCCGGGCGCACGGGGTCTCTGTCAACGATGATATTTTTGGGGAAAACATCGCCATGGGTGAAAACGGCTGTGACGTTGGGGTCAGGATGGGGCAGCAAGCTTTTGAGGAATGCCGCGTACTCCACGCCGCACGCTGCTTCGATGGAGAACTGGAAGTCTCGGAACTCGGACGCCGTCGTCATAACCGTCTCGCTGTCGGCATGGTCCACCCACGCATGACTGTCACTCACCCCCTCCCCCCCAACACCCCCCAATCGCCCACCTGGCTGTTGTTTTAGGTCTCGTAGCCGCTTGAACAGTTGGTCCAGCTGCCGCTGGATTGAGAGTTTGTTCTGGCGACTCAGACTGGGCCACACGTCGTGGAGCGTGGTTGAAGGAATGTACGACATCATAATCAGTTTGGAGTGGACAAATTGGAGGAGCCCATGCGGCTTTGGCGCTGGGAAGTCTGAAGCGTGCTGTGCCAGATATTGAAGGGCGGAATATTCCGTTTTTGGGCTGTTAGTGGAAGCTGGGACGATCTTGATGGCGATGTCGACGTCCAGACCAACCGTATCGCGGCAGCGTAGAATGCCGCCACGGCCCAGGAGTTTGGTAATGACTGTTGCATTCTCGAGCACCCGCCGCACGCCTCTGTCGAGGTTGCTGTCATTATGAGAAACACCATCATCCGTCACGGTGCCAAAGATGAGTAGTTTTGCGGCGTCCGATAGTGGCTGCAAGATGGCGGGTTTCGTAGGCCAACTTAGATACCTTAGCCGGCGGGGAAGGGTTGCGTCTTCGGCTTCGGGGGTTTGCGTCGTTGTTGGAGTAGCAAAGCCGTGGGGTGAGGAAAATACTTCTTTTTGAATTCGAGTTGAATCCGGGGCATCTCGTGGTCGAGGTTTAAGCTTGGGTTCTCGGACAACTCGGCTTGCAACGCCCCAAGTATCTCTTGGTTCATCGCAGCACGCTTTGCAGCGCGGTCGGCATTCTCTTCTCTACACGAACATCGGATTTGGATACTGTGTAAACAGAAACCGGAACATTTGGATTTGAACTGTGGGATGAGAGGCAGGTTGTACTTACAGGGGTGGCATGATCGATTCCGTGGGGTGAGTAATTAACTACACGTAGAAGCTGATGCTCGAAGAGCGGTTGAGGAGAATGAAGATTTGGGCGGGGTTTGTTCATGCTGGCGGGCGAGGGGAGACCACATGTGCAGCTGAAGCAAATTCTGCTGTGTGGCTGAGTGCTCAGCCCTTTGGTACCTGAGCTGAGCGACTTCGCACGCTCCCTCGAGGCAACCGTCCTGTTACACAAGACTTCATCCAACAATATCCCCACCACAGGAGTAAATCCATTTCTTGCATCACCAAGCCACCGCCAGCGTTGATCTCGCCCTTTTGCCCCCGCCATCTGGCCAATCCCCAGTGCTCGTTGCAAGCCACCGTGGACGCTAGCATACATAAAAAGGAAACTTGGCTCCCAAATCCTGAAATGTGCTGCCAACAAAGGCCCTCGGCGATCCCCGAGCTCGGTATACATAGAAGCCGGATAGGGATCTGCTGGTGCGTGGTGCTCAGCTCCCTCCTTGTGGGATTGGGCCATGGTATGTACTTCTGCCACTGCCGGACCTGATGAACGCCGACTGGCTCGACGTCCAATCGTATTCGAGCTTCTGACAGAGTCTGCTTGCCGAAGACCAATGACTTTTTCCCGCCTAACGCGGCGCAACTTATGTTGAGCATTCCTCGATCTGAGACACATCGACGTCCATTGGGCTTCCATCTGCATACCGGACGGTCGGTCCATGCAAGCCTGGCGGCATGGATAACTTATGAGTGCCTTACCTCGTTAACGTAGGTACATACCGACCAACCGAATAATACCTGAGGTAATTATACATACCCCTGAGCGACCACCCATGACAACTCCCATATTTCTTTACTTTCAGCTAGTCACTGCTTGCAATCAAATCCAGGAACAATAATTTCTTCTCCTTATTTTTCCCTTTCTTTCGAATAACCATGGACTTCAAGCCCTTCTTTTTCCTGGCGTGCGTGGTGCCCTCGGCCCTGTCATACCCCTTAAACCACACCGAACCCACAGAAACCTTCGTGCCAAACCCTACCGGCCGTGGTACTATTGGTCTTCTCTACACCTGTGTTCTCACTCTGGCTCTCTGCATCTGGACAGCATTGCATCCGGATGTCGGCTTCTACAAAGACAATTGGTTCTACGGGCCAGCCTACAAAGCGATGTGGATGTTTCTTGCGATAGTACTCCCAGAGTTTGTCGTATGCTGCGCCGTCTCCCAGTTTGTACAGGCCAAAGATCTCCGCAGAGCATGGGAAAGCCATTGGCAGGACAAGGAAGATGAGGACAAGGAAAAGTGGTTGGGCATATCCGGTGCCTTCCTCGTTGTTATGGGGGGATATGAGATCAGATGCCCTACAACATGTCACGGCAATTCACCCGACTGTCCGATGGCCGGCTTTGCGGGCACCGCATTGGTTGACAAGAGCTTCCCACCTCGACCAGTCGAGCGCGCGACGACCGCGGGATCTACGGCAAGCGAAGAAAAGTCTCTCATTCAGAAACAACAGCTTCCCAGGGACGTCCGCCGCACTCTCACACCAGCGGGCTTGAAGAGATTACTGGAACCGACGGAAGACGGCCTCTCCCTCATGTCTAAACTGATTCAAGAGGGTGTTCTGAACCACACCCACTTTGATCCTTGCCGGATCGAGGACAAGGGAAAAGCGAACTATGTCGCCAAGCTGCTCACCACCGCACAGATTCTCTGGATGGTGGTGCAATGGATCGGCAGGACGGCCCAAGGGTTGCCCGTTACGCTGCTAGAGGTCCATATCTTGACCAGTAAGTGCCCTCTTCACTGCCCCTAAATTGTGACATTTGAAACCTTCTGACTCATAATCCCAGAGATTCCATTCACCCTCGTATCCTATTTCTGCTGGTGGGACAAGCCACTTGATCTCAAGATCCCCATATCCCTCCCGATCGGCCATCGCCTGCAAGGTGCGGAATGGACTCCTGGTGGTCCTGGCTTCAGCACTCACGACTCGAATCCCTTGAGACATGAGCAGCTTTTCCGGGAGCGCAGAATTGCCAAAAGCCTCTTCGCTGCTATATTTCGTGGCTCCTACGACTTCGCTTGGGATTTCGGCTATCAATCACTAGCCTGGTGTACCGCTATGTTCACTCTCAACGGCGGACTTCACGCCACCGCGTGGCTCGCGCACTTCCCTACAGAGGTCGAGAGCAGGCTCTGGCGTGCGGCATGTCTGGGTGTTGCCATCTCACCTCTAATCATCACGACCCTGATTTGGAAAAGGGAATGCGAGTGCTTTCTGCTGCAACTGGCCTACCGCTTTTCGACGAGGGATATTTCCTCCACGTCACAGTGCGCTAATGAGTTTGCTCTCCTGTGGCGCATAACCGCGGGTTCTGCTGAAGGAGAAAACAGTTTCTCTGGTGCTGGGGTGATGCGCCCCCCGCAGGGATTCCCAAGGGCATGGCCGCTTTGGTGCCGGCATTTTGCGGTTGCTGTGGTATTTGTCCTCGTATGGATATATATGTTATGCAACTTATTCTTCATGATAGAGGCGTTCATTAGCCTTCGCAACGTAGAGGCGTCTGCATACAGGACAGTGGAGTGGGCGGACTACTTGCCTCATTTCTGAATGGGCCAGGGTACAACGCAAGTCTTACCCGCGGCTGATGGAGTCGCTAAGAGAGGAGGGTATCATACAGGAAGCATACAGGTACTAGGTAGAGGTAATCCTTAAGTGAAATTGTGTCGACTACGTGCAATTAGCCGCATCGAATTTACTACAATTGAACTAGGTGCAACTTGCCTGGTACAACAGACTCGCATTGAATAGGATAGCTAGCATTAAATGAGATGACTGCAACAGTTACGATGTAATAAAAACAGACCCCTAAAACGTCCCCAAGTGCGGATCAAAGTCTCTCTCAAACAACCACAACAACAGACTCCGCAACCCGCTTCCGCAACGGCATAAGGGGGATCGAGGCCACCTTGCAATTCTTCCACGCCCAACGACCGGCTCGCACGAGTACCCCCGTTCTTCCGGAACTCGCAGCGGCGACTTGCTGCGAGGTTTGTGCCGTCATAGCTGGTTCTGGTCGGAGCGGCCGAGAACCAAGACCGGCAGTGCTCGCCCATCTCTGCGCGTGTTCCGCCCTCCACTGCTCCCACTGCCGCTGCCTTTCGACCTCGGCTTGCTGCGCCGAGGCTCGCTCGGCCACCGGGAGCCCGGCCATGATATCACGGATGGCGTCGCGGCGTGCGAGCTCACGCTGGACCATGAGAGGGCTGAAAGCATTTGGGGAAGTCACTAGAAGATGAGTGGTCAGCAGTGAGTGGGACTGGGCGGGCGGATCGGCCCCCAGTGACTTACCATCGATCAAACCTTCTTCCTGGGGCTTCGTATGTTTTCTGTAATACCGCCCAACCAACCGAATATTGCACAGGTCCAGCACATCCAGCAAGCCGCCGTAGGAAAAAAGAGAGTTGTCGTGCTGGCCAAACACATTGTAGTCAAACACAAAGTCGCTGTTGAAGAGGACGTCGACGGGCAAGTTCTCCAGGACATAAAAGTCGCATGCCACTTTCGAGTCGTCGGTAAGCCCGAACTCCCACTGCAGATCACGCACGACCCCGTCCGTCCACGCCGTCGAGCCGTCGGCGAACTGGACCATGACCCGGTTGTCGTATCCGCGGTCGATTTGGAATCCGCGTCTGCGGGCGTAGTCGGCGGAGATGGCCATGATGTCGGATCCGGAATCGGGCAGCGCCGCCACGGGGTCGCCGTCGAGGTGGCCCCAGAGCCGGCGCTTGTCATGGCCCATGTAGTTTAGTCGGAAGAGTTTCTTGGTGGCCAGGGACCGGAGCGTGGTCGAGATGCGGTGCTTGAAGCTGGTCAGCGTCTCGGTGAGGCGGAGGAAGCCGTCGCCGAGGATCAGGTCTTGGGGGCATTTTGGCAGGACACGGCAGTCGAGCCGATAGGTGCGGTTCTCGCCTTCGAATGTCCACGGGATGGAAGCCGTGCTGGTGCATGTGACGGTTTTGCCTGAAGCAAGCCGCACAGTGGGCCCGTCCCTGGCCTCAACCTCTTGGATGCCCATCCCCGGTCCTGCTGGCTGCCGGCGCTTGAGCCTTTTCAGGAAGCTGGCTGATATGAAGGACTCGTCTGCCCCGGTATCTGGGATGGCCCTGATCTGCGTGCCGTTGATGACTCCACATACTCTGCGGTCACGGATCTCGGTCGAGTGCGAACTGGGTCGTCCAAAGCTCTGATTCTTCTGCGAAGCCGGGAGGGCTGAAGGCACAGCCTTTCGGGACGTGCTCGCCATCGCGTTATTTATGCGGGTGGGCATGCTGTACTTGGCAGCCAATTTTCTTAGTGCTGGGCTTGCCGAGGGATCCTGAGATACGAAAGAAGGGTCGTAGTGTGGGTAAATTAGGCTCCCGTGGAGGGTGATCAAGGCCTGCCGTTGATCGGGCTCGAGCTTGTTGGCGGAGCTAGTTTGTGAGCTCTGAATGTTGTCGACCTCGATGCACTTGCTCTCTACTAAAACGAGGCCAGCGTAGATACCCTTCACCTCGGCCACTAGCTGTTCCTCGGAGATGGGCATCGTCTCGAGCTGCTTGATAGTCTCTGTCGCATCGGCTTCCTCCACTGGGGGCGTTGCGGGTCGGGGCATGGACCGCTTCGGCGGCGACATACTCCGAGACTTCGATGCCTCCCTCTTGATGCACGGGGTAGGGCTTTTGTGTGTCTTCGCAGCCTCCCACTGAACTTGGATAAATTCCCTTTTCTGGTCTTCCCCGCCCTTTTCAGCAAGCAATCCAAAGTGGACGTTTGAATAGTGCTCCTCGAAGTTGGCAAACGCCATGTCAGTGGTGCCATCCTGCGGCGTGTTCGACGCGGCGATCTTGTGATCGCACACCTGGCACCAGATCTTGCGCCTCGTGTCTCGCAGACGCCTATGTTCGTTCCACCGTTTTAAAAAATCCATTGTTCGCGCGCAAAAACGGATGAGGCTGGAAAATGACAAGACTCGTCCTGGAGTGCTGGTGTTATGATATCTTTGCGCGGTGCACCAGATGTTGTCGGGAATGGCATCAAGCCAAAAGCTAGCTAAAAGTCTGAAAACGCTGATGTCGGTTTGAGAGTGGAAAAGTGCCTCTTCTTGTGGGTGGTGCACTGGTGGCGGCGGCTGAGCAAAGTACTGTCAGACATCCCTACCACCCTGCCGATTGGGCCGGTTGTGAGGGGGCTGGTGGTCACTGGTGTGGTGCACATGGGCAGCGATTCAGCCCACCGCAAAGCATTCATTATGGTGCACAGTCAGGTCGAGGATGACTCGATGAGTATCCCCCTCCTACCCTCCCTGTTGGGCACCGTGTCAACAATTGAACAACCCACTCCTAGAGCCCTAAATCCAACATGGACCCCCCAATCGAAGGCTTCGCGGCGGTGGCCGAATGGATCGCTCGGGATCATGACAATGAGGCGTTCATCTTTCGAAAGTTCGACAGGCTCGCCGCCCGGAACCTACTACATTTACAAGGGCGGATAATGCTCCTTGAGAAAGAACTGGATGCGCTGGACAGGGAGGCGGCTAAAAGCAACGATATGTTGCTGAAAGACGCTGCAAGATCGTGGGAAGACCTGGTCCAACACGCCTCAGAAGGCCAGGTCTACGCTCAGAGCTACATGAAGCTGGTTGATGAGATAAAACAGGCTTTGAGAGAATATGGTGTTTTCTTCCCCACCCGATCAGTATCATCCCAAGGTAGTAGGCATAGCTAACACATCAAGATGAAACGCTTGTCCTCCAACACCAAGTGTCGAACCTGCCAAAACCCAGCCGAAGAACGCTTGACCCCTTCAGATGCTGGTTGAACGAACCCCATCCCAGGCTCGGAGGACAGTCCAATTATTTCCTCGACGCCGAAGATGGTCTCGTCGCTCTCACGCCGCAGAAGGACTTTGACCCGGCCTCGGAATTCTTAAGACAGTTTTGGCAAGCTAAAACTGTAAGCTCGGATTTCCGGATCAGGCAAGAATGCAAGATGGTCAATCAATAGCTAATTCATGCCCCGTTCCCACAGAAAGAGCCCACGCCAGATGGGAAATTCCACATTGCGCGGTTCGACGAGAGGTCCATCTCGGCCGCGACCAAGGTGATCACGATCTTGGTTGCCACGAACCTGCTCGTTGGCCCAATATATGGTCTGTACTTTACAAGCACGCCGCTGCAGAGGCTCGCCTTGATCCAAGTCTTTACCACCATCTTCGCACTCTGCGCGGGCTTCATGAGCAACGCGCGGCAAACCGAAGTCTTTGCCGTGACGGCTGCGTGGGTTTCCCTGGCGGTCCAAATCTCCAGTGTGTTTAAGCTGACGAATGCTCGGTTGATAGATATGCCGCGGTGTTGGTGGTGTTTGTGGGCAGTGCAGACTTTTCAGGCAAGGCCGGGAATGGGCAACCTTGAGTGCTCGATAGGAACATCCAGGGGGTGTCCGTATTCCATATATCTATATATCGTAATCCTTTCCTACCTTATGTAGCCCTTCACTCTCATTCCAATTACGGGCAGGATGCTGTCCCACTCGTACGTATTACTGCTTACACAACTCAGATCCTCCGTCAATGAGATAGTTGAGACTAAACTATAATTATCTATCACGTGTGGCTGTATTTTTTGAGGGGTAGTTTGCCGTGGCAAGGGATGAAGGAGGCAACGAACGAGGAAAAGCGCAAGCGAATCGGGGAGAAGAAGCAAGAGACAACGATTGGCGAGGTTGATGATGGCGAGTTCGACTGGGTGAAGGTTAGGGAGGAGGGGTCTAGCGAACTAGCAATACGACCACCGCCCGAGCCCATCGGTGGCAACGCTACGCCGCTGGCACCACCAGCAGCGATGGGCATGACTGGGAAACGCGCCCGTAAGGATTCAGTTCCCGATGCAGGGCAAAGCCGAGCTCGAAGGCTCCCTGCGCCCCTCCGTGGTATTGTCGATGTTGGTCTTGCGGGAGCTGCCAACAACATTGAGGAGTCTGGGATTGTTGATTGGGGTGAGGCCCCGCAAGGAGATAGCGCGAAGTCGGAGGTGGTTGTGATGCGGCGTCGGCCAGCGACATGACGGTTGCGGTGCGATGAGTGGGGCAATTGCTGGGGAGGTGCGGGAATTGCGGATCGGGGCCGGGCCGGCGGCGGCGGAGTGGGGCCGGGGAAAGCATGCCTCAGCGCAGTAATCTGTACATGGGCGGGAACACACGTGCGTCGGCGGGAACATACGTGCGACAAGATGGCTCAGAGTTTGCCCAAGCCGATTTGCATTTTTGACGCCATGCGGAAGAATGGCAGTTTGGGACACAGCACAAGAATAGGGTAGATCAAGTCCCTGCCACTGACGGAGAGCTGGGGTTCGGGCTCTTGCAAATCCTCCTCGGTCAGGCGCCGGTTACTGTGGTCTACGACGGCAGGCAAAGCTGGTTGACTTGAGGCGCTCTTTGAATGGCTTTCCTTTTGTTGATTAGGATTTTCGCAATGTATTCACTCTATACCAGCAAGCCGCTGTGACAAGCTGGGTTACCTAGTTACGCGGATCACCTAGGAGGAAACGTGGATGTAGACACTGCCGAGAGTTTTAGGTCCCTTACATTGAATTGGGCCTAGGGATGTTTTTAACAAGGTCGAAAGCCCCCCCGCTGCTTCTTCTCCCCAGCATCCTCGAACTATCGTTCAGCCGCAACGCAGCCTTTGGTACTGCCCGTAGGGCCTCCTCCGTCTGAAGAATATAAACTCATACCCACTTCTCCCAAAGACATCCCTCGCCTTACTTATCTGCTTATCTACTCTTTCTCATTGCCACTAACTCCCCCACTCGCTTGTTCACTCGCTCCACGCCACCATGGACGCCCTGCCTACCCTCGTGGCCAACACCAGCCATGACGGTAACAGCTCCAAACACGGGCTTCCCGATGGACTCCTCGACACCCTTTCGCCGCTTCTCGGGTTCCAGCTCAACCCGCTGATGAAGCTGTTCACGCTCCTCCACGAAATCATTGAGAGTCCCCTCGGCATCGATCTCACCTACATCCTGATCTTGGTTTGGTGAAGTCGTGGGCCATAGCTCACGAGAGAAAGGTTTATTAGCTGAACCCCCCGTTCATCAGCAAAGGGGGGTGGCTGTGCTAACCTCCTGTTCCTATTGGGTTTCCATCAACGGCCGGATCAACCAATGGTCCGGCAAGGCATCTCCCGAGTCACGAATCGCTGCGTAAAAATGAACGAGAGAACTCAGGTACCTACCGATCCGCCTGTTCGACAGCGCTCCCTTACCGGAAGGTCTTCGCCAGCGCCTTCGAAAACATGATTCGCTTACGAGAACTTCATCTTGACACTGGCGAGCGAAATTCTCCGCCTGCTGAAAGCCCCGGTTCCAACCTAGGCGGCGAAGAGCCGGATACGACTGGCCTTGTCGCAGCTGTCAACCGCGAAATCGAATCCGCCAATGTGCCCGTCCCTGTTACCGTTGGCATTACCCCGCCGCGCGCAACTGATGACCACACTCCAGAGCCAACTCCTGGCTCCAACGGACCGACTGATCAGGAAACCCCTCCTCATCAACCCGAGGCTAAATCAAACTTCAGCCGGTTTCTTGACAAAATCGGGCTCACCTCGACCACACTCGGGTTTATTTTCGCTGTCATCCTTGGCGCAATTTCCTGGTCCGGTCTGAATTATGCCAATTACTACGCGAAAAAGAGCTACGACCTGGCTCTTTATCAAGCATGCAGAACCTATGAGGTATACTCTTCACAATTGAGGACTCAGCGCCCACGGAAAACTGGATTGATAACGTTAATTCTGTAGGATCTTCAAAACAGTACGGCGTGCCAAACTTCTCTCTCTACGGGAATTCGAGTCCGATCTCTTCCCAACATCGGCCCCGAAATTGGTAGCGTAGCTGCTTATCTCGGTCGGGCTTACATGGACGCCTTGATAGCCTACCTCCGGGCGTGCGAGGATGGAGTGGCCTCAGTGTGCTTCATGAGATCTTCCGGTCCCGAAAGTTCGTATTCGAACTTTATATCCTCGATTCCCGAAATCAGGTTCAGGCTGCTCTGGGCTCTACTATTCCGATTGTTAGCAACCATTATCTGTCGAACGGGGATACTACATCTCGAGCGGACGTCTACACCCATACGCCCACAACCATCCACGCGGTCGCTCTTGGATACATTCCTGGGGGCGAGCATTAGCATATTCGACTGTATATTCGCTCTTGAGACCGGTGCACTCAGCGGGCAGATATCACGGATGAGCGCTGTTTCGTGGGCCTCCTACTTCATAACGACAGCTGCATTACCGATCCTATCCGCGACTGAGGGCTTGAACCACCTGCGGACTCTCCTTCTGTCTACCAGCCTCGTGGTTTTAGCACCATTAAGTGCGGAAATCTCGGATGTCGCGGCGAATGCCGCTCTGGCAATGACGTCTATGGCGTGTTTCACCTTGTTGCCACGACACTTGAGGCAGCCTGGAAGTCTCCATAAGGAGATCCTGCAAGTGGAGTGGACCTTGCAGGACGGGATTACCATGCGGCGGATAGGCACTCTACCGGATGATACCCTAGAACAAGGAGTTGTTGATCAGAGGGACGACGGACCGCAGGAGGCCGAATTTCCAGGGAAGAAAGCACTCCGCAGGAGAACAAAACATAACAAGATGACACTGAAGACGGGGGATGTTGCTCCTGAGCGAGAAAATACCTCTACTGTGGAGGAAAGAGTCGCTAAGGATTCGAGCCCTTTTCTCTCGGTAATCAGTGCCTGTGATTCCATTGTATTAAACTCCGCCGGGCTTTGGCTAGCCTATTCGTTGTCGGGCGACCTTGGAAGTATCGCTGGGGAGGGGTTCTTTTGCTCCTATTGCTTATGGCGCTACACAATGCTTGCATGCACGATTAAGCGCATCCCCCAAAGTTTTCAGGAGAACGTCATTCGAGGTGGTGGCACTATTATAGAGAAGATCAGGGTGTGCGAGGAGGCACACAAGGAAGATACTATCTACTCGATATGGGGTCTTCTTATTTCCACAGTTGGGATTTGCGTTGCTAGTGCGAAGGGGTCCTGTAACTAAGATGCATACACGTTTGAAGTTGTTGGGAGGAGGTCGGTGTTTCCCAGACCCTGTAACATAGCTGCCAGCCAAGGCACCCCAAACACCGGGCGCATCCGTCCCCAGTTCCCAAGATATCCACAACTTCCAATAATATCTCGTCGCTCAGCCTCTCGCTTAGTGCAGTGTTTGGTGAAAGTCGGTATGGTGATAAGCTCCTCCGCTAGGGCTGACGGGGTGTTATGCCGTTGGTTTCGGGCGCGCCGCTCGAGAGGAAGACAAGGTTCCGAAAAGAGAGAGAGATAGGGGATAATTACTCTAACTTTAGCGGGAAGAGTGGACGACGCGAGGAAACCAGCAAGGAGGAAGGAGCCATTTTAACTTGCTAGCTCTAGGAGCCTAAAACGGCTCCCGGGGCCAAGAACCTGGTTCAGGATGTTTGCACAAGGATTGGGGTTTTCAACAATTCCGTAGACTGGCAGCGCATGCTATGGCGGAGATGCGAAGGGCAGGATTGTAGGACCACACGATGACAGGTACTGGGTGGTTCTTCCTTGGGACTCTAGACGCCCCCCACACTCTCCAGGCCGCCTCATATGGCGAGACACGCCAGCCAAATTCGGCGGACAGAACAGCGCTTTCTTGACTTAACCTATATCGAAGATTGAAACCTCCCGTGACGTTGGAAATGGAGTACGGTGCGGCCGAAAACAACGCGACGCCGTCTTTCTCTAGCTCCCTCGTCAACTCGACGCGGGCCCGGGCCTAAGTCAGCTCCCACTATCCGGTCAAGCACGCCCTGAGGAAGCTCCTCGAAGAACCACTCACCTCCAGCTGCCGCGTGCCCGGCCGCACAGAGCCCGCTACCCATCACAATTGTAATATGCATTGTAACCTCCGGTGTCGGCCCGCCGCCGCCAGAGCATCGGAATACGGCGAGTATCAGGGCGGCAGATAGCGCTTAGGAATTCCGGGGAAGAAGGGCAACACACAATCCATGTTGGACATTGTGGTGAGAAAGATGATGGCTGCATGTTCTCAGCACTACGCTCGAGGCAAGACCGTGAGGATGGGAGTGATGACGTTCCCTCGGTCACCGCGGGAGTCCGAGGAAACAGCTTGGCGAACATCGAAAGGGCGCGCCAACCCCGAGGCGCCCCGCTCATCAGACTCTTTCTCTCCATCAACTCGTCGCCCGCGTCGGGGGTACCGCCTAATCGGGCCGGGGACGCCAACAAACGGAGCTTAGTGCTTATCACGAAGGGCAAGCGGATGCCTACTGTGGAAGCCGTTGCGACAAGCACATGGAAAGGAATTTGAGGGTGCAGGCTCGGTGGGGTGAAAAGGACCAGATTATGAGCGCTGACTCTCGCTTCATGGACTTTGCGGGTGTTCAGGTACACGTGGGCCTCGCCGTGGTGTGTTGATGGATTCAGAGGCTCAGACGAGAAAGCTCGGATTACCACTTCTTCGGAGGGATAGGAAGCCTGCTGGCATGCTTCTGGCGTCGACTTCCACGGCAGTGACAAGCACGTGGGTTAAGGGAAGAGAGGGATATCGTGTATAAAACTACTGGCGTCGACGATGATTGCTATGTTTCGAGCCGACCACCTCACTTCCCATTCCAACAACCCAGCCAAGTCAGTCCTTGACAGCGCACTCCCAAACCTCTGAACCACCCACTCACCAACCCCATCAGCCTCCACCACAATGAAGTTCACCACCCTCACCACCGCCCTCACCCTCGCCCTCGCCGGCAGCACCGACGCGTGGCGCGTGTACCTGCACGACCACTCGAACCTCGGCGGCAGCAGCTACACGGCATCCGGCCCCGGCAACCCGGGCAGCGCGTGCCACATCATCCCCAAGGAGCACCGGTACCGCGCGGCGTCCATCACCTACTACGCGTACGACCGGCAGACCAACCCCAACACGCGCTGCAAGCTGCAGCTGTTTGAGGGGTTTGATTGCGATGGCATGAACGGCCCGTACTTTAGTGTGGATACTAAGAAGGCGCTGCGCGAGGACTGGCGCGATCGCGCGTCGTGTTTTAAGACGACGTGCTGGCGGGTTTAGGTACCGGTAGGGGGGGGGTGATGCGGGCTGGGGTTGATGCCAAGGGGGGAGGGGGGACGAAATGGGAGGCAAAGTGGATGCAAGGGGTTATGGCTGTAATTGTGATTCTCGTTTTGTAGGTTCGTGGGGGTAACTGAAATACCCGGCTATGAAACTCCTCGCTGAATAAATACCAACGGCTTGCTCACCCACGCGCGCGAAAGCCTGCGTTGTTCCTCGAGCATGAACACGCGGGAAAATAGTCCTACTGAAAGGTTTCGGTCACTGTAACGGTCATTCGTAGTTCTGTTCTCGACGACTGCTTTTAAAGGGGGCAAATCAACCGTGAGGATATTCCCTTAGTAAACAAGGGAGAGTGCTAGTGCAGCTGGGATAGTAAATTGATAGATCTGTAAATGGACTGTCTACCACTTTACCAACGTACACCTTGTTTTTTATTTTTTCATCGTTAAAACGGGCCATGGAATCGGTATCACCCAACGTGGTCACCAAAACGACTTTCCGTTTCGTTACCGAACGGCAACTACTCAATGGTAAAATGGGAGAGTTCAAGTTCCCACGGGGCCGGGGAGACTTCGCAGTCCAACTTACCCCCTGAAGACCGAGTTCGGCATTTGATTTCGACATCCAAGCCTTCTCCCTTGCTACGCGAATTAGGTCTCGACATTGTGAAGCCGACGCCAGTCAAATCCCATGTGCCGGAGTTGCGAATAACCTTGAGGGACAAAGGACTCGGAGGGACTGTCCACTCCTCAGGGATATCAGACCAAGGTGACATTGCCTCCTTGAGGTTGTCGAACAAAAGCCGCATTGCCGAGGACGACCTATCCAAGATCTCATCCGGCCCGGGGTTGTTTAGAACGTTGATCCCCTTGATTAGTTCCAACGGTATACTGACATACGCCCTTGTTACCCTCGATAGCTTAATAGGGCCCTTGGGGAACAAAAGACGGAGCTTGTAATCGTGATCCATGATGAGCGAGGGGGCAATAATTACGTATTATCGCTTGTTGAATGGACCGCTGTTGTAAGTGGGCTGCAGTGACTAGGTGGTTGAGGTTTTGTGGTGAACGAGAGAGGGTTGACCTGCTATAATAGGGGTGACTTTTAATACAACCTCCTGTACCATCGCGGGTTTAGAACAAAGTAGGCTCCGTTACGTTGGTATGGGGCACACAATGTGGTTCTTTCTCCGGCCTTACAAAGCCAATGTAGCCGACCGGAACAAGAATGACATTTTGCGCCGAAAGACCTCGAGTTATTTTACTGGTTAGGTAGGGAGGCTAGCCGTCCTCGTACCATCTGATCTGAAACGAACACATGATCCCTTGGCCTCCATCATCCCACCTTTTCCGTAACCCCCTCTGGCCGGCCCTACGCGACCCTAGCAGACGTTCCTCTGTCCGCTCCCGGAAAGGGTCCAGTTGGAGTTGTCAGCGCACGGCGACTCGCGCACCGAGGTGCCGTCCACCTGGAGGTTGATCCAAATGTCGCGGGTGTTGGGGAATTCGGAGCGGGCCGCGATACGGACCTCGCCGCCGCCGTTGACCTTGCCGCCGCGGATGGAGAGGTTGTAGCAGTTCTCGATGAGGATCGCGTTGTTGCCGTTGTTGGCCAGGTCGATCTCCTCGATGACGACGCCGCCGGACTGCGACACGCAGAAGATGCCGCGCCCGCCGCCGCGCGAGACCACCTTGTCGATGTAGACGTTGGTGTTGTAGTTGCCGTTCTCGTTCTGCCCGTTGTTGTTGGCCATGCGGAAGGTCGCGTAGCCATTGCCTGCCGCCACGTTGTCGCCGTCCACCAGCCCGACGTGCGCGTTCCTCGTCGCCTGCAGCAGCAGCCCGCACTCGCCCACGTCGCGCGCGATCACCTGGTTGATCTCGAGGCCGTCGATGTTCCACACCTCGACGGCGTGGCTGCCGGCACCCGTCACGCTGATGACGTCCATCTTGACGTCCGAGTTGGCCGCGCGGTCGCGGTCGAAGCGGATGCCCATGCCGCCGCTCAGGTTCATGGTGATCTTGCCGAGGGTGAGGCCGGTGGTGCCCGAGAAGCGCAGACCGAAGTAGGGGTTACCCGTCATGGTCAGGTAGGGGATCTGCACGTCGGTGGTATCGGTCGACTCGATCGCGCCCCGGCCGGATTTGTTGCCCACGTCGATGGTGCCGCAGCCTTCGAAGATCTTGCCGCTCTCGATCGTGAGGGTGTTCGCGCCGATGGAGCCCGAAGCCATGACGGCCACACGCTGGCCGCTAGAGATGGAGTCGAGGGCGGCTTGGATGGCGGCACGGTAGTCGGAACCCGAGTAGACGTCGCTTGAACCCTTCTTAGCGGTAAAGGAGTTGCCGGAGCCGGTCACGGTGGCGTCGGGCGAGCCGGAGCCGCATTGGGCCTGGGCGGCAGAGGCAAGCGCCAGGGCCGCCGTGAGGAGGGAAAGGGTGAATTGGGCCATGACTGTGGTTGTTGGGGCCTCGGAATGGTGATGGGGTCCTTGTGGAGGGCTGAACCAAAGTTGTGAGGCAGGGGGCTTGCTAGCTTTATTTAATCCCCCCGCAAAGTCGGCACTCAATCCATCGAGAAATGGTGGAGTGCGGTTGTGTTGTGGCTGTTATCCCCAAAGGGCGATATAACAGCCCCCGGACAATATGGTTCCGAGGCAGGCTGTTTGGCGGAAATTCGCGTCAATGTGTCGCCGAGCAGCTTAATCAAGCGCGCCACTTATTAAGGGGCTTCGCTGCTACCCCCAGCGGAGTAGTGATGCCCGGCTTGGCTTCGACTTAAAACGACGCGCGCGAAAAGACCGGCATTCGAGGACAACGGTGAGGCTCAACCGCTCAAGCTTACACCGAGAAGGGTTAAAGAAGCGCGACGATTCCACCTATGATACATACTAAGTCAAATTTCAATGCCCTTGGCAAAAGAAGCCACAATATGTTTGTGTTCTGCTCAAATCGACCGGGCCGGCGGGACCAGCCCCTGATGATCGCCAGGTTCCATCGCCCAATCAGATATATCGAAACATGTTCTCCCTGACTGACCTCTTCATGGCAACCGGTTTTCCATCCTCATACACGACGCCCGACGCGCCTCCGTCGCCTGATATCCCCTCCATTTTCTGCCGCAGCTCCTCGTCCATCTCCTTCTGCGTTTTCTTTTGATTTGGGACAAGTGGTTCCACCCCACTCTGAGTCTTTGCTGTTTGCTTTTGACTCGGCAGTGCGTCGGTCCCTCCCTTTGTGCGATGCGTGATCAGTGAATCCATTCAGTATGTCCGGAAAACGGGCAGACCTACTCCGGGATCCAACGTTGATGTTGGGGGGCGGCTAGGGTTGCTAGAGATGGCCCGAAGTGTGCATGCAGTGAAAGGCCTTCGGTCATTGAATTTCAGGAGGGCAACGCGCGCGCAGCTATAATTCGCCGTCAGTTGTGCCGTAGCAGTTCGCGTCTTGGATAAAGAAGTCATCTTCTGTTTTCTTCATTGCACGGCAGTTGAGATGTTTTGTGGGGATACGTAATGGGGAGAAGAATAATTTAGCGAGTCTTGTTTTTGACACGTCGAACGAAGAGAACTGGACGAGCCTGGGCAGTTGTGTGATGTCATCAAAAGTGTTACCTTCGCACCTCCGCTGCTAGAAATCTCTACTATGTACCAGCGTCATTGATCCAAGGCAGTCAAGTGACGATTTCGACAAAGAAAAATGACCCCAAAGCCATCGGAGAGTGGATACACTCCCAACTTCGAGTGTTCTAAAGAAAAATAAGAAAAATGAAGAAAAAGAAATAAAAACAAAGAAAAGGAAACAAGACGGAATACTTAAAGGGGGGAAAAGAGTGGAAACAGAAACAATGGGCACTTGACTCAGAAATCAATAAGAAAGAGAACATCAGCGTCCAAGTTAAACGGCGATACTGGCACCTAAGTAGGTCATAACTAGAAGCTTTGCAAAACATCGACAAAGCTCGTATTCCCCTAAATTCGACTCATACCCAGGGACCTCACCATCCCGAGAGCCGGTTACCCGGATTCCGGGTCTTGGCAAGCAGGATTTTGGGATTTCGCTCGCTGACACACGAAAGCGCGCGAGTGGCTGCCTGAAGTCACGCGTCTCGGTACGAATACCAAATGCAATTTCCCATCTTCATCTCAATCAACGTCCATCGCGATTACGATTGTACGTTGTTTTTGCTTTCCGATGGATCCCCAGCCAGACCAGGAACGCGCCGCCAGCACGCCAGCCACTGAACGGACACCGCTCCTGCCACAAAATGGATCAAGACCACCAACCCGGCCAGTGCCACGCGCCGTGATCGCCGGCCACTGGGTGACAGCGCTGGGTGGAATCTTGGCCATCAGCCTGGCAGTCGCGGTTTATGCAATCAACCAATACAACAGCCCGCGGGTGTACCACTTGATCTGGACAATCCAAGACAACATCTCCCCCACTCTCTTCGCTGTATGCCATACCCCCCCATGCACCCCATATCACTGACGGAGAAGTTGACAAGGTCTGCACAGGGAATCCTTTCTGCATCATGGGCTATCGGCAATCTGGTGCGCGTCCGCCGGGTCGGAGTGCTGATGCCGGCGCTGGTAGCGGCGATAATACACGCCGGCCTAGCAATGTTTTTCGTGATGACGTCCATTCAAGCTGCCGATACCCTTCTCCAAGTCCGCCCGTGCCGTGTATATGGTGATGTGGGGGACGACGAGAGATTCCTTAGATGCGAGCAGTGGGCGGCGAAGTTCCATATCCTCCTGTGGACGTATCTGGCTTCGGCGTTTCTTCTTGGGTAGGTCTTGCCCCTGGGAGCTGCAGAGCTTTGTTAACAAGTCGCTAGATGTGCTCACGCGGTCCTCTTCGTCTCATCCTGCGCGTCTCCTTTCCGGGATCCCTCATGGCGACGGAATCTTAGCACCTGGAGGTTCCCGACTGGCCAGCTGACGGTTGAGTTCACTGTTAAATTTCTACGGCAGGAGCAACCATCTGGAGCTGCTCAAAATGCGGCGCCGGCCATCAACGAGGCCGCTACGTGAAATCTGGAGGGAGATAAAGTTACCTGTACGAGTCGGGCGGTAACCACCTGCCTACTAAGTTGAGAGTGTCGAATGCAAGATGCGCAATTAATATCACACATGGAAAGCTGACCGGGACCACAATCTTCCCCATATGCTGCCCTGACTGCATCGTCCGAAATGCCTTTTCCGCCTTCGAGATGGGGAATACGGTGAGAGGGCTCACGGGGCGGGTTTGCTTCTGCTCGAATAGCCGCATGAGTTCTTGCAGGATCGAGCTTACACTGGTACCGCGGCGGTTCCCCCACGAGCGCAAATCCATAGACATGAAGGAGACGTTACGCGTGAAGGGATGCATGTCCAGGCCGCTGTGCTGCTCAAGGTCTCGCTTTCCAACCCACACAAAGCGGCCAAACTCGCCCAAGCAGTTGAAACTTTCCTGCAGCAACCGCCCCGCCAAAGAGTTGAGCAGCACGTCGACGCCGTGGCCGCCCGTCCTCGCGCGGAGATCGGCCACGAAGGAGACATCTCGGCTCGAGAAGATGCGGTCCGCAGGCATGCCGTATTGTGTCGCCAGAAACTCCCGCTTGGCAGGGGTTCCAGCCGTGACGAACATCTCGATGACCGCCTAGGTAGCCAACGCCGCCTACACATGGCGGGGTGAGAAATCACGCCGTTCTTTTTACTTGTTGAGCTTTGGGTAGGTACCTGGGCAAGATACAAAACATGGTGGAGGAGTAATTCGTCAATCCCTACTCTCATTATATCCGTTGATAAGGTCCTGGAGCGTAGAGCTCGTGCTCCAGAAACGCATCCACCGCCTCGAGATCATCCTCCCATTTTCGCCAGTCATAGCGCCTAGGATCAGCCCCATAGCCATCATTTTCGCTCTGGCCGCACGCGCACGCGCCCAGCTCCTTCCAGGAATCCACTTCGTCCCAGTTCCAGCGACATTCCAACCCCCAATCAATGATACATTCCTGCAGTGTATGGGCATCCCGTTGCCTCTGGGCCCGCAGATGTGATGGGTGAATGCGATCGAAAGACGGATTAGGCATTGTCCATGCGCGGCTAAAGTCGACGAGTTTACCGCCGAGGTAGTTCATGATCTTAATGTCTCTCACAAGAATGCCGAGCTTGTGCAAATTTTCCAGGTCGCTGCAGAGATCGCTCACTTGGTCCGCTGAGAAGGGGTTATCATCCGTTGCCAAATCCTTGACGATCGCGTGAACAGGGCGGTCGAGGACGAGGGGCTCATCCGTCCGATCCCAAGGGTCGGGGTTGTCCTCGGGGTCCAGATCATCTGCATGGGTTTTGGTGCTCCTTGTAATAACCTCGAACTCCTGTTCGGGGGTGAGCAAGAGGTACCCATGCGCGCGGATAGCAAGGTCCTCGTAGTCCTCTTGTTTCAGGCGGCCATAGGCTCGGCATTCTGCGTTGAAAGGGTCAAAATAGTCGATGTAGAGCTGGTCAGATGCAAGCTTATGGTTGAGCCAACCGCCCACTGTTGTTTGTAGTCGGGCAGCTGCATTGAAGCGGAACTAGTACTTGCGCACATCACCGGGTCAACCCTGTTGTCACATGGCTGGCAGCGGGCGAGAGCGTTACTCACTATCTTGAGCGCGTAGTACGGGGCCACCCCGTTGATCCGGACCTTCCAAACGAAAGAATCCAAATCAACAGTTGGGTCGCCGAGTTCGTGGATAAATTCGATCTCGGCATGGGCGGTTGGCGTAAAAGGTGCAAGCTTCGGCCCTGGGAGTTGAGGTAAAGGTTTAGGGTGGTCTGCTGAAGGCGTTGCGGGATCCATAGCGCTGAGGGCAAACTCCGAGTCGTATCGCTGTTGAAATCGCAAGATGGAGCAGCGACGTGGGGCTGTGAATGCTAACTTCGGCTTAGACTAACAAGAAAGTTGCCATGTAGGCAGGTTGTCAACGACGAGATTCACCAACTTGTTCGGGCACGGGGGGATCGGGGGCCTAAGGCTCGAGGTGATCGTTGCAAGTTGGAATTGAAACCACGCCCACATTCCAAATATTCTGCTGTGTCCGGCAAACGCCTGGTCGTCTTGGCGTGCGCACGCGCCGAAAAACGCTCTAATTTTTGAAAAAACGGCCAGAAGACCAGAAATCAGTCGAACTATCTACAGCTATATCAACCAACCCACCACATACGCGCACCGCGCAAATACCTTAAGCTATATATCTAAATATATAGGATTCGAATATTGTATCCGATTAATAATGCGGATAATACGCGCTGAGATCTTGATGGGTTTAAAAACTGGTGAATTTTTGGTAAAAACCGCCAAGACCCGCCAAGCCTTGCCAAGATATCTTCGAAAAGTTCAATAAAAATTAAGAAAAACAGAAATCTATCGATACCTCAACGCGCATTATCCGCATCGTCGATCAGGTATAAAATTCAGATTCTACGTATCTAGATATATAAGTTGAGGTATTTGCGCGGTATACGTATATAGTGGGTTGGTTGATATAACTATATAAAGTTTTTAATTCTCCTTTTCCCCTTTCAAAATTCCAAAAAATTAGAAAATGTTGCGCAACCCGCGCGCGCACGCCAAGACGACCAGGCGTTTGCCGGACACAGTGAGGCTCTGAGCAGCGAAAAAGCAGGTCGCCAAGACCGCACAAGTCCCTCACAGCCTGAGGTTGGTCCAACAGAGCTCAGACCAACAGAGTTCAGACCAGACCAACAATGAGATCTGCCCACTCAAGCCCATTCTTGGCTTCTTCTGGCGTCTTTCCACAAAGTTCTCGACATATAACCCAGTTAGATACCATCCACGTGTTGCCGCCCACTCCCAAACCTCGAGCGACTTTGTTGCTTCCTTACGTTACCTAGGTTGCTACCGCAACCCAGCCTCGAAAAGCTGCCATCGTACCAGCTTACTCCTGGCCACTTCAATGGCCAGAAGAACCCCCTCTCCCCCCGGGGCCCCTCCTAATCTACCTCAAACGCCATCGCCTAATCGGGGTCCAACACTATTACAGATCCTCCAGCGGCCGAACCCGCCGATTACTGACAAGTGGGCCGGTGGGTGGCACAACACACGGTCGGCGGGCGACAGCTTCGATGTGGTGGAACTTGACGACAAACAATCATCGGTGCAACCGTGGGCCGACTTCACCTTCCCTGCAATCCACCTGGCCTATGGGCATCTCCTTCACCAGAATATCCGAGCCTTGGAAGCTAAGTACCGGGCGCCATTAACACCCTCCCCCGGACAGAGGGTGGGAGTTATCGTTGATGAATCCAGCGTCGATGCTTTCGGCATGGATTGGACACGAAACATCGTCAGAGCGCCCATTCGAACAGCAGGCAAGCAGCTCCGTCCTATGATGTCCTCGAATTCGGGCACCAGCACCAGTGCAGCTCTGCGTCGCCAGCGGATAGAGTGGGTAGTTCCCAAGGACAAAAACTCCCGATTGAATCCTGATTGGGTAAGTGGGTATTCCGTCTCTTTTCGACGATGGAACGCCACGAAACCTAGGGTGTCGTTAACGTTTATGCACTGCAGGTTGCCGTGGACGACGAAGTCGAGATCGTGTATCGAGAATGTCACCCGGACGAACGCGAACCCAAGCCCCTCGTGTATGCGGTGGGGGTTAACAAGATCAGCCAAAAGTGGAAGTCTGAGTGGCTCGCGACGCCATCCGATGCGGCAGTGAAAACGGACCCGTGGATCGCGATGAAGACAACGCCCACCAAGTCAGTTGCCTTTGAGCGCCTGCTACCCCTTAACCAAGTGGCGACGTACTGCCGGTACGCCGAGACCCGGTACGCCTTCATTCTTACGCAACGAGAGCTGGTGGCTCTACGCATCAGGCGCATCCCCGGACGTCTTGGTGGGCGTATCAACAAACACCACGCGGCAGTCGAGTACGCCCCGGTGTCGTTGACGGCTAGCACGGGTCTTACCGCAAACTTGGCGATTTGGGCCCTGGCATGCTTGGGGATGAATGATGAGCACCGCGCCATGGAAAAGTCTGGGAACATGCCGCCGGATTCCATGGCGCGGGTCACCTGGTGGAAGTTCAGTGACGAACACGAGGTGTACGAGAATGTCGTTTCCAAACGACGGATTCCCCAGTCAGAGTGGAAGTCAGAATACGGCCAGTTCGTGCACCTGACTGAGAAAGAAGGCAGAAGCTTTACCGAGGCCTTTCTATCTGGCCCCCAACCATTACCGAGAATCAACACGGCGACGCAGCCGATGAAGGTTCTGACTCTCCAACCGCCTCCACCCACGACGGAAGCCGCCACGATGGAAGCCGCCACGACGGGAGGCGCCACGACGGGAGGCACCACGCGGGGAGGCACCGGGCCCTCCACCGCGGAGCCGCGCACAAAGCAGGTTTATATCAACAAAAAGCCCGGGCCCTGCACCGCCACCTATCACAAGGCCACTGGAAAGTGGGTTGTCACTCACCAAGGTCAGACGTTCCCCATCGTGCGAGACGGACGGAAAAGTGTCATCAATATGCACAATGGCACTGGGGTTGAGGTGGAGGATGCTACCTAGATATGCGGGATTCCTACCTTATCGTTAGCCGAGTGTCCGTCTAACATCCCCCCCTTCAGCGGCTATTTCTACCTACCTCCCCCTTTTCTTCTTCCTTCCTCTCCCGAATTCGGCCTCGTACTCTAGCCAATGGCGAAGTGGCGCCGTATGCATGCTTGTTAGTAGAGGCATCAGTGATAGCAGGTCTGAGTCTGTAGAGGGAGTATATACGGCGAGCAAGATTCAGTTCCGGAAAGTTTCTCAACCCTTCTTCAAGACTCAATGACCTCGCCGTCATGTTGCCCCTGGCATCGGACCACCCCAGTGGCTAACGTGTTGGGATCTATTAATTAGTGCCGTGGGCGCCCAACCCCCCTTCGCCTTCGCCCCGACGCTTCTTATCTGATTGCCGGTGGCATGGGCGGAAGCGGACGGTCCATCTGCCAATGGATGGCGGCGCATGGGGCGCGCCAGTTGATCGTCATGTTTCGCTACGCGCGTCAGGAGCATGTTGCGGCCAGCCTCGACGGGGAGGGTTGTCGGGCGCGTGCTGTGGCTTGCAACGTCGCCGACGAAGCTCGGCTGCGCGAAGCGTTACAGGGGCGTTCTGATTTGCCTCCGATTCGCGGTGTTATCCACGCCGGCATGGTTCTCAAAGGTATGACATGACGACTCTCTCGTTTCTATTCCTAGAGTTGCCGCCCGAACATCACAGATACTGATTGATCGTAAACAGGATATGGCATATGAACGAAAGAAACTCGGGTACTTCCAAGCCCCGTTGCGCCCCAAAGTGCAGGGCAGCTTGAACCTGCACAACCCTTTCCAGGACGTCGACTTCTTCATTATGCTGTCGTCGCTAGGCGGAGTTGTAAGCACCGCTGGGCAGGCCAACTACGCAGCCGGGAATGCCTTTCAGGACCCGCTGCCAGGCTTCGGGCGGGAGCAGGGGCTCCAGGCCGTGGCTATCGACTTCGGGATGGTGGAAACCGTGGGCCACGTCGCAGCGAATGCGCACGACATCGGCCAACGGCTGGAGCGGGCCGGTCTCGCATCGATGACCGAGACGGATATGCTTCGCATTGTCGAGTTGGCTATCCGCGAACCGTCTGCGTCGGCCCAGATCACAACCTGCATCAGTACTGGACCGGGACCGCAGTGGGAGAAGTCGATATGGTACCGTGAGGGTCGTTTTGCAGATTTGCGATACCGGAAGACGGTCCAAAGTCAGGCCGAGACCCCAACCAAGGGCGAGGAAAGGCTGCGTGACCAGATCGCTAGCGGCCCAGCGGGGGTGGGAGCGGCCGGGGTGGTGTGTAAGGGTGTTATCAAGAAGATAGGGGTCATGTTTGGGCTGGTCGAGGAGGACATATCACCGGTCAAGAGTACGGTTTGGAAGATTACGGTGTGGATTCGTTGGTTGCGGTCGAGATGTGCAACTGGATCATCTCGCAGATCGGGGTTGACATTTCCATCTTCGAGCTGATGCAGAGCCCGTCGCTGGCAGATCTGTCGAGTGGACCAAGTTGGCTGCCATGTGGAAGAAGTAGAGGGACGGAGCTAAAGACGGTTGGTCGGGAAATGCCTGACACTGCCATAGTATACCTGTGTGTCTCTAGCAACGAGGGCCAAAATGTTGGGAAATATGCTTCCACTTGGAAGGACGAAAGTAGGATTCGTTCATAATACAGCGTGGTAATACAGCAATATTTGAGCTACCGAAGGAACTAGACTACCAGAGACTAGGTACCTATCCAAAAGAACTTGAAGCCCAGCCCAAGACACCGACATACCTTATTCTACCTAACTTACACCAGGGGTGTTCCAGCCAGCCCCCTTCGCCTCAACCAACCGATCACGCCAATCCCGTCACCTCCCTGCCACGATGGTCCAGCCACCAACCCGCCCCAGTGGTCCCGCCACCCACCACCCAACCCACAGCCGCTCATAGCAACACCCTCAACGACCCCGACCGCCCCGGCCCGCCGGCTTCCGGGGATCTTCCTTCACGGCCGGTCTCGCCTCCCGCGCGGGGCCACCGCCTCGGGCCCCGCCTCGGCCCCGCGCACTGGCAGCGCCGCCGGGGCGCCTGTCGGGGCCGCCCATGCTGAGGGCCGACATGCCGGCGGCGATGTCGAACGGGGCGGCCGACGCGGAGCCCTGGTTGCGGGACTGGGGGCCGCCGCGAGGGGGCCGCGGCGTGGCGCCGCGCGTGTGGGACGACATGCCCCCCAGGCCGCCACCGCGGGAAAAGTAGGCCGCGTTCGAACCCCCTTGGATGGGTCCGGTGCCGCCGCCGGCTGGGCCGGGTTGGGCGGGTGCGTGTTGCTGCTGCTGTTGCTGTTGCTGTTGCTGCTGCTGTTGCTGCTGCTGTTGCTGCTGCTGTTGCTGTTGCTGCGGTTGCTGCTGTTGGTGATTGTCGAGAATGTCCATAGCATTAACTGCTGTACCATAAGGGAAAAACTTCACTGAAAGTGTTTTTGCAACCTCTTCGCAGCAAGGTGTCCTGTCCTTATCGCAGAGGGCCTGTAGCCTTGGGGGGCCGTTGTTAAAGGTCCCAAGAACGAGAAGACGGATCGCCTCAGCCCCCTGGTCCCCCCGCACCTTTAGAGTCATCATTACTGTGTTCATGCGAACCAAAACAGTGTCCTCAGCATGAAGTGCCGGAAGAGGGAGCTTGCCAAACCTGGACGCCGCTTTGTACCAGTATTTCGCGACAGACGGACCGTAATCCACCATACTATCGCGCATTTTTCCTCTGGGAATAGTACCACAGAAAACATACCAAATTTTGGTCCCGGCGTAGTCTTCCTGGTAACAACCCACAGCAACGAGACGGCTATTGCTTTTCGTTAGGGAATGTCTTCTTCGGTCGGGGTCAGCCACGAGCCACTGGTAGCATTCCATGCCGATGTCGTATAGCTCTCGCCACTTCGGCCTCTCCTCAAAGCCACGGAGATCCCTAATCCACGTGGAACTCTGATCTTCATCGTACTGGTCCATGAATCCCTTGGTGCAAGGAAGGCCAAACTGAGCTGGGTGGAGCGACATGTTGACTTATCAAACCCGAGGCAACGGAACCAGAATGAAGACAATAAAGGGTAAAAATGCGAACCCGACCCGCGAGTGTGGAAGGTGGGAAACTGTTCTCGGCCGGCGAGAGTCTGGTAAGGCGGATGGGAGCGAGACGAAGGTGAAGGGCAGGAATGTGTTGAGGTTGAGGGAGGAAAATGAGTTCGTATCTCTTGTTGAACGGTCCTTATATCTCCATCGGTCCTTTTCCCCCGTAACCGGTAAATGGATGCGGTGATCGTGATGAGACGGCCATGGCCTCTGATTAGGCCGCCTGCTCTCCCAGATGGCTAGAATCTTGTGTCATCCTGGGCTGCCGCCTCCGTGAAAGTTTCGATAGACGACCAACAGCACGGTGTGAAGCAGCTGGTCTGGGGGTCTGAGACAACGTCAACGGTTATTGTTGGGCCGGCTGAAAGAACGGAAACTGGACATGGCCAGATTCCGAGACCTGCCATGCTCATACGTTCCATGGAACATCTCACACAAGCCAGTCGTTAGGGTCCTACGATGTCAAACACCCTCGTGAGCCCCGTCTCCCGACCTGAGTCGGGGCGCCTCATGGTGGCCGACGGTCGTGAGAAAAGCACGAGGTTGGGTCGCTGCGCCAGACCAAGACAGCTTTTCAAACCAGGCCAAATCTGCGGGCATGCGGAACCGCTGTTGTTGGTGTTGGATTTACAGGGGCACTGCAGCGACGAAGCCAGTTGACGGACGGGTTACCTTGCGTACCTAGGTACTCTCAGACTGCGCCGACGCGGCAGGGACAGAACGTTGCCGGAGTCACGTGATCTAGGTACCTGAGGAAGGTCCAGACCACCTACCTAATTAATTAGGACCCCAGTTCCGGCACGCATCACACAGCACAATATCAAGCTAGAAAGCAACTGAACCAAGCCAACAACGACTCTTGTTCTATTCGGTTTAACTACCGGCTCTACTTCCATTCTCCAATCCAGTGCTGCTCGTTACTTCGACTTCGCCATATCGTGGCTGCTACCTTTTCCGTCTCTTTTCCTTTTCTCTGTGCCGCACCTGAAAAAGGCGTCGGTCGGCGGTCAAGGCCAACCACCCAACACATTGGAACCGAACCAACCGTCAATCTGCCCCAACCCGGAACGCTCAGTCCACGAATAACCCAAGTCATTGACCATGACGTTGGGGTCCCGCGCGAAGCCAGCACCGCCGCTTTTACGCCTCCCCCCAGTCATCCGACGTCACATCTACCGCTTTCTTGGTTTGGCATCGTGGAACGGCTCCCCTTACGGCTTCGACCTGAATGGCCCACGGCGCCAAGTTAGCTGGCTGGCTTGGGCATGGGAGGAACAAAACCCCAATGACTTTCACGGCATACTGCTCTCATGCCGGGACCTTCACGCCGAGACAGCTGCCCTGCTATACTCGGCCAACCGATTCATCCTATACTACACGAACCCTGGTTCCCTCCAGCCTCTCTTCGCGCTGACCCCGATGGCCCTATCGTCTCTTGCCTCCCTCAAGGTCGTTCTTAATCAAGCCTCCTGCCACCAGCGGATACAAAACCACGACGGCCGGGATTGCTGCCTTTATCAGTGTGATTGGCATTCGAGCGCCGTCAGTTCCACCTGTGAAAGGCAATTCCATTCTCGCGAGCACCAGCCCCCGCTGCTTAGCCCAGCGCCTGAAGGTGACGACGACCCATCAGAGGCAACCCGAGCTCTGCTAGGCGAGTGGCAAGCCGCCGCTAGCCATCTATCTCCTTACGTCACCCCTGGACGCCTAGAGCTCAGCCTGGTCTGCGATATTGACCCAAAGCATGAACAGGCAGTCGAGCTAGCCAGATCGGCCCTCGGGCCCCTTCTTCTCTTCCCGTTGCTGAGGAGCTGCCACATCCGCCTTTGCAAGACGCCCGATTCTCGGCTGCGCCAACTAGCGCAGGATGCTGTTTTGCAAAGCACTGGCCTGTCGGCCCCGTATGCGAAGCCGACGTCGACAAGAAGCACGCTCGTAACCCTCCCGCGTGAGCTCCGGCTTCGCATCCTCGAGCTTACTGACCTTGTCACTCCGAGTAAGGAGGTCTGGTGGAGCAGAGACAACCCCAAATACGTATGGTGGGATATGGGAGGTACCGGGCACTGTGTGGACAACGCTTGGTCCGACTGCCAATTCAACGCGTGCTGGCACCGCACCCGCACCCGCATCCGCGCCCACGGCGGGTCATCCATCGGCTGTTTTTGTCATCGCCGACACGCGGCCTTTTCGGCTTCCTGCACCTGCTGGGCTGCGCCCGGGCCTGCTCTGTTTCTCATTTGCCGCACCTTGTATCGGGATGCCCAGCTGGTCTTCTTCACGACCAATCGTTTCGTCGTCCACGACTTTCGTATGCTCCCGCCTTTTTCGATGCCGCATCCTCGTCGCGGGAACTCTGAAATCGTCATAGTGAACTACCCATTAAAACGCCTCGCCGCCTCCCAATTCTTGCGCGAAGTTGTCCCTGCCCACTGTCTCGCGCATCTCCGCTTCCTCGAGCTAGTATTTCCTCCGTACCTTCCCTCTACGTGGCCAGGAACGGACCATCCGGCAATGCGGGACTGGTGGGAGACAGTTGGATGGCTCCGGGACAAGATCAATGGGCCGGCACTCACTCTCCGACTGGTCGTAACCGAGCATAAGTACGATGCGCCGGGTGGTGATAACCCCATTATCACAGCCGCCGAAGGGGCCATAGTCCACAGAGCATACATGGATCTATTACAACCTCTGAAACAGCTGGCCGAAGGGACGGACGGTCTCTCCAGGTTTTATGCTGATTTACGGTATCCATGGGAGCGGACGGCAGAGTCCCTGGAGGCTAGGCCTGAAGACGATGAGCCGAATTGGTTCCGGGAGGAAAAGAAGGCACTGAAAAAGACCGCCGAGCGATACGTCATGGGTGACCGGTACGACAGCGTATACGCGAATGATAAGGAGGAGCCGAAGCACAGCCTTTGGCAGCACGTTACTTACAGGCACTTTTAGGCGATGGAACCACCCCCTGAGCACCCCCTGAGCACCCCCCTGAGCAGCTGAGCAAACCGCTGCCCTGCCAAGAATCTCGACGTCGGCGGCCAGGGCCGAGCACATGACATCATCGCTCAGAAATCATCCCTCAGCCACCCACGCGGCGACACGTCACCCCACATTTCCCGTCTCACCACCACCATTTGTGCTTCATACCTCGGACCACAACTTCACCAGGACAGCCAAGACCAAATCAACGCCTTTATCAGCACAGACTACGGATTCAGATACTCCGATCCATATCATTGAACAAACACGCGACGAGCCGACCCATCATTACCAACCAACCCCAACACTCGCTCACTCAATCATAATTGAAACCCCAAAACAAACCTCTCACCAAGAAACCCCCCTCCCCGCACCCAAAGAACATGGACGCCCAAGCCCCCCAAAACGCCCCCATCCCCCAGCCGGCGCCCGCCCAGCTCCACAACCTACACACCGCCCAGCCGCCAGCTTCGCAGCCTATGAGTACGACCCCCCTTCCCTTTTCCGCCTTTCTGCCTTCCTACCCACCCACCTAGAGCAGCGAGGTGACTCGCGGTCTCGTTAGGAGATAACCGAGGTGGATAGGTATGTGAGACGGGAACTAACTAACCGAATAAACAGACCCGCAGAAGCCGCACCCCGAGAGCGAGGCCGAGCTGGGCCTGCGTGGCGGGCGGAGTAGTCTGTGCCCGGGCCGGTTTTGCTTCTGTGTGCCCTGCCCGTTGCCGTGCGATTGTTGTATTATTTGAGGGGGTGGTGGTGGTTTGAGGGAAGGGGGGCTGGTTTAATGGGATGGGGTGGGTTGGGTGAGGTGGTTTCCTTTTTGATGCAGTGGCGCTTGGTTTGGTGGTTGACATGAGGAGGCGGTGAACTCAAGGGCGGTAATGCTGGTTGTGGTTTTGGAAGGGCTTTTGGTTGATTGAGTTCACATCGGGACAAGCGAATACACAGCGAGCGATTCGATTCTGCTTCACTCATTATTTACCTTGCACATCATTCATACAAGGGTTACAATTAATGAGGGATCATGGGGGAACGAGCCGATAGATGTTGGCTCGACGGAATCGGTGCTTGAGCCAACGGATCCGAAGCTCGAGACAAATGTAAACCGTCTCTAGCCTTGATCATCTCGCATTCTGGCGAACTTCCTGTGCCCCCAAGTAAACATTACATTACATCATAGAACGATGAAGACAAGCCGGAATGCATCCCATTTCCTCAGATAACAGCAACCGCCCCCAGCACAACCCCCGCAACCACAGCAATCCACGACCCGCCCACAACATTCCCCGCGCTCGGCACAGTCGTGCTGCTGCTGCCCGCTTCATTCCCCCCGGAACCGGCGCCTGCACCCGGAGGAGGTGTCGACGCCGGCGGTGGAGTGGCCAAGGAGGTGGATGAGACATCGCCGGTGGCTGAGCCACCTCCCCCCTCCCCGGTATGCGAACTCGGCGAAGCCCCCGAGGAATACGAGGCATCAGCACTATCCGTCTCATCCGCCCGACCCTCCCCCCATCTGTCGGCGCCGCCCCCGTCATCGTCGTGAGCGTCGTCCTCTCAGCCGTCGGACTCGCCACCACCACCACACTCGAACTACTACTACGAAAACACGGCATGAACCACGCCGACGTCGTGCGCGTCTGCGTGCCCGCGTAGTAAGTTGTCGCACCCGGGCACGTCGGTCCGGATGGGGCCCGCCCGCCCGCCCGCCCGCCGCCGCAGTTGAGCGGGTCGCAGATCTCGCCCGTGCCCGGGTCGTCAATACTAGTGCACGATGCCGTCTGCGCAGGTCCCGTATGTGTTAGGCGCCTTCGCAGGCGGAGAGGGCGGGTGTGGCGAGGGTGAGGAGGGTGAGGGCGAGGGCCCGGGTGGGTTTGGCCATTTTTGGGGGTTCGGGGTTGGGTGGCGATGGTGGTGATGAGGTTCGTGGGATTGTGATGAGCAACAACCTGGGGATGATCACGGTATGACGGATGGAAAACTCGTGCGTAGATTTGCAAGGTGTTGCTCTCCTTATACAGATCTGTACACACGGTCCAAACTTGCCGTTTGAATCTTGCATGAACTAACAGTCACATCGGCGAAAAGCAAGAAGAGAGATTACCCACCTAGTGTAATTTCCCCGACTCCTTCCAACACCCGCTTCCAACGGAGGAAACGGCAGTTAAGTTCACGTTGTTCGTCTGGCCAGACTCCCTCCCTCGACCCCGGAAGGTTCCCCATCGACTTTCCTCTTTCAAATGATAATAACCGTCCCTGAAGACTGTTTAAGAGAGGAATGCCTGTTTTTATAGTTGTTATGCCGACGTCCTTGCTTGTGAACGTGAACATAGAAGCCGTATTTTGTTTTTGCTGCGAGGAACTTCAAGTTTGCCTTCTTACCTAGGTACCTAGTTATGTTTTTAGCGGCGGAGGGTGGTCTCGAGTGACAAGCCCACGTCACGACAGATGTTGTTGTCCAGGCATATATTAGAATTTACATTTCCCAGCCAATACTACATGTAAGAATACAGATACATGTCCCAACCTCGCAATGCAATCCCAACGCTCTAATGCAATCCAACAAGTTATCCAACCTTCAAACTTTTTCATCCCATCACCAACGCAGAACAGCCTTGATCTGGACATACCAGAATCCACCGCAAAGACTTCGGAAGAATGACTCACCGTGTCCATCATCCAGACTTCGAACAAACGGCAGCACCGCTTTAGCCTCCTAGCCACCCCAACAAACACCAGCGGGCGCCGTAGGGCGCCGTGATTCAGTGTCATACTGTTCCAAGCTGAGTCGTGGTATTCGACCTGCTCGACCACGGGGCCAGTTGTGGCGAGCCCTCTACCACTGGAGAGTCCCGCCTTCCTCTCCGAATCCTGCTCCAAAGACTTGCCACCGCCGTCGCAACGGCAGATTCCTGGAGGGCTCGTCTTGATCGTTGTGTCGCCGATGTGGCCGTCCGAGGCACGGGACTAAAGGAGAAGCTGTTGCTTTCCATTCGAAATGGTTGAGGGGTTGTGCCAGGTGTCGTCGGGTCGTCATCCGGAGCTGATCCGGATTCCTTGATTCGCTCTTTTTCGCCCTGCAGAAACGAGTCGTGTTAGCCTTTTTACCTGTTCATGCCCCAAAGACTTCAGAGGATCAAAGTGCGGTGGAGCGAAGAAGTACTTACCGGCGTCAGTTGTCTGGATGGTATCAGAAGCCAGCGATCAATCTCTAGCATCTGAACCCATGGTTAGTACCGGTTAACAATACCTAGCCAAAAGTCTCAGGACTAAACAATCGCGGAATAGTAGGCTGTACCCTCAAATCATATTGCCCTGGTCCACATATCCTTTTCACCTCTTCGTCTACTTTTGCAGGCTCGGCGCCACGCGTCTGGAAGTAGAACTCGGCCGGTCCCTCTGTTCCCGGCGCTTCCCCCGTGCCGAACGTGTCCATTCTTCGTGCGGCTGGAATCGAAAAACGGATAATGGCCCTTTAAAGATCGTTTTAGTATACGACAGTCCGTGAACCCGCAATTCTCGAGTGCTGAGACTGGAGTTCAGCTCGAAGGTTGGAAGCCGCACATGGGGAATGGCGCTGTCAGAGTTTGGAAGATCGGTGGGGGAGGCCCTCTCGGGGTCGACTCGGCGTGGTCCAACAAAAGGGGCGCAGGACAGGGGCGCGGTGTGTGGCGTTATTATGCGGTACGACGCTTTTGCAGAGAGATTGATGAAACTATTGGTTATAACAATGCGGTTCAATCTCTTAGGTCCTGCAGCAAAAGCGGGAAGCCGTCCGCTCGAGGGATTTTAAAGGGTAATGCGAAGGGGGCGAAAACTGCCACCTCACTCGCCCCCCACGACGCCCACCGCCAATGATCATCCGGCAGCCTGGCCTGCCTCTCGCCCCATTGCGCGCTGACCACGTCTTGGTGACTCGAGACCGGGTTTCAAGACTTTGGCGGCCGAGGCGGACTCTGGGAGCCTAATGGGTGTTGATGACAATGAACCCGTTTACGGGAGACGACCAACTTCGCAGTTCATTTTGCCCCATGACATGATCACGATGCCATGTCGACACTCACCAGCGAGGCTTCGGAGGCGGCCTCATCTTACCAACGCCAAGTGCAAGGATGAAACCGGGAGAATCCAGCAGCAGTCTGTTGGTGACATGGGACTCAGATGCATGCCACCCCGCATGCCTCAGTCTGCAAGAGACAGCTTCTGGCTCAAGCACTGCAGGTCGATGTGTTTTGATGGTGATATTCGCGGCATCCCAGATGATCTCCCTCTGGTCCAAGGGCCTTTCTGTGGTGAAACGATCAAAGGTGCAGCTCGCTAGACCCGATAAGCGCCGAAGCTGAAGGACACACGGGCTATCTTGGTGGCCGCGCCCAAGGATTGGCTCCCATTGTTACACGAACCGGGCCCTTCTCCCCACCACTACGGCCGGCACTACCCCCATGCTGCGAAGAGGGGTTGTTGCATGCTCGACTCATGAACTAGACTGCTTTTTCCAGGTCTCAGCCGTAAGCAACGCAGTCGAGGCAGGACAAGGCTCGAGCGATGCAGTTTCTCCAGCGGGAACCCCCTTGGGGGGCTGGTATAAAGGGGTGGGCCCGGGCTGAACCAACCACCACCCTTATGGCGCTCCCGTTCTCATCCAGCGGCCTATTCAGCCTTGGCCAGCATATGATACCCCTCTTCCAGAATGGATTGGGCTCCTGCGGTTGATCCTTGTATCACGAAACGTGACTTAGGCGGTTTTTATTACGACAAGAAGCAGTCACATGGGTCGAACGTGCCCACAGTCGTACGGTCCCAGGTAAGTCAACAGGAAAGCGACTGGTGGTCCTTTGATGAGAAGATATGGCGGTCCAATCTGACTTGCGTGTTGGTATATTAGGGCAACAAGTTTGAGATCGTACCACTGGACAGCCAAGAGGCGTGGGACACATGGTTCCAGGTCCGTATTGGAAGGCTTCTTCGGGGTCCATCCCGTCCATTGACCGTCCGGCTTAGAGTGATATATTCAACGATGGGCATATGAAAAGTTCTCATCCGCCACGGGACCTATCTGGCTTCCAGGTTCTGTAAGTTTCTGCTCCCCACACGATGTTTCACTTCGCGTTTTTTCTGCACTCCAAGTAGACGTGCTGACAATTCTAGGGTGTCACCTCACATAGAGCCAGTCGCCCATTCGGGGTTCTCTGGCTTTCATGCTCAGGGTAACCCCGGCCCTCTCCTCGGCGGCGATCTTTCCGACGACGAGAGCGGACCAAAGCCACTTCCCCAAACTCACAGCAATCTCCCCTTCTCAAAGCCCAACTGGGCAAAGGTTGCTAAGGCGTTCATGATCTCCAAGGCAATTTTACACCCAATCAGAAGAAACAAATGTCAATCCACGTTCGTAGCGTGCAACCATGGGGCCGCGGACTTGGAGTTACACACGGCCGTGGCGGCACCATATAACCGGCCAGGAAGCTTCTCTCTCTCCTGCACCTACTTCGCCGCACCGAAACTGACGCTAGCCGTGTTCTACTCGTGTGATTCAACACAACTACAACGGATAATCAAGCTCCTCCGAGGGTCTCCCGAAGTGGCTTCCCATCCGCTGCTTATGGTAGGAGTCTTTGCCGAACTTCAGCTGAATCGCATGGAGGCATCGATAAGCAGGGTGCACCAACTTTGCGATTACAACAAGCGTGTCTTTGACGTCAACTGGGGAAGTAATATGGCCATATTGATCAAGAACCTCAATCGTCGGCTGCGCCGTGGTGAAGTAAAGGCCAAAGAAGCCGAAGAGGAGATGCGGGCCGTCAGGGCCCAGGTGAAGGAAATGGCGGATCGGGTCGACAACCAAGAAACGGCGTGGACCGCATTTGCCCCTCCGGCGGGCGCAGCAGGCCCATCAGGAAATACTGCAGCCATCTCGAATAGGTTCAAGGGCAGGTTCAAGGAGATCGACAACGAGATCGAGGGTTTGATGGCCCAATGTCGGGCCGCTGCCGAAGGGCAGACATATTTGGCCAATCTGGTGAGTATTACCTACCTACCTAGGTACCGACTAACCCGGGGGTAATGGCACCGAGGGCAGGGGAAACGTCCAGCCTCTAACATCTCTATCCACAGTTCATGTCCGAAATCCAGAGAAAAGAAGCAGGAGCCAGTAGGCGTCAGGGAGTACAGAGCAAGTTTCTAGCCATGATTGCAACCATTTTCCTTCCCATGACGAGTGTAGCTGTAAGTCCAACGACAACGATCCACGATAAAACACTCCATTGCTCACTCCATCTGCAGACCATATTCGCCGTGCCGGCCTTCAAGTTTGAGAACGACTGGCGTGACGTTAGATTCCAGCCGGTTAACGGTTCCGATAGCGACGGTGGGTCGTCGTCGTCGTCACCATCCGATCCACCCAATCCTGTCTTCTCGGGTTATGGTATCATTTTTATCGTGGTATCAGTTTGCCTGACCTGTCTTACCTACTATTCCTACCTTTCGGCAAAGAAGCGACTAGAAGAGGATGACGAGCTCGGACTCATAGGCCCCGGTCCCGGCCAACAACAGGTCTCGCCAGCCGCAGGCAAGCAACCCGGGACCACGGCGGGCTTGCAAGGCAAAGAAAGCGGTGGTTCGAGTTCCAGCAGTAGCTCGTTCGCACGACTATGGGGGTTGGAGGCTGGCCTTCGGTTTATCAACCCATTGAGAGCCAGGTCATGGTTCCGCGGAAGAGGTGGAAATGGGGGGCAGAACAACAACCCGGGAGGCAGCCCTGTGTGAAGTGTAAATTCTTGAATTGCTTCCTAAGTATCAGATCGGGGACCGATCTCCACCATAATAGAAGGAAGACTGTAATAGTGGCCATCGTCTCTCGGTTGTTGCTTGAATGGACTAATAACAACTCAGAATGGCACTCGAATCCCTGGTACACACCGGTGAAGATTCCATCAGTCCTCCCGTGAGATCTTGAGACTCTCCGGGTATATACCGATAACCCAGACACAGTTTACGGCTTTCCGCGGGATCGAGGGCGTCACTGTGCTGGGTCCCTCAACCCGGGTCGGCCAGGGGATATTCCACATGTCGAGCCCTCCCAAGGCAGCAGTAAAGCTACAAAGCTACGTTACACTTCCGATTGAGAACTGCTGCGCGTTCAGAGCCAAGCAACTACCGGGACAATTACCACCGCGCTGCAACCACACAAGATCAAGCCATCACAACAACTCCTTGGAATTGACGACTAGGAGAACTCCCGTTTCCCGGTCTGCAGCTCTTCAGTGTGCCGTACCCGGGCGAGCCCGTCGGGTATTTAAGCCATGTTGCCATTACAGCGGGACTCCATGATCCGGAGACCACAGTCGGTAGCCAGAGCTATTTAGCCAGATGAAAGAAGCTACCCAAACTTCACCTCCAAGTCTTGGCCTGCGTTGTTTCTATAATAATACGAGGTACGAAAGACTCCTTGAATCCTTCATGCAGCCTAGACCCACGATAAGAGCGGCCTGCTCCCGGCCGGGGCGTCGGACTCGACAACAAACCCACGTCGACCCAACGACACGACCACCGAGATGTTGTTCTCAAGCCTCCTGCTGACCGCCACGGCCGCGGCCGCCGTTGTCATAATCCCTGGCGGCGGCGACCCAAAGCCCTACACCGGTGCCGTCGGCCTCACCTCGGAAAATGCCTACTTCCGCGAGTCGGCCCCCTACGAGTTCTACAACAACAGCGCCGAGCTCATCATGACCTCCCTTTCCGTCACCAACATGTCGACCGCCCCTGGTCTCCGCCCCTCCGGCGACTCATTCGTCCGCGGTGCCATCCAGGCCTGGGGCGAGCACCTGCACCTCGTGGTCCGCCCGGACGAGGTGTGGTTCACCATCCTGGTCCAGATGAACTTCTACATGCTCTCACACGCCGAGGAGATCCGCTCGCTCTTCGTCGACCACGAGGGCCAGGAGGAGATCTACATCAAGGACTACACCTGGTACGACGTGCTGATCCGCTTCAAGGACGAGATCCAGAAGCGCGTCAAGACGGACTGGCTGCTCGACTGGATCACGCCCAACTTCTCCACCACCACCGACAGCGACATCATGACGGCCAACATCCTCATGATGGGCCTCAGCAAGGCCTACTTCAAGTACATCGGCAAGCAAGTCTGCGGCTTGCCCTCGGTCACCCTCCTCGGCACCCAAGCCGACTGGGACAAGCTCGTCGCCAAGCTCGACCGCCTCCCCGACTTCGGCGCGGAACCCACCGAGTACAAAGCCCGGCTGCGGCCCATCCTCACGCGCATCGCCGCCTCCTTCGCCGACCCGGACTCGGCCGAGACCCGCCTGTTCTGGAACCAGATCGTCAACGCGCAGGCCTCGCACATGTGCGGCGACCCGCCCGTGTACGTCTCCGGCTGGATCACGGGCTTCTACTACTGGAACGACAACGGCCAGCCCTTTGCCCGCGACAGCGCTCGTGACTTCCAGGCCCGCCTTACACTGGATGAGGTCCAGTACCCCGTGCTGGATCTCTCCGTCGCGCCGGTTGGCTACGCCCGCGCGCCGTTTATCATGAAGGATTTTAGGGAGATGGATGAGTTCCCCGCGTATGTGGCGGCGGGGGGGCTGGGGAAGCAGATTACGGAGGGCCCGCCTGAGGGGTATAGGGAGGCGCTGGAGCGGAGTGGTGGGGATGTGAAGCTGGCGGAGGACGAGACGGTTCATGGCACGCTGAGGCCGCTGAGTGGTTGGATGTTGTATGGGCCTGTTGACCATGCGTCGACGCAGGCGCAGCATCTGGAGGAGGAGGAGCTGATGGAGATTATGTTTTATACGAGGCAGGGCATGACGGAGGAGACGTGTGGGTTGATGGAGGCACCGTGAGTGACCAGGGGTTGGATTGGGAAGGGAGAGTGGTATGCCTAGGTTTCATTTGATATCTCTGGGACGGTCTTTATTAGGAGAAACGTAGGGGCCAATGCCAATACCGAGCTACATGTAGGCTTTCGACTAAAACCGCGGCGGCTGCAACAAGCAATACCTGATGCGGTAGCCCCGTCATAGCATCCTTGCGCAGTGCACCTACGACAGCATCTGTGTACATAAACGGGATGTGATGGCCAAGCTAAGAGGGATTAGAACAGGTAAAAGTTGAAAATACAAAAGCCGACGACAACACTGACAGCATGATTGTACGGTGCGCTCAACATATACGTTGGTAAAGCACCACAGAAACGTCAAGTGTAGTATACCTAGATACATACGTAGATAGGTAGTACACAGTATATGGATCCTGAAGCTTTTTATATTACCACGCCAACTCGAAGGTAGACTATCGGATTCTCAGTCCTATGGTACATCATTCCTGTTAAGAGAACTAATTACATACACGAGACTCTCTAATACGTTTTATCTACGCTTGAGGGAGGCACTTGGGTAAGTCAAGTCATTCTGATATTGCACCAAGTCGTTAAAGTTTTGAACAAACCGGACTAGGCACCTACAAGCAGTACTCAAACCTGTTACAGTGTGACATCTGAGACAAAACTCACATCATTTACTCTACGCTATTCCTTCACATCACTACTATGTTCCGCCAGGAGGAGGCGGACGGCACCATCACAAATCTCACTCACCAGAGACCCCCCAACCCAGGCTTCGTGACGGAGACTCACGGAGGTTTCGGTCCAAAAGGACAAGGGGAATACGTCAGCGAAAGACTTCGGGATCCTGCTCTTCGATCGGTGTGGCTTTCCCATGACTCTTTTGGTCACGTTGAAACTCTCGGGGGTCGCTTCTCGGCCCGGCTGGGTGTTGTGTAACGCAGTGGTGCCATGAATCTGACAGGGTAAGTCGGTATTCGTCTGCCTCCCTTCATGCTGGGTTCGTGTCAGCGAGGCGAGAAAGAGTGACTGATTGGTCGGAACGGGGAGGACCTCGTGACAAGAAATAGGCTGAATCCCAGCACCATTCGAGTGTGTGACGGCCAAGATGTGGCTTTTGAAGGAGTTCATGAACCAAGAGTGGGAAGGAGGTGGCACAATGTTTGAGGTATGCAAATCCCAGGGGTCGACACCTGAGGACGACAACATATACAGGCAGTTTTACCGTTTGCTAATTGGGCGTAAAGGAAACCCCATTTGTCCAGAGTCCGTCTCTTCTGCTGAATCCCATGACAAACCGTGGCAATGGCATCATTCATCTCCCGGGCCTCGAGGACCCCGCCTCCCAACCCCCCTGGCACAGGCCGGTCGGTGAGAGGAGCTTCCGTGATATCCGGATGACCACGGATTTTACGAACTGCGTTTGCCTCTTCAATAATTGTGCACTGACGCATCCCGCGCTCACGGTGGATTTCAGTGAACCAAACTATCAGTAGGGCTGACAGGTTTGACAGGGCCAATAGATGTTATTCATAAAATCCCACCCTCTTGACCCGAGAACCGGGATGGCATCAGGCGCAGGGGAGCACAGGGCAGTTCACACCGACATGTCCATGACCGTGCCAGAAACATCCCGCGCTGGTGACGGCTGTGCAAACGAAAGATGCTGGCAAACCCGGTCCTGTCAGCAGTCTGACCAACCGGGAGCCTCCCGATCCACCCGAACTCGGGCGTAAATCCCCGGTCGTGCAGACGCGAAATCACCAGACCCCTCTCCTCAACCCCTGCCTTTCACATGGCGACTTGAAAGGCAATGGATTCGCCAAAGACACGGCACACCCCTGCTTATCACAACATCCTTCGCTCTCAGCCCGTTTGGTCTGGAATGTTCGTTGGTCAAGCTAAGCCTGCAACCGAGCCCTCGCTTCGAGACCGGTGATGAAGGACGGGAGTTCGCGGAAGCAGGTGGCGGCTCCGTGCCGTGGCGGGCGGGAGAAGCTGCTGTAGAACCATCGACTGCATGATGGCGACGATCTACTGCGCGTGTATGTACAATACACATACATATATTCCATTTATAGCTCCCTACCCCTAGCAAGCTTGGGACCGGTCGCGCATGATCAGGCGTTAATTAACAGCTGCGTACTGGTTTCACAAACGCAATGCCCGCGGAAACAAACGGACTTGTTGGCTCGAAGGAGTCGAGACCATGTAGGACCGCCTTATCTGCCCCAATGCAATGGGGTTAAGTGTGTCTCACTGCCCTTGACATTCGTCCTCGGTCGCCTGAGACCATCATCCTTGCCACCACCAGATCCGTCCCAGCTACCTGGATGAGTCCCTTGCAGGCTGCAGAACCATGCCGAACATCCATGGCAATCTGGTTCAGTCAGCCCATGGTGGCAGGATGACATGCACGTGGATGGAAATGTCAAAACTCGTCACTCGCTACTGCGTAATGCCTTGCGGATAGCACCCAAAATGGATGACGTCCACAAGCTGAAGCCCTTCCTACGGATTACACGAGGTGCCCTCGGCGGCCTGGACCGGGTTCTTGGTACCCAATCGCTGTCATCTTTTGGTCGCACACACCCGCGGGCTGTGGGAGGGGGGCAGATGGGGGCCGTCCTCACTTGGATTATGAATCTTGTGATACCGCGTCAGCTCTGCCTGGTGGTGTTCCGGTCGCGTATAAGTAGGCGTACATGTTCCCATATCAAAGCACATGGAGCAGTCTATCGGCGCTTCTTAACAGACCATCAGCAAATAAGTGAACATCAGAGGATCCATCTACACTCCACAGATCATCAGTCAACATGGGACTTGCCCGCTCCCTGGCCGTCGGGCTACTTTGCTCCCTACCCCTATTCAACGCTGTGTTGGCTGCACCAACAGCACCCAATCCTGCTGCCCCGCGGTCCGCCATCGCCATCAAGCTCAACCAGTCGGCCTCCCGCGCCAGGTCTGTGGTCGGGGCCGATGTCGTCGAAGATCTGATCCGCAAGGCGCAGTCAGGCTCCACGCACGCAAAGCGCGATGCCCAGTTCAGCGTCTTGCCGCTCATCACGACGCTGACCCCCGAGAAAATCTCGGAGATGGTTCAGCGCGCCACGGAGCTGAACCCCAACTACAAGCCGGCCGACTTTGGCTCCTGGTTCCAAGTCCAGTTCCCGGACTCCACGGCGGACGAGGATGAGTCTGAGATTGGTCAGCTCTTGAGCAACCTCGCTGCGTATCAGGAGGTGTCCAGCTGCCAGAGGCTTGCCGGGGGCAAGTCACCCCAGACCGCCGTCCAGCCCAACGACGACCCGTGGTTTACTGAGCAGGGCTACCTGACCGGCGACGGTGTGGGTATCGACGCTGTGTATGCCTGGGGCTTCCCTGGCGGCACTGGCGCTGGGACGACCTTCATTGATATCGAGCGCGGCTGGAAGCTGACTCACGAGGATTTGGTATGGCTTTTGAGTACCCCATCACGAATATCAGGTGAAGTTCTAACAAGATATCCAGGTTGCCCAAAACATCACACTTGTTGCTGGTAACAACGCCAACAGATACAACTTCAACTGGCCGCATGGCACCGCCGTCCTAGGGGAGATCTTTATGAGCGACAACACAATTGGCGGTGTTGGGATTGCCCACGGAGCCGAGGGTCATGTCGTCGGCGTCCAGCGCACCGTCGGAGGAGGCCCGGTCGAGAACGAGGCCGAGGCCATCATGGACGCGGCCGCCTACCTCAGCGCCGGCGATGTGATGCTCTTGGAGATGCAGACAGGCGATGCTGCCGGCAACAGCTGGCCGGTCGAGATCCTCGACGCCCAGTTCGACGCCATCAGCCTGGCCACCTCCCTAGGCATCATCGTCATCGAGCCCGCCGCCAACGGCGCCCAAGACATGGACCAGCCCGTCCTGCGCATCGGCGAGACCACGGCGCTCGCCCTGCTCAACAGGGACAGCGCCGACTTCCGCGACTCGGGCGCCATCGTGGTCGGCGCCGGCTCTTCGGCGGCCCCCCACTCTCGGCTGTCCTTCTCCAACTACGGCAACCGCGTGGATGCCTACTCGTGGGGCGAGAACATCGCGACCTCTACCGTCAACGCGGACGACCAAAACGATGATATCTATGACTACTTTGACGGCACGTCGGGCGCGTCGCCCATCGTGGCCGGCGCCGCCCTCATCATCCAGGGCATCGTCAACGTCAACCGCGGCACCAAGCTGACGCCCGCTGAGATGCGTAGCCTCATCACCGTGGGCGGGACGGCTTCGGCTGACCCGTCGAGTGACAAGATTGGTGTGCAGCCGGACTTGAGGGCTCTTATTGATGGGGGGCACTTGGATTAACTTGGCTCTTGGGAGGAAGTGGAAACGGGCCGAAAGGATAGCTACCTACATAGATAGCTAGACTTGAAGATAGTCTGCTGAATACAGCTGTTCTTCTGTGATATAACCATGCTCTGCTAGTGACCAAGTATACCTACTGTACAATGTGTTAATGTATCTGCCGACAATTAAAGTCAGGTATCTAGGTAAGGAAGAGTAACCGAACTTGAAAGTTGCCCCGGGGGTTGGAGGTGGTAGCTTGTCGTCCCAGACTAAATCCTAGTCAAAATACGATAACCATTGAGGGGGTTATTGTTCCAGTTTCTGGCATTCGAAACTCCATTGTGCTCAACATGACCAGGGGATAATGGGGAATTGTGAAAACGAACGCTTTCAGACAACAGGGAAGGAGGGCGGTCATCGATGTGCAACCGCACAGTGTAAGAGAGGTAGTAGGATATCGTGTCGGAGCGACGGGGACATCGTTCCGATTCCACGATGAATACGGTCAGAGCGAGCTCCATGATATCAACTACCTCAAATCCGATGCTTGCCAGCTGGCGTTGAAGTGGGCCAGTCGAGTTTACGTTCTTTGCGCCGCGGCCGTCTATCATTCTGGATCGCGACTCGAGGTTTTCAATGCCACACCTCCAACAGTGCCATCCCAATCATCATCACGCCGACCCCGCGCAGCCATTGCCTGACAATCGAACAATCCGAAATACCGCGCGGGCATGGTAAACGACTTGTTCTCGACACCGCAACACCATGGGCGCCAAGTTCAGCAAAGTTAGCTGCTCCTGCACCATCAATTGCCACCAACATCCTGCTGTCCACGACCACAGCAATGGAGTCGGCCCTTGCCAGCGATGCACTCACTTGCGCCGTCTGCGTGCAGGTACCGAGTCGCGCGCCTCTGCTGCAAGCACCAGCACCGAGTACCTGGCGCGACCGCGGCACTACGCCTCACCAAGTCCTGACTCCGACCTAGCTCGCCGTGAGTCCCGTCTCCAAACCGTCTGCCGTTATCCTCTATTGCGAACTGTCAAACCGGCGAAACACATCACCTCGCGCAATGTCCCATCCAACAACCTCTGGACCGCCCCTACCTCTGCAGCCCCCCCAACCCCCACCCCTCTAAGAACCCTTCCTTCAAGAACACAGAGATCATCGCTGACAACCCAACCCCAGACCTCCTCCTCAACTCAGCCCTCCTCCGCCAGCGCACAGCCACCGCCCAGCGACGCGCCCGCCACAACCGCGCCATCTCCTACCCGGAGGACACCCTCCCCTCACTTAGTAGCACCACCACCGGCCCGAGTCTGAGCCCGAACCCGAGCCCGAGCCTGAGCTCAAGCTCCACAAGCACCATCCTCAACCGCACCCCGTCCCTCCCCAGCAGCGCCATGCGCGCCGCCGCTGCCGCTGCCGCAAGCCCCGCCTACACCCGGGGGAGACACGCCAGTGATGCCGATGAGAGCACTCGCAGCAGTCCCGACGGTGGTGGACACATGGACAGGGATGATGGACCCGCAAGCCGGTCAGGTGCCGTACAGGTAGAGATCTGTGCACCCACGCCGTCGGATATCTCGCGGTCTAGCACGGTCGTGGGGTGGCATGGGTCTGAGGAACGGGGTTCAGAGGAGGGGGAGACTGAGTCGTTGGCGAGGACGAGTCTTTATAGCGGGGAGGGGGAAGATGGGGAGGGGGAGAGTGCTGGTTTCGGGTTGGAGGGTGAGGATACCTAGGGGAAACAGCCCCGTGGGGGAGGCGGGGACGGTGGTTGTCGTGACGCGGACCCCGTGGGTGGATGGGAGACTGGGCGGGGCGGGCTGTAGAGTGTTAGGGGAAACGGCGGACATGAGAGAGTATGATTTGGGCCTCGCGTCTGTTGTTCTGTGTTTGTTTCTCTTCGTCTTTTTGTTTGGGGCGAAATCGGGCATCCTCGTGCGATATGTTGTCATACCCTCACTTGCATCAATCTTTGGCATCTTGTAAGAATAGGATACGAATGGACACGGCCTCAAGGCGCCACCCCTCACAGCGGTACTCCTTCGATCTCCTGGAGATTGCGGTTTAAGTTAACGTCGCCTCCGACAGATTCAATCTCGTGCCCTGCGTTATCTGATTCGGAATTGGGAATCCAACAGCCATGACTGGAAGAAACAGATCACTCATCAACTAACCGACTGCGGGATGGTACTAACAGGCCGCTTTGACACGAACTATAAAATTCAGCATTCACTTGGCACTTGATCATTAGTCTCGGTTCGTTCTCTTCGCCATCCGGGCACTAATAGATGAGCACTTATGACTGCTGCCAGGAGCCTGACGGAACGAACGCCACATCGGCCGCGGCCCAGACCTCCCCGGCACAAATGCCGGCCTGCCCATTGCGTACACGGCTTGATATTGCACTCCAAAGGGCAAAAGCCACAATCTGCCGGTACAACAGCCAGTCTGCTGGGTTCCAATCCGGGGCCCCGCGAAAATCATATATTGCTTGGCGGGATATGCTCTTTCTCCCGGCTCTGCGCCCGACACCGCCGCTTTCATTGGAAGATGAAAAGGACGGTCCGTGTCGTAAACGACGTGCCACCCCTGAGCTCGGCATTTGAGCTGTCCCAAGTAACGAGGGAGCCAGACATGACGGCGATGCGGCGGGGCTTTTATAGCTGAGCAAGTTCTTAGTCGTGTTAGCACTTGATCCCAAATACTCTCCCTGTCATCTGCTCTCGTGAAACGTCCAACCTTTCGTTCCACTCCCCATGACCCCCTGCCAGTGAAGCATCGTCCCCACCAACACCATGAAGCTGACCACCCTTGTCGCTGCCCTCACCTTGGGCGTCGCCGACGTCTCGGGGCACTACATCTTCCAGCAGTTCGGCCTCGGTGCTAAGAAGTTTGGCGTGTATGAGCACATCCGCAAGAACTCCAACTACAACTCGCCCGTGACCAGTCTGTCATCCAACGACCTGCGCTGCAACGTCGGCGGCAACTCGGGCGCCAGCACCTCGGTTCTCGACGTCAAAGCTGGCGACTCCTTCACCTTTATCAGCGATACGGCCGTGTACCACCAAGGACCTATCTCACTCGTCCGTGCTCGGTCCAAACCACTCCCGTGAGAAAGGGTTCCTGACTGACCCCTTCCCAGTACATGTCCAAAGCCCCTGGCTCGGTGACCGACTATGACGGATCAGGTGACTGGTTCAAGATCTATGACTGGGGCCCGACCTTCAACGGCGGCCAGTCGTCGTGGCCGATGAGGAGTATGCAACCCCCTCCCACCTCCCTTCCCTTCCCATCATACCACCACCCTACCACCCGCTTGTCGCTTGCCGAGCCCTTTTCCGAGCACGTCATCCCGATGACAAGACTAACGGCGGCGCAGACTCGTACCAGTACACCATCCCCAAGTGCATCAAAGACGGCGAATACCTGCTGCGTATCCAGTCGCTGGCCATCCACAACCCGGGCAGCACGCCCCAGTTCTACATCAGCTGTGCCCAGCTCAAGGTGACGGGCGGCGGCAGCTCCAGCCCGAGCCCGACAGTCAAGATCCCGGGGGCGTTCAAGGCGACCGATCCGGGATACACCGCCAACGTGAGTGACGAGATCTTCCTTGAGGAGCTCCCAAGTCTGAACGGGCTGGCTGGCGGTTGACGATAGTTGGCTAACCGAGGTTGGGCAGATTTATAACAACTTCAACTCGTACACTGTCCCCGGCCCAGCCGTGTTCCAGTGCTAGACTGCGAGTCCGCTGCGAAGCGTGCGTGCGTAGCGAGTGTCGGTTGGATCGGCTGGCTCGGGTCGGCCGGATGAGGAGGGTGGTGGGCACGGTGGCATGCATCATGTGGAGTTGAGAGAGTTTGGGCCCTTCAAATGTATCGTCATGGTCGTTTTTCAGGTCAGCAACTCGGGTTCTGGATGCGGAATGCAGTCATCTTGGATCCTGTCGGGAGGTCGGCCCTGCTTCCCGTGGCATTTTCAATGCGAAACGAGCCCTGGCCCGCCCAGAAGTGATCGGCAGTACCAGATCTGAGGCGCCGGTCACTGCCGTATTCGGCCCGGAGTGTGCGGGGTCCTGCCGGATCGCCAAGCCCAGAGATCCGGTTCTCACCGGAAAGGGGGTTCATGCAGGCCACGATGCGGGCTGGCGGGCCATGCGGCTCAGGAGCCTCAGCTTCCGCTCACGATCCTCAGCCTGCCCACGGTCCGGGTACGGGTCGAGGCTGATGGGTCGGGACCCCACGGAGCGTCGGGGATATCACCTCGGAGCGGGAACGGCGGAAACGTGAAACAAGATCGAAGAAAACGGAGGAGAGTAAGGTCGGAGGAATAACTGATACGATCATCCGAAACAGGAAAAGAGGCCGATTCAAGAAATCGACTCCAGTCCCGTGGATGTAGGTTAAGCGGCAGCGTGAGTCAGATCAACCCATCGTGGGACTTGTTGTTGAACGCTTGCCAGTGGCTGATGTTGGAGACTTCGACCCCCAACTCGACGATGGAGACGATATTGCAAGTTTTGTTTTTGACCAGCTCGCAGTCAGCTGTCCAGCCGCAAAACTCGGTACAAATACTCAACTTTGAAACTGCCATTGCGCAAAACGAGGCCCTAGAGTGGAGAGCGAATGAATGAATTTGAGTTGCAATAAGAGTCCTAAACGCGGGCGGCGAATGCCGGAGTCTGTCAGAATATTTTCGGATTTCAATCCATCATATTGGTTATATGACTCTGCTAGGCCATCGGCAAGACAATTTCAATGGCGAAAAGGAACCTCCATAAACTTGATTACCTAATCGAGTCGGACAGTGCACCGGTAGCACCTGCTGAGATTCCGCAGGTCCTGGCCAGGTGGCACTGGTAAAAGCTTTGACTGACTCTTCCCATCTAGGAAGGAGCACACGCTTTCAAAAAATTGGCTCTTCGTCAATTCTGTTCAACTTTCTCTTTCAGTGACTGAATCTAACAGCTCCTTTTCTCAAATCTGTACGACTACTAGAATGCAGATTCTCATCCCCATCAACACGCTGCGGTACGACGGTGACGTCATCAACAATCACCAAGCAGACCGGCAGACTTTCGAACTCTGCAGGCACCACGTCGTCGCGGCAAGACATCAGAGCGAGCTGCAAACGCGTTGTGAGCCTCTGGGGACATTCAACAACTAAACTAAAACAACCCCGGTTCTTCCTCCTCGCCTAACTTTCCCAATTCTCTTGTATTTCCTCTTCCCTCGTTCCAGCCCAAGACCGGCTTCAGTTCCCCGTGACCCGAGGATTTTGATCCTTCCTTCATCCCACCGTTTTCTCAAGGGAAAAGCGGGTTTCCTTTGAAGTCCAACCGACGAGTCTGCTAACATCCAAAATCCTAATGTAGTGACCACCTCGCAACGGTCCAAACATCTAACTACCGAGCCAGCGCGAGCCGACGAAAACGGCACACGTGACGACTGGGCCGTCGGACCGCTGCTTACTATACGCAAGTTGATTGGGTATAGGCTGATTTGCCCAACAGAATCGGCCTCGACGCGAGCGCGAAGTCCAAGATAGATGAAGACGGAGGGGTCCAGTCAGCAAAACGGCATTGAGCATGGCCGGGGATTTTATCCAAAGTGGGGGAAGATTACCGATTCCAGCGCACAACGGGGCCTTCTCGAAAACCGAACACGGCGCGCGTCGACGGTCTCGAACCGTCAACTATCAACGTCGGCAAGCTGCACGTACGGTTTTTTTCTTTTTGGTCAAGCTCTTAGCAGATGCACAGGCAGGCTACCAATGGCTCGGATTCGACGTCGAAGCCCAACCGGAACTCGCATTCTCTTTCTAGAGCCCCTTCAAACCGTTGAAGCCGCACCCGAAGGTTACATCCGGCCCGCTGCGGACCCTCCGCCCAAGGACCCCGAGCCCAGCGTTGTTTCCCCGCGAATCACCATGCGCTGGTTTCCTCGTGGCGCTGGCGAATCGAGATGCCGCTGATTCGCCTTCGGAGGGACCCCCGCGAGAGTTGCCAGGCCTGCGCCATGGGGTGCATCTCGACATCGGCGCTTGCTTCCGCGTGCTACCCTGCTTCCATGGCTCTGTCGTGCCGCCCCTGTCAATCAGCTTGGCCAGCCCCCTGGAGCAAAGTTGGGGAAGGCCCACCCCGCACCTGCTTCTCCAATTTACACGCTCCCTTTAATATGAATCTTGCGCGGCTAGCACGCCGATCCCATATGCTTCTGGTTGGAGGCTATACTCTGGACCTGCAGCCCAATCTATCTGGCCCCATCTCCGCTTGTCATTCTTCCGCAGGATCCATCCTCTCGGTGACCCTACGTTTCGTTTCCCGGAGAGCCGTTCCGTCAACACCTTCGAAGATGCGCAAGTGGAGGCCAGGGGTCGTCATGCTCCGCTCGGGTAGACCGAGAGAAGATATTTAGTCTTCGCGCCCGCCCGGTCACCTGGAATCAGGAGGGTGCTTGTCTTTCTTGGCTCAGCCTGACTAACAGGACCAGACTCTGAGCTTTGGCTGCATTGGAACCATGAAGTTCTCGGGCCGCACTGGGGCGACCGCCCTCGCGGCGTCGTTGTGTAAGTCTCGAAGCCTGCCTGGCGACTCGGAGAGAACTGCGGGTTGCTAACTATCCCAAAGCGCTGCAACAAGCTGCCGCACAAATGACCGCCGGAACCTACACCGATGAAGCGACCGGTATCACGCTTAACACGTGGACCGCTAACTCCGGAGGTGCCTTCACCTTCGGTATGGCCCTGCCCGCCGACGCCTTGACGACCGACGCCACCGAGTACATCGGTCTCCTGGTACGTTGGTCCGCTGTATAACAACATGAGCACTTTTACTTATTCTTTTCACAGCGCTGCGAGCTCGCTGATCCCGCCGCACCCGGATACTGCGCCCTCTCCCATGGCCAGTCCGGCCAGATGTCGCAGGCGCTGCTGCTCGTCGCATACGCAAGCGAGGGCACCGTCTACACCTCGTTCCGCTACGCCACCGGCTACACCCTTCCGCCGCTCTACACCGGCGACGCCAAGTTGACGCAGATCTCGTCGTCCGTCAGCGACACCAGCTTCGAGGTGCTCTTCCGCTGCGAGAACTGCTTTGCCTGGAACCAGGACGGTGCCGAGGGAAGCGTCTCGACCAGCACTGGAAACCTGGTTCTCGGCCGTGCCGCCGCCACGTCGGACCTCGAGGGCGGCAGCTGCCCGGACACCGCCACTTTTGGCTTCCACGACAACGGCTTCGGACAGTGGGGTGCAGTGCTCGAGGGTGCTCCTTCGGAGTCGTATGAGGAGTGGGCCGCTCTGGCCACCACCACCCCGGAGACCACCTGCGATGGGTGAGTTCAGCGCCTAGTGTGAAAGCGCCGCTGAGGGGATGCTAACTCTACTCCCAGCTCCGGCGGCCCCATTGCCGAGTGCACCGCTGCGCCCGAGACCACTTACGATTACATCGTCGTCGGCGGTGGTGCCGGTGGTATCCCGGTTGCCGACAAGCTCAGCGAGGCCGGCCACAAGGTCCTGCTTATCGAGAAGGGACCCCCCTCCACCGGCCGGTGGGAGGGAACCATGAAGCCCGAGTGGCTTGAGGGCACCGAGCTCACCCGCTTCGATGTCCCGGGTCTGTGCAACCAGATCTGGGTTGACTCTGCCGGCATTGCCTGCACTGATACCGACCAGATGGCTGGTTGCGTCCTCGGTGGCGGTACTGCCGTCAACGCTGGTTTGTGGTGGAAGGTGAGCTTCTCTTGGACCCCGAACCGATAACTTAAAGCTGACCCCATTGCCAGCCCAACCAGTTGGACTGGGACGAGAACTTCCCCAACGGATGGCACTCGAGCGACGTTTCCGCTGCGACCGAGCGCGTCTTCAACCGTATCCCGGGTACCTCGCATCCTTCCATGGACGGCGAGCTCTACCTTCAGGAAGGCTTTGACGTCCTCACCGGCGGCCTTGCCGAATCTGGCTGGACATCTGTCGTCGCCAACGACGAGCCGAATGCCAAGAACCACACTTTTGCCCACAGCCACTTCATGTTTGCCGGTGGCGAGAGAGACGGCCCCTTGGCTACCTACCTCGTTTCGGCTGATGGCCGTGAGAACTTCGACCTGTGGACCAACACTGCCGTCCGCCGCGCCGTTCGCACTGGTAGTCAGGTCACCGGTGTTGAGCTGGAGTGCCTGACCGATGGTGGTTTCAGCGGAACTGTCAACCTCAACGAAAACGGCGGTGTCATCTTCTCTGCTGGCGCTTTCGGCTCTGCCAAGCTCCTCCTCCGCAGCGGTATCGGCCCTGAGGACCAACTCGAGGTTGTCGCGAGCTCCAAGGACGGCGAGACCTTCACTGCCCAGGACGAGTGGATCAACCTTCCCGTCGGTTCCAACCTGATCGACCATCTCAACACCGATCTTATCCTCACCCACCCCGATGTCGTCTTCTATGACTTCTATGAGGCTTGGGACACCCCCAACGCGGATGACCAGTCGGCGTACCTCGACAACCGGTCGGGCATCCTTGCCCAGGCTGCCCCCAACATCGGCCCCATGGTAAGTAGTATCTGTTATCAATGAATGGGGCCCAGCATTTACTGACCGTGTCAACAGATGTGGGACGAAGTCACTCCTTCCGACGGCAAGGTCCGCCAGTTCCAGTGGACTGCCCGCGTTGAGGGCAGCACCGAGTTCGTCAACTCGACCCGTAAGCACTGACCCTCTATCATCGCTCTGTAGTTTACGGGCACTAACACTTTTTATCTCAGACGCCATGACTCTCAGCCAGTACCTTGGCCGTGGTGTCGCCTCGCGCGGCCGCATGACCATCACCACCGGTCTGGCCACCGTCGTGAGCGAGCACCCTTACCTCCACGATGACTCGGATCTCGAGGCCGTCATCCAGGGCATCAAGAACGTGCAGAACGCGCTGAACGTCATCCCCAACATTACCTGGATCCTTCCTCCCCCCAACGGCACCGTCGAGGACTACGTCAACGGCCTGGCCGTCGGCCCCTCGAACCGCCGCGCCAACCACTGGATGGGCACGGCCAAGCTGGGCTCTGACGATGGCCGCACCGGCGGCACCTCGGTGGTGGACCTCGACACCAAGGTCTACGGCACCGACAACCTGTTCGTGGTGGATGCCTCCATCTTCCCCGGCATGTCCACGGGCAACCCGTCGGCCATGATTGTCATCGTGGCCGAGCAGGCGGCGGAGCGCATTCTGTCGCTCAGGTCGTAAGCTCTCGATTTGCGTCCACGTCAGGGGTCAGGGTAGCAAACGATTCCTGTGATCCCAGATAGCGATCAAATATACCATTCTTGAATCACCAAAGCATAATCCTGTTGAGTGCGTGACCATGCAAGCGTGTTGTGTAATATATGATCCGTGTGCAAGTGTGTGAAGTAGCTAACGACTCTGTGTCGCACAACTTCGCGATTTGGGCATCGGAAGTCGAGAATCACCGCGTTCGAGAAGTAGGGAACAACCGCACTGTACTAGATCTAGAGACTTGGTGCCACAATCCCAAGTCAGCTAACAACCCTAGAAGAAAACGTAGCACAAGAAACCTTGCCGGATGATACAAACGGAGATTCACTGCCAACGAGAAAGGGCACAGTTCCTCCCACGTGCTGCCATGTCACTCGCTTCCCAAAAGTGGCAGAGTGAGGAATATCCCCACCGATGGAAGGGTTTGGGAAGTGAAAGCAACTGGCTACTCATGTTCAGCATTTATTTGTCACCTGAAGACCTCGAGACCCTCCAAGGAATTGGCTTTGTCGCCAGGCCACAGTGGGTAACTCAGGACAACCAACGCATAAGTAGCCAAGTCTAGCTTTCCTCCTTATTTCCCGTGAAAACACTGAGAGTCCCGTCAGATTTGGGGCAGCTATAATGCCCTAACGGCTAAGAATGTGATGAACAGTGGAACGGGCCAACTCCTCTCGATTGGTTTTCCTCCCAGTGGCTGGCGGTACACTAGGTTTTCGAGTATCATGGCCGGGCTTCTGGTATAATCGTCGCATCCAGACGCGTGATCCATGGCCGTGCGCGTTCCCTCGGTGTGGCCGGTCAGGACTCGAAGTCGCCTTTGCTCACCCGTGGCTCTGCAACGCTTGAGCCAATGCTGTCACGAGTTCCGCACTGCTTTGACCCCTACCTGTTATTAGCACGCCTCCATTTCGGGAACTGTTCTCTCGAGTGTTCTGTTCTCAGTCAGCCCATTGGCCGCCACTCTTTATAACGCTCGGCCCTCTACTCGACCTCTCGATTCCATTCCCACTTGACCTTCCACGGACTGTTGAGCTTTCCGGTTTCCGACACTTCAATCATCAACCTCACACCAACTCGATAAAATATATATCGACAAAACCTACCCACAATGTGCAAAGCGATCATCGGTCACTGCCAGTGTCTCCAGTGTATGGAGCACCCGGAGCCTGGCATGCTTCGTCGCGTCGAATACTGCGACGCAAAGCAGGCCGAGGTCGCCGGCATCTGGAATCACTCGACACCCGAAGACGCGAGGGGTTCTCTGCTCCCGTGCGAGAAACTGGCCTTCGTCCGCGAGGGTGATCCCGCTTCGTGCCATTTCAAGGTCACCGAGAAGGAGAATGTCGATATCGCCGAAAAGCAGGGCAAGCCCGACACTGGATCCATCGCTGATGGCGCTCAAGAGAAGCCGATCGAGGCTGCCGAGCATCGGGGCACCCAGTTCACGCCAATCAATGCCGCAGCAATTGCCAGAGCCGCACTCGCGACCCTGGCCAAGGCCGAGTCCAGCAATGTGCAGGAAGCAACGAACGACAACGACTACATGGACATCGACACCCCACCTGCCTCGGCAAGCAGCAACGACCTGAACGAGACAACCCGAGTCAACACAACCGGCACAACCAACAACACCGGCAAGAGCGACAAGGGCAAGGCAATCGACAGGGGCAATAAGGTGCACAACAACAAACCCAGCGCAGCCACCACCACCAACAACAACAAAAAGATGGCTAACACCACCAGTGCCGCCGGCCCCAGACCCGTTCCCAACAACACCGGCGTCAGCAACCCACCCCCGCCCCCAGCGACGCCGAGCAAAAGCAAGGCCAAGGGCAAGGGCAAACAGCCCGCCCCCCTCGCGACATCGACGGCACCCGGCCGCGCAAGCGACAACCCAAGCGCTAGCGGCAGCAACCTCGCCCAGCACCACAACAACGGAAACGAAAACGATAACAACCCCACAACGCCAAAGAAACCCACCAGCACTACGGCCGACAACAACAACAACAACAACAACAACAACAACAACAACAACAACAACAACAACAACAACAACAACAACAACAACAACAACAACAACAACAACAACAACAACAACAACAACAACAACAACAACAACAACAACAGCAACAACACCATCACCACTCCCGGCGGCGGCCCGCGCACGCCGCTGCCGACGTCGCGGCCCAGCACGCCCCGGGTGCGGCAGGCGGAGGCGGCTGCCGCGGCGGCCGAGCTGGCGGCACGGGTGAGCCGTGGCGCGTGGACACACGAGGAGACGGTGCGGCTGCTGTTGTTGCGGTGTCGGGAGGTGGGGTTTGAGGATATGGGGGTGGTGAGTTCATTCTTTTCTTTCTTGCTTGCTTACTTGCTTGCTCTTTCTTGAGGGGGTTGGTTGCGGGGTTGATGGCTCAGTAGCCCACATCGATATATTACCTAGAGAATGATGCTAATGAAATGGTGTAGCATTTGCCTGGTCGGGATGCTGCGGCGTGTTTGGATCGGTTGGCGGGGTTGGCGGTTAAGCATGGGTATGAGGAGTATATCTGAGTGCTTGGGGAGTGCTGGTTTCTTGGGGGACTCTGGGCTACCGAGATACTGGCTACCCGCAGGGTGGTGAGCTGGGAGATTGCACATGGAGAATAGGCGTGGAGCCGGGAGGATTGAATTCGGCTGTTGGGGTTTTTGGGACTCGTTGGTGAAATCGAGGCTCTGGGTAAGGAGGGAAAAGGAAAGAGAGTTTCCGACAGAGCAAACAATGGAACGGGTAGTCGGCTATCCAAGGCGCAGTTCTCTCGGTGGGTGAACCTTGGCATGCATACGGGGCCCTGCTTCGAGAAAGTACCGAGCATGCCCAGGCTTCAGCTCGCTAGCAAACGCAAGTGATTTGACGGTTCGTCTGCAACATCATGCACCAGCGATACTAAGCCTCAAGCTAAGCAACCTAAGGCGGACGAGCTAACACGGGACCAGAGCCTCATGCAAACCTGACACAACGTCCTCGGTCCCGGGAACCTTTAATAATAGTTACCTACCTAAAGTAATAACAGTGTTTCCTTTTCAACCACCTCTACACTCTCCAAACCCAACTCTCAACCCCGACTCAGTTGTCACTTGCTAGCCCCAACCACCAACCGCCAACCTCCAACTCCACCACCCGCAACCGGGCACCAAAACACAAACAAACACAAATGGACATACTCCCACCACCAAACCATCCCCAAACCCGACCACCCCAAAAACCAACCCCACCCAATCCAACGCCCTCAGACACCACCACCACCACCAACCCCAACCCACCAAAGCCACCCCCAAAACCCAAAAAGCCCCCCATCATCACCCTCATAGCCCTCTACATAGCCGGCGGCTGGAGCCTCGACATGGCCCAGCTGATCATCAGCGCGCTCCAACTCTCCACCGGGCCCATCGCCGATACCGACCCCGACATCTACCTGACCCTCCCCCCTTACGCAGCCACCCTGCAGCGGCTGGCGGTAGCATGGACGAGTGTGGGTTTGGTGGCGCATATAGTTTTGGGGTTTCGGGTTGCTGGGCTGGAGGATGATCATGATGCGGGTCAGGGGAGGGGGAGGGGGAAGCTGGTTACGGGGGGGTGGGTGCCGTGGAGTGTGCTCAGTTTGGCGGTTTGGGGGGTGTACGTGGGGATGCAGACGGGGGAGGGGGGGCAGAGGGTCTGGGGGGAGACGGCGGAGTGTCGGGAGGTGAGGCCGACGCTGTCGCAGTGTGATTTGCTGTGGGCGACGTGGGCGGTCGGGTGGGTTTATGTGTGAGTGTTCTTTTGGTCGTTTTCCTTTTGTTTGTTCCGTTTGGCGTTGGGCGGACGGTTGCTGACTTTGGGCAGAGTGCTCCACTTGATACTACTTGGTCTGTTCGGTTTGACGTTTAAAAGGTTAGGGCCGAGGGTGGAGAATGGCCTACCCTCAGCCCCTGAAACTGAAGAAGTCGTTGCCCCTGGAACGGGAGAGGTTGTTGGTGTGGCGGACGCGCCCCGGGACCGGTGGCCACCGTTGAGTTGATACTTCACTCCTAGAGTTAGAGGCGAGCAGAAAATAAACTCGATGCTCTTGTATCCGGGATAAGGAGGCGAGATCCATAAATGGGCGACGGCAAAACGAGAAAAGAAAGAAAAAAGAAATGGTCAACGACAGTGACAGGTTCTTGCAAAGAAACGCATAAATCTCCGGGTTCAATTAAGTACCAATAGCTATTAAATCATCGCTGACACTAGGCTATGCCCCCATAATGCCCTCCCTCAGTTTCCAACCCTGTCCTCACGACTTCTTCGTATCACTTGAGAAGCTTACGATGGTGGTATCAAGCTCCTTTCCTTTCTTTTTGGACTTCGAACTGGAGGACGAGGACCCATTGGTCGAATCCATGCTCCAGTAACTCGAGCTCTTGCCGGATGAATCCTTGGTCGAGTAGCTCGTACTCTTGCCATATGTCTTCTCCCATGCTTTGTCTTGCACGTAAGATTTGGCCTTTTCATGGGGCCGGCCGCCTGCGCAGTACACAAGAGTATCCAGACTATCCCACTTCCGGGAGCTTGACTTCTTGGATGGCATCTCGAGGTCGGAGGTCGGTACTCGTATTGAGCAGACTGTAAGTGTTTATGATAAACGGGGGTTCCCTGGTGGTCTTTGGGGAGCGTGTTTGGAAGTCTGAGAGTATTTGTAGGAAGGGGGAGTATACGCGAGCAGTTCTTATACCCACATGCTGAGTTCCAAAGTCTCGGTGCAAACACATGTTGGGGGCACCAAAGACACAGTTTCTTAACTCCAGGGAGCCACAATGTTTGCTCCCCTGGCTTGCCGTGGGTTAGTCAAACCCGCCTTTTGTGATGAGATGAGTACAATTTACCTATGGCTTGCCTTATTCCTTATAACTACGTTTATATCTAGCCATTGCGCCCCTGACAACAAGCAAGCCGTGGCTCGGAGCCGCAGGATGGGGGACATACCTCAAGTGTGCGTGTCGGGTTGCCCAAGCATGGCCAGTCACAACATCTCCCGCCGCTGGGGGGTATTTATTTTGTGTCTCTTTAGTTCTCTAATGTTGCCGACATCTACACCCACCCACTCTCCGAACTCTAGGAGCGTCAGACCTCCCAACCCCAAGACTAGTACAACGGTAATTACAGGGTCCCCCATCGCCGGAAGGCAGAGAACCTGCGAGTGAAACATGCCGTCTAGCACCGCGGGCATAAAAGAAATAACAACCGCTCCTACAGCTCAACTAGCTTAAATGTACATTTTAGACCCGAATGGTCACTCCAAGCCACCACTCTATCGGCGGGCTCTCCCACGTGGTCTTCCCTTATTATGTTGCCCGGTGATAGGATCCCGACGTCTTGCGCCCTCAGCCCAGCTACAGCAACCTTGTCCATACGGTTCGGTGGAAACGGCTCCTTCCCGTCAACACCCCAAGTAAAACCAGGATTGCCAGGGTGGAGCTCAACCCATGCATCAACAAGCCCATTGTCCTCGACGAGCGTGCTATCGGCGGGCAACACTGGGTTGAAGTCCCCTGCAACAATGCCCCGGCCTGCACTACGTAGCAGGGCGGCGATTACAGAGACTTGCTTGGGTCGAAGGGAGGGTTGGATGGGGAGAGAGTCTAAATGTACGTTGACGAGTCGAATGCGGGCACCTTCGCCAGGTTTACCGTTACCAGCAGCCGACGGGGCGAAAACGTCACAGCACAGCGCATCCCGTCCGAAGCGGCTTGGATATTTGACTCTCCACACAGGACCGGGTTTCTGGAAGCGCACCTTGGAGAGAAGAGTGATAGTTGTAAATGATTGTCCAGCCGGAAGGACGGCGTCTGCATCGCTAAGAAACCAACGCCGGCGGATCTCGGGTTCGTTCAACAGGACCATGAAGCCTTCGCGAGAGAGTTCTTGGAGAAATATGACATCAACAGCTGGAGAGAGGGAGAGAGCATGCGAGAGAATGGCTGAGAAACGTTGCCCTGGAAGGGGTGAGGAGTAGTCCACATTCCAGGTCACAAGGGTATATGGCCGGTCAGTCGCTTCTTGTCCATCTTGGTCGTCTGAGGGCGTCTCTTGTGCAGAGTCTACGACACGCCATCGATTGCCGTTTTCATCGAATTCGTGCCATGACTGGAAGGACGCGGGCGTCCCAGCTGGCAAAGGCGTATCTTGCCACCAAGAGAGGATTTTGGTGCGGAAGTTTGAAAGGAAAGCCATGATGCCGCTTTTTTGCCGGAGAAGGACGAAGGACGCGGGTGGATTGTTGTTGTTGAGCGTGGAGCCGTTGTTGTGGTGAATTCCTCCGTACAGATTAGGTAACCCGTTCCCGCTGAGCCGGGCCGTCTGAGGCCTGGAGCTTTCCGGCCCGACCCACTGTAAGCCACCCCCAAAGTCTGTCTCCCCGGAAAGGTTCTAAGAGGGGCATCAACTACCTGTCAAGGGCCTGCCCGTTACAGATGAACGTAGCCGTCAAGGACGTGGTCGTAGGCAGGTAAAGTTTTACAGTTGCAATTTATCCTAGAGCGGATTTGGCTAGTCCGTGAAACGAAAGTTCACAGCTGTAACTCTGTTGGCCTCACCAAGTCAGTTACCCAGCTGTTGACAGCAAGCATCGTGTGACCCCTGAACTCAGGATGGAGAGACAACAACAAGAGCGTCTTTGTCAAAAGGAGTCACCTGTAACATAACGTAGGCGGTGAACTGGTGATTGACGCTCCTCAACTCCGTTTGGCTCGCCCAAGTTCCTCAACACATCTTGACATCTTGATGCCTTTAACTGCCACCCACTGCTCTCTACGAAACACTTATTCCACGGAATAATGCTGCATCCAAGAACACCAAAACTCTTAGGCGCGCTGTTCCTCGCCTGTGTAGCAGCCGTCCCTGCAAGGGCGGAGCATGCCGGCAGGTACACAGATGTCGCTACAAACATCCACTCCCGCGGTCATAACGACGCATCAGGTTACCTGTTTGGAATGATGACACCCAAAGAACCCGGGACAGACTTCATCGCTCAGATCGTTGCGCCCTTGGTGGATGGCGCCGGATGGGGAGGTGTCTGCTTCGGGAGTTCCATGACCGGCCCGCTCCTACTCGTCACATGGTACGTCTCGGCACCACCCCGAAGGAGGAGGAAGAAGATCGAGGTTGCAACGGTCGCCGTATCTTTTCCACCCCAATGGCGACGGCGGCGAGACTGGTGAGGATGCAGACATGATGGAACAGAGTTGCTAACTCCCCTCCTTATCCAGGGCCGACGGCGACCAAGTGATGACCGCGGGCCGTGTAGCCGAGGACTACACCGCAGCGGGCACCGTTCCATACACAGCCAACTCCATAACCATCTACCCTATCAAGCAGGGGACGTTCGTCAACAGCACGCACATCTCATCGACCTTTCTCTGCGAAGGGTGCATCAACAGCGACTCGTTCGACACCAAACCGACCGGCCGCAGCAACCCCAGCGTCTTCTTCGGCTACGCCTACTCGCCAACGCCCGTCGACGACCCCTCCGACATCGACACCCGCCTCTCAGACCACACCGGCGAGGGGGGCGGGTACGGCGGGTTCCGCGTCATGCTGGGCGATGCCAAGTCGGACGAGTACGACCGGTACGCGGCCATGGCGGGGGGCGGCAGGGACGGTATGCCACCAGACCCGTCTCCGTCGGCAACTCCGGCTCCGACCGCGAGCCCGACCGCGAGCCCGACTACGACCCCGCTACTGCTAGCCCCGGGCCCGACAAGCGAGGCATGGGATGGGTGTTGGGAGGATGAGTGCGAGATGCCGGAGGGGTCGGACTACAGCCACAGGGAGATACCCCTCGCAGAGCTCATTGCCCTGGTGGTTGTGGGCTTGGTGTACGTGGTGCGGGCGTTCATGTCCTGAGTGGACTACCGTTAAAAGAAGCGAACGAGCCGGATGGGGGTTCGGCTGATGGTCCATGGCCTTGGCCGTTGAGGCAAGCGTTATTCCCTTGAGCAGGTGCGTCGCGAGGAAGGTTCGAGCTGTGACTTGAGTTAGCCCTGGATAAGAACATGGACTCGTTCGTTTGCCCACCCTTGTGCTTTCTGCTCGGGAATTGTGGTCTCTACCCAGCTGGTCTAGGCGCTGTTCCCAACGAAGAACTTCGTAATCTTCTGACTTCCGTCGGCTTTTGCCTTGGCCTTGGTAGGGCTTTTGTAGGTGTTGCTCGTAGCGCTGATCTTGCCCCGCCGCTGCGGTTTCTCCTTGACAGGCGACATCGTCTTGAAGGATGGCCCTTTCTTAACCGGCGGTTCACCCGGATCGGGCGATGGGCTAGCCTCCCTCTTGATCCCCTTCTTCGGCGTGCCCATCCCACCACTGCTAGTAGTCTTCCCGGGGTCTTCCGCACTCTTCAAGGCCGTATCTTGCCCTCCTTCACCCACCCCCGTACCTTCCTCAGCCCCCGCCTCAGCCTTCAAACTCCCTCCCTTCTTCTTCTCCGCCGCAGCAGCAAAGAAGTTCGCAATATTCGCCTTATTCTCCCTACTCGCCACAGGGATAACAAAACTCGGCGAGTTATTCCCCACCTTCCCAACCTCCTTACTGACCGGATACACCTCCAGCTCCCCCTCAAACGGCCGCAACAGCCCCTGCAACTCCTTACTCCACTCATCCCTCCCCGGATCGAGCCACTTCCACAGCGCCTCGGACCCAGGCTCCAAAATAACCGGCATCCGATCATGCAGGAACCGCAACCGCTCATTACTATCCGTCGTCACGACCGTAAACGTATACAGCGGCGCCTCCCCCTCCCCCTCATAGCGCACACAATCCCACAGCCCGGCAAAAAACATCAACCGCCCATCCTTCCGCTTCACATAATGCGGCACCCGATCCTTCGTCGCACCCCCACCACCAGAGCCCGTCTTCAGCCACTCGTAGAAGCCCTGCGCGACCACCACGCAGCGCTTGCGGCCCTTCATGCCGGACCACAGCCCGCCGGGCGTGGCCAGCGAGTCGGACCGGCAGTTGATCGTCTTGAGCAGGCTGCTGTAGTCGGGGTTGCGCTTGGTCCAGGAGGGCACGAGGCCCCACTTCATGGACTGGAGTTTGTAGCGTGTTTGGCTGGCGTTTGGGGTGTCCGTGGGAGGGTATGTTTGGTCTGCGGCGGTGGTGTCTGTGGTGGTGTCTGCGGTGGTGTCGGCGGTGGCGGCGGTGGTCGTGCTGCTGCTGCTGTCGGTGTTGCGGTCGGTGTGAGCTGCCCTGGAGGTGCCTGCCCCGCGGTCGGACACGTCGGCGCGGTACACGACGCCGTGGTAGCCCGGGGCGAAATTGTAACTCTGGCGCGGGGCGCCGTCTCCCTCGTCAGCGGGGGCGTCGTTGACGGGCATGTCGTCGTTGTCTTGTAGCATCTGGCGGACTTGCGAAGGCCGCTGCAGGATTGTTAGTGAAGGATGTCAACGATAAAGGACAATAAATGGAGGAAGCCCGGTGAATGCGTAGACCGACTCGACCATCGCAGGATGAGGGGTGTTGCCTAGGATCGCCACTCACCAAAGCCATTGCGTATCGACCGCACATGTTGGCGTTTTATTTCAAATTGGCGGTAATGTCAAGATAGGTAACTCTCATGCGGGTTTAAATAACGAGGATTGAGAATATATGAGCTGGTACGTTGATGCTAGATTCCGCTCTTCTGTTCAATTGTGATGACGTCGGTGATTGAGGTGACGCGACTTGGGTCAGCGGGGAATCGCGAAGACAGTCACCAGGTCACGTGAGCCCATTAGAAAGCCGACGAAGCGGGAACATCCCCCTTTTGTTCCAGCAGTACTCCTGCTCTAGCAAATCTAGGAGTGAGCGAGAAACGACCGAGATATGAACAGTTAGATCCGGATTTTGCAAATTCCAACAACTCCATGCTACCGTACCAAGAAGAAAGAGCTTGTCGACTACCCAGCAACAGCCACCATCCCCCCTTGTTCCATCCCGCCCATCATCCCACTCCGCCGCTTCTCAAACCTCGACTTCCGCCGAATCATCTCATCCTTCTTCCAAGCATCCTCAAACAGCGTCGGCTTCGGCGAGACCTGGTGATCGCGTATCCCCAGCCGCCTCACCACCTGGAACGCGCCGGTGCCGATCGACATGCTCTGCCCCATGATGATACACTCGCTCACGCCCTGGATGCGATCCCCCTTCATGCCGGCGGCCGCATCAAACAAGTGGTCGGGCGTCTTCTCGAACGACGCCAGCTGCAGCACGCTGTCGCGCATCTTGGCCAGGCCGAAACGGGTGATGCCCAGGATCTCGCCCTTGTAGGTCATGACGTCGGCCAGCAGGTCCATGTGGCGCGGGTCGATGCCCATGTCACCCATGACTAACCCGATCTCGTTGGCGATAGTCGTGCGCGCGGCCTCGATGCCTAGCACGTCGCGGCATTCCATGACCGAGTTGGTCACGCACTTGGTGCCGATCACGCCCTCGGTCGTCATGCACGCCCGCAGCCCGTACCCCTCGACAAGCACTTTGTTCTCGTTCTTCTCACTCGTCTGAATGATGGCGCGCGCGGCTTCGGGGTATCCTGAGATGGCGACCTGCGGGAGCATGCGCTTGAGGAAGTTGACGCGGAGCTGGAAATCAGCGGCCGACTCGTCCATCGCGCTGGAGATGAGGTGGCCCTTTTCCACGGCAGCCGCCCGGACCCGAGCTGCTTTGCGCGCTGCGGTAACGTCCTGCCACGTGTTACGGACGATCACCTCGACACGATCGCGGCCGATCCGCAAGTCCTCAGGCTCGATCTTGAGTTTAAGCTTCTTGGCCCGCACGATAGCGTCGGCGATATCCTTCATCGTGATGCCGAGCTGCATGTCCGATAGTGCCTGCAGGTCCACCTGGAGAACAATCTTGGCGACGTCCGGGAGCCACTCGTCGTCGATGTACGAGATGACGTCCGAGATGTATGTCTTCTCGATCCTGCCCTTGACCACACGCGCCGCCTTGATATCCACCTTATTCTCTAGCTTACAGCTGATGACGGGTGTGCTAATGGTCTTCGAGGCGTTGATGATTTCCTTGATACGCGGCACACCCTGCGTGATGCTCATACCAGCGACACCAGCAAAATGGAACGTCTTGAGCGTCATCTGCGTGCCGGGTTCACCGATAGACTGTGCTCCGACGGCGCCCACCGCGTGGCCAGGCTCCACTTGTGCCTTCTTGTACTTGTGCAGACACATATGGATGAACTGCCGTAGTGTGCGCTCCGACACCTTGGCGACGCGGTCGACGTGGGCCCGAGCCTTAACTTGAATCCTCGCTTGTCGAGCCGCGTCGTCGAGCTCGTCCTCCTCGTTGAGTTCCCGCCGCAGGTCTCTCAGCACATACTCCAATGGCTGGCAGGGCTTTCCAAGGGTGTCGACATCCATCTCTGAGTCGTCTGCCTTCACCGGCTCCCACTTGTCGACTTCTTCCTTCATCGCCTTGTCATCCGGAAGGCAGGGATCCAACCCCACCCCCTTCCGAGCCTTCGCCAATTTCATGGCGCGATCCATGACATAGTCGCGGATGGTGTTCAAGTAAACTCTGGCGCTCTCGTGCTCGTCGATGGCGATCAAGACGTCGTGTTCCATGCTCTGACTGATCGTCTCGTCGTCGTACTTGATCTCCTCGTTCGTGACGAGATGGCGCCTAACATACTTACTCCGCTCCTCATCCAGGATTGTCTTGCTCATCTTTTGGATTTCCCAGGGCAGCAGCGACGTGTCTGAATTGCTCCACGTGATGCTCTGCGCATGGTTCCACGTCCTCGTGAAGTCTACGGGCTTGGCATCGCCTTCCATATCAACGGGGTCGAGCCGATCAGCGCCATACTGGAACTGAACAATGCCTCCCTCCGATGTTCGAACGGTGTCGTCGTATTGTGTCGAAAGGTCTTCCAGTGACTTCATCAGTCGTCGGGACATGTAACCTGTCTCGGCTGTCTTGACGGCCGTGTCGACGAGGCCTTCTCTACCAGAGATAGCGTGGAACAGGAACTCGGTCGGGACCAGACCGGTGTAGAAACTGTTCCTCACGAAACCCTTGGACGGAGGTTGACGCGCGTTCTTGTGGAAATGCGGCAGACTGCGGTCCTGGAATCCATCGGGCACACGCTTGCCGCCGATAATCTGTTGACCGACGCAGGCAACCATCTGGGCCACGTTGATGTTGGAACCTTTAGATCCGGAATTAGCCATGATTAGCGGAGCATTGTTTTTGCTGAGGTTCTCAACACAGTAATCACCCGCCTGCTGTCGGACTTTGCTGAGAATACCAGAGATGGAGTTTTCGAGCGTCTCCTCAAGGTTGCAGCCGGCGGCCTTCTCCAATTTTCCTTGCCTATAGGTCTCGATGAGATCATCGCACTTCTTGTAGGCGTCCTCGACAAGTTGGGCTTTGTGGCTCGTCAGGGGCCCCGACGGCCACACATCCCCCACACCAATCGAGAACCCCCGAAGCGTCAGGGTTCTGGCGCAGAGCTTGGACAACCGATTCATCGCGACCGCCGCATAGTCCGGCCCAAAATCACGGAGGATCACGTAAAAGACCGAGTTCTTCTTGCCTCCTCCGACCGTGGACTTGTCCATCCTCCCGCACATAACTTCCGAGTTACGAACAACCAAGAAGGCGTCATCAACGTCCATGTCGGGAATCTGGCCATCATTCTTCTTCGTAAACACTTTATTCTTGGCCTCCAAGTTCACAAGGACGGGTGACTCTTTGTTGGGCCGCATCAGGACGTTGAAGATCTGCTTGCCAGTCCACAGAGCCTTGGGCTTGATGATCGCAGGAGGGGGGAGCTCGAGATGGGTGTCACCCAAAAGCATCTGAGTGCAGACATAGGTGAACGACGCCCGGTCGAAGAAGATATCCTTGCTGCTCAGAAGGTAAGCCGCAGTGATGAAATCCTGTGTAGCGGCAATGATCGGCTCGCCGTTCTTGGGCGTGACGAGGTTGTGTTTGACGCCCATCAAGTTGATGGCTTCTGCCCGAGCCTCTTCAGTCTGTGGAACGTGCAGGTTCATCTCGTCTCCGTCGAAATCGGCGTTGTACGGGGTGCACACGCATTCATTGAGACGGAACGTCCTCCAGGGTCGAATTTTGGCGAGATGGCTCATGATACTAAGCTTGTGTAGCGAAGGTTGCCGGTTGAAGAGGACGACATCGTTGTCTTCTAGATGGCGCTCAACAACATCTCCGTGCTCTAAGCTGTTGGCGTGTTTCTCGCGGAGACTTTCATTGCCGATCTTTAGGTTATACTTGGCCCCATCCTTCTTGATGATACCTTGGGCGCCGGGCCAAATATTAGGCCCGGTGATGACGCGCTCCCTCAACTTCTCGATGTTCGCGTGATTTACCCGCTCTGGATAAGTCAAATTCTTGGCCACCAATTCGGGAACTGCCACCTGTTCAATGCTCAGGTTGGGATCGGGCGAGATAACAGTTCGTCCGGAGAAGTCGACACGCTTGCCCGAAAGATTGCCACGGAACCGCCCTTGTTTGCCCTTGAGGCGCTGACAAAATCCGCGAATCGGCTTCCCGAAGCCGGGTTGGTAGAGACCCGGTACATCGCTGTTGACATACATGCCCACTTGCAGCTGCAAGAACTCCCACTGCTCCATAATGACCGGCAACGCAACCCCCTTCTTCAACGACTCTCGCAAGTGACCAGCGTAGAGAATGATTTCTGAAAGCTTGCTCGTGATGTCGTCCTCGTTGCTAGCATTCTCCTGCGCAACAGACGGCCTGATGCAGATGGGAGGAGCTGGGAGGTATTGCCACAAGAACATGTCGGGTCGACCCTCGGAGGGGTCCAACCCTAACAGTTCACAATCGGTCTGACTAATCGTCCTGAAGAGGTTCAAGACTTTCAGGGGATTCAAGTCCTCCATGGCCTTTCGTGTATGTTTCTCCAGCTCGGGCGTGTACTTCTTGGCCTGGTCGAACGATGCATCAAACTCGACTTTGCTCTCGGGCGCAATCTTCTTTTGGGCCGTCGATTTATTGTAGGCCGAGAACTTGTCATGCACAAGCTTCATGACGCTCAACTTCCGGATGACGCCTTGTATGGAACCACAATGCGGGCATGTCCTCGCCTTTCTGCACTGCTCGTTGATTCTTTTCAATATTCCTGATCGCCTCAGATTGTCGATCCCAGGGCGGCGCAGTTCTTTCAGGAACTGGCGCCGTTCGGGCTCCTGCAAGAGAATTTTGGCGCAGTCCTTGCAGATATTTTGTAGTGTCGCTTGGATGTACTTGAGGTAGCCGATGTGGAAGACGGGTAACGGCAGGCGAACGTGGCCGAAATGACCAGGGCATTCTTGCAGCCCCAAGTGGCATGTGCTGCACTTGCTTTCGCGGTTCGTGCTCGAGGTTCCCTACGGACTTTTGTTAGCCCTGGCAAGCGAAAATGATAATGCGCTCGAGCTGCTCACCAGGCGTGGGTCCAGGGGTCCATGGGGGAACGCCGCTCGCCTGTTTTCCACATCGTAGAGCAAATTGTCGGAGACTTCAAGAACACCCTGGCTCACTATGTCTTGGTGCGATCTAAGTAGTGACAACGCATTAGTTTCCATCACCGAAATGGTAGGGCGGCGGGGTGCTCCGAGGGGCGCCTACTGAACCCCGAACTTTAACGCCTTGAACCGCTTTGGGAGCTGGTCAACCAGCTGCTCCTTGCGCCGGCGTGCTTTTTGTTCGATAGCCATTTCCCCTCTGCAAATGTGATGGCAAGTTGCAAGTCAAATCGCGAAAATTACGGGATGCGCTCGATGTCGCTGTCCTCGGCTACCTGCTCATAGCGGGCAGGGCTGATTGTGTGATGAAACGGTTGGTCGATGGATGTCAAGATCGGACGGAGTATCGGATAATTGAGGAAAATGCTATCGCTCGATAACGTGTGTCCAGTGTTTCTTTTACGGGTGGCGGTGGTGGAAGGGCAAAATGAAGTCTCGGTGTTATCAACAACTTCAAGTTTCTTGAGGTCCAAACTCAAGTTCGCGAACAATTTTTGGAGGCGGGGCAAGACATCCAGCAATGACTCCAATTCCAAGCGTCGTGCCCCACCACAGTCCGTGAATCCATGCAACCTTATGCAGCATCCGCGCTCCGCCAAGGTGCATGGGCCGTTTTGGCTTGGCGCGAACGTTCCACCCCGCGATGGCTTGACGACTCACCGACTGTGGCGTCGTGCCGTATGTCAGCGACTCGGACTGCGAAGTGAGACGGGAGCATCAGCCTCAGCTCAGCTCGGACCACCTCGTCCTGCCTGCCGGAAACGGTCGACGGCCCCATGTCCCCGCCAACCAGCAGCCACGGTGTCAGCACACTCCGTCATCGTTTGCTCGGAGCATGTGTTCTCTGCCAGTGTCACCTGCAGCTTCAGAACCGACCCAAACCAAGACCACACTATCGGGCCAATGTAAATCTTCCCTGTGCCTCACTCTTGAGACATTGTTGGCCAGATAAGACACCTGTGACAAACTGTCCTTGTTAACCATCATTTTTTACGACTTTCCATCTGTCATCAACCACTGTTTCGAACACTTCATCCTAAATCGCGATTCCCCGCCACCAGCGCCCCTCGTCTCCGCGTCGCGCCGCTTTCAACGGCGAAGCTCTGTGCCTCTCGCTCCTCTAGCGTCGGGATTAACAATTCTCTCGCGTTGCATTATTCATCACGATTGGCACCGCTGATTTTATTGCGAATTGGCCCTTATTCCTTGTTGAGGCGGTCACATCTCCACCAGAGCACCCGTCGACTTTGGCAGGGAAGACGAATATCGAGACCTCCCCTCGGTTGGCCGCTCGGCCATACCGGAGTCATGCCGCCGGGCTCAGCCGAAAAGAAGGCTGAGAAGTCATATCTCGCCTCGGCTGTTGACTCGATCAACCCCTGGGCCGGAAGCCGCAGTGCAACCCCGACACCAAAAGACCCCCAGCCGGCAGTGGTTCCGTCAAACCCTGGGGACCATGTGACGAACCCCTTCTATGGCCAAAGCTCGGGGCGGTATCCGCCAGATTGTCCACCGTTGAAAGTGAAATGGTTCCACGCGGTTGATGTAAGTCCGCCGATTGCACAACCTCCGCCGGGGAAGGGTACTTACACCAGACTTGACCAGATCCCGAAGCGCAAACCTAAATTTATGTCGGCTAAGAGTACCGAGGACGCAAAACCGACTCCGCCCAAAAAGTTCGTCTCGTTCTCTGTCGAAGACTCCCGCGCCATCGAGGTTGCGTACCAGGGAAAGCTGCAGGAACTAGAACGAGAAAAGGAGCAAAACAATGGGCCTAATGGCCCAGGAATCGGAGCCAAACGGCCCCGCGCAGCTTCTACCGAAGGTACACAAGACGCCGACTCGACGGCTTCTCACACTACCGTTCCAGTGAACGAGGATTTTCTGTTTGATGTTAACCTAGAGGACCGTGAACTTTCGCCTGTATACTGGGAGGGTCCTACTTACCATGTCCGACGCGGAAGCTGGTTCTACCAGGAGGGCTCGGCCCTCCGCCCCTGTGAGGAAAATCTAGCTGCTCAGCTGGAGGAGGGTTATCTTAAAACCAAACCCTGGCAGTATCTGCCGAGGGCGCGGAGCAACTCTGCGTCCAAAACGGTTGCCCCAAAAACTTCGGCGAGTGACCTGAAGGCTGTTGCCGACGCTCAAGGGGATTCTCCCAAGAAAGATCCTGCGCAGCAGATTCAGCCACAAACTTACCGCCTCTTTGGAGGCTACATGAATAGCGTAGTAACATACCAAGACGCGAACACGGCCTGGCTATCATCCGACAGTATGCTGTCCTGGGTGACGTCAACCGTGTACGAGAGGTTCGCGGGCGGCGGCTACATGGGCGGTGTGAAACTCGTTCGCGGATACACCGAGCCGAAAAAGTCCAAGGAGGAAAAGCGGCCGTCGACCCCAGAGGGCACAAAGTCGACGTCGAAAGAACGTGACGACAAGACGTCCAAGGCTCTGAAGAGGCGGTCCGCGCCCCCATCTAGCACAGGATCGGAGGCCGGCGATCCAAAAGAGGACGTCCATGACAATCTCCAAAGCACCCGAAACCGCCTGACACGACAGCTTTCGAACCTAGTGGAGAGAGCCGAGGACCCTGAGGCACAGGAAGAGGCTATCCGCGAGCGCGAAGAGGAGGAAATTTCGGAGGACTACAACACCAGAGTCGACGACAACCAGGGACGAGACATTGAACACCTCGTGCTTGTTACTCATGGTATTGGGCAACTCCTGTCGCGCAGGTATGTGTCTATCCCTAGTCTGTGAGCCGATCCGTAGCTGACTGAACCACAGGATGGAGAGCATAAACTTTGTACATGATGTCAACATGCTTCGCAAGACGATGAAGTCGGTTTACTCGGCTTCGGCGGACCTACGCGCCCTCAACTCGGAGATTGACGAACCCGGACTTGGGAACTCCCGTGTCCAGGTTTTACCCGTTAACTGGCGCCATCTTCTCGATTTTCCAAAGCGCAAGCCGAAACGGGGAGAGCGAGATCTCGGGGAGTTACACGACGACGAGGACGACTGTGAGTGGCTACGAACTCCGTCGCACGCCTCGCATGGTAGCTAACACATCCACAGATCCTTCCCTAGAAGACATCACGATCGAGGGGGTTGCCTTTGCAAGATCGCTCATATCTGACCTCGCCCTCGACGTTCTCCTCTACCAGAGTGCTTATCGGGAGCAGATTGTCGAGATCGTGCTACGAGAGTCAAACCGTATCTACAAAATCTTCAAGGAGCGCAACCCCGAATTCAAGGGAAAAGTGCACGTCGTGGGCCACTCGCTGGGCTCTGCGATCATGTTTGACATTCTCTGCCGGCAGAAGGAGAAAACCCTGGTCACCGACTTTCCCAGGAACCCTCTCCGGTTCTGGCCTTCTCCAGACCGGTACGAGCCAAAGGAACAAAAAGAGCTGGCTTTCGAATTTGAGGTAGACGACTTCTACTGCCTTGGCTCTCCCATCGGGCTATTCCAAATGCTCAAAGGCCGCACCATCTCCGCCCGGGACCTGCCCAACGCCCTCCCATCCGAGAGCCCGCTCAACCCAGACTACATGGATGACCCTTTTCTGGACCTCCCTCCCCAAGCGTATGCTAACCAACGCCTCTCGCCCATCACCGGGCTACCCTTCAACGTCTCGTCTCCCAAAGTCGGCCAACTTTTCAACGTCTTTCATCCTTCCGACCCCATATCGTACCGCCTCGAGCCCCTCATCTCTCCCATCATGACTACTCTTAAACCCCAAGCCCTACCGTACACAAAGAAGGGCATCTTTGGCTCCGTCGCACCACAGGGGCTCACCGGCATTGGCGCCAAAGTAGGCCAGAGCGTTTCCGGGCTCTGGAGCAGTCTCAGTGCGGGGATTGCCAGCAATCTGCTCAACCGCAGCCTCGGGCTTACCAATGAGGACGTGGCCAGGATTACGGCATCTCAACAGCAGCAGCAGCAACAGCAACAGCAACAGCAACAGCAACAGCAACAGCAATCACAGCAGCAACAACCCTCAAGCCCTGGCGCAGGAACCAATATCTCGGCCGGGGTGATCGCAGATAGCGACGCCCTCTCTGAGGTGGAACGCAGCGAAAAGACGGCGGAGCGTATGCGCAAGCTAGCTAGTGGCGCGGCGAACGGCGCCGGTGCGGGTGCGCTGATTGATGACGAGTTGGAAACGCTATTTAGTACATTCCAGAAGAGCCGGGCTGATATGGCGAGCACGAATGCAAAGGATGCTAGTAAAGAGTCGGGGAAGGACGCTACTATCAGGGACTCCGTGACGCTCAATCGGGAGAAGTGGGCGGAGGAGGAGCGTAAGGCGCAGAGGATGAAGAGGGAGGAGATGAAGATCAGGGCGCTGAACCGAAACGGGAGGGTGGATTACTGCATTCAGGAGTGAGTCCTCGCTTTCGTGCCCATTTTTGAGTCTGTGGTGGTTGGCTAACCAGGAGTAGGAGTGTTCTTGACTTCAACCCGATCAACACCATCGCTTCGCACATGAGCTACTGGGCGGACGAGGATGTCAGTCATTTCATGCTATCACAGATGTTGGCGAACAAGGCACAAAGTCCAAGGGGTTGACTTCCCAGTGTTGGGTCATTGTGGCGTTATCAGGGAACAAAGTCTCAGACGGCGAGGCTTACATTAGAGGTTTAGAAGGCGTTAGATACCTGGATACCAACCAACCCAGCAGTGGGTGTTGCTTCTTTGTTCAGTTTCCATATCTCGAGTTTCCGTCGCCCGGTCGTTGAGGTATCATGGGCTACACCCCCCCTTTCCCCTCCATCCCCCCAACAACAGTCCAACCCCTTCACTTTTAGCTAAACAACCCCCCCTCCACCAACCTCGACCACGGCGCCCCCAGCTCCAAGCACACATCCCCGGCCGTCCTCCCCGCCTCATCCCTCACAACCCTCACGTCCTCCCCTTCCCCACCGCCATCCACGCGCCTCGGCAACCCCATCGCCAGCGCAACCTGCACCACCGCGTCCGGGAAATCCTCCTGCCTCGCCCCGCTCCCCAGCCAGAGCAGCAACCACACGACCTCCTCCTGCCGCGCCTCCAGCGCCACGTGCAGCGCGCTCCGCCCGCCGTTGAGCGGGTCGCGCCAGGTCAGCAGCTGCGACGACGAGAGCCCCGTCGCTGCCGCCGCCGCCGCCCCGTCTTCCCCGTCCTCTTCGTCCTCGTCCTCATCCTCATCCTCGTCCTCCGCGTCGGCGCCGCGCAGCACCTCCACCGTCCCCTGCACGTCGCCCTCCGATGCAAGCGTGTGCAGCGCCCGCGCCGCGCGCGCCTCCGGGTGCGCGGTCAAGAAGGCTTCCTCCGCGAGGAAGGGGTAGATGTCTAGTGAGGGCTGGACGCCGCCTTCGTTGGTGTAGTGTGTTAAGATAACCGGGGTGGGAAGTGCTGGTGCTGTTGCTGCCGAGGAGGAGGAACCCCCGGCCGCCGTGGGGGCGTTGGAGGGCAGCGGGCGGTTGCAGGACGGGCAGGTCAGGGTGCTGGTTATGGTGGAGGACTCGCCTAGCAGGCATTGCCAGTGGAAGTGGCAGCCGCAGGGCAGGAGGAGGTCATCGGGAACGGTCTGCTCGTCGGCCGCGTCCTCCTCGACGCCGGAGTCTTCTGCGTCTAGGGTTAGGGTGAGCGGGTCGTGGCAGGATCTGCAGGTTTCCGTCATCTTGGGCCGGAGTGGGATTTGATGATGCCGGGGAGATGTGAAAGTGAGAGTTTTCAAGTCTTTGGGGCTCTTGCTGTCGGGGAGGTTAGTCACTGCCTGAAGATGTGTCAAGGGCAACGCGGCCTTTTTACTTTGTGGACTTACTTACGGCCAGTGAATTTTGAGTCGTCACCTCAGTGAACCCTTGTTTAACTCAATTAGGCATTAAAGTTGCTCCCAGGTTGTGAAGCTATCCACGCAATGCCAACCCAAAGGAAAAGGAAATAAATTTCAGTTGCCGCCGTTAACAGTGTACTTTGCTCCACCGGTGGATTCCCGTTTGGTTTGACTGAATTGGTGCCAAGAAGAGGTTTTTGTTTAACAAATACTTCTGTTGAAGATTGGGGGCTGCCTGAAGCTTGATTGGGCGGTTACGCAATCCTGCTGGGGCTGAATTCGACACCCTGGTAGGATTACATCAGTCCCCAGGGGAGGGAGCCCCTCCACCCCCCGCCAACCCAACACGGATGAGCAAGCGCAGCAGCCTCCTGAAGAGACAAAAGGGCAAGATCCCGACTGCGGTTCCCCGCTGATTCCCTTTTTGTTTGCTTCACCTCGCGCACCTGATTTACCTACACCGAAACACAAACCCCCTTTCCTAGTTGCGCTGGGGGCCATCATTGCCGAACATCGTCAGACCATCTCCACAACAGCTCTGCGAAATCGCGCCCGCCATGAACGTTCTCAAGCTTCAGAGGTAAGGCTGACGCGGCTCGACCGCAATTCCCACGGCGCATACTTTTGAAATACCTAGTATTGACACCCCTCGGGCAGGAAATTTCCTCAATTCCAACAGAACGACATCTTTTCCCTCGCCGACGCCTTCCGCAAACTCGACGTTGATGACAAGGGGTACATTGACGAGGCCACTGCCATCAAAGCCACGCAAACAAGCGAGCGCCAGCCCTATGATGTGGTCCGCCAAGCACTGAAAGAGGTTGAGATTGACTCCTCCAGGCGAGTTGAGTTGGAAGACTACGTCGGGGTACGTCCAAATCTCTGTTGATCGCTAAGCTCCTCCACAAGCTGCTACTCGAGGTTGAATCCAATTTCTGTAAGGCTGAATCGCTAACCCCTCCTCCAGCTTGTCGCCAAGCTTCGGGACTCTCCCGGGGGCTCCCAGGGGGCTTCCGCCGCCGCCGCCGCTTCACCAGCTGCTGTCATCTCCCAGCGAACCGGTGGGGGCCACGCTTCCAAGGGCAGCATCGGCGGCAGCGGCAAGATCTTTGTGCAGGGGTCGAACTCTAACATCACTCACACCATTAACGAAGATGAGCGCACTGAATTCACCCGCCACATCAATGCCGTTCTCGCAGGCGACGCCGACATTGGCGCCCGGTTGCCATTCCCGACAGACACGTTCGAGATGTTCGATGAGTGCAAGGATGGTCTAGTGCTCGCCAAGCTCATCAACGACAGCGTCCCCGACACGATCGATGAGCGCGTGCTCAACATTCCCGGCAGGAAGATCAAGGCGCTCAATGCTTTCCATATGAGCGAAAACAACAACATCGTCATCGAGTCGGCCAAGGGTATCGGCTGTTCAGTGGTCAATATCGGCAGCGGGGATATCATCGAGGTCCGGGAGCATCTTATTCTTGGTCTGATTTGGCAGGTCATCCGCCGCGGTCTCTTGGGCAAGATTGACATAAAGCTGCACCCCGAGCTTTACCGGCTGCTCGAGGAGGACGAGACCCTGGAGCAGTTCCTTCGCCTCCCCCCAGAGCAAATCCTCCTCCGTTGGTTCAACTACCACCTCAAGGCTGCCAACTGGCCGAGGAGGGTACAAAACTTTTCGACCGACGTGAAGGACGCCGAAAACTACACCGTTTTGTTGGCACAAATTGGGCAAGAGTACGGTTGCACTCGCGGCCCTCTGCAGACCCGTGACCTACACCAACGGGCCGAAGAGGTACTCCAGAACGCTGACAGGCTGGGGTGCCGGAAGTTCTTGACTCCCTCCTCACTCGTGGCCGGCAACCCCAAGCTCAACCTCGCGTTCGTTGCCAACCTCTTCAACACGCATCCTTGCCTCGACCCCATCACCGAGGAGGAGAAGATTGAAGTGGAGGACTTTGACGCGGAAGGCGAGCGCGAGGCCCGTGTGTTCACGCTGTGGCTCAACAGCTTGGACGTGCAGCCGGCCGTCCAATCCTTCTTCGACGACCTTTGCGACGGCACCATCCTGATGCAAGCGTACGACAAGGTTATCAAGGGCTCGGTTAACTGGCGAGGCGTCAACAAGCGGCCGGCGCACGGCGGCGAGATGTCGCGGTTCAAGGCAGTCGAGAACACCAACTACGCCATCGAGCTCGGCAAGCAGAACGGCTTCTCGCTGGTCGGCATCCAGGGCGCCGACATCACAGACGGACAGCGCAAGCTCACGTTGGGGCTGGTCTGGCAGCTTATGCGCAAGGACATCACACTGACGCTCAAGGGCCTCGCGCAGCGCCTCGGCAAGCGCGAGATCACCGACGCCGAGATGGTGCGTTGGGCCAACGAAATGAGCCGCAAGGGTGGCCGCAACTCGAGCATCCGTTCCTTTAAGGACCCGGCTATCGGCACGGGCATCTTTTTGCTGGATGTTCTCAGCGGTATGAAGACCAGCTATGTCGACTACGACCTGGTCACGGATGGTCGCACCGACGAGGACGCCTACTTGAATGCCAAGCTTAGCATCAGCATTGCGAGAAAGATGGGAGCGACCATCTGGCTGGTGCCAGAGGATATCTGCCAAGTTCGCGCCCGCCTAGTGACGACGTTTATCGGTAAGTCCAACCCTCCGTTCATGAGTACGGGGGATGAGAAACTGACAATACCACAGGTTCGTTGATGGCGACCCACGAGAAGATGCAGTAGGTGGTGTAACAACGTTTGGTAGATGGGGGTGGCAGGTTGGTTCCAGGAAAAGTTGAATGAGCAATGGGATCATGATTTTACCCATCCATGGGTGTGTTCGAGCAGGTTGATTTCCTTGTGCAGTCGAATCCTGGAGGCAGTGATGTCCCAATTCAGGTCTACCTTGTATTCCAGCCGGCCGTTTCAACAAGCTGGCTCGTGTCCATTGTCTTTGCTATGCGAGTCATCCTTTTGGCCGCTTCTCATTTGCCTTCTATCCTCTCTGTAAGAATCACGGATCCGCCGAAGACAGCTGAACGGTTACTATTTCAAGAAATCATCGGCTTTGGACGTTTCACTGCCCCAATTCTGACCATTTCGCCCCCTTAAGGATTTCAGAGCCAAGCACTGCCATGGTTGAAGAGTTCAACTCCTGGTAATCCGCGGTCAGCCTGACTCAAAGAACCCCCCTAGCCCTCAGGGTTCACAGTCGACCCCCTGAAAAAGGCGGGAGCGGGCGGCAGTATGGATGTTCCTTGACGACCCCGCCACCCCTCGCCGCCGAGAGTCGCTGCGGTTGCCCCACCAAATTTTGAGTCAACGGTTCGAGTCACCTTTATTAGCCGGGTGAGTCCAACTTTCAAGGGAATTGTGCTCGACAATCGCTTTACACTTTTTCCTTCTTTGCGAAAAGGCAGGACACAATGGCGGCCGCGGACTCGGACAAGCGTTTTGCTCTCATCAAGGAGAACCTCGCCGAGGTGCTGAACGAGGAGATCATCAAGAAGATCCTCGATGAGGGGCAACATCCCAAGATCTACTGGGGTACGTTCCATGCGACCATAGGTAGTTTGGTCCTCGTGACAGAAGATATTGACATGACAACCCGCGCTCAGGCACCGCGACAACAGGCCGCCCACACTGTGGCTACTTCGTCGCCGCCATCAAGATCGCCCAGTTCCTCGCCGCCGGTTGCGACGTGACCATCCTCCTCGCAGACATCCATGGCTTCCTCGACAACCTCAAGGCGCCGCTCGAGCTGGTCATGCACCGCGCCGAGTTCTACCGTCACATCATCATCGCGACGCTCCAGGCCATCGGCGTGTCGACGGAGAAGCTCCGGGTCGTGCTCGGCAGCTCGTACCAGAAGAGCCCCGAATACGTGATGGACGTGTACAAGATGGCGTCGCTCATCTCGGAGCACGACGCGAAGAAGGCCGGCGCCGAGGTGGTCAAGCAGACGGACAACGCGCCCATGAGCGGCCTGCTGTACCCGATCCTGCAGGTGCTGGACGAGCAGTACCTGGACTGCGACGCGCAGTTCGGCGGCATGGACCAGCGGAAGCTGTTCACCGCCGCCAAGGACTGGCTGCCCAAGCTGGGCTACCGAGAGCGCGCCCACTTGCTGAACCCCATGGTCCCCGGCTTACACGGCGGCAAGATGAGCTCGAGCGACCCGGACAGCAAGGTCGACCTGCTCGATCCGCCGGAGACGGTTGCCAAGAAGATCAAGAAGGCGCACGCCGCGCCGCAAGTTGTCGAGGATAACGGCCTGCTGGCGTTTATCGAGTTCGTTTTGCTCCCTGCGGCGCGTCTCCGCGGGAGTGGGGAGTTCCGCGTCGAGCGTGAGCGGGATGGGTTGGAGCCGCTCGTTTACACAGAGGTTGAGAAGATCCGCGAGGATTACAAGAACGATGTGGTGAGTTTTGGTTCTTAGTAGTCATGCATACGCAGGAACTAACATAGCCGCAGTTGACGCCACAACTCATCAAACCCGCCGTTGCGAAGGAACTTAGCTCGCTGCTAGCCCCCATCCAGGAGGCATTCCAGAATTCTAAGGAGTGGCAAGATATTGCTGAGAAGGCTTACCCACCACCCCCGAAGAAGGAGAAGAAGGTCAAGAACAAGGGGACACGCTACCCTGGGGGTGGTAATGAGCAGGCTGGGAGCAAAGACAAGGAACTGCCCGTCCGGCCGAATGAGCAGACTCCTAACTGATTCGCGAATGGGATGCTATGATACCCAGGCTACTTAGTCTCGAGAGATGTAAACCTCGGGGCACACGTGGTGATAGCCCGAGGCGCAACGAGTGACTGTGCATGTACTCTTACCCCTATATTCGAAACGTCGGGTTATGGTGTCACCATAGCTTCGGGAGAATTTATTCGTTCAAGGTTCACCATACAGGGGTCTTCACGCTCTGGCAGTTGGCCGAGATGCCCGTTGTAACCGGACGTTGAAGTTAAGACTCGAATCGAGCAGTTACTAAATCCACAATACTTGTATCCTGGTGACGTCAGGGGAAACACCACCCATACTCAACCCCAACCCTTCCACGTCCCTTTAAGGGAAGCTGCTCGTTGGCCCTTTGTCTTCAATGGAGTTCCCGTCATTCGGAGTTTCGACTTCTAAATTCTCCGATCCGCCTTGCTGCTTCATTCGGCCCCCGTTTACTTACAGGTTGCCACAGAAATCGGTATTCGGGTCTTACACGTGTTCCGAGGCTTCAAGTGATCAACAGCCGACATCCGCCACCCTTTCCTGTCGGTTCTTGACGTTCGTAATGATGGAGCGCTCTGATCCGTTGAATCCGGTAGCGCAATGGATTGTGGCTGGATCATTGATGTAACATGGACCAGTCAGTGTCAGACGGTAAAATGTCTTCTTACTCCTCAACCGGGCTCAAGCGCTCATCAGATCACCGCGAACCACGAAATAATTGCACCAATTTTACGCCGTTTTGACGCCTAATCCATTGCGCCAAATCTTGTCAAAATTGATGGTTATATTTGATTATTCGTTAGAATCATTCGCCGCTCTTTTACCGTTCACCTACCATGGGCCGGAAAGGGGGACACGGCGCTAACGGTGCGGGCTCCGAGGCCGAGGCCGGGGCCGGGGCCGGGGCCGGGGCCGGGTATGGATCCACCAACGGCATGGTTGCCGGTACGGCTCCGGTGAACGGCGATGGATTTCCGTTTTCGTCAGCCGGTACCCCGTCTGCGCTACAGAACGTTCCCCAAAATGCTGAGGAGGAAGAGGTACTCGGTCGGGATTCCGATATCACAAATCACAATAAACACCATGACTCGACAGGCTGCCCACCGGATGCTGCCGCGGTGAGAAGACGGAAGATCCCAGAGCTTCAACCACCCGATGACACACCAACACCGCCATCCACATCCCTCACCCCCTCCCCCAACAACAACAACACCACCACCACCACCAGCCACCTCCCCCACCGCCGCAGGGCCGCCAACAGCAGCAGCAGCGGCAAGAAATTCACCACCCCCGTCTTCACGCACGCCTTCTCGACCTTTGACCGGCAGAACCCGCACGCGGCCAACTCGCCCTTCCACGGCTTCTTCACCCTCTTCTGGATGGCCGTCTTCCTGTTCGTCGTCAAGATCGCCGCCGACAACTGGCGCCGCCACGGCAGCCCGCTCGGCACCAACGAGATCATGCGGGGCATGTTTGGGCGCAAGGGGGAGGTGGTGGTGCTGTTGGTTGCGGACGGGGTTATGTGTGGGATTACGGGGGTGGGGTGGGTGTTGCAGGGTGTGGTGGTGTGGAGGGGGTGGGTGGATTGGGATGGGGGCGGGTGGGTGGTGCAGAATGTGAGTTGTTTTTTTTTGTTTTTCTTTTCTCATTTTTTGCCTGGTTTTCTTCTGCTTTGGTTCCTATCGTCGATTTTGTTATGTCTGGCAGTGTGAGGAAAGTGCTAATAAATGCGGGTATAGATCTGGCAGACCGCGTTCATCGCCGGCGTGGTCGGGTTCACGAGGTTGAGGGACTGGCCGTGGACGCATACTGTGTTTTTTGTGTTGCATGGCCTGGTCATGCTCATGAAGCAGCACTCGTATGCGTTTTACAACGGGCATCTGAGCTCGGTGTATAAGCAGCGCAAGTTTTTGCTGGGCAAGATCAAGGAGCTGGAACGGATCTCGCCGGTCACATCCCCGTCATCGACTGGGCCGCCCGTCGCGGATATCGACACGGCGCATCTAGCTAGGGTACCGTCGGCGAGGGAGAGGCGGCAGTCCCTGCCGCATGAGAATGTTTTGGATATTGGACGGATCGTTACGGCCATCGACTCGCGCGAGCCCCTTGACGGAGAGCAGGTGCACGTCTTTGAGCGGGTGCTAAAGTGGGAGGTGGATGCGCTGTCGGACGAGCTCAGGGGCAAGTCGACAAAGCCGGGTCGTGAGTACCCCAACAACCTGACTTTGTGCAACCACTACGAGTACATTGTCCTGCCGACGGTGGTTTACGAGCTCGAGTACCCGCGTTCCAAGTCTATCAACTGGTACTATGCCGCCGAGAAAGCCGCGGCCTGCTTCGGCATCATTTTCGTTATGATCATGATCTCGCAGGCTTTTATCTACCCCGTCGTCATGACCACAGTCCGCATGAAGGAGGAAGGCGTTCCGTTGGCCGGCCGGTTCCGCGAGTTTCCATGGATGCTGCTGGACCTGGTCTTCCCTTTCTTGATGGAGTACCTGCTGACGTGGTACCTCATCTGGGAGACCATCCTCAACTTCCTGGCCGAGCTGACCTACTTTGCGGACCGCAGCTTCTACGACGCGTGGTGGAATTGTGTCTCATGGGACCAGTTCGCAAGGGACTGGAACCGCCCCGTGCACAACTTCCTGCTGAGGCATGTCTATCACAGCTCCATCTCGGCCATGAAGGTCGACAAGCACACGGCCACCCTCATTACCTTCTTCTTGTCGGCCTGTGTCCACGAGCTGGTTATGTGGTGCATTTTCAAGAAGCTGAGGGGCTACCTGTTAATCTTGCAGATGTGCCAGCTACCGGTGAGTTTGCTGTAGCGAAGATTCCTTATCGTTGTTGTCAAGGTGCTAACTTGGCGTCATGCAGTTGGTGAGGCTTAGTCGGACGAAATGGCTCCGGAACCGGGCGACGCTTGGCAACGTCATCTTTTGGTTGGGTATTTTCACGGGACCTAGTGTCCTCTGTAGCCTATATTTGATCTTGTGATTGAGAGTTTATTGTCTGTAACTAGGTAGCTCTTTAATCACCTCGCAAACAAGGAGACATTAAATTGGCATAACAACCTACACATGACACAGTCACGTTATGGTTCCAACAGTTTCGAGGATTGGGTTCTCCACAATTCCAAATGCGAACTCGAGCTTGTGATTGTTCTTGTTACGAATACTGATGGGCAACGTTTGGTGCGTGCGGTCCCAACGAGCTCAACAAAGGTCGTGCATGTTCTTTGCCTGAGGCAGCCCGCTGCAGCTATCCTGCGCGAACTGTCACTCGGCTGCAGTTCTTGGCTGACACGCGCTGCGTGTTGGGAGCCAATGGTCGCGCTGATATAAAGGTGGGTCACCTAGCCTAGGCTTCTTTTGGGGCCGGCCATTCCACTTTCTCCGAACATTCCACCTCTCACCTCCGTCAACCTCTTCGAAATCCATCAAACCATCATCGAGTGGTGGTTCTTCTTGGTTGTCTTTGCCCGCCAAGCATTGCCATTGTTCAGGCCGGTGGCAAAACTCACCCTGTTCTCGGGGAAATTGCAGAGTTTAAGGAGTCTCATTGCAGCGTCGCGCTCACTCGGAATTGGTTTTCTTCAGGCAACCGCTGCCACTTTTTCACCAATTATCAAACCCGTCAACCCATCACCATGTCTCGCAACGGGACCACGCTTTACGTGTCCGGCTTCAGCCACGGCACTCGCGCGCGCGACCTTGCGTACGAATTCGAGCGGTACGTTTAACACCACACGGCGATGGCTCGATCACCAACATCGGGCTCGGTCCTCGATCACCTTCCTCTTGCCGTCCTCCCCCTCCTACGTCTTCCCTCCTCGTCGTCGCGCTCCCTCGCCCACCTCCCTTCCATACCTCCTCGCCGCCGTCGCTCCCACTACTCCGCGCCCGGTGATTCGCTCGAGGCTCCCGATCTCGTGCCCTCGCCCCCCTCCTTTCGATCGAGCGGCCGGCGAAGACATAAAAAGCATCCCTTTGTTGCACCGGGCGAGCAACCTGCCAAGAGCAGCATATATTTTGGAGTTTGACCGCGCGCGGCTAGCAAAGAAACCTCCTCCTTAACATCCCCGCGGGATTTGTCAAGGTGCTGACGACGTGGATTCATCTAGCTACGGCCGTCTGGTCCGCTGTGACATTCCGGCTCCGCGGTCCGCGAGCAGCAGGCTGTAAGTTGCACCCGCTAATTGACTTGACGGGTGACAACAGCATCTCTAACTATCGTCTCCAGGTTTGCTTTCGTGGAGTACGAGGATCGCCGCGATGCGGACGACGCGTACCATGATATGCACAACAAGCGCATCGGTCGCGACGATGTGCTGAAGATCGAGGTAGGTTTCGGACGTCACCGCCTATTCAGCCCGACCAGTGTATTGATGATTTCGCTTTAGTGGGCTCGTACCCCCCCTTCCGCTTCGTGGCGGTTCGACCGCAGCGAACGGGAGCGTGGGCCGCGCCGCTCTTCTCCGCGCCGTCGGTCGCCCAGCCCGCGCCGTCGCGACTATTCCCCCAGGAAGGACGATCGCCGTGACCGCGACCGGGACCGTGACTATGACCGTGATCGCCGTGACACCCGCGACCGCTCGCGCAGCCCCGATCGGTATGTATCATGCTGCTACCCCCCCGTGCCGACCAGCCATCCTCAACATGCTGATACCAGTTCCAGCGATCGGGACCGTGAGATCAAGGACGACCGTGACCGTGACGACCGCGACCGTCGCGAAAACGGCGCGAATGGTGACGACAGGAAGCGTATGTTTTCTCTAGTTATTCGCACAAATATTAAGGCAGGCGATATCTGACACACAATGCAGCCATCGACAGCCCCGACCGGCCGGCCCACGACGACCTCGATGTCGCCGAATGAACGCATTTTGCTCGGGAACCCCCTTCTTAATCGCGATTCCGGGTTCTGGCTGTAAGACTGTCACTGATGCACTTTCGGCGTTCTCTTCCCTCCTGTGGTGGATTACTGATGTTGGACGTCTCTTGGGCGTTCAACCTTCTCAAGCTCGTTACCCCTGTTCCCAGTTTGCGTCGGCCGAATGTGCGCTCCCGATTGGGGCTTCCATAATACGTTCCAATTTGGAGAATACAGCAGGGACATCCGCAACGACGGACCCTGAAGAGGCAGTGGGACGTAGACTTACGCATGCGATCGTTTCATCTCCTTACGTTTTTGGTGGAGTCGGTGGGAAGCTAAAATAGATAAACTGTTACGAGTAGGTAGCAATCGCAGGTTGGTCTCTCAACAATGTCCTCGTGACGCGACACGCCATGCATCCGGGCCTCGTGAGCATTCGATTTCAAGTCGCTCAAACCTCGGAGCTTGGCATGACAACATTGGCTCGGCGACACCGAGCCGATCCTATTATGCAGACTGGTGCGAGATAATCCGGTCTCCTTTGCGCGCTCCCGACGGCGACCCCGACGGCAGCTCAGTATCATGGCTTGTCAAGCGAGCTGTGTGTTGCTATATCATGTTCAATGGCTCCGAGCTTTGAAAAGAGGATGAAGAGACTCCGCCGTCAAACCCCGCCCGACTTGGGCGTTGGTGGAGGGTTGCTCCGCAAGAGACACGTACCAACGAGCTGAGGCGGGAACAACTCTGTCGGCTATTGGCGGCAATACGTCGAGTCTTGGTTGACAATGATTTTACTCGTCGAGCCCGAGCAGCATTGCGTTACCGACAAGCTGGCCTCGCATGTACAATGTAGGTAGGTATGTACGAGCAGATGAGGGGCTCACGGGCTGCCAGGTACCCGTGATACTTGTCAAAATACGACTCGCTGCCTCATAGGGCACGGTGTTTCGGTCATCTGGCGGAGCGTCCATCGCTGCGGCTAACTCTTTTAGCCCGCCTGCTTCCTACCTAAGGAGATCGACAGCAAGTCATCGATCGGTACCTTGCACGGGACCTTGTCCCAAAAGCGTAATTTAGAGGTTGAGAAGCAGACGGCGCCAAACGCGCTTGGATAAAGGGGGCTTGTCTAGTCGAGCCAATTGCCCCATTGTCTTCCTCGACAAACGCCCGGAATATTGCCCAACTCGTGCTTTGATGCCAAAGGAGCAAGTCAGTGAGCACAGCCATTTTTAGCTACAAGAGAGCCCAAACAGCGCTGAGCCGTGAAGTGGCTTGGCACCTTTGCCTTGTTCGAGTTTTCGTCATCTGGGCTCGGTGCCGCGCCGGCCCACTGCATCGACGAACCAATCTCCACCAGCCACACGGTCCTCTTCAAAAGCTCCGTCTCAGCATTCTCCTTAACAAATCTCCAAACCGAAATTGCCTTGCGCTCTCCTGTCGCCGTCGTCGTGACAGCTCTTTCCGAGACATCCCTTGAGGACCATAGGCACAGACCTTCGACAGTTCAACATCCCCGAAGACGAGCACGGCGCCACTTATGCGACTCGAGGACCCGAAACCGGCTCGTTCTCCAGACATGTCAGCCTTGCAACCATAACCTTGAATCTAAACCCCTCGACGTCCTGTCAATCTACTTCCCCTGACTAGTGACCGCCCATTTGCTCCGTGACGGCCGCGAACCTTTGGACATCCACGTCAACCGGCCTCTTCGCTGAACACGGAGCTTTATCTTCACTCTCTAGTTACGGCTCAATCGCTCATAATGTCAGCCGTACGTATCCCTTATCTCAGCCGCGCCGCGGGGCTGTTCTTCTGTCCAGCATTCTTCCCCCGCTTTGATATAACATTACGAGAACGGCTTCGGTGCTGCATCTCTCTTATACTAACTCTATGATCCCACCCCAGGCTCAGTCCACACAGTCCAAGTCCGGGCCACCAGAGCCCGAGCTCTCGACGTCACCCTCGCCGCCGGCGCCCCCCGCCGAGAGGCTAACCGCCACCAACCAATTCCTCGGCACCGTCTCCCAGCCGGTAATCGCGGCCTTCTGCGCCGGCGGCGTGGCAGGCGCGGTGTCGCGCACCGTGGTGTCGCCGCTCGAGCGCCTCAAGATCCTCTTCCAGATCCAGAGCGCGGGGCGCGATGCGTACAAGCTCAGCGTGGGCAAGGGGCTGGCCAAGATGTGGAAGGAGGAGGGCTGGCGCGGGTTCATGCGCGGCAACGGCACCAATTGCATCCGCATCGTGCCCTACTCGGCCGTGCAGTTTGGGAGTTACAATTTCTATAAACGGGTGGGTAACCCAAACCCCCGAGCTCGTGGCGGGCAAGGGATGTGTGTGTTTGGTTTTGGGGAGGGAGGGCTGACGTATTCGGCGGTAGCAATTCTTCGAGCGACACCCCGGGGACAGCCTCACGCCGGTAGCGCGCCTGATCTGCGGCGGGATCGCCGGCATCACGTCCGTCACCTTCACGTACCCGCTCGACATCGTGCGCACGCGCCTCTCGATCCAGTCGGCGTCCTTTGCGGAACTCGGCGCGAAGCCGACCAAGCTCCCGGGCATGTGGCAGACCATGGTCTCCATGTACAAGACGGAGGGGGGCGTCAGGGCGCTGTATCGAGGCATCGTCCCGACAGTGACGGGCGTTGCGCCATATGTATGTGTGGAGGAGACATATCAGGGGGGAGATTGGACGGCGTCTTGCTAACCATTAACACAGGTCGGCTTGAACTTCATGACGTATGAGTTTGTCAGGCAATACTTGACATTGGAGGGCGAGGAAAACCCCAGCGCCGTGCGGAAACTAGCCGCTGGCGCCATCTCGGGCGCCGTGGCGCAAACATGCACATACCCATTGTGAGTTTGGCCCGGAAGGATTCGAGATGCGGCGGTGGGATACTGACCAAAACAGCGACGTTCTCCGGCGGCGGTTCCAAATCAACACCATGTCCGGCATGGGATACCAGTACAAATCTCTGCCGGATGCTGTCCGTGTCATTGTGACGCAAGAAGGCATCAAGGGTCTTTACAAGGGCATCATCCCGAACCTACTGAAGGTGGCGCCGAGTATGGCGTCTAGCTGGCTGAGCTTTGAGCTCTGCCGCGACTTCCTCGTGAGCCTGAAGCCCGAAGAGGAGACGCTGTTACAATGATGCTTCACCAATATGTGAGCCCATCTTTCTTGCTTCAAACACGCCATCACTAACCCCATTCACAGCCGAAATTGCAAAGAGTTGATCGATCAAGGCAACTTTTTCCGTTCCTCTAGATGCGCCACTAATAAACCTAGTTGTACATACACACCAAACATCTCTTCCCTTGCTCCGGCTCCCAGCTCCCTAGACTTGTGGACAGCAACCGGGACCAATTCGAGCGCCACCCCCAACTTGGCCGCTTACATGAAAGGCGGCAGCGAGAAGTAGTAGCCGGGGTTCTTGCCCCGGAAGATGCTGAGGAGGAGGCTGTAGACGACGAAGAGGACACCGAACCAGGCGAAGAAGGCGATGCCCTGGTTCCTGGGGTCGGTCATCCGGGGCACTTTAACGGCCAGGGAAATGCTGGAAAGAGCGAGGATACCATCTATCATTTGGTTTGGCGGCGTTAGATAGGAATACAGACGGGGAAGGAGGTTGGGTTGGGCGGGGGGTAACAAAAAACGGATAGACTTTGTTTGTAGGGCACTTACACAAGGCAGCCACAATCTGCGTTTCTAGGCCATATTGGTTCTGAAAGCCGCTCGCGAAATAGCTAATACCGCCGCGGCCGTCGCCGGCGACGTACGGGACGTTCCTGATGTGGTTGAACATGTGGCCGCTGGTGAAGAGAAGGATCGAGATGAGCGTGATGGCCGCCCAGACGGTCCGGCTCTGGATGACGGGGAGCACGTAGGGCCAGGCGACGTAGGAGAAGGTCAGGCCGCCCGAGAGAATGACAAAGGTCGAGATCCACCGCATCCAGTTGATCGGCCGCTTGATGGGCGGGTGCGGGCGGTCCGGCAGGTACCGCGCGACCCAGCTGTGCACAACCTCGGCGGCTTGGGCTCTAATAAGAGGGGGTCCATACGTCAGCTTCTCTCCGGCTAGACAGAGATCCATACTCCTGAGCGACTTACCCGCCTGTGAAGTCATATCGAATCGGCTCCGGCGAGACAGTGGCGTGAGGGCCGGTCGTAGGCGGGAAAAAGAACAGCACCGGTGCCGTTTGCAGACCCAGCTATCACCCCAAACGTCAGTCAGCCAACCACCTCTCCCACACCACACACACATCACGATCCGCCTGGGAGGAGGAGCAATAACATACGCTCATAAAGATATCCCGGCCATCCCCGAAATCCAGCGTCCCGAACACGACGCGCGACTCGCCCTTGCGGTCGCCGGCCGTCCAGCTGCGCGCCAGCAGCTCCCACTCGGGCTGGAACTCGCGGCAGAGCTGGCACCCGTACCGCGAGTCCATCGCCGTCAGCAGCACCGCCACGCTGTAGTCGCGCGGCGTCGCCGTCAGCTCCCGGTACGACGGGTCGCTCAGCTTCACGGGGCTCGACGAGACCGCCTTGCCGTGGTACAGCTGGAACCGCTCCTCCGACGGCTTCTTGGACGTGCCGCCCAGTGCGCCCGTCGCGGCCCCGAGGAGCGTCGCTGTGAGGAGGTGGAGCAGCCGCATCTTGGGTGGGCGGGTGGCGTGGTCGGGTCTGTGTGTGTTGGATTGACTCGTCGCCGAGGAGGGGATCACCAATTGGGTGGTGGTGGTGGTGAAGTTGGTCGTTGACGACGGCCGCTGCTTGCTGGGTTCGGGGGCCTTGGCGGGCGATTGAGACAGAGCTTCTGCTTCTGGCAAGTGTGTCCTCAACGAACGTCAGCGAAACGCTCTTGGAGCTCTGCTGCAGCAGCTGGCTGTACCCCTGCGGCTTGGCATTTGCCGGACCGACAACGAAGCCAGGATGCCACGGTGGGGGCTTGTATTAGGCGCTAGGCTGTGTTGGGAATACTGTTTACTTCAAAGTGTGGGCAGCTTGATGATTGCATTCCTCGAACATTGCATCATCTATCCCTCCATCTATCATCCATCGTCCTACGCCCTTGATTCCCTGCTGGGCCGTTCTGCCTTGTTTTCTACTCTATTACTAGCGACTCTAGACTTTTGTTGACCCCGTCCCCATCATTGTTTACGTCCTTATGCCGCCGACAAACGCGTCGCAATGTGTAAACATGGACTCTGAAGAGGTGCGCATCAACCCCCCCCACGCGGCGGGTGCTGTTCTAACATTTCTAATCAATATTAGAGAACCGAAACGATGCACAATCTCGACATGAAATACCGGCAAGCCACCCACGACTGCGATCTCGTGGTCAAGAACGAAGAAACACGCAGGTTAAAGCTGCGCAGCATGGTGCTCCGTGACGAGACCTCGGGAGTCAAGGACCAGCTTGCGCAAAGAGACCTACGTGTTAAGGAGCTTGTTGCGCAAATCGACGATGTCCGCAGCCAGCTAGACAGTGCCCAGGAGAAATCCCGCAGGCAGGATAACCTGATGCAGTCTCAAGCTCGCGAGATTACCAACCTAAAGGTAAAGCTGACCGCTAGCCCCGCTTCCGAGTTGCGTTCTAATGCGTGTTACTCCAGGAGGAACTCTCTGCTTTCAACGCCGTGTCGCAAGACTCAGCCAAGGTCTTGTCCGAGAAGCTTGCCCTCTCCCGGGAAGTCGCCGTCCTCAAGCCCGAATTAGAACACCTGCGATCGCAACTCGCGCACCAGAAAGATGTGCTTGCCGAGAAGCTAGCTCTAGAGCGCCAACTTAGTACGTTGGAAGTCGAGCTTGCTAACGAGAGGCGAGCTGCGGAGAAGGCAGCACAGAGGCAAGACGGCGACAATGAAGTGGAGGAAGACCTCCGCAACCAAGTGCGCGAGCTGGAGAAAGAGCTGGCCAAGGGAAAGCGTCTCGCTGAGAAGAATCTGAAAAGCCACGAGAACAAGAACAGTGAAGCTGAGGGCGAGCTGCAAACACTCCGGGAGCAGCTGGCTACGGTGGAGGAGAGCCTTACTGCCGAAAAGCGCAGGGCGGAACAGCTAGCCAAGGCCAAGTCCAACACGACATCAGAAATGCAGGAAGAAATGGAGGAACTTCGACAAGGGTTGGAGGAAGCGCAAAAGGCCCTTGCTGCCGAGAAGCGAGCAGCGCAGCGGCAAGTGAAGAGGGAAGCCGAATCAGCTTCTGATGAGGAGCTAACACAGCTCCGGGAGGAGCTTGCCGAGGCTCGGGCGGAATTGGAGGGGCAGGCCAAGGCGCAGGAGAAGCTTCGAAAGGAAAACGAGCAGGCCCAAGTCGACGCCGAGGAACGGCAGCAAGCTGCGTTTGACAAGGTGGACAGGCTGCGCAGTAAGCTGCGTGACGCACAGGACGAGCTCAAGAAGTGCCGCACCGAGCTGGAGAAGGCACAGAAGGCGCAGGAGCGTGCGGCGAAGGTTTCTACCGTCGCAACTACCACAGTGCCGCTTAAGAGCGCCGGTGCGAAGGCGAACGCGAAGAAGAAGAGGTCAGCGGATGAGATGAGTGTGGATGATAAAGTCCTCCTCACCCCTGGCATGGACGACCGGCCGAAGCGTCCTCTTAAGAAGAGGGGCTTCGACCTGTCCATGGTCGGCGGAAAGTCCGAATTCTCCATCACGCCCTTCCTCAACAAGACGCACAATCCCGATGGATCTCCGAAACCCACAGACAACGACACCACGCCAACCGCGGCGGTCCAGTCCCGACGCGCCGAGGAGGCCACTACCGCTGAGCCAACCGCTGAAGAGCCAGCTGCCGAAGAGCCAGCCGCCGAAGAACAAACCCCCGAAGAGCCAGCAGCGGTCGAATCCTCAGCTACCAAGCCCGCCTCTGCAACAAAACTTGTAGAAAAGCGGCCACGCGGCAGGCCCCGCACAAAGCCCCTCAGCGACTCCTCGCCCTCCAAGAAGAACCTCACAGCCCGGAACCGCAAAGCTCCGCGCGTCGAGTCAACGCTTGACAAGGTTACCGAAGAGGCAGAGGAAGGTGACAGCAGCACCAACCAAGATCAAGAGAACCGCGCCGCCAACAATGCCAGCCCAGCAGCCAAACCGACAAGTACCAGCGTTGCTGCCAGCCTCAGCAGCATCCCGGAGAAAGCGGAGCCCAAGAAGAAGAAGCGCAAGCTGCTCGGGGCAAATCCCTCAACTCTGTTCGATGGGGGTGAGGACGAGGGTGAGAAGGTAAAGCCGACTGCTACTGCTGCTGCTACTACGAAGCGGCCACCAAGTGCCAAAGCTGCTGGGGCAAAAGCCAGCGGCAAAGGCCCTAGTGCTGCGAGGTTCGGTGCGGGCGTCAAGAATGCCTTTGCCGGGGCCTCGTTTTCGCCGCTGAAGAAGGAGAGGAGGGGTGTAGCGGCCAGCTTCTTGGCATAGTCGTCGTTGTGAACGGGTGATGTTGGTCTTGTGGTCTTGTGGTCTCAGGCATTTACTTCTGGTGGGAACTAGGCACGATTGGGTGGGCATATTTCGGCGTTGCGAGTGTGTTGTTGCATTTGGTGTTCGGGTACTGGTTAGGGGTTGGGCATATCGGTGTTTTTGTTTTTTACTGCACAATCAATGGGACACTTTTGATTCTCATCTTCTGGCAACTGACGTGACGGTTCAAATGTCTCCCATTTGCAGTCGTTAAATGCAACCACCGCCTCTATTTTTACTCAACCAAACATACCTAAACCCATGCCCTCTGAACATCATTGCGGATAACTAACCGGGATTGTGTGCTTATCGGGCGCCTCGACGATGATATTTCGCTGCTCGTGGATGCGCCAAGTATCCATCAATTGAGGGATTGAGACTAACCTAAACAACACCCCACGCGTCAATCTCAGACTTGCAACTATCCAGCCTCATGACATTTCACAGCTTCAAACCAACTCGACATCAACGCCTGTATTCTTTTGCCCTGAGGAATAAATCTGGAACACATACTCGTCGCCCCATGTGTACCTGAAACGTCTACACATATGCAGGCGCCATGGACCCGGACGCCACTCCGCGTGGCCGTCCCGGTCGCTAGAGGACTCTCATGTTCAAGCTCAAGAACAAACACCTTTAATTCACACTACTTCCTCCCATCAACATATACCGCGGCGTCAAAGCCAACAATCTCATCCCCGTGCCCAAACCACATCCAATCCCGCCCCGCATCCTCATCCGGCTCCTGGAAAATCCGCCAGGGCAACGACTATTTCGCTCGCAACGCCCGCGTCTCCGGGTACAAGTCGCGCGCCGCCTTCAAGCTGCTCGAGCTGGACTCCAAGTACGAATTCTTCCGCCGCGGTGAGGGGCAGGTCGTCGTCGACCTCGGCTACGCCCCCGGCAGCTGGTCGCAAGTCGCCGTCGACCGCACCGCCCCCAATGGCACCATCCTCGGCATCGACATCATCCCCGCCCAGCCGCCGAAAGGGGTCAGCACGATCCAGGGGAATTTTTTGAGTCCGGGTGTGCAGAGGATGGTGAAGCAGGTGCTGGTGGAGGGGGATAAGAGGAGGAGGGCGGAGAGGGAGGAGAGGAGGGAGGAGGTGGTTGATGAGGACGCTGATGCAATTGCTGATCGGCCGAGTTATATCGATTTCGAGCGGATGGCGGCGCATGAGAGTGATTCTGAGAGCGGAAGCCCGGCTTCTCCTTCATCAACATCACCCTCGCCAGGCGAGAGCACCCAACCGAAGGAGCAAGAAAAGCCGAATCTGCGGTTGGTAGACGTAGGTCGACGCATCCCCCCAGCCCAGCCCATACAAAAACGAGACCGGCTAACACTGCCAACTCACTTCACGACACACCAGGTGGTACTCAGCGACATGTCAGAAGCCTGGCCCCAAACCCGCGGCTTCTCGGTCAGGGCTTTGAGTAACGCGTATAATAGGATGATGAACACGAGCGGCACCCCCTTCAGGGACCACGCCGGGAGCATGGTAACTAGACCCCCGCCTCTCTCCCCATCTCCCATCCCCATCCCAGAACCCAAAACCCAGAACCCAGAAACCCAGAACCCAGAAACCCAGAAACCCAGAAACCCATTACCCTTACCCAAAAACCCAATACCCAAAACTCAACTAACCACAACCTCTCCCCCACCCCGCCCCCAAACAGGACCTATGCCACGCCGCCCTCACATTCGCGTCCGAGACGCTCAAGCCCGGGGGGGACTTCGTCTGCAAGTTCTACCAGGGAGCCGAGGACAAGGCCTTCGAGACCCTGCTAAAGGGCATGTTCGAGAGGGTGCACCGGGAGAAGCCCGAAGCTTCACGCGGTGTGAGTTCTATCTTCTTTCTCTCACGCTCTCTTACTCTATCTGGTCTGTCTGGGTGTATCCGATTTGACTCATGCGGGTTTAGGAATCTCGAGAGTCGTTCTTTGTGGCGCTTAGGAGGAACGGCGACGTAACGTTGCAGGATATTGAGCGCCGGTGAGGGGGTGGATTTGCTTCGCTGGCGACGGGACGAGCAGACGTGTAGAACTATATTGTAAGACATGGCCGCGATACTTTGTATAACACATCACATCACATCAAATCAAAGCACAGTCGTGTATGCTGCCGCGGGGCTCAATGGCATTGTCATTCATAGCTGTGGCATCAGTCAAGTGCCATGCAGTCAATTCTTCATGCCCGTAAAAAAAGAGAAAAGACTTTTGTGTTCCGTATGCCGCCTGTGACCGACGGCACAGCATAGCAAGCCCAGAACCACATGCCCCAAAACCATTGCCATGCGACGACCAAGAACCCCGCGCCACGCCCCAAACTCCAAAGGGTATCCATATCCACCACTTTAGACCTTGAAGCCACGCGACCTGCGGCGACCACGGGCGCGCTCGAACTTGCGGCCCTTGGAGCGGACATGGGGCTTCTATTGGGGGGTCAGTGCTGTTCTGTCGAGCGCTGTAAAGTAGGGATAGAAAACGAACCTTGTTCTTGTGGGGGCCCATGCCGAAGTGCTTGACGGCCTCACGCGAGTTCTTGGGGCCGCGGAGGAGGAGGGTGTTGGCACCGGTGGGCTTCTCGAGAGCCAGCTGGTCGAGAGTGATGACCTGGCCGCCGGCAGCGGTGATGCGGGCACGGGCGGTGGCGGTGACGCGGAGAGCGGCAACCGAGACCTTGGGGACGGTCAGGAGGCGGTTGTCGTCGGTGATGGTACCAACAACGACGATGGTCTTCTTCTCGTTGCCGTTCTTGAGGTTGGCCGCGATGCGGGAGAGCGAGATGGGCGGGCGGTTGATGCGGCTCATGAACAGGCGGCGCAGGACCACCTTGTTGAAGGGCGCATCAGTGCGGCCTGAAATGTTACTCCGTCAGAACGGTCGACTACCGTGGTTGGGGCAAAAAGATGACTTACGGGCCAAGAAGCGGTAGAGCTTCACCAAGAGCTTCAGGTAGACGTTGTCGCTCTTGGGGGCCTTGCGGTGCGTGGACCGCTCGTGGTGCTTCCGCAGATCGATACCTATTATTCAACAAGGACTCCGGTCAGCCTTTAGATCCTGGTATGCTCAAATTGGCGCGTCGACCAGTGATGCATCGTCTCGAAGCTTGCGCCGACCCGTCTCTCTCGAGACAAAGGGCCCAGGAACAGCGACGACGACGAATTCTCGACCGGGAGCAAAAATGCCATATCGCAGAGAGAGACGTGTTTCAGAATCTCATCCACTCGCACACAAAGGCTTCGAGGAGGCCGAGGGTTACGTACCCATCGTGACGGTGACTCGTGGATTGTCGACAAAAATCCGAGTCGATGGGAGGTGAAGTTCGTTGGGCGATGGTTCGAAGTTCCGAGGGCGCAAAATTTGGCGAGAGATTTTGGTGGTGCCGGTGTGGGGGATGATTTGTGCGTGGGCGGTGTGTCGCGGCAGATTAGTGAATTTGGGTGGGGCCAGAGGGCTCGAGCTCGGGGCACCGGTGATGGGGTTGGCCAAGCCTCTCTTTTGGGTCCTGAGCTTTTATTCTCCGAGCGAAGACAACAGCGGAGCAAGCCAAGATCGTAGCGCTGTTCTCGCGCTGGAGTCCAACCCTTCTCGTTGACCCAAACGGGCAGTATGTCGTGCGTCAACACCTTGGGTTTTTTATCGAGCTGTTCAAGATGGCTTTCACCAGGATCATACAGCTCATGATACCCTCGAAACACTCAATGCCTTTCCACAACCACACTCACAGCCTATGTACCAGGGAGGGAGTCCCATTTTCCAATGTCCCCGGTCCCGTGTGGCGCCTTTTTTGAGTTGCCTTCTCGCTTCTACAAGCACCGTCCTCTGGCTCAACCTTGCACTTGGAGTATTATTCGTCGCCGCGTCCCTAACGCTCCTAAACCACAAACAACATCATCCGCCGATCCCCCCCGAGATGCCCTGTCGACTTTTCCCATCACGTGGACTTCGTCTGGCGGAGACCCCAAACACCATATTGGCGGATTGTTGCGGTCGCAGACAGCCGTGCCTCGGAATATCCCGTCCCACAAGCTCATCATCTGATTTATGGGCGCAAGGGGTGTGTGGTCGGCGCCCGAGCGCTCGTCAAGCTCGCCGATGAACCGACGTCTTCGCTAAGCTTTACTAGACTGAGTCTGAGGTGGGGAACTCTGCCCAACAACCTTGGCGACAACTAGCGAGAAAAGTAGACTAGTCGGATGAGAAACAGTTATCAAGGAGAGAGACTGAGAAAGAGAAAGTAGAGTAAAACAGCTGCAGTAACAAGCTTCGATGGGAGAGCAAACGATGTTGAGAGGCCAGGTACGATAGCCGGGTAAAACTGGTGGGAGAACTGCGACTAGCTCATGGGTTACTATACTACGTTAAGTTGAATCAGAAACCTGGTGAAAGACGAAAGGACATGAGAAATCAAACGGGGGACAACAAGTCCGGACCGCCTTCGTCTTCAGTAGGGGACGGCAGCCTAGTTCATGCAACGGCAGGCATCGTCAACTGCGTTACCGACTTCTAAGTCAAGGTTTGATTTAATTTACCTACTTTTGTCTCAGTAACCAGCTTCTCGGAGCGTCCGGTGCTAATTACTCACTTCCTGACGCCTCCCGATTTCATATCCTCAAGCTTTATCATATCGTAGTCACCGCAACCCCGGAATCAACCTGGAAACAACCTAGGCCTAGCCGGCGCTGAAGACATAGCAAGACAACAAAACAGACTCCGGCAGGATGAAGGATGTACAGAGTAAGGCCAAAGGACATGGCTAGGTGACGAGGTAGTCCTCGCCTCGGTGGCCTTGATCAGTTGAGTTTCAAAACAGTTCCATTGCACCCCCTGGCGGACATGGTTGCGATGACATCAACACGTCACGTCGAGGCGTTATGAGCAGATTTCCGGATTCACCACCATCTGATCCGGCTTCTCGAAGCAAACGAGTGAAACGCAAGACCGGAAGTAACACAGGCACGGCAACGATTACCGAACTTCCTATGGCTGACGACCAAGCCATCGCTGCCTGATCATTGGATCGTTGGTACCGGGCGTCGTAAGAGTTAACGGGGGGCACGTATAGGGGGTGCTTCGTCCCATTTCGTGTTGTTCGGTCGATGCTCCGTGCCGACGAAGCGTCCGGGGGCTTTAGCCGGGGCGGCGAGAGAACCAAGAGTCCGTCCAATTGTGCGGAATTGTGCGGTCGAGCAGGTCGGGTAGTATCATGATCGGCAGCGACGATACCCCCCTGCGTGCTCCCGTGGCACTGGGCTGGGATTGCCGGCTAATAATCAACGGGTTAATAGGGGGCACTATATGCGCGTGCAGACAAATCAAGCTCCGTTTCAGACAATGGCGTATTTTAGCCACCAACTGCCGTTTAGCGCCGGGAATGAAATGTTGGGGAAATGGAGTCCTCCCCCGGAGACCCTCATGGCCAGACACACCTACATGACCGTACGGGTGCATGCGGAGTCCCCGCATTCAAACTTGATGAACTGCCACGCCCAGATCGTGGTGTGAAGCGATCGTGAGCATCCAATGCATCTCGAGATGACAATAATGGACGTTTCCGACCTGTCGTGAGTGTTGTTGCCTTTGTGAGAAGGGGGATTGAGCTCTAGGCCCTTCGGAGTCAATCTCCTGTGATGACCCGGGGCAGTCACCCAGAGTGGTTTACCTCCCACAACACCTCGGGGGCTCTCTGCTCCGCTCCCCCAAAGCATGTACGCCATCAGTCGTAGCCACTCCACTGCCATTCCTCGTGGCGGACCGCTACCCGCTGATCGGCACGGCGAATCTTTCTCACAAGCCCGCTGTGGCGGTGGACGGTTGTAAAGGGCAACGAGCTCCGTCCCCCCCAGTGCCCCCCTTGACCCTTAGCTTTCCCAAACGGGAGATCGAGGGACGTGCATGAAGGTGTGGAAAGCACCCCAGATTGCCAGGAACCAGTTCCCCGATTCCCCACATTCCCCACGTACACGTTCAACCGCAGTGGCAGTACCCGCGGTCCATCAGCCAATCCGCAACGGGGCGACGGGGCCATCGCCTGAGCGTAAATGAAGCTCGATATGAAGTGCGAGATGGGACCTGGCAGGCCGTCCACTTGATGTGATCGGCACTCGCCAGCAGCCCCGCATCCATATCCTCACGGCGCCTGCTCGGCGCGGTTCACATCCCTCCTCGGAGCGTCCAAGCCGAGCCCTCGCGCCAACACCGGCCCTGTCTTCCTGATTGCAAGGCTCGACCTCCAGAGCAGGACGGTAGCCTTACCTCGTGAGCGGCCTGGGGGCGTTCGTTGGCTTCGGCCCCTGAGGCTCCGGGATGTGGCCGCCGTGGAAGACGGCAGACGCCAAGGGGGCACCCACGCCCGGTATAAAGGCGAGCCACCCTCCCTCGGTTGCTAAGGAGGAAGATTTCTCGACCAGCCCATCACAGTTCCAACTCCAGCTTGTGTGATCTTGCCCAACATGAAGTTCTCCACGTCTGCCGCTCTGGCGTTCGCCACCGCCGCCCTTGCGGCCCCGTCGCCCACGACCCAGCAGAAGCCCCGCCAGGCTGGCGGTGCCTGCGAGTCGGCCGTGACGCTCGATGCCAGCACCAACGTGTTCAAGGAGTACACCCTCCACCCCAACAGCTTCTACCGCGGCGAGGTCGAGGCCGCCGTCGAGCAGCTCACGGACGCCAGCCTCGCCGAGGCCGCCGCCGCCGTCGCTGATGTCGGTACCTTCTTGTGGCTCGACACCATCGAGAACATTGGCAGGCTGGAGCCTGCGCTTGCGGACGTTCCTTGCGAGAACATCCTGGGTCTCGTCATCTACGATCTTCCGGGCCGTGACTGCGCCGCTAAGGCCTCCAACGGTGAGCTGAAGGTCGGCGAGATCGAGAGGTACAAGACCGAGTACATCGATGGTGAGTGCCCCCTTTCCCTCGCTTCGATACACCAGCGAGAGGAGCAGAATCAGCCGAGGGAATGGGCAGGTTACTGACACAAGCGCCGCAGTGATCGTCCCGATCCTCAAGGCCAACCCCAACACGGCCTTCGCGCTCGTCATCGAGCCCGACTCGCTGCCCAACCTGGTCACCAACATCGACCTGACCACCTGCCAGGAGAGCGCCGACGGCTACCACGAGGGTGTCGCCTACGCGCTCGAGCAGCTCAACCTGCCCAACGTCGTCATGTACCTCGACGCTGGCCACGGTGGCTGGCTCGGCTGGGACGCCAACCTCGACCCCGGCGCTGAGGAGCTGGCCAAGGCCTACAAGGCCGCCGGCGAGCCCTCGCAGTTCCGTGGTATCGCCACCAACGTGGCTGGCTGGAACCAATGGTAAGCCCATTTTCGTCCCCGGAAACACACATCAAGACCACTCGAGGTTTGCTGACTGACCCTTCCCCCCTTCCAGGGACATGGAGCCCGGTGAGTTCTCCGACACCTCGGACGCCAAGTACAACTCGTGCCAGAACGAGATGTCGTACATCACCACCTTCGGTGCTTCGCTCGAGGCGGCCGGCATGCCCAACCACGCCATCATCGACACCGGCCGCAACGGTGTCCCCGGTCTCCGCGAGGAGTGGGGCAACTGGTGCAACGTCAAGGGCGCCGGTTTCGGTATCCGCCCCACCGCCGAGACGGGCACCGAGCTCGCCGACGCCTTCGTTTGGGTCAAGCCCGGCGGCGAGTCCGACGGCACCAGCGACACCTCGGCCACCCGCTACGACGACTTCTGCGGCAAGCCCGACGCCTACAACCCCAGCCCCGAGGCCGGCCAGTGGAACCAGGCCTACTTCGAGGACCTCCTCAAGAACGCCAACCCGGCTTTCTAAGCGCGCCCACCACGGGGCGACTGCCGCCGGCGGCGGCGCTGCTGCTGCTTCTCAAGTTGCTGCTGCTGCCGCTGCCGCCGCTGCTGCGCGGAGGAATGGCAAAAAGAGACTGGGTCGGAAGACACGAGCGGGCGCTGTGCTTTGGTCGCGCGTTTACCTTACCATGTTCCCTTCTAGTGTAGTAGTTTCATAGGCCTATCAGTACATATGGGGTCGCGACGACTTTCTGTTTTCCCGTGCGGTTGTGATTGTAGGACTTGTGCGAGTGACGGTGGTTCGTGCGGAATTACGCGGTACGATGAGAGAGAATGAAACAAGTTTGGTCGAGAGGAATCGAAGCCTCAAGAGACAGATTGTTAGTAACGTGTCCTTATATTGATACATATATTTACATGAGTGAGTCTCGGGTTCTCACCCAGGTGATGTCGGTGCCCTTGTCCCCTCTCCCCCGTTAGCCTAGGTACACAGTGTTGCCCAACTCGTAACATCGTATCTCTCTCCGCTGTTCCTTATCCGGGATCGATTAGACGAGGCCGTCGCATAATAGAGGAGTGAGATTGGGCATCGTTCAGTCTGGCCCGCAGTACAGACTTAGCCAGCGGCCTGGTGCGCCCCCAATCCCGCATCGATGGATCGTACAAATGAGCGGCGATGGGTTATTAAGTTGTGAGTCCTTTCCACGCACTCATTTGACCAGCCTCCAGATACCCAACCAGGCCAGTCCAAGTGAGATGCCCGTGATACCGAGGCTTCTGCTCCGCATGCCGAACCGTGAGCCACTGGCCAGGATCTTTGCCTTTTGTTGCTGGAGCTGCGATTGCCCGGACACGTAGCTGTATACAGCCAGGCCTAGGAAAGCGCCGCCACCTATGATAGCATTTTTAGCAACACTTCCTGGTGGAAGAGGGAACGATGTGAGAAACTCACCGACGATTTTGCAGGGCAGGCAGTCGTCACCGGCGTCCTCTTTGAGAAGGTCCTGCAGCTTCTCAGGTTTGTCCAGCGAGTGGATTTGTGGTATGCTGTCCTTGGCCATGACGGGAGTTGGCGTGGGTGAAAGAATATCTTTTCTTCCGTTTATTCAATTGAGTGGTGAGTGAGTAAGGTGGTGGTGTCAAGTCGCATCTCTTGGCCGAGATTCTGCAGGGGCTTGGCACCAACTGTTGCTCCCGCTGCCGCCGGCGCCGCGGCGCATTGCGTCAGTGCTTCCAGAAGCCCGCGGGGCCTGTCAGACCCAACCTCGAACACCCGACCCGACCTTAAAACTACGGCGAGCTCAACCTCAAAAACAAAAACAAAAACCGACCATGAACGGCGTCGTCGAGGCGCTGCACATCTATGACGAGCATAAGTTAGTATTTTCTCGTAATTCTATATCAAGCCATACATTAATCACCGTTTAGCGCCCTCGTCCTGTCGCACACGTACTCGTCACGACCGTTGTCGGCATCCCATTTGCTGCCCCTCTACCTCGACCACCCCGTCCCTCGACCGAACCTTATCTACTTATCTAACACCAACCCGCCGACACTCGTCTTCAACCTCACACATGCGAACCTTCTCTTCCTCTTGACCACCTCGTCCGAGGTCGAGCCCCTCCTCGTCCTCGAGTTCTTACACCGCGTCGTCGACTCCCTCGAAGAGTTCCTCAGTGCGCCGCTGCTAGCGCACAAGATCGAGGCCAACTACGATGTCGTCGCCCAACTCCTGACCGAGATGTGCGATGCGGGGACAATCACCACCACCGAACCCAATGCGTTACGAGACATGGTCGAGGTGGAGGGGTTCATGGACAAGTTGCTAGGCAACCTCAACCTCCCAACGTACAGACACCCTCCTCTCCCGGTCCCCCCAGCTTCCCTCTTTCCCATTACATACGGGCCAAATTTACTAACTCCCTTCCCCTTCTCCCCTCTAGAAAACCAGCCTTCGCCAACACCTTCTCCTCGCCCTCGCCCGCCCTGCACCCACAACCAACCCTGGCCCTCCCCTGGCGGCGCGCCAACGTGCGGCACACCTCCAACGAGCTCTACACAGACCTAATCGAGACACTATCAGTTACACTAGCACCGTCGGGCCGGCCGCTGGCCGCCTTCGCCAACGGCACCATCGCCTTCACCTCCAAGGTGTCGGGCGTGCCGGACCTGCTGCTGACCCTCACGGGCCCCGCCGGCAAGCACAACCTCAGGAGCGTCATCGACCTGCCCGTGTTCCACCCCTGCGTCCGCCTCGCCCGCTGGCGCGAGCAGCCGGGGGTGCTCAGCTTCATCCCCCCCGACGGCCGCTTCACCCTGGCCGGCTACGAGGTCGACCTGATGCCCTTCACGGGCGACACCGCCACGGTGGGGGCCGGCGCGAACCCGCTGAAGCTGCCGGTCACGTTGGAGATTAAAACCGGGTTGGGGGCGACGGGGTCCGACTTTGAGGTGCGTGTGCAGGTGAACCGGATGTTTGGGCCCGCCACGGCCGGGCAGGGTGCAAGGGGGGGAGGGGGTCTGGGTGGTGGTGGTGGTGGTGCGAGGGGTTTTGGGGCGAGCGCGCCGTCTGGGGCGCCGGCGCTGCAGGACCTTGCCGTGTCGGTGCCGCTGCCGGAGGACGTGAGGAATCTCTCGGATATCAGGCCTACGAGGGGCGATGCTACCTATAATCCGGGGGACCGGGCGCTGGAGTGGACCATCTCGAACAAGGAGCTGGCTCAGGGGACGGCGTCCTTTGTGTTGCGGTGTACGGTCGTGGGGCAGATGACCGAGGAGGATGAGGAGTCGGATCCGACAGGGTTTGGCTTTGGCACGGGCGCGAACGCATACTCGTACGACGAGCCGTACCAGAACTCATCGCCCGTTGCGAAATCGGCCAAGGCGGCTGTGGACGCTGGTGCTGGCGACCGAGATGAGCGCAGGTCGGCGCAGAACAAGATTCTGATGCCCAGCTCGGCCTCGCTCAGCTTTGCCGTCAAAGGCTGGCTGGCCAGCGGCATCAAGGTGGAGAGCATCCATCTTGACCCAAGGAAGAGTCGAGGGTTGGGGGAGAGCGTGAAGCCGTACAAGGGCGTCAAGTACCTGACAGTTAGCAAGGGTGGTGTGGAGATACGGTGTTAATGCAGGCACGGCCAAAACACACCCTGAAGAGCTGTCTCTCGAATATTGGCAATGTTTGTTCGTCAGTGCCAGCCCTTCGATATGGCGTCCTACATCGGCCAGTGCAGACCCCCGTCCCACATATTCACCGATTCCATCTTGAAGCAGGCCATCTCGCGTTCGGGCGTCTCGGGCGCAAGCCCACCAGCATGGTCCAGACCAACGGCCCGTCGCTCGTTCGCTAATTCTCCGAATCCTGCCCTCCATCCAACCCCCTGAGCACAAATCCTGCATGCCATCCGAACGCAGCCAACAGCCAACAGCCCCCTTGGATAACGTCTCGAAGGTGCGCTAGCAGGATGCAGTACCCAGCTCCCCCAACCCCTCCCTGGCGGGATTCCCTCCACACCATCTCCTCAAATCACCGCAGGCTCCTCCTGTCAGCCCAACGTCGCAATACCCAGTGGTCTCTTCCCACACACATTTCGTGGCCTCCTGTTGGTTGATTTACGAGGGTTTAGTCTCAACTCCCCTCCCCCCCAATTTGGTAGTGAGCACTTTTCGCATCCCATACCGTTTGGGAAACTGTCAGGCACGCTCGGGACATGTTTGTTGAAAGCGAAGCGATTACCGACAGCGTGGGACAGGACCTTTCTGGCTCAGCTGCTTAGGGCCCTCTCACACCCTGACGAATTGCTTCGTCATGACTTGGGGCACTTGAATATCCTTGAGCCCAAGCTGCAAGGTGGAACCAACAGCGAGTGTCACAACAGGAGCCATTTCTGTCGATCTGATAACCGTGGAACCGTCTAAGTCGGGCTCCCGCGAGTCCGAGATCAGGTTGGCCAAGCCGTGGCTTTTTCTTTTCTTTTTCTTTTGTCATGCATGCCCAACCACCTCGACACGAACCCCGTCTACCTTCCCGATCTCTCGCCATGTTGTTTCTGAGCATTGAGAGTGAGGTTCTTTTCTTCCCCCCTCCCACATCCGTGCCGCACCACGCCGCAGTCATGCTGGGAGCCGAAGGTCAGGGCGGGAGGATCTTTGCGGGGGTGCACGGCTATTTCGAGGTTGCCTGGAACGCGGGACAGAGCCGGCCTAAACAGTAACGGCGTAGTGTGTACTGTGCATGTATTGATGTACACTACATCCATACAACCAACAGCCGGTGCCGCATCGGACGGCCACCCGAAATGGCGCGGTGGTTACACAGGAATCAGAGAGCTGACCGCCCCTCAACACCACAATCCTCCCGCCGCGGAACCCACGCAGGCCGAATCTGACGGGACCTTGCATGTGATCCGTTGTTGCGGAAAGGAGAGACGGACGGTATCCATCCAGGGGCCCGACACACATGACACACCAACCACTTCATTTCCGCCCGTCTTAGCTCGCTTTCGATATTGGCTCGCTCGGCATAAACAACTCAGCATAACAGCTGCCTGGCCATGACTGCGGCGCAAGTGAGAAAAGAAAAGAAAACAGTCCCTTCCCAATTTCCCCTCCCGGTCAGCCCGGCCACCGGCCGCGGCGGCCCATGTTTGGCCCGGGCCAGAGGCCGCGGGTTACACGTGTCCGCGTGTTCTGCGTCCCATCGGCCGCTCCTCAGACCCGGCCGTGAGGGTCGCGGCCCCCGGAGGGAAAGAGGGGAGAGAGAGAAACAACGCACCGAGAAACACACCAACAGCATCCGCGTTGTTTGCATGTCTCAGCCCCCCCCCCCCCCCCCCCCCCCCCGCGGAATGGGACGGAGAGGTGGACCGGAGGGAAGGAAATAAGGACGAAGTAGAAAAACATCGGATACCGGATCCGAAGGGCTTCACCCCCACTCCTGATCCTCAATGCCACCCACGTTGTCAGTCAGCAGGCACACGGCGAGGCAGATGGATCGAGAGATCCAACCGCGTCTGACAAGCAAACCACCCTCAAAGAAGGGCATTGTCAAGCGGATCGATCCATCCCGCTGCAACCAACTGCCACCGATGTGCTGTGTGTGTGTACCAACAGCACCGTGGGATGTAGATCGCGCGATTCGATCGCCCCCAACAAAGGGAGGAGACTGTGGGTCAACAACAGGTAAATCATATCGAATCGAAGAATGCAGTCACCGCCCGCTCAAATTGGGAAATAATAACAGAAACGTCTTTATGTATCATAACAGGTATCAAGGTCAAGTCTGAGGTATCAACTCGCTTCTTCTGCCACGCCACGCCGCCTCCTACATTCCACATTATGCTTCTTCTTCTTCCATGTTCCTTCACAAAAAAACAGAAAGGCTTGATCTCGTCCCATACGTACATAAATACATACGAACAATACTGGGTATCATAGGAGATGGGGATAAATAAACACTCATCAGATCTTTAATCAGCCCAAAGTCGTCCGTCGTCCGTCATCCTAAGAAAGAGGGGAGGGGGAGATCCAGCCTCGCAGCCAAAAAAACAACAAAATAATAACGATACTAAATGGTGTGGGTGGGGCAAGGATCGATAAAAAGAGATATTAAAATATTCACTGCCCCAATCTAGCTTCAAGCTCAGGGAACAAGCGCAATGCCCCTGCGGTGGCCGGCCTTGAGGCCCATGTAGACACTCCAGGTGGCGACGTCCTGTATCAAGCAGTCAGCAAACCGAAACCAAAGTCAAGCAAGAGAGGAGCGAGGGAAGGGGGGGAAAGCATACCCTCGTGACGACCGACCCCGCGCCAACGGTCGAGCCCTTGCCGATCCTGACCCCCGGAAGGATGACCACGTTTGCCGCGATCCAAACGTCGTCCTCGATAATGACAGGCTTGCCGTACTGCGTGCCCTGGTTCCCCTTGCGGTAACGCGGGTTGGTGCTGCAGGTGCCCGTATAGATGCAGACGTTAGGGCTGATGATGACATTGTTCCCGATGCTGACCTCGCAGACATCGTTGATGAGGCAGTTGCGGCCGATCGAAACGTTATTGCCGATTTGGATATTGTAGCCGTAGTCGCAATTAAAGGGCGCCTCAACCGTCGCGTTCTCGCCCACGCGCCCTGCACGCGTGACGGGCGATACCATGCTAGGAGAAAGCTGGATGCCCTCGCGCGGGTGGAGAATGTCGCGGAACAGCCGCGCGCGCTCAGTGGGGGAGACACCCAGGTTCGGGTTGGTCGAGTTGTTGAACCGCCAACACGCAGCATTGCACCGCTCTCGCTCGAGCACGAGCTCCTTGTCGAACGGATAGTACGGCCTGCCGTTCAGCATCTCCTCCTTCTGCCGGCGCGATGGCCTGTCTGAGGGAAACTGAGTGTGCGAAAGGGCGGCCTGTGCCGTCGCCTGGGCACCGCCAGAGGGGGGTTGGGAGGATATCGTAGACGGCGGCGCCGGCGGAGTTGACGTCCTGCCGCCATGCAACATGCTGCTAAATGGGGGGTGCGCCATGGTACTGCTCTGCGGAGGCGGTGGAGGAGGCAGCGATTGCTGATCCGGGTCGGTCCGTGTCAGGTCGTGAAGCGGTGGCACGCGCTGGTACTCCTTGGGTGTTCGGTCCGAGAAGGCAGACACGGCGGCGGCGCTGACTGGGGTCGGGAACATGTTCGCGGACGCCGATGTTGTGTACCCTGATAGCGCTGAGAGCTTGTTGTCGGGGCTGATGATGGAGCTTGGCATTGTCGATGCGGTTAGCCTATCGTCGTCTGTCTGCAGAGGACGGCCCTGGGGCGGCGTAATCCGGAGAGTGGGCTGGCCGCGGTTATATGGCAGGGAGTCACGCTTCGGCTGCTGGCCCAGCGGAGGCTGTTGGCTGCCGCTGTACGGGGGCGGTTGCTGGGGCATCCCGTACGCTCCCGGAGGCACGTAGTTTGGATCCTTCGACTCGATGTTGACCTGCGCCGGCTTGCTGCTCTCGGGCGTATTGGTCCAGGCTCCCCTCTGCGGGGGATACCCAGCGCAGACAAAACCGCCCTTGTAGCAATTGTTGCCTGTGCGGATTGTCAGCCGCCAGAACAGGCCGGATGCGGCCACAAAATGTGGCCATGCGTGTAAACAAGCGCGTTTTGGGGTCGGGAGGAAACCAAAACATTGGGACGGAACTGGACTCACATTCGGGTTTTTTCTCGTCGCACTTCTTCTTTCGCTTCCTACATGTCAGGCAACCCGTCTTGGTGCGGTTGCTGAAATTGCGCTTCCGCTTCTTGGGGTCCGACTGGAGGATGCCATCCCTGCGGTGTTCGGGCGTGTACTGGCCAGGGTACATGGAGCGGTCGTCACCATCTGGGCTTTGGTCGTCATCGCCGTGGCTTGTCGCCCTCCGGAGCAAGTCGCCCGATGGCTCCTCTGACTGAGCCGATACCGGACCAGCCGAGTAAGGGGCTTCGTAGCTCGAGGTGCGCTCCTCCCTAGCCCGCTCCGAGCGCCAGTGCTCGCTATCCCGCACTTCATCTCTTTGCCGTCCGCGATAGACATCCCTTTGCGGCGTGGTACGTCCATCCTGTGATTCCGACGGATGGCGATGCGGCTCGTACTGTTCAGATCGTTCCATCCGCTCTGATCGCTCTGACCGCTCTGCACGTTCCGCACGTTCCGCACGCTCTGCTCGCTCTGCTCGCTCGGTTCGCTCCACACGCTCTGACCGCTCTGGCCGCTCTGCTCTTTCCGTCCTCATGGGAGGCGACCGTAGGCGCTCTCTCCTAGGAGAGTCCGAGATTGACCGCTTGCGCTTGTGCGACCCCTCGACGTCTGCAAAGGCGGCGGCGCCGGGAAATGGAAGCCTCTCGTGATTGGTACTGCTCCGGCGCTCCTGGGCCTCGAGGCCGTCCCGGTCCCTCTGGCTGCGGTACCCTTCGGCGGACCTGGGTTCAACGCTGGCCGATTGCCGGCTTGGTCGCTCTCCGTCCATCGCCGCCCCATTAGTTCCCTCCGCAGATTTCGGCGAGCCCCCGTTCAATGCCGTAAATGTCGCCATCTCCATCCACAACCGCCTCTCCCAGGCGCCCCCGAAGCCACAAACAAATCCAACAGTGAGAGATCAGCGGAGGCTAGGACCGAAGCAACCGCTCTGTAGTTGCGAAGCACCGGCGGGGTTCGGTTGGCGTCCGCTCGGTTCGCGTAGCGAGGGTGGTCTCAAGGGGTGCGGTTGGTGTAGCAAATAAATGAGATAGCTGAAGATGGCGGATGTAAGCGACTCGGTGATTGAGAACCCTAAGTGAGTGAGAGTACCCGGGCAGGCGTTTTGAGGAATGCGATGATTCCGGTGTGATCGGGAGTTCCGGTCTCGAGTAAAATTAAACTAAGAACAGTAAAACGGCCCGTTCGTCGGCGTTTGCTGTGGGAGGGAAAAAAAAGTGTGATCAGGCTGCAGCAGGATGAGCAGCAGGAAGGCGCCTGTTGCGATGCACCAGTGAAGGAGGAATGTGGAGACCGGTCGGCGCTCGTGCGTCCGTGACTTCCAGCCCTGGACTCGTTTGGACAATGGCGCGCGGAGTTGTGATTTCCTCTTTTTGGTTTTTTTGGGGGTCGTTAGGTTGGTCGAATTCGGCTCCGGTCCTGATGCAGAAATGCGTCTTTCTCAGTGGGGAGCTTTGGGGTCCCTTTTTGAGTGCTTGAAACCAGCACCTGCTCGCTCAGAAGCAAGCAAATGGTGGAGGCTGAGTCGGGCGTGGAGGCGAATCCAGGATGGAGCGATGGGAGCGACCGCAAATCCGCGGCCCGGTGCGCAAACGACAAGCCGGGGGTCGGGTAGCGACCAAAAAACAACCGCGCCGCCGCTCAGGCCTCACAAAAACGGTAAACCACCACAGGCTTCTCTCCGGTGTTGCTTCTCAACCACGGCCTAAGTTGCTATTATTGCTGGGTATTTTGTGAATGAAGGCAAAAGATGGCTCCGCTCCGATGATCTCCGATGATGAGATCGTGAAGTTTCTAACGGTACCGTGTGACACGTCAGAGAGACATAAACCTAGTCGTCGTCGATGGTGAGTGAGGCGGCACGCTGATCTGTGCGCAAATCCCAACTGCGGCGTTCCTGTCCGTTGCGCTCCTTGGCAGCCTGCTACCAACACGGCGACGAAACCTAGGATGGGGAAAGGGCCTTGACGTGTTCCGTGCGTACGAGATTCCCGGTGCCAGATGCAGCCGATATCGTGACCGTCGTTGCCGCAAAAGAAAAATGATGGAATCCTAAGTTCCCCAGCCTTCTTTTTTGAGTTGCCGAGTGGTGGCGCTTGGCCCTCTTTAACGCGCGATTATGCTGCGCCTGTCGGGACGGGGGTTCGAGAGGCAGGCCGCCGGTTCGCACTTCGCAGTGCCGCAGCGCGGATAACTCAGGCTTCCGTGGGTGGTGTCAAGTTCTCGAATCGTGGTCGCAAATCCGGCGCATCGAACGGGTGGGAAAATCCCTTCTTCTGCAAACTCTCCTGACGGCCTCGTCTCGCGGGATGCAATGCGATGCGGAGCGGAGAGATGGTCTGAAGGGGGAGGGAGCGAGGTAATCAGAGACCCGGCGCTCCGTTCATGGAAGTGCTCACAGCCAAACAAGCGCCAGAAAAATGTCCCGCTCAGCCGTCGTGAGTCGAGACGCACAGACGCCCGCGGGTGCAAAAGGCTGGATGAGAAGCGGCGAGATCTGGCTAGCAGGGAACCCCGGTCAGTGAGCATGTGGGTCTGCCGTGCCTGAATGACCTGGGGAGCCGGGGTAGTTTTGCAGCGGGCAACGCGGAAGTTGGAGAGTGCCGTGAGAGAAAGAGGAAGTCCCTCCGTGTCAGGGCAAGCAGAGCTTACGTTTCGATTCGTACAATACAAGGGGCAGGGGGCTTCCATCAAAGTCAAACTAACTAGTGTACAGATTACACCACCTTACTTGTACGAATACCCGCGCTGGAATGTGAGATGCGCGGGTGAGTTCCTCCGCCAGGGACTGAGACTCGATCCTCAACCCCAGCGGCACGCCGCAGAGGGCCCGGGGGGCGGGGGGGCGACGGGACTTCGACTTTGTACCGGTACCTCCAGAGGCACAAAGTACCTCGGTATCTTTTCCTTTGGTTTGCGCCAGGGGGGCGTGGAATCCCCGTCTTGGAAGAGGTGTGGGAGGGACCGCCGTCACCCCAACCCTTCCACAGAAAACCAGCGGCCAGGCCAGGGACTTGCAGACGCAGTCACCATCCTAGTTACAATCTCGCGAGTCTACCAAGCCCAACTCCGTCGGCAAAGTTACACACGAGCGGTTGTCTGTGGTCTTGCACGGGTTAGTCTGATATGGAAGGAAACGTTGTCCAGGGAGGCAAGCTGTGATGCACACTGTTGACCGCGGCTTTTCACCGAGGGAACGGCAGAGGCTTGATGAAGTTGACGCGTGTCCCTCGGGTTGAGAGCGAGTGATTCTGTGGCCTGTCACTGCCGTGGCTTCCTTCCTGGGCGCCTCACTCCTTGACCGACCGTCTGAAATGCTTGAAGAATGGGACAGCTACCCGGGAGCTCAGCCCGGTGGCCACGCAAACGGCCTTGCCAGGGACAAGCCCGCCAAGCTGACAGGTGAGAGACGAAGAGCGCAGTAGCTTCATGCAGTTCCTTGGTCCCTGTTGAACTTAAGCTTAGTGCTGGCAACCTGTGGCTCAATCAGAGGAAACAGCCGCCAAATGCGGTCCAAAGGCCCCACCGACTTCCGACCAACGTTCCCCCATCAAAACCTCTTGCAGCGTGACAGACAGCGGGGGAACCCAACAGATCTCCGTCGCCTCGCACAAAGTGGGTATCGCGTGCGAAGCGGCAATCTGCGCTCTGCTTCGATCAGTCTGCACGGGACGTATTCGGGAGACTATGACGAACAGATTCCGGGAGCCCGATGTCGATTTGGGGTCGGCGCCGCGGCATATCATTTGGCCCCCATCCAAAATGGAGAAGCAAGGGACATTGACGCAGTTAGGCGCGATGTGCTCGAATTCCGTAACGGATGGCGTGCAGGTGGAAAGGGCCGTCTCCTGCTGTAACTCACGTCTGGGCAAAAGAACAGGGCAAGACACGCACGGAGAAAGGTACCGTGGTACTGATGGCACCTTTGGCGAGATGTATGTACATGTACGTCCGTCCGTGGACACGAGAAGTGTAACTTGGCTTTCGTAGAGCAACATGTCGGTGTAAGACGGGCCGAGCTATGCTTCTTTCGAGGCTTCTGACGAGCTCCTCGGCCCTGTTTGTCTTGCTCAGCCGTCTGAGCCAACTCGGCTTGAAGGTACTCGAAGCTGATAACATAAAGCATTGTCCTCGGTACCGGATGACCCCGCGCTTTGTGAGGGAGGTGAACAATGACTCGCGACGGGATGGCGAAGCGAGCTTCGAGGCTTGCACAATGAGCGACCAATGGGGCTGCGCACACTCGGTGTTGATTCGTGGTCACTAACGCAGTCAGCCGAGTCCTCCAGCACACATTAGCCACCAAACACGAAGTTCTTCTGTTCATAAACTCAGGTCGTTAACGTTCGGGCCACGAGCCGCGGACGGCCGCTTCGCTGCGTTTGTGACGGTAGTGGGCGGCTCCGGTCCCCAGAGACCTGCGGCCAACCCGGCAGCTGACGGGAGGGCAAGTGTGTTCCTTTTCCGTACACAGTCACGGTCAAACGAGTCGGGATGTGGATCAACTCAGGCGGGTCATCCAAATGAATTGCCTCTTTGGCCTCCTTGTCATTTCAGGAGGGTTGCCGAAACTGCACCAGAGGGAGCATCGATGCTACCAGCCAGCTGCCAACTTCCCCACTGTGTGTCCAGATTCAGCCAAGTGCCGACATTGTTCGCGTGTGCGTGTGGGAAGGAGAGCTGGGTTGGCCATCACTATTGAGCCATGTCACGCTCTGAGACGACGCGGAGGAAGCAACGGCGCCTTCCTGCCGGTGATAGTCGAGGCATCCCCCTGTGCCTCGCGCTTGCTTCTGGCGCGAGGTGTCATCGTCCCCACACAGTCAACTTGAACCCCAAACTCAGTCATGAATGAAACACACAAATCGGTAATCTTCCGAAGCGATAGCCAAGTCATGCGCGCAAGTTAATTATAGCAGCAGCAGCCTCTGCTCGAGTCCTGCAGGTGCATCGGCGAGGCGTTCGTTGTTGGCCGTGTTGGTGATTTTGGTTTCTTTTTAAAAAAGGAACAGCGAAGCATGAAGGCGGACTTGATGCGCAGAGTGACAGAGACAGTGTAAGCGTCTCAAAGTGCGTTCTTCAAACGGTGCAACGTGCAGAAGCGCACGCCATACCCCTGTCGCTCTTCCTTCACGGAATCCACCTTCTGATTGGGCAGCAGTTTTATGCAGGCTTTGCAGTCCTCATTGGCCAGCACGGGATTCATTCCATCCTATGAGACGGCAGGAACCAGATTACCGCAAAAGTGCAGGCAACAAGCGGGCAAGTGTTTGATCCATTCTTAGAAACAACTCGTGGTCGTACCAGCCGAAATAAGGAACTTAGCGAGAAGGCGGGATGCCAGTGTGCAACATCGAGTAGTGCCCCGTGGCAGAGAGAGGCGGCTAACGCTATCACGATTCGGACCTGCGCTAGGCGGCCCTCGTCACAGTTCGGAGGTGGTGGTCAACACTGGGCGACCCGCGTGGTTCTGGTGCGACGGTATTCAACTTGATTGGGCGCGGCTCCCACAACTCCCCAGGAGCTGGCACGAAACGCCCAACAGCCGACATCTTTCATCACTGCAAGAAAGACCTAACAAAATTCACCAATCGACGCTTCTGTTTCGCCGGTAATTGTGCGTCATTTGGGTCCGCTCCGGCACTCAGAAACTCCCGCAACCCAACAACCAACAAAACGCCCAGGACGGATGAGGGAGTGACACCCGACAGGCGGTGTGTACTCCGACTTTGTGACAAGGCTGACAGGGTTCAAACGCCTTCCATTGTCTTGCTTCCCTCCGCCGCTGCTGCCCAATGACAAACAGGTGGAATTCCGCTTCACCGAACCATGCGTTCCGCCACGCGGCCGGTCCGGCGGGGCCGATAGGGCTCCGTTGGAAGCAAGACAGACCATCATCACCGAGCAGGCCATTCAACATCCAGCTTTGATGGGGAGAACAAACCACACAGGCACAATCTGCGGCAGCCGGCAGCCGGAGTCATCTGACGGTGTACTTGGTACCTGCACACAAGCAGCTTACTGCGGGGCCGATGGACGCTCCGAGACGAGACGGAAGGATGCTCGTGGTAAGCAGCTCTTCAAAGCCGAGGCAGAAGGAGATCTCACCAGATTGCTGAATCAAAAGGCCCGACTCGTCTGCGTTGCCCAAGAACGACGTCAATGCAGCGAACCGGACTCACTCCAACCTCCGCACACCTTTCCGGAACAGGTGCCGCAAAATTGACATCGATATGGCCTAGCAATGCACCACCTCAACAGATATCAGCCCATACGTCTCGAGGCACGAGGGTGACAAGAGCGAATCCTTGTTCGGCGCCAGACCATGGCCTTCTAAAGGCGTCCCAACCCCGTAGAAGTGCCTCGGCGAACTCCTGAGCCCAAATGCTTGGGCAAAGTGCGAAAGAAGGCACCTTTGAAGCCTCCTGGCCTGGCCCAGGCGCACATCTTCCGCCATACGAATGCCCGACGATTGGGCGTGGGCGCTCGGTCCCGCCGCAACACGAACCGGGAATTTTTGATGCCATAAAAAGAACATTCGGCATCGAGGCGACCCTTCTTCCACGAGGTCAGTGGGTCGTCACCCGGAAGTGAAGAGCGAAATGGGATGTTCGGCCGCATACTCTCCTCGCAAAAAGCATGGTCTTGCCGCCGGCCGCAGATGCGCGATTGCGCGAGCTCGACCCCGGCGCTAAATTTGCTGCGGGACGTATCGAGGCTCTGCGTCTCTTGACGCCGAACCGGCGCTTACAACTTCCAACAGCGCCTCCAGGACCCCATCACGACGCTCTCATTGGCTCGTCTCCCCCCCACGAATTCCAGTATCCTCAGCCGCCACCAGGACATTGGACGACAAAGATCTCCCACGAGTTCTAAATCTGGACGGAAACATCGTTTCGAAACGCTACGAAACGAGATTGGTTTCCCGACCAGCCCCACGGTAGTATTATGGCACTCGCGTGCCAGAAAGTGGCCCTATGATAGCCAAGGAAACCGGTGCCCTTGCACTCCCTTCCCCCTTTTCCGAGCATGGCGTCCTGCAAGACCGTTTTGACGAGCACGCACAGGGCGGTTGCGGCTCAAAGGCTATCCAGACGACCGGGGGCGACTGCGACTACACACACCAAGTACATGCCAGCGGCTACAGCAACCGCAGGCGGCAACACCCCATGGCGCCTACATGGGAACGTGGCGTGGGTCGTCTGCGAGGAGTGAAGTCGCCTCGGTTGCCAACACGCCGCCGCCATCATCCCCCCTTCCCAGCGCGGGCCGCTCTGCATCCCCGGACAGATCCAGGGGACCGGGCCCTCCATCACACCCTTACCGCTGTAGCGACCACCCTGGGCGCCTGCGGCGAATAGCCCATCACCGGCATGGAGAGATCTAGATCTGCGGCGTTGGCGGCCTGTACGACGAGAAACGGGCCCAAGTACCGGTACATTTATCTGGTACCTGTCTGATCTGCGTGCCGTACCTGCATATGGCTTGGGTCCACTCTCAACGACCTGGCTTCTCGAGCTTCGCTCAAGCACCTCCGGACCGCATGATCCCGCCCACACCGCACAAAGGCAGCACGGGCTACTAACTAGTTCTTGGCGGTGCGGTTTGCTCCAAACCCTTTTTATATCTTTTTCTCGTTTTCTCCGGGAACAACCGTGTTGTTTGTTCACCTTCGCGAGATCGCACGCCCGGGAGCCGGTAAATCAGCGTGGCCCTTCCCCATCCGTCCTTAGACGGCACGAGTTCCCTTGACTACATGTTCGTTCAAACTCGACTCAGCATCTGCAGGTCCTTTCAAACACTAGGAAAGCAACAGTGTTGCAATGAAGTGACTTAGCCGCGCACCACATCCCTACGGCCAGTCCATCACCAGCCAGCCGCCCACCAGCTGCACAGTCCTTCGCACAATACCGAATCAGGTTTCTGGATTGGGCATATAGAATATCCGAGGCAGTAGTTTATCGTGAAAAAGCGTAGCGGTGCGCCAATCGGTCTATTTTATTTCTTAACTTCCTGCACATCAAGCAAGGTAGGTTGGCGGTGTGATGCTATTCTTAGACAGACAGTCTCCAACCTGGCTCCCTCCGTAGGCGTCATGTGAAGGGAAACTTGACGCCATCGCCCCGTTAGCGTTAGTGATTGCCGCACTGAAGTCGCTTCAAGCAGCAATGAAGACCATAACACAACCCGGTTCGTGTTCGGCGGAAGGCCTTAATCTGACTTAGGATGCGGTTGGGACCTGATGATGGCGGTGACTGTGTGGGGAATAATACAGGTAAAGTGACCGAGGTGTCCCCGGCAGCTTGCTTAACTCGCTGGGAAAGTGAAGACGGCACTTCGTCCCGAGTTGAGGCGAACAATACTGAACTCGATCTCACTCTCCCCGGGCGGCCGAAGACGGGCATCTCAAACATTTGAGCAATGCCGGTGCTTTTTATCGCCATAGGTCTCATAGGGTCAAAGTAAAGGAGTTGGAAGAGGGCTTTTTGCAAATCTCAGATGACTCCCTCACATGGCCTTTTAAACCAATTTCCAAGTTAATTAGTTACTACCGGCCGGCATATTAAAATCACTCTCTCAGTGCTCTTTATTCCACCAACTATAATTCCCGGGGTATGCTGTCAAAAAGCGACCACGCCCCTCCATTTCGTCACTAAACACATACGGGAGAGCGCTGAGCTGTCAGCTCACTTATCCATATGGGATATTGGGCTGTTAGCGAAGTCCGTCTGTCGGGGTTTTGGAGGCATCTGGGAGTTCCGGTATCTGACGAGAACAATGCGAAGGCGAAGGTGGAAAGAGGAGGTGTAATGTCAATAAGAGAAAAGGGGAACCTGAAGATTCCCAACTGAATGACATGTATGTGTACATAACTATATCACTACCAACTCCAATGTAAGTATCATCTCGTAACATCCTCATTAACGCGGACGGTAGATTTGCGACGGCTAGTATTAACTGCCCTTCACGGCTCTCTTGGTATTTTGGGCGTGGTTCTGTCTGTTTCTTCCCGGTGCCGTATTCAGTTGTTAACCGATACCCAACTCCCTTGTCAACCCACAAACATCGAGCGTCGCAAGAACGGTTTCAGCATATGCTGAGCAGAATCTCCTCAATGATGGTCTAAGTGTGCTACCAACCCACTCAGCGCACAATATCACACATTGGTTCGTATCAAGTAGGGCAAGGTCGCATGTTATACTCGAAACGGCACAAACTACTGCCTCACGGTATACTACTGTATTCATAAACCACCACTACGCACAGCCCATAGAGGCCACGGCCTATTTCTTCTGCCGCTTCGCGCTCTTATCACTCGCCGCACTAAGCACGCTCGCACTCCGTTTCTGCGGCCCGCTACTGCTGCCCGGCCTCGCGCCAGCAGCCTTGTCCTTCTCCGACCCGGGCTCCTCCTTAATCCCATCCGTCTTCTCCCCCGTAGACTGCTGCTGTTGCTGTTGCTGTTGCTGCTCCTGCTCGTCGGCGGCCTCGCCATCGGCTCCCCCCTCTTTCTCCTTGCGCGATCCTCCACCCTCCCCCTCCCCGCCCCCCTCACCATCACCATCGCCATCGCCCTCGCCGTCGCCACCATCCGAGCCCAGCACCTCCCGCGCCCGCGCCCTCTCCACGCGCTTCGCCTCCTCCAGCTTGATCTCGCCCTCGAGCTTGTCGCTCAGCTTGCGCGCGTCGACCAGGGCGGCGACGGCGCCCCAGAGGACCTCGAACTGGGCGGTGACGGCGGCGGTGGGCATGACGAGGCGCGGGGGCACGTCGAGCTCGGCGAGGGCGTTGGTCATGCGCAGCTGCTGCTGGCCCGACTTGTGGCTGTAGAGCTTGTTGATGCGCTCGTACCGGAACGTCGGCCCGCTGCCGAGCCGGTCGTGGTACAGCACCCCGTACACCTGCTCCTCGTGGCCCGTCAGCTTGCGCCGCTCCGGCTGCGCCGCCCCCGCCCCGCCCTTCTTCTTGTTGTTGCCCGCCGCTGCCCCCGCCGAGGTGGCTGACGTCGGGGTCGGCTCCGCGGACACGCGCGCGCCGGCGCCGGCGCCACCGCCCCCGCGGGCGTCCGAGTCGCGACGGCTGGAGGCGGCGGCCGCGATGCTCTCGCGCCGGTTGTGCCCGGGCCCTTCGGAGACGGCGCTGTTTGGGACGGCGCCGCCCGGGCTGGCGGTGTCGTTGGGGCCGAGGATGCTCTTGCGTTTCTTGGATTTGTCGGTGGACATGAGGTTTTGAAGGAGGGCTTGTAGGCCGGCGGAGCTCTTGAAGGAGTTGATGTCCGAGTCCGTGGCCGGGTAGTCGAGGCGCTGGTATAGCTCGCGGCGCTCCTCGTTGAAGCGCTCCGTGCGCGCGAGGATGCGTTTGATCTCGAGGAGGAGAGACTCCTCTTCGCGGGCCTCGTCCTTAGAGCGTGCCATCGTGTTGAGGGCGAACTCCTTCCGTTTCCGTTCCTGTTCGGCGTTGAAGTTTTGCATCATCTCGTAGAGCTCGAACTCGGGCCGCGTCATGTACTGTGCTGGCTTCTGTACCGCCATCATCTTCGCCGCAACCTCGTAGTACCGTGCCTTCAGGTCTTCCATCGTTCGTGATTTTTGCGCCGACACCACGGCTGTGCTCGCTCCGGTGGATTCCTCCCCCTGAGGAGGTTCAGGTGCGAACTCATACCGGTCCCAAATGATGGCCCAACGCAAGTCGTATTCCTTGGCCTGTTCTAACAAGTAGTCGGTTTCCTCCTTCGTCCACTCGCTGCTCTGGAGGTTCACTCGGTATTGGTCCTCGTTGTACTGCGGCACTGGAACCCGCACGTTGAACTTGGCGAACGAAGAATCCTCGGGTTTGTCGTCCTGCCTCTCCCCGTCCACTACCATGCCCTCACTTTGTTCCGATTCCCCTTCCTGCACGGGTGGCGGCGGCGGGCCATGCTCCGTCTTCCGTTTCCAGTGCCGGAGCACAAGGTTGCCATCGTCGTCCCGTGCTGAGTTTGTGAACGACTTCAATTCCCATCGCGTAGCCGGTTTGCGACTCGCAAATCGCCGTTTCTTGAAGAAGGATACCTCGGGGACGATAGCGATCGGGTTGTCGCCGCCAAGGTTTTGCACTTCGCGTGCGAGTCCCTTCAAGTTTGGTCGGGGTCCGCCGATTTTCTGTTTTTTTAATGCACGGGGTGCGGCCGAGTTGTTGTTGGAGGGGAGGTTCAAAACATCGCGGACGTCGTGGGAGGACATGGTGGTGGTGGGGTGTGTTTCGTCGGGTCGCGTCGCGGCATGCGATAGCGCTCTGGCCGGAAGCACTAAGTTTGCGCTCGCAGCGGGCAAGATCAATTGGTAGAACCCAAATTCAATTAAAAATTAATAATACACGCGTTTGAGATCGATGTCCCCTAGCTTCTGCGATAAAGGAGCGGTAGGGTGTTAACTGGGTGATGCAAATCGTCGAATTTGGGCAGCTCATCAAGGTGGATTTTGGCAGCGGACACCGCCAAAAAAAACTCCCGCTGCATCGCATGCCTGCAATCGAAGGAACTCGGAGGGCCAAGACTTCCTCACAAAATGACGCACGTGATCGGACCAATCCCCCCTGGGCCCAATTTTCCTGAACGTGGCAGCTTCGAATGCTTGGCCAAGGGCGGCCGCGACTGTGAGCGCCAGCCAGTGTTGCCAGCGGAAAGTGTCGATTTCCAGAACCTCGTCCTAGCGAATTCCGCCGCCGCCCTCCACCGTCACCAACAGCACGAGGTGACCCGCCAGATTACCGGCAACAATGAGGTCTCTTCTCCCCCTCCTCTCCCTGGCCTCCATGGCCCAGGCGCTCTACTTCTACGTCGACGTGACAACACCCAAGTGCTTCTTCGAGGAGCTCCCCAAGGACACCCTGGTGGTGGGCCACTACTCGGCCGAGGAATGGAACGACCAGAGGCACGCCTGGGAAAAGCACGACGGCATTAGCATCTACATTTCCGTTGATGTATGTCCTGCCCTCATCCATTCTCCCCTCCCAATTCCTGCCTCCCCCCCAAACCATACCCGCCCTGGATCCAACCCACACGCTAACCCCCTTTCCCCCCCCTTCCGCAGGAAATCTTCGACAACGACCACCGCGTCGTGTCGCAGCGCGGCGGCTCCTCGGGCAAGTTCACCTTCACGGCGGCCGAGTCGGGCGACCACAAGCTCTGCTTCACGCCCTCGTCCAGCAGCGGCCGGGCCAACTGGCTCTCGGTGTCGTCGCCCAACGGCGGGATCCGCCTGACGCTGGACGTGGCCGTGGGCGAGACGAGCGCGCTCGACGGCGCCGACAAGGACAAGATCCAGGACCTGGCGACGCGCGTCAAGGACTTGAACGCCCGGTTGAATGATATTCGGAGGGAGCAGGTTTTCCAGCGGGTGAGGTTCCCCTTTCCCTTTTTTTTCTTCTCTGGCCCGGATGAGTGGAAGTTTCAAGAGGCTAACCAATGCGGGATACAGGAACGCGAAGCCGAGTTCCGCGATCAATCTGAGAGCACCAACGCGCGCGTGGTCCGGTGGATTCTGATCCAGCTCGTTGTGCTCGGCGTGACGTGCGCCTGGCAGCTGTCCCACCTCCGGTCTTTCTTCATCAAGCAGAAGCTTACATAGAGAGACGCAAAAAATATGGCTTGTTCTGCTATGGGCTGGTGCTGGTGGCGGTGTGGGAGTTTGTCGTTATTGTTGTCTTGATGATCTGCTTGCTGCTGTATGCATCCATTCGACCCCCGTTACGGAACGCATCCCGCCTGTCTGTCTGGGTTAGAAATGTATCTCTCTCGGTGGGAAGGGAAGTCAATGGGTTTGGTTGGGAGCGGGAGTTTCTAAATGCAATCAACGATAGGTATATACGCGGTCATGGTTCTACTGTAATGATATACACACTTGGTCTGGCATGAATGGAAATGGAGGATGTTTGGATTAGTCCGCCGCAAGCTTGGTGTTTTTCCTGCCATGGTCGCGTTTGGTCTGTAAATGTTCTGGCTATACTCTCCTATAGCGCGGTGTATTCACTTGTTAGAGATTAATACGGACGACTAGCTCAACAAACACTTCAATATTCGCAGCTTCGGTATTTGCTTCGAACCCGAGAAGGAAATATAAGGAGAATAAGAACGCGCACTACAGATAACGCAACGAGGCAGCAAGGGATTCTTCACAAGTAGGTAGCCGAGGATAATTTTATAGAATCGATTTTGTTATTTTGACCCAAAAGAAAAACATGAATGTGACAAATCAGACTCCCGTCCCGCTGAGCCCAGAGACAGACAACAAAACTAACCTGACACCAGTTACGCTGACGCCCCTTTTTTGCTTTTGTGCTGTATGGTTTTGTTCTCAAAGACGGATGCTGATTATTAGAGAGTTATCTGTATGGGAGAGACAATAAAAAAAAACACACGCCCAAAGAGCGCCATGATGTCCTGTTTACCCCCACAGTACCCAGCCCGCCCAGCAATGTTCAGCCCTGTAGCCAGAGCTGTGACGAGATGAGGCGGCCCAGGCCGAGAAACAAAAGGAGGGACTCGCAGTCGAGAGAAAAAAGAAAACCGGATTATCGTGATCGTAAATGATGTCTGTCCAGAGGCGCCGAATGTGCCGGAAACCGCTATGGAAAGAAGTATCCTCTATGTCCCATGCAAAAACGAAAAACGGATGCGCATGTTGCGGGCAAATCATGTCAGACTCGTCTCCTGGAAAGCCTTCTATATAGAACATGCTGTCCGCTACCGCCTCGCGCTGGTTGAACCCGTGAGCCAAGGTCGCCCGAGGTTTTTTGAAGTCAAGGACCAATCGCTTACCCAATAGGACGCCGGATGATTCAACAAAAAAGCAAGCGTCAAGGCCGTTAACCGCAGCACAGCGTCTTCATGAACTTCTGGAAGCCCGTCGGTTGCGGTTGCTGGGGGCTATTCTGCGGCTGGGCTGGGCTGTTCATCTGGGGTGACTGGGTCATCGGTCGCTGGGGCAGGTTCTGGGCGCTGTTCTGGAACTGCGCCTGGGTCGAGCCCGTCGGAGTGGGCGCCGCTTGCATGTAACCCCCAGCCGCCGAGCGCGGACTTGCCAATCCGGGCCCGTTTGGCCGCCCTTGGTTCGGTGGTTGTCCCATAACCTGGCGAGGCAGCGGGGGTTGCGTGGCGTTTAAACGAGCTGCGGTCAGTCCCGGGGCTTGCGGGTCGCTTTGGTGACGATTGGTGGCCCCCCGCGAGTTGCCGTGCAGTTCCATGGCAGATGCCCCGGGCCGAGAGTTTGGGTCGTGCAAAGCTTGCCGGTTCCAGTCCCCCTTCTTGTCTTGCTTCCTCATCCAGTCGTACTCACCATCTTCGACCTGCCCAGAGACCTGGAGCGCCTCGGTAAAGAGACCACGAAGATAGTTATAGTCGGGTTCGTCTTCGAAGCCGAGACCGCGCACGTAGCTGAGATACTTCTCAAACTGTTCGGGAAAGCCCGAGCAGAGGTCCTTGATGACGGTCGTCTGCTTCTTCTCTCCAATCTTTTCGTACTTCTGCTTGTTGGTGGCAGCCTTGAGGCCTTGCCAAGGCAGACCGCCGCGCAGGAAGTACATAAAGACGTGTCCTAGGGCCTCGAGATCGTCTCGTCTCGACTGCTCCCTGCCGAGATGGGTGTTGATACTCATGTACCGGGCGGTTCCCGAGAGCGATTTGCGTTCCCTATAAGGGATGTGTTGCTTGGTCTTTGGGTCGCGGTATTGCTTCGCCATTCCAAAGTCGACGACGTGGATGACGTTGGCCGTCTTTGTGCCAGGCCTCCCGATAAGGAAATTGTCGGGCTTGATGTCTCGATAGATCAAGTTCTTTTCGTGGATTGTTTGGACGCGTGACAGCTGCAACACTGGTCAGACGTGATCACCAAGATGATTTGGCGGAAACACATACCATCTGCTTTGCGACCATACAGACTGTCTTGAGGGTAAACCTCCGATTGCAGTGGTCGAAGAGATCCTCCAACGACGGACCAAGCAGGTCGATGACCAGGATGTTGTGGAGGCCTTCTTGGCCAAAGTAGTAGACATTGGGAATCCCAGCTGAGGTCAGGGTTAGTTAGAGGGTATTCCCGTGGTAACCTCACTGGGGAAGACTTACGGCAGCCCACAAGGATCTTGTACGTCCGGTACTCGTCGCGTAGCTGAGGAGCATCGCTCTTTCTAGGTTCCTATTCCATATCATATTAGTCTTGCCCAGGCGACGAGAGGGGTGTTGGGGTCTTTTGAACGTACAAACTTGATGGCGACCTGTTGGCTATTGAGAAGGTTCATTCCCTCGAAGATGACACCGAAGGAGCCCTCTCCAATCTTCTTCCCAACCCGGTAGTGCACCCCAACAACGTTCGACGATGACGAAGCCATGTTGCTGGATTGGCGTTAATCGCGCGACCCGATCTGGTTATGCGGTGTGGGTATCTGAATTTCGACCGAATTGTCAGTTTCAGTCAAGTCCCATATCAAAAAGACGGTCCTTCGGAGACAGCTGCATCAATGTAGATGATGACACAGCTGGGTGCGTCGACGTGGGGATGTCGGTAGTCGGTGGAGTGCAGAGGCAAACAGCGATGCGATCATCGCAGTGTACCACCTCCGCAAGACCAGGACAACCCAGGAGAGGTTGATGTGGTGGGAAAACGGGGTGCAGAGGGTGGGCACGAGCCAACTCACAAGCTCTCGAAGGGGTCTGCAGACGGCCCTATTGACAGGCGGTGGGCGGAGCTCGGCTGTCAAGAGGCGATGCTTTTGCTGGCATAGACTTTTGTCGGTCGGCAACGGCTACAGGCAGAACGAAACAATTGCTACGATTCCTCGGCGAAAAAAATCCGGCGGATGAAGCCGCGTCGGAGATGGGACGACAAAGGGATTCGAGTTCGAGTTGAGCTCGTGTGGTCTCTTAGGCGTTCCGCCGCGACGTGAAAGTTCGAACGCTTAATGATTCTTCCTCTGGATTGAACCGGCCGATTGGCAGGTCCTCACTCGGGATGCGCTCGGTCGCCCCGGCACCGCTTGTCGTCTGTGGCCTCTGCGAAGGCGCACAGAGTTTGGTGGGATGGCGATATGTCGTGTGGTGTGGCGGGAGGGAATGGAGAAGGAGGAAAAGGCGAGGAAGGGAGACTCCAGAAGGGGAAGGCAGGGCAGCGGAGTCGTGAACAGGGGTGGTGGACAGTCCAGCCAATCCAGCACGGGCAGACCGCCAGCGGGCAACGAAGTGAGCTGGTCCTTGCGCAGCCTCCCGTCTCTTGCCAATTCACTTCTGCAAGTCCTTGCCACAGCACCGCAATTGGAACGCGGATGCACAGGCCCAGAGGCGTAGCACGGCCCAGCAGGAGTTGGGATGGAGAGAGAGGCGCAGGAACAAGCCGAGTGGTCACCAAAGGTCATCGATGTGCTTGCATGATCAGTGTTGCATTCAGAGCATCACAGCCCAAAGTCGAGACCATTGCCTGATCTGGACTTGCTCGGTTCATTTTGGAGGGATTCAATCCGCCAACGGAGCCCTGATCCCCTTCCGAACCGTGCTCTGAGCGCAAAACTAGGGACCTTCCGCACCGCTAGACTGATGCGACTTTGCAATCTTGGTTTCCTAAGCAAAGCAGCCCGTCCTCGGTGCCGGCTCGATCAACACTAGCCGGGTTATGTCCATAACTATTCTGTATACTACTTTTCACCGCCCGAAGCCGGCCGTCGATCTACGAGCCGTTGAGGGCCGCGGAAGCGACGAAAAAGGCCAGAATCGTGTGGGGACCACATCTGTCCCCCAGCCTCTTGTCCCCACGCTAGCAATCCTAAAAAGGGATGGTTCCCAGCAATAAGACGGGGCCAAATTGTCGCGGTGAGCCTCACGGCAGCTCTCCTGCAGAAGGCTCGCGGTCACGCCTGTTGCAAACATCATTTGTTGGGGAAGCGGCCAGCAGGGGCAAAAAGGAAGGTACGAATCTCACGAATCTCACAAAAAGCCCCCGGCCGGCTTGTCGGTCTTCGCTCCAAGGTTCGGTAAGGCAAGCGATGGGATGCCATTTCGGCGCTGTGGAGCTTCCATTTGGTCTCATCAGCCAACCAGTCTGGGCAGGGAGCGGACCGCCCCTGACTTGGAGTGCCAGTAGTGAGGTACATCGGTACCTGTGGCGAGCAAGTTTGGCCCTGACTGGGGTTCTCGCCCGAGCCAGCCTTGTTTGGGTGCGCCAAGAAGCAAGGCGAGGTCGGAAAAAATTAAACGTGCCTCCCTTCCCGACGGGATGTGATCTTGAGCGCGGCTGCACAAGGATATCCACGCGCACTGCACAGTGAGGCGGTTCCAAATTCCAACGGACCACAACATTCGATTCCACGATGCCTTCCTTTTCGCCACGAGAGCCCGTTTGATGGTGGATTCTTGAGTGGATTCTTGAAGACAGTTTGAGTCGGACGAACCAACATTCAAGCTTTGACTCCATCTGCACCTGCCCGCTCCAGCTCATGCGCGTGTTTCTGTATCCAGTCAAAATGCGACTCGGTGGTTGGTCGACACTCAGACACAGCACTGTCTCGAAGACCTCGAAGCCGGGGTGCTCTGCAACTGATCAACTCGCTGGCAGGCCCAATATCCAATGGTTTTCAGTGAAGGTCACCTTCCACCCGTGGACGTCCGGAAAGTTTGGGGGTTTCGAGGTTTGCGACCCAAACAATCCCGTTTGGCCGTCGTCTATGGGCCGACAAATATAGGTCGGTGCATAGGGATGCGACCTCTGGCACATTACATCTGTATGTAGAACTTGAAATTCACCTCTTGGCTTTAAGCGTAAAAACAAGCATCGATGCCCAAGCTCGGGTTTTGGATGGCAGAGAGAACATCCATGGATATAACTCCCTCACATTAACACACATCTGTTTCACACCCTTCCTTGCCCCCTCGTTCTGACCACATGATTCGCCCTCCGACTCAAACAAAAATCTTAAATGATAGATGGCACCGCAGCCACTCACCGCTCTGGCCGAGAGAATGGAGGAGGGGAGGGGGTTGAAGTTATGCTCTTACGAATACTGTGTAACACTCCCTCGGGTTCCCCGTCGCGGAGAACTGTTTCAGCTGAGACCGCGATAACCGAAGCTTGCGTTCAAATGCCTCAGCTCAGATCCATACCTTTTCCGTCACTAGCATATGACAAGAGGATGCCGTTGTTGGTTTACGTCACGGTTGAAAAGGCCAAAAAGAAGGGCGAACTCACTCCGGTACCACAAACTCAGCCTTCCCATTTTTGATGTAGCTTCGTCCTGACCATCAAGGCCCGGCAAGGCCAGCTCTGCAGAGCCGCCATGTTCTCATAGAAACCCATCAAAAAAACCCGACAGCCAAAGCAGCTATGCCACAAAAGTAATTATACAGTTTGGTCTGCGTAAACCGTTGTACGCCCGCACCGTCATCTACCAGGAGAAAGGGAAAAAGAAAGCAAAGAAGCGAGCGTTGCCCCCATCTCTTGCGTAGGACCGTTCCCATCCCTCATTTCCCCAGTCCAGTACACACACAAGACAAAAAAACAAAAGCCCGAAGTCATGGACGCGCATCCCGCCGCCACCCCCTTGCTCAACCCTCAACCCCCATCCCCAACCTCAAAGCCCAAACAACCCCCCCGGCATCGTCCTCCCCTCCTCCCTCTCCTTGATCACCAACTTGGACTTCGCCGTCCCATTCGGCTGCTGCACCCGCCCTTGGGCCAGGGCCTGGGTTTTCGCGGCGTGGGCCTCGGCCGCGGCGGCCCTCTTCGCGGCGGTGATGCGGTCGTAGGTGACGGCGACGGTCTTCTCGGCGCACTCGCGCGTGGTGCGGTACCAGGCGTCGAGCTGGGCCCTGTCGACGGCCGTGCGCAGCTGCTTGTCCTCCCAGCGCATGGCGTCGAGCAGCTTGCCGCGGAAGCCGTCGTCCATGGTGTCGAAGCGGCGGTCGAGCGCCTCGGTGAAGACGCCGAGGGCGTCGGACGGCTTGACGAAGGGGTGGAATTTGGAGTGGGTGTGTTCTGGAAGCACGGGTTGGGTTAGCATGTGTTTTTTGAAGTGGTCGGTGGGTAGGGGGTAGGTAAGACTTACGCTCGTCTACAACTGCGAATAAGGTGTGGTAGGCGGCTGTCTCGCCCACGGTGGCAAGTTGGTCGAGGTCGTCCTTCTCGTTGGTCTCATTGACTCGCTGCCAATCATCGCGCGTGAAGCACCGCCTCCAGATAAGCCGCTCGGCGTCGGCGCGTTCCTCGCCCTTGAGGCCGTACTGGGCGACCTTGAGCGCAAGGTAGAATTGGTCGCCGATGGTGTCGTAGTGGTTGGAGGGAAGCGACGCCAGAGTGAGCAGGTCGATCAGGGTGTGTGGCTGCAGCGCTTCATGTCTGAGCAGGCGTGACATGGAATCGTCAAAAACCTGATGGAGAGCCTTCTGCCTTTTCGGGATCAGGTCCCCATGCTCCTTCACAGCGAGTTCCACTTCTGCCGACTCGTCAACGCCCTCCTGAATAGTAGGCAAGATTTGGCTATACAGAGCGTCTTGGATCTTGATGAGCTCGAGCGCGTGATCGATCTTTTCGAGGTTGACGCCGTTCCTCCCCTCATTATCAGAGGGAGCGCTGCTGACGCCATCATTGACGGACTGCTCGGCCTCGTCAGCAAGCAGGGCGAGTTTGCCCAAGCTGAGCTCAATCTTTTTGTTCCAGACCTGCTGCTCGCGGGTGAGACCTAGGTCTAGTAGCGTCTCGGCAGCATGGTCGATATCCTTCTCCCTCTCGACGTCGTTGATCCACGAGATCTTGGCTAGCTCAGGCTTGGTCCGCAGAAACTTGGTCGCGTAACCGTTCCTATCGTGAGGGAAGTCCAGAACAGCCTCCACGCCACTGCTCTCGAGAAGAACCTCGTAAGCGCGGAAGGCAAAGCTTTCCTCGTAGTCGTCGAACAAGCGACCCATCTTCTGTTCCTTGAGTTTGGCGAGAGCCAGCTTTTCTTGCGCCGCGCTGTCCGTCGTGTTCCCCTCCATCGCGTTTTGCTTTAACGATATGATCTGTTGCACCACGACCTCCGCAAGTGAGTCAAATGCTTTGTACTCCTTCGCGAGCTCAATGGCCTCCTCCCACAAGTTGAAATCCTTGAGCCTCAGGATCTTCGTGTAAACATCTTCTTGATAAATTTGCTGGTAAGTCCTACCGCGCTCCTGAGCCTGCGCATCGTCGCTCAACGCGGCCCAGCTCGAGAACTCGGCAAGAGATGTGAGATACTGGCTCGTTAACGAGGGCAGAAGATGCCGGGTGGATTCGAGGAGGCGGGTGTCGATCGGGGTGTTGTCGGGAGATTGTTCCGAGTACCGCTCAAGCCATTGGTAACAGAACTCGACCAGCCGCTTGAGGTTGTTGGTGATGAAGAAAGTTGCGGTCCAGGGTTCCGGGATCGCGTTGCCGCCGGCGATATCTCTTGGGTTGATGCCGTATTGCCTCGCTCTATTCAGCCGGAACTGGCGCGCCTCAAATAATGCTCCGTTATTTATGGTAACGGCCTCCCAAACTAGCCGATTGATGCCGGCCTCGTCGGATAACCGCTCTGTGAAGTGGTATTTGATGATCTGGTAGGCCCAGGCAACAAAGATATCCAGCCTCCACACGTCGTTGATGAACCAGTGACGGACAGGATCCACCTGGCCGACGGCCGGGTTGAGCTCCGTTTTTTGATGCTCGTTGATATAAACTGCTGTTTCGGAGATGAGCGTCTTCTTCTCCCCCTTGGGCCGCTCGGCGAGAAACTGCTCATGCTTTTGCCATATCCATGTCGCAACGGCCATCTTTTCGGCATTGTAGAGCAGCATCCACCGGGCGCGTGTGTCTAGGTCAAAATCGAGCGAGTTGAGATATGCGATCAAGCCGTCCAAGTAGACAACCCTGCTCTTCATGTTGTTCTCGAGAGAGGCCGGCAGATTCGCGATAAAGGGCGTCTTCGAGCTCACAATCTCGTGGCTCAACTCAATTGCCGCGTTACTGATTTCCTCGCTGGAGAAGGGTAGCTCTCTCCTGCCTTGGAACACCAACGGGTTGTCATCCTTGAGCCCAAAGAACACAGCCTGCTCCAGCTTGCTCTTCGCGGTGACCTCTGGCGGCGTGTCGCTGGCAAACCGGTCGATGTCGGAGACTGCAATCCTGACGGTCCCAACCCCTTGAAGTAGGAGCACGACGGTAGGGTTTTTTGTCTTATGGCGGTGAGGCCTCGCGTCGTCTTGCGCATACACGCCCCCATTGGGCTCCTCGATGCCGGAGCCGACAACCTGAAGAGTCTCCTCGTCCCGGAAGTCTACTACATCCTCGAAGGTGTGCGGCAACATGTGGCTATCCTCCTGCAGCTGCGCATCCGGGGAGTCGGGAGGCGCAACCATGGAGGCGACGACCACAGCCCTGTCGAATACGAGAAACGCAACGAGCGCGGGCCGCGGGAGGTAGATTTGAGGCTTCTCCGCGGCTCCGGACCTCACGGGGCTGTTGTACGAAGTTACTGGTCGGACCATTCCGACTCGGGGGCCCTCAGGGCCTATGACCACCTCGACTAGCGAATATCGAGAGTGGTGCTGTCTTGAAAAGGAAACAAGCAGCAAAGCATGTTGTAACGACTCCTCTTCGTGGGTCAACGCCTCGCTCAAGCGACTGGCATTGACATACTTTTCCCCGAGACCCCGAGGCACGAGCGTGAAGTCGAGCACCTCGAAAGAGTCCGGTGAAAAGTACTTGGTGCTCGGATCGGCCTCCTGGACGGCGTCCATCAATCGTTCCCGAATGTCGCAATCAACAACGAGTTCGTGATGGCCACCGCGGTGTATCTTCCAGGAATGTAGCCGTCCCTTGGATGTCGCGGCAACAACCACTCGCTCTCCGACCTTGGCCCCGGGGCTGGTCCGCGCGGCAGCAATTTCACCGCGGAAGGCGGCTGAGCTGAGGGCATGACGGATGGTTCCAAAGAAGCCCAAAGCGTTCCCGCCCAGACCACTCCGAAGGAACTGGGCGGTGATCCCGGGCCGTCCGTGTGCATCCCTCACACTCATGTATGCCAATCGTCCGGTGCTGAAAACCAAAACGAAGCCAGCGGACCCAGCGTCGACGATCTGGGTGACGTGCTCGCCCGAGTACATTCCGGATATTGAATCTTCGACGCCGCTTCGTTGTTGCCGAATGAAGTCGGCAGTGGCTGCGCTCGAGATGGACTCCCAGTACGCGACCTTGCCGCTCGTCGGGATGACGACGACCAACCCAGGCTCGTCCGAGGAGGCCGACGCGGTGACCAAGGACGCAAGCGGGAGAGGATCGGAGGCATGCTTCGAGGGGTACGGGATGGTGAATGTGAAGGTTTCGGGAGAAGATGTCGTCGAGGTATAAGGCCATACGAAGACGTGGTTATGGGTGAGGCTCAGGGCGTAGCCGCTCGAGGAATGGACGGCGCCGTGCTGGCGATCTTGGGAAGAGTTCAGCAACGCTTGCCCGGGAAACGTTCCGCCCTTGGACAGTATAAGGGTCTCGGTCTTACTTTGCGCGTCTGTGCGGAGTCTGTCTGGTAGCGCCGGTAACTTGCTCACGGTAAACGCATTGTTCGTTGTCTGCAGCGCGGCAGTTAGCTACGAGGCACATTTTCAAGCCCAGGCGAGGATGAGGGAACAAACCAAAACAATGCTCCCGTCGCCCTTGGCAGTCCTCTCCCCTGCTTTGGGCTTCTTGGATCGCACGCTAAGTTCCTTTCGTTGCGCGCCAACGTTCTCGATACCGTCGCGCTTCGTCGCGTGAGCCCCAATTTTGTCGGGCTTCACCTCGTACATCTCGGGCTGTGGATCGGGATTCACAGAGGCGGCCTCGGCCAGGGGAACCCTTTGGCGCTTCGCCTTTGGTTGCTGAGTTGTTGTGTCGGAGGTGCGCTGCCGGCGGCGACTGCTTCGCGTGCCCTTTGCGGGCCCGCCTTCGTGAAGCGCGGGAGAAAACATTCTCACAGTCGGGTCCAACGGAGGGGGTTTTCGGTGTTGCGGTCGGCGCGACCTCGCGATGTCGTCGTGTAAAGAAGTCGCCAAAGACTGGTGCTTTGGTGAATCATCAACAGCTAAACGACATCGAAAATTGGTGATGGAGATATGATGAATCAAGTGTCGGTAAATACCGAGGAGAGGGCGCGCAGAAGAAGCGACCCAGCGAAAAGTTTAGAATGGAATGGTTCTAGTTCGAGGCGGGCAGAAGTAGGAGTGACGAAGCCTTCATCGATTGGCCTGTGTTGACTTTGGGCAAAAATTCTGGGGCTACAACTGGCTGGAGCTGGGCGTTCGTGGAGCCCCCAGCTTGCCAGCTCCATCCACGCGCTGGCCTCCGATTGAACAGCCCCACACAGCAGTGATACCCACGCACCCACGCAACAGCCGGACGCCTTGTCGCTTGTTCCTGGCCCTGTTTTTTCTTCCCGCCTTTGCCCAATCAGTCGATCCATGTTTCGAGATCGATTTCACCACAAAGTTCGCGGGGGTTACCGATACGATACGATACAATCAATGGGACTGTCTCATCACTCAGCGCTTTTCCGACCCTCGGTTCCTGAAATCGCATTTTGCTCGGGTACACCCGCCAGCTGAGCTTGCGATGATCCCAAATCGCCGCTTGAGCTAATTCAGGTACCTTTTGCTCGGAAGTTAGTGACATCATTGGGCAGTTACCGTTTAACGGTTCAACTTGGAAGTTCATGGTGTTGCGACTAAACCCCCCCACAAACCGTTCCTCAGGTCGCGCAACGTTCAAGAAATAATATTTTATTCTAATGATTTTACAACGTTATACTCACTCCTTTATTTCCCGGGGATAGTTCCCTTCATCGCGAAGCCATGAATCGGGCGGTGACCTCGGTCACCATCACCGACCCCTTTGTCAAGTATACATCCCTTATTGCGACGGGTGTCTACAGCCCGGATGCGGCCCAGTACCGCCTCGCTCACCACCTACAAGGGGTATACGCGAGGCTAAAAGACTACACACCTTCGCACGAGTACAAGATCAGGCTCCAACAGATCACGAGCGCTGTGGGCGCGGCTCAGGCTACGGCGGGAGAGTCGCTCGCTTCTCGTACCCACCCAATCCGCCGAAACCCGCTCTTTGCGCGCTTCTTTCAGAGGGACCATGGGAGTGATAGCCTGGCTTTGGCAAGGGTCTTGACAAGTTATCAGGCCGCTTTGCATGTTGACTCTCCACGGGGGCTCTTCCTTTCGGGCGAGGTTGGCACGGGCAAGTCAATGCTTCTCGACCTCCTTGCCGAGGGTTTACCTACTCGCCGCAAGAAGAGGTGGCACTTCAACACTTTCATGCTGCATACCTTCTCAAGGTTAGAAGAGTTTCGAAAATCTCGTCCGGATACGTCCTCACAACATCCCGAATATTCTTTGCTTTGGATGGCCAAGGAGCTTGTGGAGAGTTCTCCCATTCTGTTTCTCGACGAGTTCCAGCTCCCAGACAGGGCTGCGAGTAAGATCATGAGCAACCTCTTTGTTGCCTTCTTCCAGCTTGGTGGTGTTCTTGTCGCTTCCTCGAACAGAATGCCTGAGGAGCTTGAGAAAGCGACAGGTGGCTATTACGCGCCCCCAGCTACTGGTGGTCTGGTCGAGAGAGTTCTGGGCTTCGGAAAGAGCCGGTCTGGAGGCGAGTTGTTCGGTCAAACCAGCGATTTTGCCGCCTTTCTTGAAGTCCTTAAGGCCCGGTGCGACTTTTGGCACATGGAGGGGACTCAAGATTGGAGGAGAAGGGAGAGCCGGGTAGGCCCCGTGGCGGAACCCGTTGGTATGGTCACAGGAGTCCCTTCTCAGGTGGAGGCAACGGGCAACAGCACCAGTTTGGGACAGCAGAAAACCGAAGGCGAGACGCAGATACCAGCTATGTACTTCTTGCCGTCCGATAGCGGAGAGAGTTGGGAATCCGGGTTGCGGCATGCGACGAGGTCAGCCGATAGCTATTCAGCAGCCCAAGGCCTAAGCTGGAAACCCACCAGCGTGGTAGTATATGGGAGGAAACTAGACATCCCTCGGCACTACAACGGCGTCTCCTGCTGGGACTTTGCTGAGCTTGTCAGCTCGTTGGGGCCAGCGGACTATGTCACACTGGCATCTAACTTCCATACCTTCATTATTGACCGTGTCCCCATCTTGACGGTCTCCATGAAGAACGAAGCGCGGCGTTTCATTACGCTCTTGGATGCGCTCTACGAATCACGGTGCAAGTTGGTTATCCGAGCTGAGGCCGACCCCGACCGTCTCTTCTTCCCCGAGACGAGGACAGAACAGGTGGGAGCAGACGCGGCTCAGGCCGTAACGGCGCGTGACGAGGGCACCGACGCAACGTACTCGGAGACGATTGCCGAGGTTTACCAAGACCAATTGTCACCGTTTCGCCCAAACATATCAACATATTCGGAGTCCCCCAACTCAAAGTACGACCCCGACCAAGACTCGGACTTTGGGAAGGAGCAGGACAGGAAGGTCGACTTCAGCAAGACGGGCGCGTTTACCGGCGAGGACGAACGGTTCGCGTACAAGCGGGCGACGAGCCGGCTGTGGGAGCTCTGCAGCGCGCAGTGGCATGCGCGGATGGGAGATTGGTGGCAGCCGCTGCCGAAGGAAGCGAGGCACTGGGAAGGGAGGGCCGTGTCGAAACCGCCGCCTTCACCCTTGTCGAACCGCGCGCCGAGCGAGATCACGATGGGGGAAACCGTGGATCTCGAGGAGCCCGCGGGCTTGGAACGGGTCCGGATCGCGAGGCTAAAGAGTGATGAGCAATGAGGGAGAAAGCCAAGGTGTTCGTTTGGCTCGTCCCGTCCCGGGAACGGTACCCCTTGCCTGGGCATGGTTGTCAGCCCGGTAGAGAACCCCTTTCCATAGGCCGTCGATCATGAGGGGCATCACGACGAGGAAAGGGGTCAGATTGTTTGTAGTTGTCTGCCTCTGCATTGGCCTTCAGGATGGCTTCCACGCCTTCACAGAAACTGCTGCCAGGGGAATTTAAGTCTGGGGAAACCCTCCTCGTCGCACGACATGCAACCGTTGAATCAACTGTGGGGTAAAGGTTACATTCAAGACCCTCTCTGGGGTTGTTTTGAACGGAAGAGGGGATCGGGGTTTATTGTGTACAGAGACCATCACCGCAAAGATGCCGCGTATGCCATCTTAAATGTGTCACGATACAGCTGGGCTGGGCTTCGCCATTATCTTCTCGAAAGCAGGCTCGAAAAGGGGATAACTGCCGGTTATTTCGGCACCCATCACCAAGCATTCCCGGCCGGCAACCAATGGCACACATGCCCTCCTTTCGGCCAGCAAAACACCCTCTTGCCTAGAACAGCAACTTGCTACGCTCCGGAGCGAGCCCCGCCGGTGATCCTGGAGGGCATCCCGGATCTTTGTAACCGAAGATGGCAGGCACACTCAATAAAACACACTTCCTGTAGTACACTATAGAAAAAGGGTACGTACACAGAAAGTAACGTACACTTTCCTGGCCCGAGCTGTGTCCTCAATGCCACGGTGGTGCAACTCGTAAATCATTCCCCAACCCCCCTCCGTCCCTCCCCCATCCACACACACATCCACACCAACACCAACACCAACCCCCCGCCGTGTAATGCGCCCCTCCGCGGGGACGTCGCCAGCGCCATGGGCGAGAAGACGAGATTCCAAATGCTGATGCGGCCGCGGCCGCGGCAGAACCGCCGCCAGCTGCGCCAGCTCACCCTCGTCCTCGGCGTCGTGCTGGCCCTCTACTGCTTCGTGTTCGTCTGGCGCACGCCCACGTCATCGTCCGGGTCGACTGGCGGGTCGGGGCGCCGAGGGAAGCCGCCGCCGCCGCCACCGGAGGTGTTGAATAATCTCTCGCTTGACGAGGAACAGTGCAACGCCTACTTCCCGGGGCTTACAAAGGAGATTGACGATGTCGTGGCCAAGGGGCCGTTTCAGGTGAAGCAGACGGGAGATATGGGGCCGTTGCAGGGGCGGATTAAGAATGGACAAGTGCGTACTTGCGAGTTTGGTTGAGAGGAGCTTCGGTCGATATTGACGGGGTGGGATAGATACACATCATCCACGCACAGCGCAAGTCGGACATCTCGCAGGAAATGATGAACGTAAGTTTCCCACCCTTCACCAAACAAGCCAAACGGACCCCACGGGCTATCTACCTATCTATGCGCAGCCCACACGCTCACACCCGCTCCGCACACGCACACAGTCACGAACAGCCTCCCTGCACCAGCTGCACCGCGCGCTGCTGACCTCGCCGACGCCGCTCCCGGACACCATCTTCACGCTCAACTTCCAAGACCAGCCGTTCGGGACGGCGTGGGCGTACTCGCGGCACGCGGACCCGCAGTTCGGGTCGTCCTCGCGGGACGGCAACGCGCGCACCTTCCTGATGCCGCACTTCTCCTTCTGGGCGTGGAACCTGCCCTTCATCGGGTCGATGGGGCGGGCGGCGGCGGCGATCGCCGAGCTGGAGGCGGCGTACGCCGCGCCCGGCGCCTGGCACGGCAAGATCGCCAAGGCGGTGTGGCGCGGCACGACGTGGTTCAACAGCGTGCACAGCCCGCGCATGCGGCAGAACCTGGTCAAGGTTGCGCGGGGCAAGCCGTGGGCCGATGTCGAGCCGCTCGAGTGGAGCAAGGCCGGCAGCAAGGCCGGTAACAAGGCCGGTGGCGAGGACGGCAAGAAGGCCAGCAACGTGCTCCCGATCGAGGGCTTCTGCCGGTACAAGTACGTGGTGCACACCGAGGGCATCGCGTACAGCGGGCGGTTCCAGTTCCTGCAGATGTGCGCCAGCGTCGTGCTCACCCCGCCGATCCAGTGGATGCAGCATCTGACGCACCTCGCGAGGCCGCTGTTCTCGAGCGATTTGGATCTCAAGCGGGGCGATGGTGGGAAGGGTTGGACGCCGACTGAGAAGGTCAGGAGGGCGTGGCCGGTGGGATATAAACCAGAGGAGGCGAATATTGTGTTTGTCGCCCCAGACTGGTCGGATTTGGGCGAGACGGTGGCCTGGTTGGAGGAGCACCCTGACATCGCCGAGGGTATCGCGAGGAGGCAGAGGGATATGTTTGTTGGTGGGGGGTATTTCAGCCCGGCCGCCGAGACGTGTTACTGGCGGGCCATGGTGAGAGGGTGGGCGAAGATGGCGCGGACCGAGGGTCAAGGGTGGGAGGATACCGAGGGGATCACATTTGAAGCGTTTAGCCTGACAAACACCGTGTAACGGTCGTTGCTGTCTTGGTGGGCGATCGGGGTTTTGGCGTTTGGGTTCTGTAGAAACGGCGTGGGTTGCTGCTGGCTTGTGTCGATAGACCCGTATAAATCAGCGCTGCCTGTAAACAACGCGGCGATTCCTTATTCCTTAATCCGTAGCGCAGCTCTCAATGCCGGGAACGCATGACCATCAGCTTCAGTAATTTCATCGCCTCAGAGGTTTGTAATCCCTGGCGTCCAAGCCTCCCCGATCCTCCTCATATCCGCAGCAAACTTCTTATTCGTGATTTTTGCGCCTCCTTGCCCAGCCGGCGGCGAGTGCTCATCCGGATCGAAAAACGGATTCTGCAGCAGCTTTACATACGCCAACTGCATGGCCTTGAAGACAGGCCTCATCTCCCCCTCTCTCAAGCCTGCCGCCGCGCCGGCAAGCCTCTTGTCCCTCCCATCTAGCCCTGCGGCGAGCGCACCATCAATGCGCCGGCCACGCATGTCGACAATGACAACAAAGCGGGTGCCCGTGTTGGTCTCGAAGCCGTAAGCGGCGAGGCGGTCGTCGACGGCGTGGAGGAGACCGAAGTCGCCGGTTAGACCGACACCAGCGGCGGTATTTTGGCGCGAGCGGAGTTCGAAGACGTCGAGGGTGCTGGAGAGGATGAGGGAGAACTGGAGGGGCGTGCGCACGGGGTGGAACGAGTTGTTGGAAGCGTCGTAGGACGGAAAGATGGACGTGTGGAGGGGGTTGTTCTAAGAAGGGGTTTGTTTAGTCGTCGAATAAATGATGGAAGGTTGGAGGTAGGCTTACATTTCGGCCGATTACCCCGAGACAGGCGATCGAGGGGATTGCGGTAGCCATGGCTGCGCCAGGAGATCCTCAACGGGAAGATTGGAGAGTTGAAGGTTGGCTGAGAAGGAGCTGCCCGTGTCGCGACTGAGGGACGAGGTGCAGCTCGCTCTGGAACTGTGGGTCATTACGCCGAGCGAACCACCCCAGCTTCTTCGGCCCCGTTTTCGGGACGGCGTATTACGGATACCAACAGCTTCCTTGCCGTGTAACTTCGAAGCTGCCAACCAAGTTCGTCACAAAAGAGTCAAGACAAGATGATGTATCTAAAATGATAAATTAACCGCCTATAAGCCATTCATTACCCAACGACGGGTTCATGGTGTGCTGGTACACTGACACGCCGGCGCCAACGTTTTTGTCATGTACGCGAGCAACCCAACAAGGAGGGTGGGATATCTGATCCCTAATACAAGAACACAACCTTTGCAGACCACAATGGCTTCATTACTCCTCGTCGACCAGATACTCGGTCTCTTCCAGCCCCCTGAAGACTTCTTCAATCTCGGTTGGATCAGTGATTGCCCAAACGCCGCCTCCTTTGACGGTGTCCTTCCCTCTCATACCCACCTCTTTGCCGACTAGGTTGCGTCCGACCTTGCCCGGGCCAATGCCAACCCACCGCCTGACTTGTTGTTCCTGGTCGAGGTACTTTATGCTGTCCCACCACCTCACCGTCTCGAGACACTGTCTCGCCAACAGGTCTTTAACATCGGCCTTGCTCTGGAACGGCCTGGCGGTGACATTGCTAACACAGGGCACCGTACCGGGCCAGGTAATAATGTCCTCGCCTTCTCGCCCCTTCACCCGGCTGGTCCCCGCCAACACCTTCTGCATGACCGACACCGCCGGCTTCATGATAGGGCTGTGGAACGGACTGTCGCTTTTTAGACGCACCGCGCGTGGGTCATGGCCCAGAAACTGCCGAACGTGCGCGACCAGCGTCTTTATGCGCTCGATATTACCGCTCAGCACGATCTGGTTCTTGCTGTTGATATTGGCAATGAGCACTTGATCGATGGGCGAGCGGTCCTCGGCACTCTCCGACTTGCTCCCGGGGCTGCTATAGCCGACGAACTCGTGGATGGCATTCACCAGCGACTGCAGGTACTCGGGCTCGCTCACTATGGCCACCATGCCATACTCGCCGCCGTACTCGGCCTCGGCACGCTTAGTGGCTGCCGCCATGGCCTCGGCTCGCTTTTGCACCAGGAACAGGCTGTCCTCGAACTCGATGAATCCGCTTGACACGAGAGCCGCAAACTCCCCGAGCGAGTGACCTAGTGTAAAGTCGGCGCGCTCTGACGTCTTGAAATCGAACTCCTTTTCGAGGATGCGGAGGATCAGGATCGACGTCGCCATGATGGCAGGCTGGGCATTCGGTGTCGAGTTGAGCACCCTCCCGGGTCCATTTTGTATCACATCGGACAGCTTGTACCCGACGATATGGTCGATTTCCTGGATGATTGACGTTGCTGTGACCGGGAATGCCTCGATCCAGGGCGTGAGCATGCCCACCTTCTGGACGCCTTGGCCTGTTGCGACAATTGCGTATTAGTGAATGGAGGGGCAAGCGAGGCCAACCCACAACAGGGACAACGCACCCGGAAAGAAGATAGCCGTCTTTGGCCGCGCACTCCCAGTCGACGCATGGCGAAGTTGTACTTGCAACACCAAAGGTTGTTGTCGTCTTAGGGCTGTGGACGCCAAGACGGCGCTGGAACGGCGACTCGCATTATTGGCGAGTACGCGACAGTAACCGCGCGGATTCATTCTCGTCCTAAACGAAGGGAAAAGGTGCCAATGTCACCAGCGGCCAGCCAGTGCGAAGCTGGGGCGATCAGGGCGGCCGCCTCATCAGTTGCGCGAGGGGCGGTGGCAGTTGCGGAAGGGCTGTCGGAGAAGGCGCGGGGAGTTGCCAATGCGCAGCTCCGGGAGGACGAGAACGGTTCGCGGCGCGAGACCCTGGAAACGGAGAAGCGATCCCGACAGTGTGGGGGAGGTCCGTCCCAACGGAAGCGATGACGGCAGCGAACGCCAAGCACCAACGATCCGGAAGCTCACAGTGTAATCTGTAACGTGTAAGATACCAGTACGATACGTGTGTAACATTTTCAACTTGCAACCGATTTCACATGAAAGATTTCATTCATATCGACAGCTCCATCTCACAAACAATTCAACAACCCGGGTCAACCAGGCAGTTTAACCACCACAAAAAAAGCCAATCCGGAAATACACAGAACTTCGAAAGATAGGCTCAACATCGACTCAGCTCTCACCTCACTCCGTCTCTTTGAGGCGGCACCAACCACAACCATGCCCATCACAATCCTCCCCCCCAAACCCTCCCGCCCCATCAACAACCACCAGCACCCCTCAGAAGACGATGTCTCAGCAGCCTCAGACAGCGACTCGGACGCCGGCGCGGCCATCGACCAAGACGGCGACCACGCCATGCACCCACCCACCAAACGCACCCGCCTAACCACCACCACCACCATTAGCAACCGCACAGCCGCCGCCGCAGCCGCAGCAGCCTCAATCGTAACCCCCGGCGAGCAAATCACCGACGACCCGCAATGGATGCGCGGGCACGGGACCTACGTCGCCGGCACCGCCGCGGGCTCCGCCAGCACCATCACAGCGGGCTCCATCGTCTCCTCGGTCGCCGGCACCGTGACGCGCACCAACAAGCTGCTCTCCGTGCGGCCGCTGCGGGCGCGCTACACGCCCGAGGTCGGCGACCTCGTCGTGGGCCGCATCGTCGAGGTGCAGGCGAAGCGGTGGCGGGTGGACGTGGGCTCGACGCAGCTGGCCGCGCTGCCGCTGAGTGCGATTAATTTGCCCGGAGGGATTTTGAGGAAGAGGACCGAGACGGATGAGTTGCAGATCAGGACGTTTTTCGCCGAGGGGGATTTGCTGGTGGCGGAGGTGCAGCAGCTGTTTGGGGACGGCGGGGCGGTGCTGCATACGCGGTCGCTGAAGTATGGGAAGCTGAGGAATGGGGTGTTTGTGGCGGTTGCGGGGATGGGGGGTGGTGGGGGGGTGGTGAGGAGTCGCAGGCAGGTTTGGACTATGGATGCTGCGAATGGGGGGGGGCAGATCGATGTGGTGCTCGGGGTGAATGGGTACGTGTGGATTAGCAGGCATGTCGAGACGCCCGAGGCCGAGGCGGCGGGGAAGGGCGCCGCGGGGATTACGAATATGGAGGAGAGCGTGAGCACGACGATGTATTCGAGTCAGAACGACCGGATTGAGGTCGAGGCCATGAGGGAGATCGCGCGGCTGCGCGGGGTGGTGACGGCGTTGGTTGAGAACGGGCTTCGGGTGGACGAAGATATGGTTGTTAGGGGGTATCACGAGGCCGTGGAGATGGCCATGGTGTCGCCTGAGGGGTCAGACGACATCTACCTGGGTGGTGAGAAGGGGCAGCAGCTCGCTGCCGCGCTCACGGGGGTTTAACCCTTCTGCCACTCTCAAATAGAAAAATGAAGCGACGTTCCGCCAGTGTAACTACCTGAGGGTATCTATGCAATCTCGGTTCCTACGAGCCTTTCCTCCCTCCGATTACTTTCGAGCCGAGTGGCTTGGTGAACTTTAAATGGACTTAACAACGGTCTGGTATCTCGAAGCGAATAAAAAAGAGAAAATAAAAAAAGAAGTAGAAGAACAGAAGAAATATTACGACCGAAAGTGCGAAAGAGTGTTGAGTAGCGTAAAGAATCAACTTCGGGTATCAACCATATTCGACCCGCGCTGGATCGGGCCGGGCGCCGTTCGAAGGCATTGTGGCTCAGCATATCGTAGAGATTTTATTCGTCTCCTAGATAACACAGACCTGGAATTAGATTGCTGAACATCATCAAATCCAAAAAAAGGAAATCCAATCCGATCCTAGTTCCCAACCCCGTTTGTGTAAAGATAATGGGCCACAAGAACAACCATCCACCTCACGAACGCACCTTTAGCGCTCTTGCCACCCAGGCCACAAAGCATGGCGGCCCAGTACCCGAAGCCCTTGACGACCTTGCCGTTGCGGTCAAAGTTGGGCTTCCCATTGGTGAAGCGGGCGAGCATCTTGAGCTTGGACATGTCGAACGGCATGTAGCGCACGGCGATGAGCTTCTCGGACCACGAGGACGTCTCCGAGATGGTGCGGAAGTGCGTGAAGCAGTCGAAGCTCGCCTTGCCGCGGTACGCGCCCCAGCCGCTGTCGCCGACGCCGCCGAAGGGCACCGTGTTCACAGATGCGTGGAAGAATGCGTCGTTGAGGGTGGCGCCGCCCGACGTCATCTCGTTGAGGACTGCGAAATGGTTAGCTGGGATGACGGGTTACAGGGGTGTTTCGGATTGGCTGCTGCGACTCACTTCTCTGGTGCTCCGCTTTGGAGCCAAACGAAAACAGAGACAACGGCGTGCGGTGGACCGTGTTCGCGACGTTGATCGCCTCGTCAAGGGAGTTCACCGGGTAGATGGAGAATATGGGCCCAAACGACTCTTCCTGCATCATCGGGTCGTTGACCGAGTCCACGAGCACAGCGGTCGGCTCGATGAACTTGTCCGCCTCGTCCATGCCGCCGCCCATGACAATCCTGCCCCGGGTGTCGTCCAGCATCTTCTTCAGGCGCTGGAAGTGCCTCTGGTTGACGATCCGCCCCAGGTCCGGGCTGGCCTGGGCGCCCTTGGGGAACATCTCCTTGTACGCCTGGTTGAGGAAGGTGATGAAGGTCTCGACGAGGTCCTTGTCGATGAGGACGTAGTTTTGGGACAGGCAGACTTGGCCCGCGTTCACGGTCTTGCCCCAGAGCAACCGCTTCGCAGCCAGAGCCAGATTGGCGTTCTTAGAGATGAAAGCGGGGTTCTTGCCGCCCAGTTCGAGGACCACGGGGGTGAGGGTCTCGGCAGCCTTCTTTGCGATGATGGTGCCGACCGCGGCGCTGCCCGTGAAGAAGATCTTATCCCATTTCTCGTTCATGAGCGCGTTCGTCTCGGGAATTGCGCCGTTGACCACAGCAATAGCGCTCGTGTCGAGCGTCTTCTCGACCATTTCCTTGATCACCATGGCGCATGCAGGTGTCAGCTCGGAAGGCTTGAGGACCGCGGTGCACCCGGCACCGATGGCGCCGATCAAGGGAGCGAGAAGAAGCTGGACGGGGAAGTTGTAGGGACCGATGATGAGTACGGCACCCAGGGGCTCCTTCCGGACGCGGAACTTCATGAACGAGTAGGTCGCCGGGACATGGGGCGAGCCCAGCTTCTCGTCCTTGGCGAACTTTTCGAGGTGGTCGAGCATGAACAGGCAGTCTTTCTTGACCCAGTCGAGCTCCATAAGTATGGACTCGAAGTCGGACTTGTGCAAGTCCTGCATGAGCGCAGCCAAGAGTTGGGGCTGGTAGTCCTCCATGGCCCAGTACAGCTTGCGCAGCTGAAGCTGGCGCCACTCCAACTTCTTGGTCTTGTGAACGCGGAAGGCGCCGCGAGCAGCGCTGGCGATTCCCGGGATGTCATCCAAGGCCGTCGCCTGGAACTCGGGAATAGATACTTTGGCGGCCATTGTCGCGAGCTTGAGGTCTGAGCAATGCCGTCGAAGTTAGGGATGCGGGATGATGCCGGATGCGATGCGCCGTCGCGTGATGGAAGCAAAAATTGGAAGAAGAGAATTGGAAAACGAAAGGAGCGGGAAGGTCAAAAGAAAGGAGCCAAAGAGAAGGAGGGAGGAAGTAACTCGGGGCCAAACTGGAATGGATCTTCTGTACGGATACGGAGTATTTTCCGACCTGAGTGCGTGTGTCGTCGTCACACAAGCCGGAACTATCCCGACTCTGCCAATGTCGCAAACCTTTCTGGGCTTCTTTTTGGGAGACAGGGGTTGCATCGCCGAGTGGCGGACAGGCCGAGGCACTCCAATTGTGGGCTCTCCATCGACGGCACTCACCCTTGCATTAGGCAACCCCACATCCAGAGAAGGTGGCCCCCTTTGAGAGTTACAGATTGCCTATCGGGCAGCTTCCGGTCGGTGAGCTGACATCATCGCACAGTCGTCATCAGCGCAGTGGTGGGAGTCTGTGGTGTGTACAGAATAGTATTCCAAACATGGCGATATCAATTTCGATGAGAGACACGGCGACTCAAATACGCGCACAATGTGCGAGTGGCGTGGAACTTCACTGTGTGTATGCAGAGTTGGAAGTTTCCAAAATCATTCCAATTCAATCTGGCGCCTCGCCAGGAAGCTCTGCTGAAAGCAGGCCAAGGATCCCGTCGATAGCGGCTTGGCAAGCCCCTCTTCCCCACACGCTCGACACGGTCGACGACCGACGAGACTTACATGCCGAGGCCTGTTTCCATCAGTTTGCAGACAAAAAGCGATCATCTGAAAACGCAAAATCTCGAGCTGTCGCTCGCCCGAAGTTTCGCCGGACACGATCCTGTTCGCGTTCCCAGACCGGGGTAACTTCCTAACCTCCGCCTCCGTGCCTCCGTAACAACTGAAAACGGCGCCGGCGACGGGGGGGCCATTCTCTTCAATATCGCGTTGATCTCTTCGCGGCTAGGCAGTCCCATGCCCCGGAGAGGGGAATCTTGGAGGTCCTGCAGCATGGCATAAAAGTGGCGACCGCGTCCTTGTTTGGTGAGCAGAGCTATGAGATGGGTTGTGTAGAGACATGAGACGGCCGTGCCGCTGCTGGCCGCCATCCATCGTCTCTTGCCTTCAGACTAACCCAGCAGCTATCTTAGGTATAGACTCTGTTTGGGGTCGCATGTCAAAGGAACCATCTGCCAACTCCATGCTGTGCCCTCACTCTGAGCCTGGCTTCTTATTATCAAGAAGCGCAAAAAGCTGAGCTCGCACATCCGCCTCCTCCGGGTAATCCTCAGAATTCCGCGGCCGGCGGTCGTCGCGGTCTCTGTTACGCAAGGGTTCCGGCCGCTCCCAGACGTCCCTATACACCTTGCTATCGACAATGGCGCGATCGGGGTCGATCCTGACTCTGTGGCTCCTCGTTGGGAGAATTGGTAGGGGACCATCGGCCGCCGCTTCCGGTGTTGGTGCCAAAAGAAAGCTAGCCAGGGCTTCCTGCTCCTCGTTCTTGACCTGCCACAGGCGAAAGGTGACATCGTTGCGGGCTGAGTGCATGTAAAAGTTGGGCTCGGGAGCCCCCGGCCCCTCGTCGTCACAGCGTCGCCACGTCTGTGACCGATCAAAGAGCACGACGCCGCCAAAGATTCGGTCCTCGGCCCAGTAGCCCACAACATCGGCAAGGCCGTCGGGGGTACTGGCTCTGGGCCATGTAGTACGGGTGCGAGAAGAGGGTTTCCCAGGGCGGTGGCGCAACTGGTAAGGGATAATCGCCGCTCTGCTGAGGGGGTTCCCAATCCCACGGCGTCGCCCCATCGACCGTGTAATTGGGATCGCTGGTATGGCGATCATGTACCCTAGTGTCCTGCTTGTATAAAAAGACTGCGATTTGGTGGACAGCTACTGCAGCGAGCTCGATCAGGGGTAGGTGGAAGGCCCGCGAGCCCGGATCCGAGGCTTGGAAAGAAAAGAGCAGCTACAGAGCGTCAGAGGATATCTACTTTCCTGTAAGAAACGATAAGGCGTACCAACCTCGGGGTTGAATGCCAACATTTCCATCTTAAAATCGGACCGGAACTTCACAGCAGCCTCCTCCACGCCCGGACAAAGAGTGACATGGCGCAGGATGGGGTGCTCCCCACGCAGCCTGCGGCCTCGTTGGCCATATGCAATGCGGCAGAGAGGCAGGCCGTCAATGATCTGACCGAACGTCTCGCGGGCCAGCGCAGTGTCAAGGAGCCTGAGCACGGCGGCCGTGATGGCGTCGCGGTGCAGCGGATCCAATTTCTCGACGCTTGCCGATGGCGTCGTGGGTGGCATGGTGGCAATGGTATTGTGGCGAGCCGGCAAATCGAAGCAGGAAAAGAGTGTCTTGTGAGGAAATCGCAGAGTTCCGTCATGCAACTCTTGGTCTTACGTGACAGTCCTTTGATTGAGGTTTGAGGTGGGGGCTGCAATCGGGCCGTCGGGCGTGTGTGTGTTGGAACGGTGCTGTTTCGCAACACACGCAAATGATTGGTACCCGCCCTTTTCTCCGTGAATAAGGAGGCGGGAGACTGCGTGATCTTGTCGTGTATTGAGGTGTTGGGTGAAAGAGAGAACTGGCCCCCACGAAGTGCGCTAAGTAGCAACACCCTCAATTGCCGTATTTGTTTTCGCATGGCCGCCGTTTGTCGTTGTGTTATCTCGGCTTCGTTGGGTCTACATTTGTGTCTAGCAACCTTTTTTTGTCGTAGTCTTCATCATATATTATACGATTCGTGATTTGCGGAGGTTGTATTATTTTTGAATCTTGGTGACGACGCCGTGCCGATGAGGACGAGAGGGATAGGATGCTACGCTACCTATAAAAGAATTAGCGATCAACCGAATTGGTAGGCATAGGCGTCGACAACAGCGGAAGAAGTAGCTAAGTCGCTACTCTATTGCCTTATTCGGTACCACGGCCTCCCCTCAGCGATTGTCTCCGACAGAGGACCCCAGATTGTAGGCCATGGGTGGCAGAGGATTGGGGAGTGAGGTACCTACTCAATATCACTCGGAGGATATCTACAGCCCACCACCTGGCGACCGACAGCGCGATAGAACAAGACAACCAGGTGTTTGAGCACTACCTTCGTTCCTGTCCGACATACCCGCGGGATGACTGGGCCAGCCTCTTGCCGACAGTAATGCTTGTTATCAACGACCGGGACGACGTCGACGGGAATCAGCCCCGTTTTCCTAACACCGTTACAATGTGGACTTCCTTGTACGGCGTTGTAGTAACTGCGGCGAGCCCGGCCATAATGCAGGCACCTGTTAGATAGTTGTATAAATGTGCGTAGAAGACGGTTGCCTGTGTTTTCAATCATTTTGAGCTATTTTGTTAGATCTGTTATGGCTTTTGTCGTGCGGGCGTGATTTCATAAAACTTTCGCGTGTTGAACACGTTAGGTAATTCAAACATACGCTGAAGATAGTCGCGCGCTGGGTATCGTTCTGTACTTCTTATCTCGGTTCCCTTTACCTGAGGTACCTACCTAGGTAATCTAGGTACATTACCCTCCACATCATTCGCGACCCGCCAAACAAGGCGCCTGAACTTGAAAAGGGTCCAGTTCATCCTCGAGCTTGACAAACCTCCAGCCCTCGTCCTCGGTGTGCTCCAGCCTCCCGACCATCCGCTCGGCCAGCTGGCTCAGCGTCTCCCGGGACCCCTTCTCCGGCATCTCCACCGCGTCCCACCCGCGGAGCCCGTGGAGGAGGAAGGCGACGGCCGACGTCTTGAGCAAGGGGTCCCGGGCGGACCGGACGACCGTCGCGTACAGCAGCCCGCCTGCCAGGGCCAGTTCCAGCAGGATGACGGCGAGCCAGGGCCACCGCACGTGGAAGATGGGCTCGGTGAAGAAGACGTCGCCGTGCATGACGGTGGCGTTGGCGTTGCCTTCGGGTCGGTTGCCGCTGCGGACCAGCGCGCTGAGGCTCGCCGCGAGGTTGCTGAAGGAGGTTTCCAGGTCTGCGTGGTAGAGGTAGTCGCCGAGGACCGCGTTCGGGCTAAAATTGGGAAAGCCGTTATCCCTGATGGATGCTGAGCTGCCGTTCAGCCAGTCTGGGAGAAGTTCGACGAAGAGCTGGTTCTCGCTTCCGGTGTGGATGACGTATTGCTGGTGGCCGGTCAATGGTGAACTATAGGTGACGTATTTTGCGTAAGGGTAGTGGTCCTGGCCGGTCGGGTCGGGCTCCCCAAGCTTGGCCAGGGGCGCCGACTCGACGGTCCCAGGCTCGAGTTGTCGGGGAATCGCCGTGAGCCCGGTGATTTTCTGCGCGCACAAATAGAGCGCGATGTCGTAGGCTTGGGTCCGCGGCGGTAGCTCGCCCATGCCCGTCTTGTCGCCGGCGACAACGATCTTGACCGTCGTGTTGAGGCTAGACCTTATGCCACCACCTATGCCCCGGCCATATGCCCGTGTGGTCAGATATCCTTCTGGGCTATATATTCGCACGCCCACACCCATGGATCCGTTCGAGAAGCTGGTGGACATGGTGTAGGGCAAAGTGGAATCCTGTGAAGGGAAGGTGAGGTTGCAGTCCGTACGCCATATTCTGTCGCCTTCGGGGTTGCTCGGGGGCGTGCAGGTGGAGTTGACTTCATTCGTGACGTTCTTGAACTTGCTGCAAACCCCAAGCGTTGTGAAGGTCGGCCAGGAGCATGATTCCCCCGAGCAATTGAAATTTGGCGCTGGAGGCGCATTGAAGCCGCTCATCAGTGTAGAGTAGAATTTGAAGAGGGAACTGCTTGGGGGGGTTAATCCGGCTGTGGAAGTGTCCATCCATCATGTCATTAGCCCGTGCCTTCTACTACCTTGGGAGGCCTTTTCGCCCGTGGTTTTGACTGTCCACGGTCTTCGGTCAGGTTTGCACATACCTCCGCTTGTCCCGAGATCACTTATGTTGAACTCGGTAGCAATCCCCACCTCAGCTGACGCGTTGCTGAGCGTCGAGTTGCGGGCTGAAATGTCGAGCAGTTGCTGTGCGCTTGGCTCGACGCCGAGGTTGATGATGGTGACCAGCGCCAGCATGGAGATAACAAGGCTGAACCGCGGGAGCTGGAACAGGACGACGAGCGCGCCCCAGGGCCCGCGGCTTGCATCGTCGACCAAGTCCAAGTGGCTGAGGGGACGGTGTCTCGTTCGGAAGTGTCGCCACTTGAGCTGGCTGATGCAGGACACCACGGGAACCATCATTGACGTCTTGGTGAAGGCCGCGAGGATGGCGATGGCGGTGCTCGGCTGGATCCAGAGCGACCACAGGGAGACCGCCATGCCGTCAATATTGGCCAAAAAGAGAATCAGGAGGCCGCAGCAGATGGTGCTGATACAGAGGGCGCCAATCTCCCACCACCACCACCACACCGGGAGCTGCATCAGCATGTTCGCCATTGCCGTCCCGTTGGTCCTGGGATACCTTCGACGAGCGAGTCGAGAACAGAAGGAGGGTTAGGTGTAAGTCAGGGGTCTAAGGCGATGAACGGGATGAAGGGCGCCAGTCTGGGACAACGATCTTTGGACTTTGGTTCATGTGGCTGCAACCATTTCGCTAGATGATAGTCCGTCATCGGACTGGGGATGGCGGCACATTTGAATGTCTGTCTGGGTCGCCACAGGGTGATTACACCACATACAGGTGTGGTTACATGTGCAGCCTCGGCAGTCAGCAAGGCTGAGACGTGCACTCAGAGAGAGCTGTCATCGACTGACATTGGTGTTGGATACTTCTCTGTCCTCTGAGTCATCGATGGGCTTGCTCCGATCCTCAGCAGCGCTCTAATGAGCTTGTCATTTCGCCCACGGGCAGCACTCTCGACAACAATGGGTTTCTCTGAGTGCCCGAGCACCCTCGGCTGGCAGTTGAATGCAATATCTTGTTTTCCATCCAGTTGTCCGGCTATGAGCAACTCAGCTGCTGCGCCTTGCAATTCGCCAAGGGCGGAGTGCCGCAGACGCGTCTGGTTGGCGAGCGAGACGAGGCGGGAAATGGAGCATCGCCAAATCAAAATCCACGAAATATCTCAAACTCACGAACCAACCAGCCTCAGCGCCGCTCGATTCGCAAACGAGGACCAGAGGTAATATTGAGCAGCGCTGAGGCTGGTCGGTTCGTTAGTTTTATTTAGGGACGGCGTTGGAAAACTCGATGGAAAAACAACTGCATGATACTTTCCCAATTGTTCTCTATGCAGGTTGATGTACATTGGTCTTCATAATACAACAGCCGGCCGGCCGGCCACCGCCGCCGGACGATGGCTACGTAGGCCGCCACGATACAACCGTCCCCCGGATCATGTCGAGGTTGGATGTGCCCAGCACGGGCGGGGTGGCCATCTCGCCCTCGCCGGTCTAACAAGGTGCAGAGTTTCCCAAGGCTGGGGCAGCCACACTACCGACGGCCACGTATCAGTCGTCCCCTCAACACTGGAACAGGCTCCTCTACTTTCGCCGCAAGTAGAGCTTGCTGGATGGTATCCACACCATCGATCAGCGCGCCCTCGGTCCGCTTTTCCTCGTCTAGAAGCAGGGCCTGCTTCCTCTGTGCCTCAAGTTGTGTCTTTCGTTGCTCGGTCAGGTACCAATCCCTGGGGAACTTGAGCTTGGGCTTGAACTTGTGGTGGCGGGTGTCGAGGGGGAGGTCTTCGAACATGTCGGTGGGGTCCTAATCTGATCTTAGCATGGGATGTGAATGAGGGAGGGCTCGTCGAGTCGTACCTTTGCCGTGGCGACCATCTTGTCCACAAGGTCTCCCAAGTACCGCTTGTTCTGCGCCTGGTGCTCAAACCTCTCGCAGCTCATCTTTATGATGTCCTTCTCCGGGTTGTACCGGGGCCCAGCAAGCTTCTTGAGCTTCAACTGCTGGGCCGCAGTAAGGCCTGGCATGTCCGTGGGGCAGAACTCGACGACGACCTTCCTGTCGGCGGGGTGGAATTCGCCCAGATAGGTCGTGTACCGAAACCGCAGGATCTCTTCTTGGGTGGGTGGTTGGAACGGCTTGGCAAGTTCTGGTTCGCGCGTTAGCCCGCTCAATCAGCCCAGAAAGAGCACGGCGCCGACGAGCTTACTTGAGAGCAGCGGCATCTCCCACACGGCGATACGTGCGTATTCTCTGAACTCGCGGTGCTCCTCGAGCTTGGCGTGGCCCATGGCCATCATGTCGTCCTCCTCGAAATCATCCTCGCCGATTTCGTCCGTGATCAGGTCCGAGTCGACCTCTTCGGCGTTCCAAAAGGAATTCCGCTTAGCCCTCACAGGCCTCCGTAGGTCTGCGCTCGCCTCGTTGACCTCTGTGGTAAGTCTGTCGAACTGCGCTTGCTTGTTCGGCGGCACCTGCCTCCAGTCCTCCAGCATGCGAGTGGCCAATCCCCGCTCCTCCTCGGTGATGCTTTCGTCGCGAAGGAATTTCCTCAAGAACTCGCCCGGATTTCCAAACTCCTCGTCGATCTCCTCTTGGACTTCGTTTTTATTGGCACTGTCGTCTGCTGCTGCGGACCGCCATTGTGTCGTCGACAGTGGCCGGCGAAGGATAGACTGCTGGATTGCGGCAGCACGGAGGTTCGGTACCCTCCTACTAGGCCGCAGGCACAGCCGGAGGAAGTGGGCGGGAGAGGTCATGCCGGATGTCGAGGCCGATCGTGGTTCAACACGGCTGCCGATGCGCAGTGGGAACTCGAATCGCCAAAAATTTAGAGTTGCGCCGGGGCGCTCAGCCAAGACCACCAGCCACGACTGCACAGCCACTTAGTTAACTGCCTATCATTCTCTCCCAAGTTCGACCTCTAGCTTTCACGCCCAGGTCTACAAGCACAGCATCAAGGCAAGGTTTCTGTTTAGGAAAAAGGGGATCATTCGGAACCCGTATTGATGATTGGTTTATATCTGAACATCAGCTGCCGTTAAATGCTGCATTGTCGCATGATAGCATCAACGTTTGCCGACGGTCAGGAAGCCCAGACCTCCATTCAAAAACACGCCAATTCCTGGTGACGACTGGTCATCGCACACACAGGACAGAAGGCCAAGCACGGGCATTACACGATGCAAAAACATCCTGGATGAATCCCTTCTAATCAGCCTCGTACAATCAGTAACAGAGACGGGGACAATTTTCCACTTTCCCTCGTGGGAGTAACCATCTTAACGTATCACCGAAGTTTACCTAACCTCCACACCACCCCTTTATCAGCACACCCCACACAGTCATTCTGCCAACGCGATAAGATACAGCCATTCATCATCCGCCTCGGTTCTCCCGAGAAGACAGCACCACCACAGCTGCGATGGACAACGGCGTCAACGGGCCGGGTGGGAAAGGGGACGGCAGTTTCAGCTCCGGCTTGGGCACAGACACCGTCCCCGAAGCTCGTGGGGCGAAACGCCAGCGAATTGATACTTCTAGTGATGATAAACTCGAAGCACACCAACCAACAGCTCACTCGATTCAGACTGGCCGCTGCTGTTTTGTCACGGTCGGGGCAACGGCTGGTTTCCGATCTCTCCTCGACGAGGTCACCACCGCCGAGTTTTTCGATTGCCTCGCGAAGCACGGTTACACCTCCCTCCAGGTCCAGTGTGGCCCAGACCATGCTGCCATCCGGGAACGTGTCGCCAGCGTAAGCGATGAGGGGAAGCGCGGTATCTTCGTTCGCTGCTTCAACTACACGGGCGAGATGACCACCAACATCCTCAACTGCCGGGGCGAGGACAACGCACGTCCGGCTGGGTGTGTCATCGCCCATGGTGGTAAGTTTTGGCTCTCATCTCAGCCGCGCCCGTCTTTGTTTCGTCGTTGTTACATGGCAACTAACGCTTCACTTCAGGTACTGGAACTGTCGGCGAGGTACTGGGTATCGGTGCCCCACTAATTGTCGTCGCAAACCCGACATTGATGGACAATCACCAGCTTGAGCTGGCCGAGACTCTCGAGGCACAGAACCTCGTCGTCCATGGGCACATCGGGTAAGCACGCCGTTCCCCCCCCTCAACGCGCAGTTGTATCGTTCTGTCCACGACGGCTAACCCGCCATGGATAGATCCCTTGCCGCCGCCATCCACCGGGTCGCCGACCGCATCACCCAAGGCAGGTTGGACGCGCTCCCACCGTACACCCCGCCGTCGTTTCCTGTTTCTGCCGCCGACCGCGTGACTCTCTTCGATTGGATGGTACTGACCTGCTACCCAGACGAGCTCGCCGCCCAGATGCACGTCACCGATCTGGGCCTCGTTGAAGCAGAATTTGCAGCTAAGCAACAACAGCAACCTTATCAGCAGCAGGGACAACCTATCGCTAGTGACAATGTACCCGCCACGGGGATCAACAGCCAGGAGGACAACGGCATGCTACAGCTCGATTAGGAATACGAGGCTGGCAACGTCCATGCGTCCGGCGCTGGTGGCGGTCTGACAAACAACAACAAAACAACAACATTCCCGCCGTCGTAATCAACGACGTGCTCCAGCGCAACCCGGGCTCCAAGGTTGGCAATCTTGCCATGCCTGACGCCGCTGGTGGAGGCAGTGATCGGAACGAGGAAGAGAGAAGTCGGCTCATCGACCTCAACGAGGCGGACCTGCCGTTTCCCGATTTGAATGGGGCTGGCAATCACGGCCACCACGACCACCATACTATCGGCGGCAATTACCCATTGTCCCTAGCACCATCTTGGTGGATGATGGCCCAGCGTTTGGGGTCGCCAAGGTGAATAGGGGCATGAGCTGGAACAGGGATGAGGGTTATTGAGTGCTAAATTACCATCCTGCTCGGTTAAGCCGTGGGTTTCCTCGCGGTGCTCTGGCTTTGAGAGCTGCGACTGTTGAGAGCGGTACGGTTTGGTCCCGGCAGATTGGGGGTAGGAAATCCGGCAATTTCTGGTATTTGCACGGTGGGATCTTTCACACCAAGGTTCGATTGTATTGTGGTTTATCTCCGGAACGAACTACGTGCTTATCATGACGAATGGCAGGAAATGCCCTCCCCCATCTTGGGTCAGGTTTGTTGCTCAGGGATTGTTGGGCCTATGCGGTTTCCCTACATGTTATCACCACAGGACCCCCCATCCGAAGGGGATAGATCCCGCTGATACCATGTTTTATATTCGTCTCGCTCGTGATATCATCATGTTCTACGCAACCAACCCCACACAAACACCACACCCCGAGAGCACTGCCGCTCATTGCAGGCCCTTGACCGCCCAAACCTTAACCGCCGCATCGCCACCGGTACTCGCCACCCGACTACCGTCCCTCCCGACCCACGCGACGCCGCTCACGCCGTCCTTGTGCGCGTTGGCCGCCTTGACCCGGCTGCCGGGCTTGGCCAGGCTCCACACGTGCACGTTGGTGTCGAGCCCGCCGCTGGCCGCGTGCGTGCCGGCCGCGTTCCACGCCACGCTCAGCACCCGCGCCGTGTGCGCCGACCACCGGTCCGTCGCCACCGCCCACTCGCTGCCCCCCCCTGTTGTTTTGTAGGCGACGATCTTGCCGGACGCGTTGCCCGCTGCGAGGTGCGCGCCGTCCGGGGAGAAGGCCAGCGCCGAGATGGCCGCCGTCGAGTTGGTCAGCTTGTGGGAGGGCGTGAGCTTGCCGGAGCTGCTGTCCAGGCTGTACACCTGCACGGCGTTGTTGGCGGCGCCGACGGCGACCCACGAGCCGTGCGCGGCGACCGCGCCGGGCGTGTAGTCGGTGGGAGTCTGGGCGAGGAGCTGGCCGTTGGCGTAGACGGCGATGCTGTCGTTCAGCGCGACGATGGTGCGGCCGGCCGAGGCGGCGATGCCCTTGGGCTGGGAGGGGAGCTTGATCGGTGAGCCGAGGAAGTTGCTGGTGGATTCCTGGATGGTGCGCAGCGTGTCGTCCCAGCCGACGCTGTAGCTTTGACCTGCGCCGGCCGCGAATTGTGTCACTTGGTTGGAGTGGGCCTGTCCTTCTACCACGGTGCCGACGCCTGTCGAGACATCCCAGCTGCATACCTTGCCGTCGAAGCTGCCGGTTGTGATGATGTTGCCGTTCCCTTCCGACGCCACACCAAGTGCGGTGGCGCTCTTGTTGTGCCCCTGAACCACCTTGATGGACTTGTCACTGCCCTCTGTGAGGTAGTTGAGGTCACCGTTTAGACTCAGGCTGATGATCAGCCCGTCGCTCCTCCCGTGCGGCCACACCACGCCCACTTGCTGGTTGTCGACGCTGACACTCCCTTCCTCCCCAATCCGCCATGTCCGCGTGCACTCACCCGACCCGGCATCCCACACCCGCACCGTCTGGTCCGCGCTCGCTGTGACAAACCGCGTCGAGTCCTTCGCCCAGCTCACGGCAAAGATGCTACCCGTGTGCACGCCTTCGCCCACCTCCTTCGTCGGCTCGCCCGTCTTGCCATCGTACAGCTGGATCCTCCTATCCGCACCCACCGTGACCAGGGTATTCCCATCCGGACTAAACGCGGTGCCCAGCACGAACCCCTTGTGCAGCCCCGCGGCCTTGTTGGCGAACTTGAACGGCGCGCCGTGCAGGAAGCACATGGAGCTGTCGTCCGACACGGTCGCGGCCCTCAGGGGGCGCTGCTGGCGGATGGCGACGGCGTTGATGACCTTGCTGTGCCCGCTGACCTCGCCCACGCTGTTCCCGCTGTCGGCCGTCAAGCAGTGGCCGAAGCGCTCGCGGCCGTCGCCGACGGCAATGATGCGCTGGCTGTCGCCGTCCCAGGCGATGTCGGCGATGCGGCCCGAGATGATGGCGTACTCGCCCTTGGTGTTGACCGCCTCGACGGCATCCCACACGCGCACCTTGCCCGAGACGTCGCCTGAGGCAACATAGAAGCCCGAGGGGGAGAACTTGGCGACGGTGGTGGTCGTGGTGTGGCCGATGTATTGTTTGCAGAGGGAGGGTTCGTCGATGTTGCGGAGGAAGATGGACTTGCCGGACTGCAGTTGAGGGTTAGGCGGAGGGCGGGTATCGCTGCGGTGTGGACCGGGTGCTCACCGCGTAAGCTATGCGCTCTCCTTTGGCGTCGCAAGAGAGCTGGGTGGGCTGGCCCCGCGTTGTTGCAGGGGCCGCAGCTAGAATCTTTTCGAGCTCGATCGACATAATTTCAGAGGGCGCAAGGTCGGATTTAGGGAATTCAAAACAGTTGCTTAAAAATCAAAATGCTGTGGAACAAAAAAGGAAAGTTGGGTTGTTTGGGTTGAGTGGACTTATCAAGTGGGAATGGGAGGAGGTGGGATGGATGGGCCGAGCCTGGGGTGATGGAGGGGCATGAGGGGCATCAAGTCAGGGGTTGCGTGGTTGCGGGGCAGCAATGCAATGCAAGCTGACGCCTCAACAGCAGTGGGAACCCCTGATTGGATCACTGAGTGGCTGAGCTGGATGCCTGTCACAGCCATGCTTCATGTTGTAGGCTTCTGAGAGCCACTTGAATTATGGATTTTGTTCCCCGCGCTCGATCTAGGTAGCCCGGCCTGGGGAAGAGCTCGGTAACCTTCGAAGTAATGTGTACTAATCTAAAACACCTCCCGCGGCTCTTAGGCAATGACGTCACTCCGTTCAGGGGGACAGAGGGTACTTATTCGAAGACCAGCTCTGTCCCTCTGGCGCTAACATGCGATCATACATGAGGAACCACTTATAATCCTCACTACCAACCTAGTGGGAGCACGTTACAACTGCCGCTCGCTCCACTGCCACCGCATCGAGAATGCGCTGACCTCGCTGCGTGTATCCTGACCACTAACACGAAATCCGTCAAACTCGAGCATTGTGTTATAGAAGCCGATTCCCCCGACAACCTCGCCATTTCCGAGAAACTTGATGTAGCTCCCGTCGTTGGCCTCGGCGTGCACACCACCCTGGGTATCCTCTCCACGCCACTCAAAGGGCAGAGCTTGGTACGAAGACGACCAAGGGCGCTCGTCTAGACGGAGAATGCCATTCAAGGGGCCAATCTCAAAAGAGCCCCATAAGGCGTCGCCGTCGAGCGTGAAGATTATGCCCGAGTCATGTCCGTCGTCGGCGTATGCGGTCGGGCCGGTGCAGCGCAGCTGGTACCGGCCGTTCAACAGGCCCAACGGAGGCAGTCCCGACAGACGGGAGTCATCGTCCCTGTCGTTGTCCCCCAAATACGATGGTGACCCGGGGTAGGGCGGTGGAGGGCTGTCGGCCGAGTCCCATTGAGAGGGAGTGGCGTCAAACCGAGGCGCTTGGGGGCTGGCCGCTGCCGGGCGGCTCTGGCTAGCTCTGTTGAAGGGGCGAGAACGCCGTGCCGTCTGTCGGGGAGCTGGCTTGTCGGCTGCGGCCGACGCAGCAGACGTAGCGCGGGACGAGGCCGACTTGGGAGCCTCTGCCCGAGAGGTACCACGTCGAGCTGTCTGTTTCTTAGGCGGAGCCGTCTTCGTAGCCGGAGTCGGGGTCGACGTCTTGGAGGTTGGCTTTTTGGTGGCAGGCGTCGTTTTGGCCTTCTTTGCCGTCGGCCCAGTCGGCCCAGTCGGTCCAATTTGGACGTTGCCCTGGGGCCCAATAGATAAATTGAAGTTGATGTTGACATTGGTCCCCGAGGTTCCGCCTGGAGCATCATCTGCTTTGCGCTTGTTGGATTTCTTAACAGTTGCATTCGTGGCCGATGTCAGTGACTTCTTCGCGGCCTGCTTCGCTTCACGCTCCCGCTTGTTCCACTCCCTTTTCAACTCTGTTTCCACCTTGAGAATATGAGCCGGCACGGCCAGGTTTCCCTTGCCGACAGCGTCGAAGAGCCTCATCTTGGCAGTCCCTTTGGTCTTGGATGGCGGTAGGCCGTAGTGAATGAGTTGCGCCTCATACCAATGACCTGGGCGGTCTTTTTGGCCGTCGGTGCCATCAAATACCGCCTTAAGCTCCGGGATGGTCGCGCGGCGATGACGATTGTTGCCGCTGGCTTCCACATGGAAGTCGCCCGAATAGGACCAGCCATCGCGCGCGCTCGGAGGGATCAGCGACATGTTGGTTTCTCAGACGGCTAAGCTGCCATAGGCAATCAAGCAACTACGAATAGTGGAAAAGGAGACAGTTAAAGTGAACAATGTAATCTATGCCCGAGCAACGAAATCGAAGGACCTAAGGGTGGGGTAGTTTCCCGCACACCTAATTTTATCTGATTGGTGTTGGTCCTGCAGTTGCTTGCTTTTGCAGATGCATCAACTGGAAATGGGGATTTGCAGTGACCCAAGGCGAAGCAGGACACAGTACGTACCGGAAGCCGCCTAAGAACACTCATCTCGGGAGCCTTGAGGCCCATCATTAATTACGTCACCCATCAATACCCAGGAGTCACCATCGATGGGGTTAGACTCGGGCTCTCTCATCAAAACGTATTCCGAGAATGGTGGTACCTCAATGTAATCAAAAATCAAGCGTTTCGAATTTGTACGGGGCATTGAAGCTATCGTCAATGATCGGGCGATGCAATCATCATGGAAGTTGCTTCGTCCCGGCTTTTAACCGTGCGACAATTGAAGCCAAGACTTCCATTGGCGAGGCACCGAGGAAAGCTGGGGTCCACTTGTGGCGTCAAATGCAAGCTCGGGCTTCCAGTCAACTGCCCGTGTCCTTTGGCCAACTTCGTCGCGGTTTTGGAAGCACGAGACGGAGCTGTACACAGTATAACTAGGTACCTACTGCAACCTAACTTTCGCGCGCAAAAGAACGGCCCTTGCATGCCCACCTAGGTAGTTATTCAGCCATTAATCAACTTCGGTAAGTCGTCCTCATCTGCATTCCATTCCTCCCCTCCGCGCGCGCGACTCGCGTTCCACAAATCCGACACGCGCAAACCCCACCCCTGCAGTCACTGACATCAAGGAAAGAATCACACGAGCTCTAAAGCCCATCCACCCACCCCGAACCGAATCCAAGATGAGCTCACCTAGAGACGAGGAGAAGCCGCACGATGAAACGCGGGACCACGCCGATGGCGACAACGATGAGGTGCGACGCTCCCGGACCGACGGTCTTGCTGCAGCCCGGCCGTAAAAAATAAAAGAGGAGGCTAACTGGTCGATCAGGAAGAGATTTCGGCGATGAAGCAGCGTGTCGCCGAGATGGAGGCCGAGGCGGCGAAGCTCCGGGAGATGCAGGCGTCGCTCGACCAGGCGCGCCAGGACCTGAGTGAGGACAAGGAGGACATCGACAACCGGAGTATATTCGTCGGCAACGTCGACTACTCCACGTCGCCCGAGGAGCTCCAGGCGCACTTCCAGAGCTGCGGGTCTATCAACCGCGTCACGATTTTGCTTGATAAGTTCACGGGCCAGCCCAAAGGGTACATCCATCCCGCCCAGGCATCCGCCAGCTCGGTGATAATAAGTACTAATGCAACCGTTGGCAGATATGCTTATGTAGAGTTCAGCGAACCCAACCTCGTCGCGCAGGCTCTTGTTCTCAACGACAGTGTCTTTAAGGGAAGAAATATCAAGGTGGAGCCTAAACGGACAAATATCCCAGGCATGTCGCGTGGACGCGGTAGGGGCGGTCTCCGTGGCGGCGGCCGTGGCTCTTTTGGCGGCAGGGGTGGTGGCGGGTACACGAGAGGAGGATACCGCGGGGGGTACCGGGGCCGCGGCCGCGGATTCACACCCTATTAGCCCCGGGGCACGCCGGGCATAGGGCAGGTTCGGGTGCAGCTTTCCGAGTTGCACGATAAGAGCCGGGAAGAGCTGTTTTTTTTTCTTGACTTCGACTACGGGTTTAATCTGCTTTTGTTTGCTTCGGCAAGGCGTCATGGGATTGGGCAAAAGAACGGAAGGTACGCTCAGCGCATTTTCGAGTCATCATCGGCATTCAATCGTGAGGTGTCTCCGAGAGCCCATACAGAGAGGGTGTGCCGGGATACGGGGTTCGGCATCTTGTCACTAAGCCCCAGTAAAAAAACGGTCGGCTTCGCCCAAGGTTGGCTGGGGGGAGGATCGTTATGTCAGAAACATATGCTCGGGGCTCTTCATCTAGTTAGCTCGACGAACCACAGACGGAGTGCCACACACAAACCAACCACACCCAGTTCGGCGAATGTATTAAGACGCCAGCCCCTTGCTGTTGTTCTGAAAGGAGGGGACAGAAAGCGGGACGAAAGCTCGGCCCGTGGAACCCTATCCAGTTGCGGTCGGCTCGCCTACCTACCTAGTACTATCCCAAGCAGGCAGTACACCCTCATTTCCACCGCCGCGGCACCAAGTAAGTCCCAGGCTTGCCAGCCAATGCAACTACTATTCTACGCAACACATCACCCGCCGCTCTCCATACCACACACTCCCCAACACTCACTTTCTCAAAAACGCCTCCACCACCTCATTAAACCTCTCCGGGTTCTCCCAAAACATAAAATGACTCCCCTTCTCCGCTTCGGTAAAGGTATACCCCTCCGCCCCGGGAATCTGTTGCGCAACCCACTCGATCCCCCGGGGCGGAAACACGCTGACCTCCCCGGCCAGCACCAGACTCTTGACCGTGATCCTCGGCAGGACATCCCTCCAATCCGCAAACGCATGATCCACCAGCAGCGCCGCGGAGTTCTCGTCGCTCATCTTCCTGTTCTGCGCGAGCACCCACTCCAGGTCGCTCTCCGACACCGCGGGGGTGAACATGCCCGTCACCAGCGGTTCGAGCTGGGCCGAGATGTTGCTCGCCAAGCCGAAGAGTTCGAGGGGTGCGAAGGTGGCGGAGATCTGCGCCGCGTACTCGTCGGTCCAGGCCGGGTCCTTGACCATGGCGGCGGGTTGGTCGACGAAGACGAACTTGGCGACGCGCGAGCGCGACGACGACGACGGGTACTGGTCCCACCAGGCCCAGGCCACGGAGCAGCCCATGGAGTGGCCGACGATGGCGACGTCGCGGAGGTCGAGGTGGGTGAGCAGGTCGTCCAGGTCCGCGGCGAACCGGCTGATGCGGTAGCCGAACGAGGGCTCCTCCGAGTCGCCGTGCCCGCGCAGGTCGAAGGTGGTGACGCGGAAGCCGGCCTCGGAGAAGTAGGTGGATTGTTTGCGCCATTCGATGGCGGCTTGGCGCCAGCCGGTGATGAAAAGGATGGGCGGACCGGAGGCGGGGCCGGTTTGGGTGTAGGTGAGGCGGATGCCGTCGCTTGTGGTGAGGGTGGAGGGGGAGGGGGCCGGGGGGGACATTGCGGCGGCGGCGAGGAGGTGGAATGTGGTGACGAGGAGGAGTGAGAACCTCATTGTGGAATGGAAGTTGAGTTAGGTAGTTAATTAATTAATATGTGAATGGAGTAGGAAGTAAGCTACCTCGCCTACTATACCTACCGAGTTAAAAAGAGCAAGAAGAGCGGGAGTGTTGCTGACTTTCTATTGTCGACCTGAGCAATTCCTTGCTGTCATCCCGCTTCTTAGTGAGATGGAAGTGGACTAGTGCACTGCAACTAAGTGACAATAATGTGCCTGCAGCAGAAGCTGTTCAATTATCACATCACTGCAGTAACTAGCGGATCTTCCGACCCGGAGGTGATGAACTCCCTCACAAGGGTTGCTCTGCTTCGCCAATCACACTATTTTCTCATGGTTGCCACGCTCTGAGGGATGGTCAGATACCACCGCGGCACCATTTGGGACAAAATCGACCAGTTTTCCCGATTACCCCCGCTACATTTTGTGCTGCGGACGGGCGACTACCCCAATGTCCTGCACAATATCATAACGCAAGGACAGGATGTTAACGGGATGTACTGCCACGGCTGGACCCCATTGGTATGGCCCTCCTAGAACATCGGACAGAGTCCCTCGAGCTCCTGTTGGCTTACGAGGATACGCGTCTCGGGCCATGCGACCTAACTGGGAACCACGCCATACACATCTCACTTGAAGCAAGAGTGCGTCCAGACGTCATCTTGCGCCTGCTGGCTGATCCTCGTATCCAAATCAATGCGCGAAGCTGTCACGTTCTGTCCTGGACGCGATTACAATGGCGGGTGAGCCGGAGCTATGCGCGCAAGAGTGCCATATTCCCGCCATAATAGTGTATTCTTGCGGGATTGGCTCCGTCCAGGCTCCGGCTGCTTTAGGAGAGCTTGGTGAGCCACGGGCGTGAGGAGTTTTTAGTTCTTCAGGGTAACGTAGAAGTGATTGTTCTAGGCAAGCTAGTTAACCAGTTTCCTTAGGATTAACTAGGTAGCTTGGACGCATCTTTCGAGGATATCGTAGGGGCGGTATGGACGCGAATGTGGGGAGGTCCGCCTTGGACTTGGAATCATTCGGATCATCTGTCGGTGAACCGAAGGCGTTGGAATACAAGCGGAGTCTGGGAGGTGCTCGTTAATTGCAATGTCATCACACTGTTTAGGTCATATATCGTATAACTACCTAGGTAGGCACCTCATGGACAAAAAAAGCTGAACTCCAAGTGCAGATATCGGCAATGGACACTTCGAGTCCTCGGCTGGAGGAATATAACGAAAGTCAACCTGAAGCCTAAAGAAACTCTATTTACTCCATTTCCTTTTCTTTTACCCTCTTCTTTTTATTTGACTTAGTTTTTTCGATCTCTTTTCATTTGTTCTTTTTGCTTGATTTCTTGCTTTCCTTTCGAGTTCGGCTTTTTTTGGCCAGAGGGTAGGTAAAGGCAGAGTCCTCATAAAAAGTTGGAGCCGAAATCCTGACCCAATTCTGACACCAACTCCTGCCGTTTATGGGCTCGGCGCCGCTTCGACACAGACAGGCGTTCATTGTCCTTTCCGCTGCGACACAGCCATGATGTGTTGACAAACATCTGGGAGAATTTTAATGAGGAGTCGACTGCAAGAGCTATGTAGAATCCAAAATGTTACTCGACGATCCCATGCAGGTTCAATTTACTCCCGGTCTCTTTCATCACCACCCAGATGCCCCATGTTGTTTCCGCCCCCAATGAGCATTGATGGACTCGTGGATCAGTGGCGGGCACGCGGGGCAGTCGCAGTTGCACCCACCCGGTACCCTGTCTCGGTCGCCTGCAGGGGCTGCGAACGCTAAACGACCCAGTCAAAAAGAATCTCGCGCGTCCTGTTGCGCCCAAACAGGCCTGGAACCCACCCTTGTTAAATACACTGAGTACAGATTAATGGCACTGGTCAAACGCTGCCTGTCGGTGCATGAAATCGGCCTTGACACAAACACCTCACATCCCCATCCCGACAACCGCTAGCCGTCAGCGCTTGCTCCGACCTTCCGTATTTGCGATTTACCGCTCTGTCATCCCAAAACAGAAGTGTTGTGTACCGCCCCAGCCACAGCGTCACCGCTTACTATTCCCGCTGGCCGCGGCCGTTTGAGCCCAGCCCAGCGATTTAACGTTATCAGGATAACCAACGGTAACTGACCAACGCGGTCCCAAAGCGGGGTGTCCGAGCAGCACAGCCTCATCACTTGCACCCCCTTCGACTTTCGACCTCGACAACTCGACGGCCAGCTGCGTTCCTGGCTCGCTCTTTCTCGCAAATCCGGCTCGTGCCGCTCTCGACGTGCCTGCTATCCCCTTTTCGTCCTTTCTCTCAGCGCCGCGCGTCCGCCCGCGACCCTTCATCGACGACGACCGATCGCGCCTGTCGCTTCCCCCACCGACTCCCGTCTCAAACTCCCGTCCGACTCCCGGTTTAGCACCAGCCGATACTCGGGTTGACCGCCGGCTTGCTGGGCGAAACACGGCGCCAACTCGCTCGGTCTGACCTGCGCTTCGAGTCACCATGAGCAGCAGCCGGATGGATGCAGGGCTTCCAGCGTATGTCCCGACTCCCCCACCACCAACAACCCCTTCGGTTGCACTGTCGCTGGTTTTCCGAGGCGGGGCTGGTTTTGGATGAAAAGAATGTTCACTGACTTGACTTGGTGCAACAGCCAGCCGAACCTGCGCGTCACAAGTAAACCAACCCATCACGATCGAAGTCCACAGTACAGCTTTTCCACTAACCCGACTATTTAGTCATCGCCGCCGATGGCTTATACAAACGAGATGTCTTCAGTACGTGACACTCCCTGAGCAGTGAATCCGATGACTTCCGGTTGCTGATATCGACCGTAGGGTTTCCCGACCCGTTCGCAGTCGCCACCATCAATGGTGAGCAGACGAAGACGACGCAGGTTTCCAAGCGAACATTGAACCCGTATTGGAATGAGAGCTTCGACTTGTAAGCGGCACCCCTGTTCGATGAACGATGTGCTGGACATGGAGCTCACCCTCGACAACAGCAAAGTCAACGAGGATGGTATACTTGCCGTACAGGTCTTTGACCAGAAGAAGTTCAAGAAAAAGGACCAAGGATTTCTTGGTGTCATCAATATTCGCATCGGAGATGTTATTGAACTGATCGCCGAATCTGACGGTATGGAAAACACCCCTTCTCCCGCTCGATCGCTGCTTCTTTTCGTCCCAGCTAACGCGAAGCCAACCCCTTTGTAGATCAGATGCTCACGCGAGACCTAAAGAAGTCGACTGATAACCTTGTGGTACACGGAAAGCTCATCATTAACCTCTCCACCAACCTGTCGGCCCCCACCCGCGTGCCGCCACCGCTTACGGCATCATCGAGCCGGCCCTCCCTCCTGAGCCCGCAGACTTCCACTGTCTCTAACGGCGACCGTGCTTCTGAACGACCTACATCAGCCATGTCGGGCCCGAACGGCACACCGACACTGGGTGGCCCGCAATTGACCATTCCCCACCGCCCAGCGAGCCTAGTATCGACGCAATCAACTACCGCCGCGCCTCCGCCCCCTATGAACGGTTCGGCACACCCCCGGCAGGCGAGCAGCACGCTCAGCCCGTTCGAGGACGCGCAGGGCCGTCTACCGGCTGGGTGGGAGCGGCGGGAGGACAACCTCGGGAGGACTTATTACGTCGATCACAACACGAGAACGACGAGCTGGACCAGGCCGACGGGCTCAGGGGCGGCCGAGGCGCGCGTGGCGGAAGCCAACACACAAGTCGAGCGGCAGAGGCATCAGAACCGGACGCTGCCTGAAGACCGCACGGGGTCGAACTCACCCACGCTGCAAGCACAGCAGGCGACCCAGGCTGCCAACGCCAGCACCATGATGCACACGGGGACCACGACCGCGGGCACAGGCGAGCTCCCCCCGGGCTGGGAACAGAGGTGGACGCCCGAAGGTAGGTCCTACTTTGTTGACCACAACACCAGGACGACTACTTGGGTGGATCCGCGACGCCAGCAGTACATCCGGATGTACGGCGGGCAGAGCAGCACGAGTGGCAGTATCCAGCAGCAGCCGGTCTCGCAGCTTGGTCCCCTGCCCAGCGGGTGGGAAATGCGGTTGACGAACACGGCACGCGTCTACTTCGTCGACCATAACACCAAGACGACGACCTGGGACGATCCCCGACTCCCGTCCTCGCTCGACCAGAATGTGCCGCAGTACAAGCGTGACTTCCGCAGGAAGCTGATCTACTTCCGGTCGCAGCCGGCCATGCGCATCCTATCGGGACAGTGCCACATTAAGGTCAGGCGGTCACACATTTTCGAGGATTCGTTTGCCGAGATCTCGCGGCAGTCGGCGACCGATCTCAAGAAGCGGCTGATGATCAAGTTCGATGGCGAGGACGGTCTGGACTACGGTGGTCTGTCCAGAGAATTCTTCTTCTTGCTGTCGCACGAGATGTTCAACCCTTTCTACTGCCTCTTCGAGTACTCGGCGCACGACAACTACACGCTGCAGATCAACCCTCACTCGGGTATCAACCCGGAGCATCTCAATTACTTCAAGTTCATCGGGCGGGTGGTCGGCCTGGCCATCTTCCACCGACGCTTCCTCGACGCCTTCTTCATCGGGGCGCTGTACAAGATGGTGCTCAGCAAGAACGTGGTGCTGGCCGACATGGAGGGCGTGGATGCCGACTTCCACCGATCGCTGCAGTGGATGCTCGATAACGACATCACGGGCGTCCTCGAGCAGACCTTCTCGACCGAGGACGAGCGGTTCGGCGTCATCACGGTCGAGGACCTGATTCCGAACGGGCGCAACATCGACGTGACCAACGACAACAAGAAGGAGTACGTCGACCTGATGGTCAAGTGGCGCATCCAGAAGCGGATCGCCGAGCAGTTTGAAGCGTTCAAAGAGGGCTTCCAGGACCTGATCCCGCAAGACCTCATCAACGTGTTTGACGAGCGCGAGCTCGAGCTGCTGATCGGCGGTATCGCCGAGATCGACGTGGACGACTGGAAGAAGCACACCGACTACCGGGGCTACACCGAGTCGGACGAGGTCATCCAGTTCTTCTGGCAGACGGTGCGGTCGTGGGATGGTGAGCAGAAGTCGCGGTTGTTGCAGTTCACGACGGGCACGTCTCGTATCCCTGTCAACGGGTTCAAGGATCTGCAGGGTAGTGACGGACCGAGGCGATTCACCATCGAGAAGGCGGGTGAGGTCAACAATCTGCCCAAGGCGCATACATGGTGAGTTTTGCTATTCATTTCCAATCTTCATTCTTTTGGCTTGCATGAGGACGTATTCGCTAACGCTATATCCAGCTTCAACCGCCTGGATCTTCCTCCATATAAGAATCTGGACATGCTGCAAGGCAAGCTGACGATGGCGGTAGAGGAGACGATGGGTTTCGGGCAGGAGTAAAACTACGGAGCGAGCTGGTTATGGATACGGTACCTTCCCACGGGCACCCCTAGTGTTTTGCATCTTTTGATGGTGTTGCGTCGGCCGTGGTGCTTTTTTTTTACTCGGTTTACTATTACGTCCCTCCCTGGTACCGTACCATCATCGTTCGTTCTGTCTGTGTGAACGGGATCTTCCTTCTTCCGAGCAACGCTGTACATAGATGGATGGGTGGATGGATGGATGACGGGCTTTGTTCGGCGCCAGTCTGCCACGTGTCTTCGATACGAGGATGCGCTGGAGCACGCAACGTGGTGGGTTCCCGGTCCCGAGTGCCGCGTTGCTGGGACGGAAGCAACGCAGCGGTTGTGTTGAATACATTCTCTTGAAGGCTGGCACGGGGGGTGGAGGAGTCGGTTGCGTGACTGTTTTTTTATATAACTAGGGTAGCAGCAATGACGGAAGTACGATAGCAAGCCGGGCGCCCTTCTTGACCGAATTTCAAGGACCTCTTTGACAAGATGCGCGTGGGTGGCGAAGGGGTCCTTCGGCGGTTACGCAGTAAGCCCACCGCATCGGATGGTTCCACGACAGCGGATACCCCTGACTCGCTCCCGATTCCCGCCCGTCCCGATTAGATAGGCGCCTCCCGGCCCGCGAATCGGGCTTCCGGAGCCGGGACCGGCGTGGATCTCTTCTCTTTTGAGGTGACCGCTTGTTGCTTTTCATCTTTTGCATATACACTACATAACTAATCAAAAAGTCAAAACCACCAAACCAGCATTCCCATTCCATCCGTACCATCCATATCCTTAACACAACCAGTCCGAACCCCAATACAACCCCCCCCCCGACCCAACCAGAACCAACCCCCCAAAAGAAATCAACATAGAAAAAAAAACAAAAACAAAAGGCCCCAAATGCCACCACCCACCCCCCAACCCCCGGCGTCGGCGTCCTCGCCCACGCCCACCACAAACTGGCCCCTCCGCCTCTCCCTCCTCGCAGGCGGCGTCGCTGCCGTCCTGGCCCTGCAGCCTCACCTCCTGCCCCAGGGCAGCGGCGGCGGTATCTTCAGCCAGGCTGCCCCTCCTCCACTAACCCATAGTGACGATGCTGTGAAGACCTACTGCTATCAATCTGTTCGTGCTTCTGCTGCTGGTTTGGGTGGGAGTGGGGGTGGTGGTGGTGGTGGTGGTGGTGATGCGAGTGGGGTGAGGCCGGATTGTTTTGATGTCTCGCCCGACGGGCGGTTCTCACGCGTGTTTTCGTCGTCGGTTGAGGCGTCTGGGGAGGGTGGTGGTGAGGGTGGTGAGGGAGTGGAGGTTAGGCCGGGGTATGTGCTCCCTGGGTTGTGGGATGGCCATGGGCATTTGATTCAGTACGGCGAGTTCCTGCACTCGGCGGATTTGTTTGGGGCGGCGTCGCCTGAGGAGGTGAGGCGGCGGTTGAGGGCGTATTTGGAGCGGAATCCGGGGGTGGGGGGCAAGGGGGAGTGGGTGAGGGGGATTGGGTGGGATCAGATGACAATGGGGGGGATGCCTTTTGCGGTGGGTGCTTTGTTTTGTTTTGTTTTTGGGTTTCTCGATCTCCATCTTGGCTGCGGTGAAAACGGGCTGCTAACTCTGTGGGTGATAGGATATGCTGGAGGAGGATGAGTTGCTGAGGGGCAAGTACATCATGCTCGACCGGGTCGATGTGCATTGCACGTGGGTGTCCAAGGCGGTGCTGGACTTGTTGCCGGATGATCTGCCCGAGGAGGTGCCCGGGGGTGAGATTGTGAGGGACCCCGGGATGGGTGTCTTCTGCGACAATGCCATGGATTTGGTCATGTCGTTGTGGCCCAAACCAAGCAAGGAGCGGAAAATGGCGTTTGTGGCGTCGGCCATGAAGGAGCTACACAAGGTTGGCCTGGTCGGCATGCATGATGCGGGCTCGATGCCGGTGGACATCGCCATGTATGATGAGATGAGCCGGACCGAGGACTGGACGCTCAGGGTGTATTCCATGCTGGAGTGCCCCGAGAGAAACACCTTCTGCCCTGACGAGGCGGTCAAGGTGGATCATCCCGATGGTATGCTCTCGGTCAGGAGTGTGAAGCTGTTTGCGGGTAAGAGTAACCAACCCCTTTTCACTCCCCTCAGTTGCTAATCCCAACAGACGGCGCCCTCGGAAGTTGGGGCAGCGCTATGATCGAGCCCTACTCGGACCGGCCGGACACATCAGGCTCGCTGCTCGTCAACGCTTCCACGCTCACCTCGCTCGCCCGGTCCTGGTCCGCCGCCGGCTTCCAAGTCAACATCCACGCCATCGGCGACCTCGCCAACCGCCTCGCCATCGACGCCCTGGAAGCCTCCCTGCGAGACCTCTGCCCCGAAGACCACCAAGACCTATCCGCCTGCCAGGCCCGCCACCGCTTCCGCATCGAGCACTCGCAGATCATCCACCCGGCCGACCAGAAACGCATGCACGACCTCGGCATCATCCCCTCCATCCAGCCCACCCACGCCACCTCGGACATGGCCTACGCCGCGCTGCGCCTGGGCGACGAGCGCACCCGCACCGAGGCCTACCGCATGCGCTCGCTGCTGGACGCCCACCCCATCCTCGGCAGCGACTTCCCCGTCGAGCCGCCCAACCCCTTCGAGGGCATCTACGCCGCCGTGACGAGAAAGAGCCCGCACACGGGGACGGGGCCGCCCGGGTATGAGCAGGGGTGGCATGTAGAGGAGGCCTTGACGGTGGAGCAGGCGCTGGACGGGTTCACGAGGAGCGTGGCTAGGGGGGCGTTTCTGGATGGGAAGGCCGGGGTGATTCGGGAGGGCGCGTTTGCGGACTGGATTGTGCTCGATGAGGATATTGCGGATGTTGGAAAGGAGGAGTTGAGGGGTTTGAAGGTGAGGGAGACGTGGGTTGGGGGGAAGAGGGTGTATGCGAGGGAGCCGGAGGCAGGGGAGGAGAGGGAGGATCTATAGATGGTAGATAGAATTTTGAAGCGGCCGGAGTTATAAAAATCACGGATAGATGTTGCATTTCCAATCTAAGATTTTCAAGGCACGTTAGATCGCAGCCTGTAGTCTTTGGATCCTCCTCAAGGCGTTTTCCCTCGCCTCCTTCACGATCTCTCCCGCGGGCCGAATCTCTCTGACCAAACCAACTCCGGTGCCCCTGGGAAGTGTTAGCAACATACTCAATAGTGACGCTCAGGGGTACGCACACCCAGGTGATCTTCCGAGATGTATCTCCGGCGCCGTCCGCCTCCTTAAACAGCCGTATGTTCTCCTCCAGCGGCATGCCGGCCACATGGTCCTGCCAGGATTTTCCGATCAGGCCTCTGCCATCGTAGACGTCGGGCCAGATCGCTGTGCTCTGGATGTCGTCGAGGACCGGTGTCCTATGCAGTGTCAGCTACCTAGCCAGAGGCAGAACCTGCGAACTCGGGTAACCTACTTAACCGTCGACGGCCCGCCGTCAGTCGTCTCAAGGATGAGCTTCTTGCGGAACTCGGGCGTCCATGCCTCTTCGGCAGCGACGAACTATGCAAGTCAAGTCAGCCACCGCCCTCCACCAACAAACCAAAACACCAAACCGACAGAAACCTACCCTCGTACCCATCACCACCGCCTCAGCCCCTATCCACCATCATCAGCATCCCACCCTTAAAACACACACCCACCCACCCCCAAGGAATAACGCATAACTCACCCAGCGCCAACGCCGCCGCAACCCCCCTCCCATCCACCACCCCCCCCGCAGCCACAATCCCAACCCCCCTCCCCCCAAACTCCCCCGCCACCAAATCCCCCACCTCCGGCACCAAACTCACCACCCCGGCCCCCCCAACAAACTGATGCCCCCCCGCATCCGCCCCCTGCACCACCAGCACATCCGCCCCATCCTCAACCGCCTGGCGCGCCGCCGCCACCGTGCCGACCTGGAAGAACACCACAAACCCCTCGGCGCGCAGCGCCGCCACGACACGGCGCACGGCGCCTGAGGCGATGTCGGCGGGGAGCGGGGCGAACAGCCAGATGGCGGTGGGCCGGTGGGTGCGGAGGAGGGGGAGGGCGGTGGTTAGGAAGTGGGGGGCGAAGGAGGCGTGGCAGAGGATGAAGCCGACGCCGACGCTGAGGGGGAGGGTGGAGGTGGGTGACTCCGGGGAGGGGGGTGGGAGGTTGAGGAGGGTGCGGGCGGTGGTTAGTTCTTTGGCGAGGGCGGGGAGTTCTGGAGGGGGGTTGGTTGGTTGGTTAGTTTACATAGGTAGTTTAAGTTGAGTTGACGCTTGACGGGTTGGAGGGGCGGCAAGAGGGGGATGACGTACGGTGGGAATCCGGGAGGAAGTTGAAGCCGCCGGGGATGATTCCTTTTTTGTTTATATCAGCCATGGAACTGAGAATGCAGCAAACGAAAACTTACCGATGCCCCCTGCTTTAGAGACTTCTGCTGCGAGGGTGCCGTTGGAAGTTCCCAGCATCGGGGCGCTGATGATGATGGGATGTTGAGCCTGGGGGAACCAGGTGGTGAGTTTGCTACGGGTTTCTTGTGCCATCTTTCCGGCGGGTTCAGTTGACTTTAAACGATATTGATGTTTTGTCAATGTGCATCTGTGTAAGTGAGGGTGGGATGAAGCGGATATGCTCCGACTGATGCGGAGAAGCGGCTTACATACAAGTCGAAGTGACATCGTCGACAGTCTTGTTACTCAGCAGGAGGAGACGAACACATTCCTTCCCAGCAGACCTCGCCCAATCAACGTACCAATGTGGCACAGCAACGTCACGGCGAATCTGCAATTGGTACATCTACAACTGCAGGATCGGTATGCAAGTCCGAGTCCATATTTCCAGTTCCAAGAACCGTAGTAACCCAACACATCATCTAATTGAGTGCGTTCGTCATACTGTTTTGTTTGTATGTACACCACGCTCCTATTGCTAGGTCGCTGTGCCACCATCCTATCCTATATACTGCCCAATGAATGCCCCTGCGTCCTACATCTTTGATCCGTCTACCGCACCATGCAACCGTCTGGGTATCCGTTCGTGAAGTCCCCCCTTTGCTCGGTTCCACACTGAGTGTCGTGTCGAGTCGTGAGGTATGCAAAAAGAAAGAAAATGATAAAAAGAAAACCATGAAAAAAAAACGAAAGAAACGGAATAGACGCCATGCGAACAATCCCGACCAGCCGTTCCCTTAGACCCCTCCACGTCATATCCTCGCATTCCCCATCAGCAGCACCAGCAATATGCCGTCCGCCACACAAACCACCACAAACGCCGACCAAACAGCCATCCGCCCCAGCAGCCCCAGCTTATCGGTCCGCGAGCTCGTCATGCACAGGCCGCCGCACGCCAGCCCCAGACTCGCCATGATCCCCAGGATGACCCCCGCGTCGACCTCGAGCCTCATCTTCTGCCGCCCGGCCACGATCAGCACGGCCGCGATGCCCATCAGGACGAAGGCGGTCCCGTAGCACCCCCACGTCCCCCACCGCAGCACCCGCTCCCGGTACCGCACCACGCGCTGGTCCTCTATGCTCGGCAGCGCCGCGTAATGCGTGCTGTAGCCGGACGGGAAGAACATCTGATCGTCCGAGGACGATGTGTAGCCCCTGTTGACAGAGCCGCGACGGCTTTGGTGGTTAGACGCTTGCCGCGAGGACGACGTCCGGTCATCGTCCAAGTCCGTGTCGGTGGTGTTGGTGTTGGTTCCGCCGTGGGGGCTGTTGAAGTAGCTTGGTTCTGGTGGGGTGGTGGTCGAGCCGTAGGTGGTGGCGGTGGTGTGGGTGGGAAGGAGGGGGCCACGCTCGAGGTCGGTGGTTGGGTAATCGGATTCGGGGTGGAAGGTTATCCAGGCTGTTAGCTTGGTAATGGGTTTGGAAAAGAACACCCCGAGAGTCTTAAAACCCGGGAAGCTGGTGTCCTGGTCGGGGTCGACATAGATAGCGTAATCGTTGTCTGCATTGCGGTCGAAGTCACCTGCTTCGCTGCCGCACTCGTATTCGTTCCAGTACCCTTGCGATTCGGGGGCGACAATCGTGTCGCTCGGCGAGAGCTGCGCGGTGGGCGGGCGCGAGAGTTCGGGTTCTGGTTCTGGCAGGCCGATGCCGCCGGCGGGTAATGCTGCATGTAGTGTCTGTAGCAGATCGTCGTGGTGTGACTGTAGCTGGCCGAAGTCGCGCTTGGTGAAGCTCTTGGGATGTGATAGGATACCCTCTTTAAAGCGGGCTCCCAGCGTCGACGAGCCCGTCCATTTTTTATACTTCTTAAGGATCTTGCGAAAGGCGACCACTTGGGCATTGACGAAGCGCTGGAGAGACTTGATGTCGTCGCCGCATTGTAGTAGTATCTGCTCGTATTTGGCGAACCGCTGCCGCCGTTTCAGGGACATGCGGTCCCGCCCTGAGGTTGCGCATCGTAGAATTAATCGGTGTAGTCGGCTCGAAAGGTGCTCTGAGATGTGGCGTTAGTCAAATGACAACCCGAAAACGTCAATGGGTTAGGCACATACGCAGCCGCCTTGCGATCTCATCGGCCTTGCTCGAAACAAACAGCTCCACCCGGTCGTGTTGTCGACATAGCTCCGAGTAGAAGTCGTCTTCAAACTTATGAAGAGCCGTATTTGGGCGGCCCGGTATCGCTATTGCCGTGGCTTGGTCCCGGGTCGTGTGCACCTTGATGTGATGCTTCAGCGAATTGTAGTCGATGTTATCTGGAATACGGGTGTATTGACGTTAGCGACGACTTTCCCACACCATCTACAGGGCATTTATTCCCGGGGCATGGACATACGAAGGCTCCATTGTGGCACAGATTCCTTTTCGAACTGCTCTCCGTATTTCATTCCTGCTCACCCCGTTGCGCAATGGCTTGGTGACGACGCGGGTGGCGGTTGGTGGGGGAATGCTATGGGCGACGGCGGCAGGCAACCAAATGCTCTTTTGAATTCAATTGGAATTCCTACGCAAGACGGGAGTGGAATTTTACTGGTCTCTAATATGTGATGCGGGTTTCCCTGCGATAAAAAAAACAGAGACGGAATGCAAAGAAGAGAAATGTCAAGTGGCTGTGTCGTGCTTATAAAATAGTACGTGAAACCAACCATGGGCAGGAAGAAGGTATTGCTTTCATACTGTGTCGAGGAAATTGGTATACAAAACGGCCCGCACTGGCCTGGTGGGGCATGCGTTTCTTGGAGCGTCACTGGCTTGGCTCGCTTGGGTCTGGGCAGGCACATGCGGGTTCCGGACGATCGCTGCAAACAGACAGAGAGAGCAGCTGAGCAGGGGGGGCCTTTCGGGGCAAGGGGTTTGGTGCATCCGGATCCCTGCTCCGTCATTGACCCCGCCACGGAGACAGATATGGTCCACCCGTCTGCGCCAGGCCCTCGCACCTGCCCCAAGCAGCCGGCTGCGAGACCGGTGCCGGTTTCTGAATGGTCCATCTGAGATGTTGCATTGCGTGAAAGCTTGAAAAGACAGCCCCCATCGCCGCCGGATGGGCTGCTGGAGGGTCGCTTCGGCACTCGGGAGCTTTCCGGTTCATTTGGTGCTCTCATAGGTCGACTGCGGCGGAAGAAACGGGCCTCAAAGTACAAATTGGCGCCGGCTGCACTGTTTGTACATAATCAAAACTGACCATGTGCTGTCCGCCGTGGTCCTTGCATTGGCGCATCACGTTTTGCCACTCTGGCGACACTTGAGCCAGTTCTCTCTGGAGCGATGTTGCGTGACCAATGTCGAGGGCTGGAGCGGATTGCGAGCTCTCTGTGGTGCACCCTGGCCTGCAAGAGTGGTTCGTTACCAACGCTTGCGAAAGAGGGGCCGTTTATCTCGAGATCGTCAACGTTCGGCCGAGGGCCCTGTTAATCTTCCCCGCCGTGCCTTGGTGAACTTGTTTATCCGCCCGCTTTGGCCGTCATTGATGAAACGGTCGTTGACCTTCAAGGTGGACGTCGTGTGCTCTCGCACGCACGTGGGCTAAGAGACCGTTTTGACTGGCTACCAACCGTCCCCACGACCGTTACATTGATGCCGGTGCTGGGAGCAAAGCGCGGAAGAACTCGAATCGAATGGAACAAGAAGGGCTCTTATTACCCGAGGCCGAAGAGGCAGCACCAACAACACTAGTTCTTGGATTGCATGCAGGCTGCATGGCGTCTCTGCGGTTGAGGTATCCGAAACCCTTGCAAGCTCACCTTTGATCGGTGACGATGCTACCGGAGACAGGGAATGCCCTCGTTTCCCGGATCGCGGGCAGATTAATAATGTTCACCGGTGCGGGCGCCGGCAACTCCTTTGCGAGCTCAACGCAATGAAACTCCTCTCAGGCTCGTCCATGTTGCTGGCTCGACCCCGATAAAGATTCTTCTGGTCTCACGGTTATGGTTGGTTGCACGCCGGTCTTAGGTGATCAGGGTTCCCGCCACCAGATGGGCACGCGATGCGACCCGATTCTTGAACTGATAGGGCCGATGCCAAGCCCCGGCGGCCAGGCGTGGGCGTGGGGCAGCAGGGGCTGTTTGGACCCTGAAGGCAGGTGCTCGCGTGTGTCAAGCCAAGCTCCTGACCTCAAGCTTGTCCCGATGATCTTGCCCAAGGACTTGCTTGCTCTGGGCCGCGTCAGGATGTTAGTGACGTGTGCATTGTTACCAGTCCCAATGTCGACAATGCGGTCTCGACGGGCCAAGACGGGACCACAATCGACCCAAAGAGTAAAAAGTCGATGAGGGTTGAGGCCAGAAACGCTCCTTACCCCGGCTGCCGAATATTTTCGCAGCTCACGTCGCCCGGAGGGGGCGGTTAACGATGGTTGCCCCGGCCGTGGTTGCCACGCAGCTCCTGGCTGAGACACGCAAGAACCATGTCTCTTCGAAAAGGCAGGCCCTCGCGTGATCAACTCCCCGAGCTTCCGCAGACCGCTCACCGGTTCCGCTGGCGAAAGGTGCGTGCGTGCGGAACGGGCAACCGCCGTTGCCGTGTGTGACGGAAGACGCACCACTGCGACAGGAATGTAACCATCCTCAGCCGCAGGTCTGGGCATTGCGCCAATCAAGCAAATGCCTTTTCGCAACCTTCTCCGCTGTTCCGCAGCATCGACTCAAGTTGGAGGTTCCAGATCCCGTTGACGACTCGAGAGCCCGATCCCGCATTCAGGGGCCTAGGCTGCCAACTGCGCAGTCGGCCCATGAGATGCCAGGGTTCCTGACCGGCTGTCTTGACTGAATGCTAGGATGTTGGCGATGGGCGGAAGCGTCTTGTGTCGTGGCTCCGATAGACGAATGCCTGAAGCGGCGAATGGGGATGTATTTCTTTTTGTGTCGGCCCTTCCCCATGGGGCGGATGTTTGATCGATGCCATGGTTTGTCGGTACGAAGGAGTTATCGGTGGAAGTTTGGAGGCGGGTACTGCCGGGGCCATGTGAAACAGAGCCTTGATCACGACCGGAACACTCAGGTTGTTCCAAATTCACAAAAGGTGGGGATATCCACCATCGGTGGCATCGAAAACGAATCCTGCCGTTCAATTGCAACAGCCGTGCAATTATTCTCACTTTCGGTCGATTCACTCAAATGTTGTCTCGGTAGTTGAAAACAAGAACGGGACGGGACTTCGCTTTTGTGAGTTGTTAGCCGTACCGCACTGTGTGACTGCTTCGATGTACAATACCTGTATTTGTTCACGTTGTGCAGCCCGGCCATGGATAGAATGGAGGATGGCACAGTACGAAGTACTGAAGCCATAATGAATGCCGACGAAGACGCGCCGTAAGTCAACCAACGATGACGATTTGGCGATTTTGCGACCGAGTTCTGCCAGCCAAGAACACGGGCGGCGTTGTGCGGGGCCGGGAAACTGTGCCTGCCCCACATCTCTCCCACCGCTTTCAAACACGCGTGTTCATTGGCCATTATTTCTAGTCGAGGTGGGGCAGAGGTCGAACCGCCCGAATTTTTTTGGCAGACAGACGGCGCAAAAATCCGTCGTGTGTATGCAACACTGGCACCCGACTGGGTTCATCAGTCTGTGTTCATCTGTGTTGGTGTTGGGTGTCTGTGCTCAGAAAACAGAAGGATGGCGGGCGCGAGTAGTACAACATCCTCGCTCACTTCGACATCACACACCCTTTCACACGCCCCAGCCATGGCGCAATCCGTCGTTCAATCCGAGAGCGGCTCGGCCACCACGGTCTTTCTCGACTCGACCTTCCCCTCTAACCGACACGCCTTCCTTCAGCCGTCGCCTCTGCTCCCAACAGGGTCCCTCCAGCTAGCGAAAGAGACCCTCGATGTGCTGGCCGGGCAGGTCGCGGATCAGCAGCAGCAGAGGTTACGGGATGCGGGCAAGAAGCGGAAGCGAGATGGCAACCAGGACAAGATCGCAGTCTTGAAAATCAGGAAACTCCACGTTGACGGTTTCGAGACGGGCCAGGTGTGGCAGCAAGCCAAAAAGATCATCAGCAGCGCCCTCCAGGAGTCCACCCAGGTCCTCGAGGAACTCGAGGAGAATGACGAGGTCGTGCAGCGTTCGGGAGAGAACGCTGAGGACAACACGGCTATCGAATTCGGCGAGGACGGCTTTGAAGTGGGCTCTGGAGAAGATGAGTCTGCCAGCGATGGCGACACTGAGGAGTCGGACGACGACGGCACAAGCCAGGGTGATGAGGACGAGGAAATGTTCGACATGGAGGCTGAGGAGGATGAAGAGGAAGAGGGTGTCGACGAAGAGGTGGTAGATGTTGAGGATGAGGAGGAAGAGGAGGAAGAAGGGGCGGATGACGACTACGACGATGAGCCCGAAGAAGAGCTTGTCGAGGACCCAAATGGACTCAACGACGGTTTCTTCTCGATAGACGACTTCAACAAGCAAACACAATGGTTCGAGGATCAAGACGCACGCGCGGACCCGAACACGGATCACTTCAGTGACGACGAGTCGGTCGATTGGCATGGGGATCCGTTTTCGGCAAAGAAGCCCCGCAAGAAGGGGGAGAGTGTGGACGGAGATGATGAGTCGGAGCTGGAGATGGATGAGGATGAGGAAGAGGATGAGGCAGAGCCCGCGCTGAGCAAGAAGGACCTAGAAGGTCTGGACGATGCAAGCGACGAGGATGACGGGGGAAACCTGGACGATGATCTCAACGACATGGGTCTCGACCTCACCGCCAACGATATCTACTACAAAGACTTCTTTGCCCCGCCGAGGAGGAAGAAGAAGCCCGGCAGCTTTAAAAAGCGCCAGACCTTCCCCGAGCCGTCAAGACCGGGCGAAGCCGATGTCGACCGGGCCGAGAACGACGTCCGTCGCGATCTCTTTGACGATCTGTCCGAGAGGTCCGATTCCGAGGATGCGCTCTCTGATGTCTCGGCTGGTGACCCTAGGTCACGCCGCTCGGCTCACGAACGGAGGCAAGCCAAGGTGGCGGCGGAAATAAGGAAGCTCGAAGGCGAACTCGTTGCCAAGCGGGCCTGGACACTTTCCGGTGAAGCCACTGCCGTCGACCGGCCGGTCAACTCTCTCTTGGAGGAGGACATGGACTTCGAGCATGTCGGCAAGCCAGTCCCCGTCATTACCGAAGAGGTTTCCGAATCCATCGAGGAGCTCATCAAGCGCCGTATCCTCGCCCAAGAGTTCGACGAGGTGCTCCGCAGACGCCCGGACACGCTCGGTAACCCAAGCGACGCGCGCCGCGGCCTTGTTGACGTGGATGATACCAAGGGCAAGCAGAGCCTGGCCGAGATCTACGAGGAGGAGCACGTCAAGAAGGCGAACCCCGACGCCTACGTCAGCCAGGCTGATGAGAAGCTGCGCCGTGATGAGGAGGAGATCAAGAACATGTGGAAGGAGGTTAGCGCCAAGCTCGACGCGCTCAGCAGCTGGCACTACAAGCCCAAGCCTGCCGCGCCGACCCTTACTGTTGTTGCTGATGTCGCAACGGTCGCAATGGAGGATGCGCAGCCCACAACCGCCCAGGGCGTGGCCGGCGGCGAGAGCATGATCGCGCCGCAGGAAGTGTACGCCCCCGGCAGGGACACCGCCGAGAAGGGTGAGGTGGTGGCCAAGAGCGGGTTGCCGGTAGCCAAGCAGGAGATGAGTCGGGAGGAGAAGCTACGGAGGCGCCGGCGTGACAAGGAGCGCATCCGCAAGGCCGGCGGCACCGATGCGGGCAAACCCACGAGCAAGAAGGCTCAGGCGCAGCGCGAGACGATGGGTGACTTGAAGAAGGGTGGGGTTAAGGTCATCAACCGCAAGGGAGAGGTGGTTGGCTTAGACGGGAAGAAGGTGGTGGAGCAGAAGGGGCCGCAAAGTAGCGGCGCGTTTAAGCTGTGATGTAATTGCACAAGACAGATTTTTGTTCTCAGTCGCCTTACTTAGTTGCGTTGCTGTGTGTGCTTGTACCGTGACTGTGTAAAAGAGCCTCGAGGGAACGGTTACGTTTTTACTTTTTACTGTGTAGTTCCGATACACGGTGACGTACTGTGTGGGAGCTTTTTTGAGGAGGCAAAACCCCGGGAAATCATGGCGATGAACCTGTGGGCCCGGCTCCCCGCCCCCAGCCAATAATGAATGGGATATTTGTGCTCAGCAACTTGGCCCGTGTGTCCTGCGGCGAAAAGCGATCGGATATCAACGCAACGACGACCGACTGCTCGATTGACGTGGGGGAGGACCCTTTTGTTCGCAACGTCTGCCGACTTGGATCTCTCCACTCCTTCAAGCCCGCTTCGGCACAAAATCACAAAATGCTGTCTTCTGCGAGGACAGGCGCCTCGTTGGCCCTGCGAGGTTAGTTTACCCACGATTCGCGGCGGTTTCTTGTATTTCAAAATCATGTACCATGCACCTCGATTGGAAGCTTGGAAGCTTGGAAGCTAATAGTTCGGTCCAATTGACAGCGAGGCCAACCACTTCACTCGTCCCCTTCCGCGCCGCCGCCGCCCTCTCGACCTCCTCCCGCAAAGATGCCGCGAGTGCCGTCCAGCCCCACGCCGGGTACGGCCTCGCGAAGCCCGAACGCAAGGAAGTCCCGCTCCCCAGCCAGGAGGGCACCAAAGGGCTGGTGCAATACGCGCTGTACGCATTCTCCCACCCTGTTGGCCGATGGCATGGCCCATGCCTGCCTTCAACTCGATGCACGGCCACCCCGCTAACATACGCTGTCTCTTCCCCCCCGCTAGCACAACCCTCGACATCATGACCAACTGGGCGCGGCAGTCGTCGCTGTGGCCCATGACCTTCGGGCTGGCGTGCTGCGCGGTGGAGATGATGCACCTGTCGGCGCCGCGGTACGATCAGGACCGGCTGGGCATCATCTTCCGCGCCTCGCCGCGGCAGTCGGACGTGATGATCGTGGCGGGCACGCTGACCAACAAGATGGCGCCGGCGCTGCGGCAGGTCTACGACCAGATGCCCGACCCGCGCTGGGTCATCAGCATGGGCAGCTGCGCCAACGGCGGCGGCTACTACCACTACAGCTACAGCGTCGTCCGCGGCTGCGACCGCATCGTCCCCGTCGACGTCTACGTGCCCGGCTGCCCCCCCACCAGCGAGGCCCTGATGTACGGCATCTTCCAGCTGCAGAGGAAGATGCGGAATACCAAGATCACGAGGATGTGGTATCGCAAGTAGGCTGGCGGCTTGGTGCATGGAGGAGGGTGGGGGCTGTTATGGGGGTTTGTGGTGGAAGGGGGGGGGGGGGGGATACTATGGCCTCGAATAGGCTTTGGGGAAAGTAGAGCCTTGGGATTAGGGAATAGGTGGCAGAGGTCTGTCTCCATCTTGCCAGACATCTTTCCATTTGTTGCCCTGGGGTGCTAGCTCTGTACATATGGACTAGAATTGCCTGAGCATTACCCGAGCGGAATGGATTTGAGCCGTACAGTATGCTCGTTGCTTGACACTCACATGGCGTGTTCAATTCCCTGCTGCCCCTAAAAAAAGATGGTTCCCATTGTGGTCAAGATACGCCTGATGAATAACAACACAATCTGGTTATATATGCAGGCGATCCCCAGCCACCTCGTGCTCCTGAACGCCGCGGCCATGACATTCATCCCAGTACCTCTGGATAGGTAATCACCGTCCAGGGCCAAGCCTAACAAAATCGTAGCCGTTACCCAACGGCATCGCCGCCCCTTTGATAGTTTCTCATCCCATCCGTTTGTCAGTTTCCGCCGACGTTGCCTGTTCCCCTAGGTCTGGGTTTAGATAATTGGCATCTTCGGCCGCCTCATACTCGGCTACGAGGTCCGCCACCACCTCCCTCGACTCGTCAAACTCGCTGAGATTGTCCGAGAATGGAGCAGTCTTCTTGTACGATTCTAGGAAGGCGTTCCGTTTCCGCATGCCATCGTATTGTCTGAGTACCCTCTTGAAAAGCTAGACGGACGAGTTAGTAACGTGGTAAGACGGGTGATCGGTGCCGGGGAACCTACCGTGGCAATGCTGGTATGGTTGGCAAGCATTAGCCCGCTCACTCGGTGTGCCATGGGGATGTATGGGCTTCGCTTGGTCAGCGCCACCTGAATGCTTGCCGGGCCCCATGGGATGAATGTGGCTAGACGACGCTCCCGGATACGAAGCAAGCTCTTGTGTACGTCCGTCGGGTCCACCTCGCCCTGGATGACATTGAGGATAGAGATGTAGCAGCTCTTCTTCCCCGGAACGGTCGACACCATGCGGTTCTTGGGCTGCAACAACCGCCGCATGACGTCCAGCACTGTGGTCTTGCGGACAGTCCTGGCCTGCTCAACTTGGTCGCTGGTGAAGGGCGTGTAGGCGGTCATTAGGAAATGGCATCGTGGTGTGGGGATGAGCGACGCGAGGATGCTGACGAGGTCGTTGTGCATGTACCCGGGATATCTGAGGGTAGTGGTGCTGGCTGACATGACTGTCGACACCAGTTGGTTCGTCTGCTGGATGGATACCTTGTCGAGGTGAAGCCTATCGGCGGCAATGTGTGTGAGGGCTCCGTTGTCGAGGACTACGACCGAGTCGGCGTTTTGTGTCAACCGTCTCATAGTCAGTACGCTGTTGTAGGGGTGCACAACCACGTCGTCGGCACTCGTGTTTGGGAAGACCGAGTATGTTTGTATAATCTTCTTGGGGAAACGGTCGTTTAGTCTTTCGAGGAGAAACGACCCTAGACCGGACCCGGTACCACCGGCGATGGAGTGTAGCATCATGAAGCCCTGGGAATCGGTCAGCAGGCGTGGTGTGTACGGCGTCTCTGCAGTTGCATATTCACCTCGAGCGAGTCGCTACCGTCCGCTTCCCGGTCAATCATCTCCATGATATCTTCATGTACCGACTCCCCTGTCTGGTATCCATCGCCCCAGTTGTTGGCGGCTCCCACACCATCCTTGCCGATGTAGAAGTTCTCGGGGTTGTATATGTTTCCATATTGACCCGTTTGTATACCGTGAATTACCTGAGACGAGACTTAGTATGGCGCATTAGCATTTCGCTAGAGATGCATGACGTACCCGTGGCTCGAGGTCGATGAGGATGGCCCTTGGGATGTATCGTGTGTCGTCGCTTTGGTAGTAAAAGACATCTTTGCGGTCGCCGCCTTCGGTCGCAAAGTCCTCGAGGTTCCCGTCCTTGTTGATGCCATGTTCCTGGCAAAGCTGCTGCCAGAACTGACTGCCAACTTTATACCGCTACGTTAGCCTTGTGCAATCGGGTGTGTGTTCGGCTCGCTGCGCAACGCCCAACGCGCTGGGAGAAGAGCAATACTGACTGTTATTGCCGCACTGGCCCGCCTGAACTGTGATTATCTCTCTGTGCCCGTGTTAGAAGCCGTGACCTGAACGAATCGAGGCGCATATTTTGCTGTACCTGGGCATGGTGGTGGCATCTGGGGTACACCTTTTTAGTGGTTACTGGGCTTGTCGGGCTCCGATGCAGACGCGTTTGCCGATGGAGACGCGAATTCTAGACCCCGCCAAATCAACAGAGGGGTCCGTCCCCCTTGCACTTGCTCTTGTACCTGCACTTGAATCACGGGACTCCGTCAACCCTTCGCTACACAGTGCATTGACTGATCTGCCCAAATTCTGTTCTCTTTATTTTACACATCGTGCTGATGAGATAGCATGGATATCTTGAGCTCTCTGCTGTGTCCCTATTTGGGTGTCAGAAAGTAGTGTACCTTAGGTAGTGGAGTTCCCGATTAGTTCACTTGAACTGTGACCTCTCACTCGACCAAGAATCCAGCGCCGATCAATTGTAAAGCCAAAACAACAGATCACATTATTAAACAAGGAAGACTGATGAATATATGTAAACCCGTACAAATGGATCCATTCAGTCCTTTACACCGCTACTTCGTTCTTGTCTGTTCTCTTGTCTTGTTTTCCTCCTCTTTCAGTGTTGGTGTCAAGAACACTACCAAATCACTGAAAGTCAATTGTATACATCTGTACGGATCGTTATTACACGGAAACGAAGGACAGTGACCGGCGGTCAACTTGAAACGTGGGGCCCGTGTGCCGGGGTTTGAGGGGCGGTTGCCGACGCTGTGGGTCGCTGCTTCAGAGAAGGCTCCACGCATCTAAATTACACGGTCATTGCTGTGATTTGCGCCAGACCCCTGTTCCAAGTACCAGGTCGATGCACCTGAACCGGCAACTTGCGCAACAAGAGAACGAACCATCAGTCGCTGACTGACAGTCGCATGCGCCGTCAGCCCACCGACGGTTTTTCCGAGTCTCGAACGGCGCTTAAAATAAATCCCAAGTTTAAACAGGGGGGACGAAAGCCGTATGCCGTCGATACCATCGTCCGATCGAGTGCCGCCCACCGACCACCTTCAAGCCCGACCCGACTGTCTCGAGAGACAAAACACATTTCCTAGAGGCACCACCCCACGCCTTCTACCGACAAAACGATTCTACCATCGAATTAGCACCGAAGGCGTGCGCCGTCACACACGCGTCCCTGCTACCCCCCAATTACAGCCGCGCCGCTCAGCATTACACAGCCGTTAGAGAGGAACCTGTTGGTGCAACAACGCTCGCAACTCTGCCGTTGGGTCCTTGGGAAGTGCTTCGTCGAATCGGCTGTATCATGCCTCGCTATTGAGGATTGAAACATCACAAACGTTCCATTTGCTCGGGATATAAGGGCTTTCGCTCCAGCAGCTATGGCAGAAGCAACCCGAGTTGACCCTGCCGGTGTGCCCCGGAAGGAGTCCACCTTATCTTCCGGCACCTTCACCGAGTTACCCACGATCCCACAAGCCAAGGTATTCGGTCCGGCATCGCCTCTGGCTTCAGACGAATTTGACTTTGCCTCCAAGTCGAGTCCCGCCGAGAACGAACCAACCGACTATCTAAATGGAGGAAACCCCCATGAGAGGATATCTCCGCCAACGATCTCCCCGAGCTCATCCCAGCCACCGGCACTGAATGCCGATATACCTTCACCATCCAGAGCCATGTCCGACGTTGCTGAACCGTCCTCCCCTGCTGCCGGCAGGAAAAGTGTGCAATTCAACCCAGACGATGCGATTCTTGATCCACCAACAGCGCACTCGAGAACTGCGTCCTGGGACACAAGGGAGGCTCTAGGGAAAATCCGCGGTTCGGGTTTTATATCGAAGCTGAAAGAACTCGCCGGGCCGGGCGGTGCGCAGACCCCAAGAATGCCGGCCACGACCCCCGAGTTGCCATCGACAGCGAGTTCCCCAACCGCACTCCGACATACAAACCGGCTCCCCCGCGCCGCGAACGAAGGGAGCGACGACGACGCAGATGCTGAGGAAACAGCAGACGAGACCACCGCTTCACCTTCGAAAGGGAAACAGAAGAGGAGAAGGCGTATGCGGAGGCTCAGGATGGAATCTTATTCGGTCCCCAATACCCCGCAGATGAGCTCGCTGGGGCCTGAGACTTCAGATGTCCAGAGCCGCCTGGCCTTTTTGAGGCGCACTCCTTTAGCTGGCATCGATGACCACGGATTTTCCGAGGGCGAAGGGCGTGACCGCCTTGCTGGGCAACGTGGCTTGAGGAGAGGGATGAACGGGAGGTCCAGACCCGGCGAAGAGGGAGAGGACGCTGACAGCCCTGCCGGTCTTCGAGTCGGTCACCACTTCAGGCGGTTGTCTGCTCTTGGAGGCGGCGGCGGCGTATCTGACGGCGATGCCATGAGCCCCAGGAGACCCTTCTTTAAGGCAGACAGAGCCTCGACGTTTGGTGTCCAGAAATGGCGGCAGGTCAAGGGCGCACTGAACTTCTTGCGCCAGAAGAAGGACGAGCAGTTCGACTTCTCCAAATCTGCAGAACTCATGGCAGAGCTCTTCGGCGGTGCACCCGCGGTTTTGATGCTCGCAAGCATGATTCAACGTGACGAGCACGGCAATAAGAGGATACCCGTTCTGCTCGAGCAGCTAAGGCTACGCATCACCGACAGCACCCCTGCCCCGGATAAAGACAGCGAGCGACATTGGATGTTTACCATGGAGCTGGAATACGGGAGTGGCCCGAGCCAGATGAAATGGACCATTAAGCGGAGCATCAAGGACATTATGAACCTACATTGGAAGTACAAGCTGGCCTTGGGTAACGAAGGGTTCCCTTCCAAAAGTTCCGATTATGGGGCGCGGCGGCCCAAGCAGCCGCGCTTTCCCCTGTCTGCTTTCCCCTATCTCCGTGGCGTGAGAGGCTTGGACGACAACGACGAGGAGGAACTCGGCAACGAGACACGCGCCGAAGAGACCGCAGGTGAGCTCACCGCCGGTGAGGGGACGGTCCAGGAAGGGACCGATGTGGATGACAGGCCGCCCATGCGCAAGAAGCGTTCACGGATGCCCTACCTTGGTGGTCGGCGGAAACCCTCGACGCTCGGTTCCAACGCCGACCTCAGTCAGGTCATCGTCGATGCCGCTGCCCAAAAGAGGAAGTATGTCGAGCGGCAGCAGAGGACGCTGGAGAGGTATCTCCAGGACATGATTCGTTGGCTCATGTTCAGGGCAGACAGCAACCGCCTATGCCGCTTCCTCGAGCTGTCTGCCTTGGGGGTCCGGCTCGCGGCTGAGGGCAGCTACCACGGAAAGGAATGCTACCTGCACATCCAGTCATCCCAAGGCCTCGATTTCCGCCGTGTGCTTACACCGGGCAAGGTGATCGCGAGACACAGCCGGAAGTGGTTCCTAGTCCGACAGAGCTACATTGTCTGTGTTGAATCGCCCGAGAATATGAACATCTACGATGTCTACCTCGTCGATCCGAAATTCCGGATTGTCACCAAGAGCAAAGATAAGCAACTTCGCGCCATAAGCCGCGAGCGAGAGGAGGATATCGAAAACCTTGACCCCTCTGCCCCTCGTCCCACCGGCGGGCACCACACTCTCAAGATCATCACCTCCGAACGGAAGGTGAAGCTCTTCGCTCCCAACCAACACCTCATCTCCCAGTTTGAGGAGTCCATCAAGGAAATGCTAAAGCACACTCCCTGGCACCTCGAAAATCGCTTCGGCAGTTTTGCCCCGGTTCGGACAGGGGTGCATGCCCAGTGGTTGGTCGACGGCCGCGATTACATGTGGAATGTGTCCCGCGCCATCAGCATGGCGAAGGACGTGGTTTATATCCATGATTGGTGGCTGAGTCCTGAGCTCTACATGAGGCGGCCCGCCTGCATCAGCCAGAAGTGGCGTCTCGACCGTCTGCTCCAGCGAAAGGCTGCCGAAGGCGTCAAGGTTTTCGTCATTGTTTACCGCAACGTCGAAGCCGCCATTCCCATCGATTCGGAGTACACCAAGTTTTCACTGCTGAACCTCCACCCGAACATCTTCATTCAACGGTCACCTCATCAGTTCAAGAAGAATCAGTTCTTCTTTGCTCACCACGAAAAGCTCTGCATCGTAGACCACGATATTGCTTTCGTGGGTGGGATCGACTTATGCTTCGGCCGGTGGGACACCCCGAAACATCCCGTGGTGGACGACAAACCTACGGGCTTCGAACCTCAAGACGCCCCCAAGGATGCTGAGCACTGCCAGCTGTTTCCCGGGAAGGACTATTCCAATCCTCGAGTCCTAGACTTCTCCAAGCTCCACGAGCCGTACGCGGAGATGTACGACAGATCGATGACGCCACGCATGCCGTGGCACGATATCGCAATGCAAGTCGTGGGGCAGCCGGCACGGGATCTCACTCGGCACTTTGTGCAGAGGTGGAATTATGTCCGACGTGGACGGAAGCCGACACGGCCCACCCCATTCCTGCTGCCGCCGCCGGATTGTAAGCCAGAGGAGCTCGAGGCCATGGGTCTCAGCGGCACCTGTGAAGTGCAGATTCTCCGTTCCGCGACGACTTGGTCGCTCGGTACTGAGAACACAGAACACAGCATCCAATCGGCGTACATCAAAATGATCGATAACTCGGACCACTTCGTCTACATAGAGAACCAGTTCTTCATCACCAGTACCGAAACATTAAACAGCAAGGTCGTGAACGGTATCGGCGATGCCCTGGTCCGCCGCATCATCCGGGCTCACGAGAACGATGAGGACTGGCGCGCCGTGATCGTGATCCCGCTGATGCCGGGCTTCCAGAACGAGGTGAACCAGCCCGATGGCTCCAGCGTCCGGCTGATTCTGCAGTTCCAATACCGCAGCATCTGCCGAGGGGAGCACTCGATCTTTGGGCGCCTGCGGGCTGCTGGCATCGAGCCGGAGGACTACATCCAGTTCTTCAGTCTCCGACAGTGGGGCAAGCTGGGCAATGGCGTTCTGACAACGGAGCAGCTATACATCCACGCCAAGTGCATCATTATTGACGACCGTGTCGCCCTGATCGGTTCGGCCAACATTAACGAGCGATCGATGTTGGGCAGTCGCGATTCCGAAGTCGCCGCAGTCGTCCGCGACACGGACCTGATCTGGTCGACCATGGGGGGCCGGCCGTACCAGGTCGGGCGGTTCGCACATACGCTTCGTCTTCGGCTCATGAGAGAACATTTGGGGCTGGATGTGGACGAAATCTTGGATGAGGAGCGGCAGGCCGACCTCGACCGCGAAGAGCAGTTCGAGGCAGAGATGGATGATATTTACGATGAGGAAGAGTCCGACCCGTCGCCCATGGAAGGGAGTTCAAGACAACGGAGGTCTTCCTTTGCCGAGCCGCCCAAGACCCCAACGCTACCTCAGGAACCTCACAGCTTTAATCACGATGCTAGCCCGGAAGACTCTCACCGCCGGGGGCGGACTCTTTCGGGTAGCTCAAAACGCCAGGCATCTGCCGCGGAGCCCTCGCTCGAGAAGCACCACCAAGAAGTGGAGGGTTTTGGCGCCGACCGGTGGAAGAATGCGCAGGAGGAAGGGCTCGATCAAGGTAGAGATACCGTGATTATCAATAACCGTGAGGTGCTCGTCAAAGACGTCGCGGCGGAAGGCAAGGGAACACTTGACAACCCGAAGGAGCCACACACACTTCGCCCCGTGTCTGGTGTCACGACTCCCGATAGCGCCGGAGTTCACGAGGGGGCACCGCCGATGCCGCCCTTCGACCGACGAACGACTGAGCAGGCCGGCCTTCCCCGGGCGAACCAGTTGCCGACATTGCCCATCGTCGATGATACGGACATCGGCGGCCCACCGGTCCGGGTTGATTCGGCAGGTCGGCCGGTTCACGGCGTCACCAGCTCGCTCCCCATCGATATCAAACTGGCCGACATCCACAAGGACTGCATGCGCGATCCGCTGAACCCGAATTTCTACGACGACGTCTGGTCTCGTGCTGCCGAAAACAACACGCGGATCTATCGGCGCGTCTTCCGGTGCATGCCGGATTCGGAAGTAACCAACTGGGCCGAATACAAGGACTTCAACAACTATAACGCGCGTTTCAAGGCGAGCATGGATAGCCACCCAACGAACGAGGAAGGCGAAAAGTCCAGCCCGCCCCATGGAGCATCTGGGCAAACCGCAGCGGGCGCTGGCATCGGCGCGCCGGGCCCTGCTGCCGGGGCTGCCGCTCTGTCCGAGAAGCTTGGTAGCGTAGCAAAAACCGCCGCGAAGATGGGCCCGTCCGCCGGCGACAGTGCCATAGACGAGAAGCGGGCCATGGCTGAGGGGCTACGGGACGAGACCCCCCGGGCGAGCACGAACCACGAAGGAGAGGGGCAAGACAACGCCGTCAACTCGAGCCGCGACACACTGCACGGCACCGAGGCCAACACCCGCCTCGGCCCGGGGCTCGACGGCCGCAAGGAGCGCCGTCCCACCTTTTCCAACCAGGAGAAGCCCCCGCCGACGGGCGTCAGCACAGGCTCCGGAAACGGAAACAACCTCTCGACGGCAACAAGCAACCGCGATTCTGCGCAGGGCTGCAGCAACGGCGCCCCCAATGTCAAGCCGGCGGGCTCGCAGAAGCGGCGCCGCCGCGCCACGACCAAGGGCAGCCGGCCACGGTTCGGCGTGGCTGAGGAGTTGCTGTCCAAGGCCGACGCCGAGGACCTGCTGCTGCTGACGCAGGGCCCGCTGGTGCAATTCCCGTATGATTGGCTCGCAGTGGAGGAGACGAACGGGAACTGGCTATTCCAGGTGGACCAGGTCGCGCCGTTGGCTATCTAGTAAGTTTTCTATGTCTCAGTTGTTCGGCGTGGATGGTTGCTAACAGGTGAACAGTAACTGAGCGTGGCTGTGAGATTCGGCGGTGGTGGAGGACGGCTTGCTTCCACAGGAGATGGTATATATAGAGAGAGTGATGGGTCGCATTCCGTGTTTGTTTTGAGCAGTTGCGGCGGCGTTTGGTGTCGTGATATTTACCCCCTAGTCACGATGCATTGTTCTGGTGCATTGGCGTTCTTCAAGCCATATCTCGTTTTTTTTTCTCTTTTGGTGGGATTCGCCTTGCGTGCCGAAGATATCATACAGGCAACCTCTTCCCTTTTGTCACCATTATATTTTCCCGTTTGACTTATTCCACAAACCATATATACACTTTGTAGTCCTACACAACTTCTAATACAACTTTTCCCCACGCCCACCACTCAAACCCTCTCACTAACCCAAATCGCACCCCGACACCCCGCACGAATAACCCCCGTCAACAACCAATACGGCTCCGCCTTCTTCGCATCATGCTCAACAGCATGATCCAGATGCTCCAGCTCCTCATCGCGAATCCGCCGCAGCGTCCCAATCAGCTCGCGCAACTCCCCCCCAACCTCATACCCCTCCGCCTCCCACTCCCCCACCATCTCCAACAACCGCCTAATCTGCGCGTTATAGTGCCCCCCAATCTCCGTCTCCACCGCCTCCGTGCACGCCATCGCCGCCTCCCGGCCCAGCGCCCCCGTCGTCCACCCCAGCCCCGTCGCCAGCGCCGACCACACCGGGTACAGCGCCGTCGGCCGCACCCGGTGCTTGGCGATGAGCGCGTTGAAGGTGGATAGGTGGCCGGCCTCTTGCTCGTACATGTGCCGCATCAGGGGCCGGAGGTGCGGTTCGCGCGCGACGACGGGCGGGGTCTGCGCTGTGTAGATTAGGGTCGCGGCGAGCTCGCCTGCTTGGTTGACGCGCAGGGCTGAGGAGAGGAAGGCTTGCTGGGCGGGGGTGAGGGGCTTTTTTGGTTTCGGGGCCGCCGGGTTTGGGTGTGGGTTGGGGTTTGGTTGGGAGGTGTTGGTGTTGTTGTTGGTGTTGGGGGGGTTCGAGGATGCAGCGGCTTGTGATGCGGATGCTGTGGATGAGAGGAAACGGGTTGGTTGTTGTGTTTGTTGTGCGAGTATGCTGCTGCTGCTTTTGCAGTGGCGCATTGGCTGCCACACCAGGCGTGGGGACGTCATCGTGATTCAGACCTTGGGTGGTAGAGTGGTGGTTGTTGTATAAAGTATTTCGTACGGTCGGTGTTTTGGAGCTCGGGAATCGGGAACCTCGATGGCCGAATCGACCGATGTTTGACGAAGACCCTCCAATCTGATGCCCCACACCCATGGGCCGTCACCAGCTGCAGAGCGCAGAGTGGGACTTTGGACGGTGGGTGGACTTGGCGTGCACCCTGGCCCCGGTTGCATGCCAAGAACCAATTGCCTGGGCTCTGGCATCCACGCTTCCCGTCTTAAAGTTGAGCCTCGCGCCGCGCAAACTCTCCTTCTTTCTTCTAATGTACAGCACAAACCTTCAACAACCTGCGCTTCTACTCCCCCGCCCCCGCTCCCGTTTTCGCTCCCGCTTCGAAGCGGCATTTTCCAACACCGACGCTGTGAATATATCCGTACCCACGCATCCGATTACCGTCCTCAGTAGGGGAAACGCCGAAAGCCGCTGCTGCAATTCCCAAACCGCTGTGATCGCGTCGTCGCCGATCAGACCCCGACATCGAGCATCGCCGTGCTTCCCCGTGCTGTCACGAACGAACAAACCCTAGCTATTCTTAATCTCTCGTGTTGGAGTCGCCATAATGTCTGATATTGATGATGAGCTACTGGCTCTGGCCGGTGGTGATGTATCGTCAGACGAGGAGGAGGCGGCCATGGATATGAGCCGGAATGGGTCGCGCTCGCCATCACCGCCGCGCGCTTCACCAAGGGAAAAGGACACACCAGCGAGGGGTGTGGCATTGAAGAAGACGTCTGCGAAAAAAACGAGACGTGCGAGTAGGAGTGACAATGAGTCGGAGGATGAGGGAGAGGCGTGAGTTGTGCCCCGCTTCCTTGCTGTTATCATTTCATTCGGGTTGCGAGAAGATGGGAAGCTGCAGCGACTCGGAGCTATGAAATATTTCTTGTTTCGCAGCTTCCCTTTAAACCTCCCACCACTCTTCTTTTCGTACCTCACTCCCCAACCTATGCAAACCAGCTCAGCACTTTACCCTCACACCCTCTCATTGCTGTTTCTCTCGATATCTACGCATTTCAGAAGTCATTTGTTGGCAGCTACTTTTTAATACATCCCTCTAACCACCATGGCCCCCCGCAGGTCCTCGCCTCCGGCCTCTCCGAGCTCGCAAATGTCCGCTCCGATGGACGAGTCGGACTCCGATTCCGATGCGCCACAGAACCGTGACCGCAGCGCCGACGATGACTTACAGTACCCCATCGAAGGCCTCTTCAAGAGCCACGAGGAGAGAGCGCGTATCATGAACATGCGCGAGATCGAGCGCGAACAAATCTTGGCCGAGCGCAGGGAGGAGAACGAACGCATCCGTCAAAACCGCATGCTGCGCCAGCTCAAGGTCAACCAGGAGAAGGACAGCAAGAAACGCAAGGCCAGCGCAGCCGATCTCGAGGATGCCGCGCGCAAATCGTCTCGGGCTCGCACCAAGGCCGGCGAGAGTAGTGATAAGATGGACACGCTACGCCGCGCCCGCGAAGAGCGCAGCAACCGCAAGGAGCAAAGAGAGCGTGAGAACGACCGCCGCAGGCAACGATCCCCCTCGTACCGCCGGAGCCGCAGCCCCGACGACCACGATAGCGACGTCGACTGGCGGAGGGACTCTAGGCAAAAGTCCAGGACGCCCGAACCCAGAGAAACCCCGCCTGCTGAATTGCGCGATGTTGAGCGTATCCGCGTCGGCAGGAGTCGGTTCGCCGAGGTGTGCTTCTACCCCGGCGTTGAGAAGGCCATCTCGGGCTGCTATGTTCGCATCAATATCGGGCCCGACCCCACAACACGCCAAGATGTCTACCGCATGGCTGTCATCAAGAGTGAGTTACCTGCCAAGGACTATTTTTGTGCAATCAGCTAACCGATGACGTATAGGTTTTACTCAGGGTAGGCCCTACGCGATAACCGATCGCAGCGGGCATCAGATCGTTGTAGACCTCTACATCAAGGCCGCCCACGGCAAGGCGCAGCGGGAATGGCCATTCATCACCTGTTCCGACAGGGACTTCACCGAAGCCGAATGGAACCGGTACAAGCAAGTCTGCTTGTCCGAAGGCGTTCCGATACCCACCAAACCGGAACTCGTCGCCAAGATCGGCGACATCAACAACCTCATCGAGCGATCCTGGACCGACCAGGAGGTGTCCGAGAAGCTGAAGCGCCAAAACGCCCTACACATCAAGTACAGCGGCGTCGAGCGCGACCAGCTGGCCAAGCAGCTCGACATGGCGCGCGCGCGCGGCGACGAGGCCGCCGCCGGCCGCCTGCAGGACAAGCTCGACAACCTCGAGGTCCCGCGCCTCGCCTTCCGCACCTCGCTCAACTCGGCCAAGAAGAAGAACGAGAACCGCGGCCCCACCCAGCAGGAGAAGCTCGCCCTGCTCAACGCCGAGAACCGCCGCAAGAACGCCGAGTCCGTCCGCAAGGCCCAGCTGCTCGAGCGCGCCCGCGCCCGCGAGGTCGAGAAGACGCGCGCCGCCTCTGCCGCCGCCCAGGACGGGAGCGGCGCCAGCACGCCTGCTGGCACTGGCGCTGGAGCTGGAGCTGGAGCTGGAGCTGCCAACGGCAGTGGCACGCCCGGCAAGGCTGGTGGGGGGGATGCCGCCGTGCTGCCGCATATCGCGAAGCTGCAGGAGCAGCAGCGCAGCCAGGCTAAACCGGGCGTGCCTGTGATCCATAAGCCGCTGATGGATGATGACATCATTGGCGCACTGGATCTGGACATCGATGTGGAGATTGACTGAATGGCTTCTGGGGCGGCTGGAGTGAAGCAGGGAGGTGTATGTGGTTGACGGGGAGAGGGGTGGGGTGGATTGTGGAAGGGGAGGAGGCACTGGCTGTCGAAGGGGTCTGGCGGTTACCGACGTGCCACCGGCAAAGCTAACGTCTACTGCGTACGCCGGTTGGCAAATCGGGAAAACGCCCCTTTTACACACTATTTAATTACGTAGCGTGTAACCCATCACCTGCTTACCTCTTGCTGACGCCGTACTCTTGTCTTTGTGCACACTTGATATGTTATCAAGTTGGTTACGGCGTGTATGTCATCCATCCCTGTGTCAACTCGCAGTCAAAAAACATCAGTCACGAGTGGGATTTGAACAGTTTTTGGAAAGCAACAACACCTCGTCCTCATTCTATTCGTAATCCTTTTGCTACAACCAGAACAGAGGTGTGGAATGGTACAACATTAGTAACTAAAGACACGCGCGGCCATGAACCAATCCAAAGTCAACCCGCCAAAAGAACCGCCGTGCCACGCGCCGTTGCTTTGCCGAGTCTTGAAACACCCCAACCGAAAAGCCCAGCCAAATTTCATAATCTTCAAGTTCATCCTCAGCAAAAAAGAAAGAAAAAAAGGCCAAAACAAAATCATGGTACAGGTATCTTATTTCTTTCCCTTTGCCTCCCGGCCCAGTCCAGATGGCAAGTCCTGCGATGCCATGCTGGAGTTGTAGTACAAGGTGTATTTATAGTGTTGTGAAAGTCCTCCATCCCCGCCGCTGAGAATGCGGGATGGCAGCGTGAATCCAAAAAAAAAAAAATAGGAGCCCTCTCAGTCATCCGGAGGGACTCGGATCGTATTAAAAATGTATACGGTTGTGCAATTTCTTCGGTCGTGAAAGTGGTATCGTCGGGCCCAGTTCCAGCACCCAGCGCAGCAGGTGCGGGCCTCAATTCTTCTTCCGTTTCCCCTTATTATTGTTGGTCGGCACGGGGGTTGGGCTCACAAATGTGACGTGCCTGCTCTCGTCTTTCTTCAGTTTCACCGCCTTGCTGGTAGATCCATGGCGACGCGGAACGGGCGGGGGTGTGGGTTCCCGGGCGTCTCCCTCGTCGTTGATGTTGATCTCAGCCACGTCAGAAACCGAGTCCGTCTCCATGGCGTCGCTCGTGTCTGAACCTGATCCGTCATCAGAGTCGTCATACTCCCCATCGTCACTAACCAAGGATGGTGCATGGTTGCTAGTCACGGTATTCGGACTCAAGTCCACACCCATCTCATCATCGTACATAGGGGTTTCGGGGAGCTTAGGGGACTCGAGATTGGTGCCGTGGGTAGTGCGGAGGCCCTTGTTGCTAGCAGCCCGATACGCAGCTGGAGGGTGAGACGGGGACACAGCAGCCCTTGAGGGCATCCTCATCGCGGCAGGCGTGCGTACGGCTGAAGCCAAGGGCTGCTCTCGGGTCGCGCTGTCCTCGGTAGCGGGCGCCGAATCCGTTTCCGAATCCACATCAGGTGACGGCCAGTTCCAATCCACCTTAGTCTTCGCCTCAGTCACTTGCTGCTTCAGGTTCCCTCCCATCTTCTTCCTTTGCATCAACTGTGACAGATAGGGAACGTCCGAAGACCCGACAAAGCTTTGCGAAGACGTGCTAGCTGAATCGCGGGGCGAACTTGGAAGGCTGGGTACGCTGCCCACACCCGGCAGCTTCCCCGCCTTGTAGAGCACAAGCGACGCCTGGATACGAGAGAGTAGGGTTGCATATTCTCGGTGCTCGAGCGTCGACTCAGAGTGCGCCAGGGGGTGAACAAGCCCGGAGGGCGCGGCAGCAGGGGGCTTGTGGTCATCACCAACGATAGCACCTCGTTCGTCAACCTCGATAGGATGCCCCGAGGCGATCGCGGCCTCCTCGTGGCTTTTGAAATCCCTCCTATGGGCAATGCGGCAGTGATTGATGAAACCCTGCGTGCTTGAAAAGTCCCATCTCTGGCAGTCGATGCAGATGAGCTTGACTACGACGCCATCGGCTTTCGTGACAGTGCAGGGCGAGTTCTTGTCCTTGGGTTGAGGATATCCACTGGATAGCGCCTGTAACCTCTGGCCTGCGGTGCCGCGGACCGGCCGCTGTTTACCGGAGCCTGCAGCATCGGACACGCTGCTTCTCGTCGCCCTACCTTCCGCCGTGTTCTTCACACGACCCGTGTCCATCAATCCTTGGGGCTCGCACTGGATGCCATCAAACACGGGGTCAGGAATTAGCCACTTAGCATAATGACGCGCATACGGCCCCTCGACGACACCAAAGGGCGGCGCCCATTTCGGCACAGGCTCGCCGCGTTTCGACCCCAAGGCCGGTCCGCTGCCATTGCTGATGTGCAGCATTTGGCTGGGCGTGGGACACTGCAGGGGGTATGGGATGAGGTGACAACGCCTCAGCTGCTCAAGCGCAACCTGACACTTGGCCAATTCCTGGTTGATGAGTCGGAGTTCGTCGTGCTTGAGGAGTATCTCGAGCCCAAACTGCATCTCGATGGCCTCCCTCGCCGCATCAAGGTCGGGCGCTATGCTTGGCCCGCACAACGCGCCCATCTCGTCACCGTCGGCCGATGCCGAAACAGGGGAGGGCAAGTCACCATCTTGCTCGGTCTTGGGGCGCTTGGCCGGTGGATAGGCGCAAGCGGCCGTGTCGACGAGGCTTGGTCGCCGCCTTTTGGGGGATATGGGGGTGGGGAGCCCAGATCGGCTGTGCGCGACCGAGTTGTCGCAATCGAGAAGCTGGTGGTGTCCATCTACCGTCTTGCCGCTTCCCCTTGAGTCGGATGTCCAGAAGCGGAACATTGACGCGAACACTGGAGAGGCAAGCGCCGGGAAGGTAGAAATCGGGGATGCGGAGGGTTGATGTGGTGTTGAACGTTTGAAGTGTGTCGCAAGGCAACAGCGGCACGGCGTGAAAGGGGCGGTCGGATGCGTGTGGAAGCTGACGTAACGCCCAGTTCTGGTTGCAGATGGGACCAAAGGTTGATCGGCTTGGCCCTTTCGGATAGCTCGGCTTAGTCAGAGAAGCGAGGCCGGGGCCGAGTGGAGCCGGAGTGGGTGGTTGCTGCTGATGTGGCCCACCTGAGACGAGAGGCGAAAGGTGCTGGCGCCACTGTCGGTCTGTGTCGCGACTGCGGATCGCTGATGCTGCGAGAAGCGGATGGAAGGTGCGCGCGAGAACTACTCAAAGTCTCGTGGATCGTTTGAAGGAGAGTAAGTGTGAGAAAGTTTGATAAAAAGGAATGCGCAAAGGTGGAAAAGGGGAAACCAGTCGGTCGCGCAAGGCTTGTTGCGATGAAAGCGTTGGGGGTGTTTCGCAGGGCGATGATTGCGAAGTCGATCGAGAGGTTGGGCGGTGGATGTGCGCGGTGTTGGAAGGGGCCGCTGCAGCGAGAAGGGGGGGAATTGTTTGGGAAGCGAGCTGGGAGGCAACGCATGGATGCAAGGCCCACAAGGGAGTCAATCACTCAGTGGACAACGCCGCCCGGGCCACAGCCAAGGGGCTGATTTTGGAAGGGGCAATCTCGCAGCACATTGGCTGGTGTGCTGGGGGGCCTGTGCAAAGGTGGGGCTGCCTGGCCAGAAGTGTGCCGCATCAGCCAAGAAGATGGGGAACTCGAACAAAGACGCAACGGAATCACTCGGTCGGAAACAATGGGGGAAGGCTCTCCTCATCGCAAGTTAGGTAACGATTATGACTTGGTGTCTGGATTTGAAGAGGCGACACGCCTGTTGATCATGATATGCCTCCGAGTAACACTACCAATCTGTCGTGATCAAACAATGTGCTCGTTAGTTTGCTGAGGACGGGCGGTGGCTCGTGGAGAGCTGGCACTCGAGACGGAATGCATCGTCTGCCTGTTCGCTGAGGAGGGCACTGTGCGAGTGGGCTGTGCTCAGCATCCGCCTGTTAGTGGGTCAGCGTGATGTAGCTCGGAGGCATGTTTCGCGGCAGGGAACTTATCATGTCGCACCAGGTCGAGGGAGCCCCATCCCCTTGCATCATGCCAAGGGTACGAAATACAAACTTCAGGTTGAGGCAGACGGGTGCACGGATGCTTCCGATATTACGAGACCGCTGCGTAATCTTGTTACCGCTGGCGAGACTCTCGGTCAAAGTTTTACACCCCGGTTAGATTACCGTTTCTGCGCTGTATCGATGTGAAAGTCCCGTTTACGCCACGTGACCACCAAGACGGGATGCAGAAGGCGGCGGCTCAAACGGTCAGTTTATGAACCTGTCAGTACCCGGAATGGATGGCGGGAACTGCTTTCGGAGGTTAACGAACAAGGGCGTTTCATGGCACCGAGGGTTAGGTAGTTGTCCGTCTCAAATCATGAACATTACGGCATCGATCGCGATTGCTCGACGGCATCTGCACTGATACCTCCGTTGCAAGAACACCACAACCGTTGCCTTTCGGCCACTGTTGTTGAATCGGCCTTATCGATAAAGCCGCCGTTTGACCCCACAACATTCCCACGCGCTGGGTTGACGGTACTTCTCGACTTCTCATCAACTCAGATCTTGCATGGCTGCTACACTGTAACTATCACAACGTCTCTTGCAATCTCCGGCAACATCTGGCGACTTTTCGACCCGCAATGGCCGCCCGGGACCCGACGCAACCATCGGACCCGAATCCACATACGACCAAGCGGAAATTCCACAGCGACAGTAATGACCCAAGTCCCAAGAAGCGACGGGCGGCGACCGATGGTCAACTCCCAAACCAAGTGCAGAATCGGGCACAGAACCCGGCACCAACAAGCAGCAGCTACAGCCAGATCTACAACCCCCTTCTTGCTAAGCTGAACGGCAAATTCGAAATCATGACCATGTCCGTAATGCCCTCAACCAACATCAGCAAGCATGTCGACCGCGCCCTCGGACACCTCGGTCGCTTCAGTTCGTGGGACGAGAGTGTCCTCCCAGGCGTCGTACTCCTCTGCGCCAAGTCGGCCGCGTCCACCAAGCTCATAACGATAGCGGAAATCATCCGGCGGCGGATCGGGGAGAGCGAGCAGAAGTGGTTTCAATACAACGTGCCAAAAGAGACGGTCATAGAAGAGGCGCCGCCGCCGCCGCCGGAGGAATTCTCAGTCGTAGAGGACACGTTCATGGATGTCGAAAAGGAAGGCGGAGAAAGCGGGAACGCCGCAGATAACGAGTACTTCGAGACGAGACTGCCGACTATCCACGAGCAAGCGGTGCAACCGGCCAAGGTCAGGTATAAAGCGCACGTAGCCATCCTACTCTCTAGGTTGCCGCTGGACGAGCTGGCATTTGAGCCCAACGTTTCGGCACAGACGAACGAGGAAAAGATTGAGCACCTGCGGAAAAAGAGGATGGGATTGACTGGCTAGCGAGCCGTTCTCCCTCGGGCTCCAGCGAACCTGGATGTGGGTTGGAATTGCTCAGGTCGGAGCCGGATTGCATCGCGGAGTTTGTGCTTGCCGGGGGTCTTGCCATACAGGAACCGGAGTCTGGGGCATACATCGGCGTGATACCCAATATTTTTACACGGCGGAGTGTCTACAAATGGCACCGCCACTCGCTTTCTATTTACTGTGTAGGATCAGTGTACGTGATGAAACCATCGTCGAGGCAACGATTCGCAAGGTATGCAATTTCTAACAAACGCCGGCGGCATGAACCCATGTAAATGCAAGTGATGTCCGTTTCCATAACGATTCCGTGTGAATCCATCCGTTCCAATCCAGCCACGACATATTCAAACTTATCCTACCATCCCCCCCACGCCAAAGCCTGCCCGAATCACACACATTTCGCGAACCTACACCAACTCCAACCAATTGATGATCTCCCCTCCCTAAAATGGGGCTCAAGGCTTCTTGTCCTGAGCCGAGTAGGTGATCCGCAGAACAAAGTTGACCACCACCGCAAGCAGCAAGATGATGGCCAAGAATGTCGGGCCGAATCGATCGTCGAAGCCCGCCTGCCCCCTCATCCGTATCGACTTCGCTCTCCAGTGGTACGTTATGAGCGCGTATATCATCGTGGCCATCGCGACGCCCGTGAACAGGAAGGACGAGATGAAGGCGGGGCGGTCGCCAAAGTTGAGCATACCGATCGCGAGCGCGCCGAGGATGACGGTGAAGTTGAGCCATGAGAGGAAGGTCCGCTCGTTGGCGAAAAAGACCTTGGGCTCGACGCGCGTCGGGAGCGCGATGCGCTTGCCTGTGAGAAAGCTAAAGTTAGGCGGGGTATGGGATGGCTAGGTGGTAGATCGAGGACGAACCCGGTGCGGTCTGGAGCAGAGGCTGGCTAGACATGGCGGCGTAAAGCTCGTGTGGTGATGGAGGGATGAGTGGTGAGAGTTCAATTCTCGATCTCAGTACCCCACAGATTAGTGATGACGAAAAAGAAGATGGCGATCCTTCGTCCTGCCCCGGCTTTGGTGTTTTTCTTGCACGAGAGGAGCTTCACCGGCAGTCGGCGGTTCAGACAGCTGCTCGTTAATTGGGGGCGAAGGCTGGGAGCTCAATTGATCAATCAAAGAGGCTGTCGGTCCTCTCCACTTGGCAGCTGTGATGCACGTGCGTCGTGCTTGGCATCTTACTGGCAGAAAGCTCGAGGTTGCGTCACAAGAGGCTGGAGAAAGGGTACCTCGGGGAATGGTCACGTGAGCCACATAGGCGCAGCCGCTTATCAGCGCGCGCTGTGTTGGTCCAAGCGCCTGCGAGGCTGGTGGTGGAGCAGCCTCTGGAGTTGGGTATCGATACGGGCCGTTACCGCGACGTAAACAACAAATCGCTTGTCGAGACCGCGATTCCACACCCGCTCTTCCCATCACGCCAATCGAGCCAATTTTGCGCCTCAGGTATCCAGCACCGGGCTCGAGCCGACATTTGGTCCGATTTCTTCCTCTTGGCCAACCAGCACCACAATCGTCCGACGGGGATACCACCGCCACTCCACCACAAACGCAACACGTCCCCCACCTCTCGTTAAACCACAATGGCTGCCCAAACCACCAACGCTGTACGGCTTTTGACAAGTCCTGAATCCAAATGCAAGCGCAGTCATTTCTAACCTTGGTAATAGCCGATTGCGGTCAAGCGCCTGGAGCAGATAGCTAGCGACGTGCGTGAACCCCCACCCAAAAAATACCACCAGTTCCCGGGAGCAAGGGCGCAAGAGGAGGTGCTGACGACCAGGCGATAGGTGTGCAACAGCGTTTTCGAAGGTACCGAATATTACGAGCACCCCAAGACGGCGCAATGGAACGAGACGATCATCGTATGTTAAGACTGAGGCGCACCCCACGATTTCGGCAGGCCACTAACGGATACATCCCCACCCAGAGCAAAATGCTTAAGGCGGTGATGGCGGAGGCTACTCCCCAAGGCGCCACCGTGCCTGCCTACAAGTTTGCCATCAACAGCACCATTGTCCAGCACGTCGTCCCCACATCGCAGCTGAACAAGCCGACCACGCAGTCAACAGAAGAGGGCACGTCCAAGAAGGGGCAGGCTGGCCGGCGCGGGATGCACAGCGCGACCGGCGGCTACTGGAACGAGAAGACGGACGGCATGTGGAGCTTCAAATGGGATGGCGATGCCAAGGGTTTGGATGTTGTCCTTATGGTTATTTGGATCGCTGTCTGAGGACACTGGATTATTTTTGACCTACCACGCGTACCTTAATACCATTTCCCAGGCGCCGGAGGCGATGAAGGTTTGGCGGTAAAACGGGCTATGGATCAACAAGCTTTATCAAGGTTGAATTTTGCTCAACATTCAGCCCCAGGGAACAAAACCCCAATGCCGTTGTCCCTCAGCGTCCCATCGTGCCATGTATCCCGACGAGTAACGGCAAAAGAGGGGAGCACAAGGAGCTCCAGTTGAGCCTCATCCATGTTGTCTCATCCCCTGCGTTTCCCCGGACTCTGCTCACGCCATCCGCCCCCGGACCAAAGCGGCCGGCCCCATTTTGCAACCCATCTGGCCATTGCGGCTCAAGTGCGGGTCGGCGTGGCCCGGAGCCCTGGCCGTGGCACAGCCGATCACGGTACGACGTGACGATCTCTTTGCCACAGGGCAGTCATAACTCACTGCACTCCGTTGGCTCCCAACACAATTCATGCCGGTTGTCGCATAGTTACTCGCACAGAACGGCATGAACGGGCCAAACAAGATGGTCGAGATAGTTTATCTGACGGAGTTATCTGGAGGCACTCGCATGTTATCGCTCCGAGCCGGAGGATATGAAAATCGGAGGCTTCTCGGAGGCGGCGGGGTACATCCAATAGAGTTTGGTAAAGGTGGGGGTTCTCGAACCGTTGCGACCCGACTCCCGGGAAGGTCCCGACAGCTCAACCCGAGTTGGTTTCGCAATTTTTTGATCAGACGAGGGGCAAGCCGGCTCGAGGCCGGCTATTTTGCTAAACCTCTATTTACGAACCACTATCTTGCCGCGTGTTGGAATTCAAGAAGTCGCGAGATAATGTCTCAGAGGACCCAAAGCCCTGCTTCAAACAACGCAACAGCTTGATTCTGGGAAGGAGTGGCGACATGCAGCTGAGCGCGTGACGTTGGTCTGCCAAGTTTGCAACCTTCTTGACCACCTTCCTCCGCCAAGCGGCCTCGGCGTGCGACCTTGACACGCAGAGAGCTGCAAGATGTTCTCGAGAGCGTGAGATCCAGACGGGTCCATCCCCGTCGCCTCCTGCAACCCCCTGCCCCCTCCCGCCTGTTCAGCCAAAGGCTTGCCGTGTCGTCACTCGCGGTTGAAGCTGTCAAAGCACGCCTTCGGCACTCATTGGCTGGATAAGCCTGCGAGCACCGGTTCCCCAGGCCCGCAAGGCCATTCATGATGCGCGCTCGGGTGGTGTCTGTGTGCTGTGACACCACATTCATTGTCTGCCATGTACTGGCTTGACACGCTCTGGCCAAAAAAAGTCGAACTCGAACGGAAAGCCAGAATCACGGAAGAGGAACAAATAAAAAGAAACCGAGCTAAATAAATCAAATAAAATTAGGGGCCTGAAATAAAAGTAAATGTAGTAAATTTAGTTCCTTCAGACGTCAGAATGGCTTTCGTTTTGTTTCTACGGTCCAGACGCGAGGTTTCCTGTAGTCGACACCTGCACGTCGAGTTCGGCTTTTTTTGTCTATAAGGCGCTGGAGGACTCGGGCAACATCGGACAAGCTCGCAAGGAAGCACCATCCACCGACGTCCCCTCTTTCCCGCTCCACCAAACCGCGGCCGGAGAACAACTCAACCGGAACCCAGCGTGCCGGACAGAAGCCACGACTTCCCACAACAGCAAATCAGGGACGCCGATCATCCTCCGACAGGTACTGGAGTACCGTGTATCTTTTTTGCCCCATCCTCACAAAAACGGGCACTCCCTGGACATTTTCGTCGCGAATCTTCTTGCATCCTCCACCCAACCCAGTGTTACCCCAAACTCTCCTCGGCAATCTTAGCGCCCTCTCTTTCTGCTTTCCATCACCGGGCCTCGACATTCGGTTGCTCCGGTCCACTTGAGTCTGGCCACTTCGTCAGCCACGGCAGATCTCTCGACTGACCACACCAACTGGAACTACACAAAGAACCCCCCTCGCCTCCACTGGAAACCCGATATTATCCGTTCCCTCCTCCCATGAACTTGCTAGTGAGGCGCCCTCAACTTCCGATCCGCACCACACTCGGCATCGGTACCTGAAACGGCTCCGTCTACGGGCCTGATATCTAAACGGACCAACCGGACTTGATCATATACCCAAGACCCCCCACCTTAGCCACACTCGTCACCCATTAGGCTTATAGACATCAACATCACCCGAAACCAATCCCTTCGGCCGTCGCCTCCGAGGGTATTCACGACTTGAAGCTTGCGGTTCACACTCCTAGACAGCACCGTCGTCAACTGTTACGTCCCATAACCTCACCATGATCGAGGTCCTGTATAATGGTCCGGCCTCGATGGAGGGGTCGAGGTCACCCTTCACGAGAGAAGAGCATAGAACGAGCCAAAGCAGTCTTATCAAGGGTGGCAAGCGCGCGCCGCGCCGCTCCCAGACCCAGCACGAGTACTTCCTCCCTCAGTCTCCTGGCTTTACGCTCTACACGATTCCTCAGCCACCCCCCATCCCCGAGGGCAGCAGCCCCCAAACGCCTTCGGAGCCTTCGCAGGAGTCAAGCCAGAAAGCGGCGGAACAGACGCGACCACCGGCACGGCGGCCGCCACTCGGCCCTCCGCGGCGGTCCTACTCGGTAACGGACCAGCAGCCCATTCCCCGGCGCCACCAGCCGACGGTCAGGCTTGCACTGACAGACTTGCCATCCGAACTCCATTTTGTCTTGTTTGACTTCCTCGACCCGATTGACAGCACCTGCCTCGGCCTGACCAACAAGCATTTCTACGCCATCCACCGCCGGCTCCACGGCTCCGTGTCGCTCACCGCCCGCCGGAACGGGCCGAACGAGCTCGAGTGGGCGTGGCATCTCGCGGGTAGCGTGGTCCGGCCAAGTACCTTCGTGGCGGTCGGTAGCAAGGACACGCTATCCAAGCTGCGGGTGCGAGGGCAGGGATATTGCCGCATGTGCGGCGTTACGAAATGCCAGCTTCACAAGCACATTCAGGAATGGATGGGTGAGGAGCGCGAGTACTGCTCAGTTACGCAGAAGTACGGGACCGTGGCGCCCGAGGGTTCCAAGTCATATTGCTATATGAGCAAGCCGGGTGACAAGAGCAGGTGTGGGCGGCATTTTGTGAAGAGGAACACAGTCGAGCTGAGGTGAAGGGGTTCTCTACGGCATGGTGTCGTTCTCTTTTTCTTCGTTTACAGCGTTGGATTTCAAGGTTACGCGTTCGTGATGAGTGACAACCCCGCTGCCCTGGTTATGCTGGAAGGACGTTTTTTGTCAAAGGGTGTGGCAGCTCAAGCCTCGGTTTCAATACACAATCAATTGGATACATGCTAGCAGTATATATTTTTGACGTTCAATTAAAGTCCAATGCACTTGTCTTGCCTCTGAAGTCCCCAGATCAGACGATAGAGAATGGCTGCGGTGCTTCAAGGTTATGACGCAACACTCTCAAAGTGACTTCTCTTTTCGTCGCCTTCCGCGGCCAAGCCGAAAACACACCGCAGGGTGAAAGCCGCATTCTCTGGAGAATGACGTGACCATTGCAGGGGGCCGGGTAAGATCCCTGTAACAACTTGAGCAAGCATTGAGCAAGCATTGAGCAAAAGGAAATTGTTTTGCAGAATTCGGGGCGCGGGTGCCCCTTTCTTGCAACCCTGGCCAGCGACAGCTTATCTCATTCATTAACTGCCTATGCGTTATGTGGAGGCACTGAACGCGACACATCTCGAATTCCTAAATTAACGTGTTCTGGTGGTGTGCTGTCTCACCGAGTCCGGCAGCTCTCGTGTCGAAGTTTTTCTAGCTGCTTGCGGTGGGCCAGCTTCTCTTTAATAAATACCCGCTCCAACCACCAAAACCTCTCCTTGACTTGACCGGACTTAATTTTGATCGTACGTCAGTCAACAAGCGAACGACACCTGTTAGTCCCGCTTTCTCTCCGTGTCACCGGATATCCATCGACTGTTCGCCAGTCAACCGGTTTAAAACTCGAGGCTCCCTGGGGGAGCAGATAACATTGATTGCGCAATCGGCAATCGACAAGCTTGCAAATCTGACACAAACGCGACTACAGGCCACGCTACAACACCCACTCAGCTGCTGGGCGCATCGAACGCGATTTTCGGCCTCCCGGGACGATCAACGGCTTCCATATCCGCTCCGGGTCCACATTACGTGTTATTTAATTCCTCCTCCGCTCTTTCTCTCGGCAGGCCGACGTTCTTGCCAGCCAACAACATGTCATCCCCGGGTTCGGCCGCCCAGGGCGCTGGGAAACGCAAGCGCAACAACACGTCCACAGCTCTCGACATGGAACAGAACCAGACGATTCAAACCGAGTCCCGAGACGCCTCGGGCGAGGAGGGCGACACCACCGCCCCCGAGTCCAGCCGGGCAGCTGCCGGTGCCCACAGAAAGACCGACTCGTCGGCGAGCGCCCACCCGAACAAGCGCCAGCGCTCAAGCTCCGACCAGATGGCCCCCAGCTCGACGGCCGCGAGTGCGGTAAGCCACCACACCCAAACCCGCGACCCGGGAGAGCCGAGCGATACCACCGAGGCCAGCGTCGATATTGCCGAGCGCGTGACGCGCAAGGGGAGCCGGAAGTCTACGTCGAGCAAGGCCGGCGATGCCGGTGCCAATGGGAGCGCCATGGCCAGCAGCAAGACGACCGCCGCGATGCCGCCGCCTCCGATCGGCAAGCTGACCCACCCGCTGGGATACACAACGAACCCGCCCCCCGCCGGCCGGCCTGTGAGGGTCTACGCGGACGGCGTGTTCGACTTGTTTCACCTTGGGTAAGTTGCGCTATAGATAGGGGGGCTTATCCGCCACCTCGTTTACTACCTCCGTCGGGGACGTGAGCTAACGGGAACGACAGGCACATGCGCCAGCTCGAACAAGCAAAGAAGGCGTTCCCCGACGTGTATCTAATAGTGGGCGTCACCGGTGACGAGGAGACCCACAAGCGCAAGGGCCTCACCGTGCTCTCGGGCAAGGAGCGGGCCGAGACGGTACGGCACTGCAAATGGGTGGATGAGGTCATCGAGAACTGCCCCTGGATCGTCACCCCCCGAATTCCTCGAAGAGCACCAGCTCGACTACGTCGCCCACGACGACCTCCCCTACGGCGCCGCCGAAGGCGACGACATCTATGCACCCATCAAGGCCGCAGGCAAATTCCTCGTGACCCAGCGGACCGAAGGCGTGAGCACCACGGGCATCATCACAAAGTACGCAACCCCCCCTCCCCTCCCCTCCTTTCCCTCCCCCCTCCCCTCCCCTCCTTTCCCTCCCCCCTCCCCTCCCCTCCTTTCCCTCCCCCCTCCCCCCACCACCCACACCCTACTAACAACCCCTCCCTCCCCCCCAACCAGAATCGTCCGCGACTACGAAAAGTACATCGCGCGCCAGCTCAAGCGCGGCACCTCGCGCCAAGAGCTCAACATCAGCTGGCTCAAGAAGAACGAGCTGGAGCTCAAGCGCCACGTGCAGGACCTGCGCGACAACATCCGCACCAACTGGACCACCACCGGCCAGGAGCTCAGCCGCGAGCTGCGCCAGTACTGGCCCACCTCGCGCCCGCAGAGCCCCAGCCCCGCCCGCTTCGCCAGCGGCGGCGGCAACGGCGGCGGCAGCACGAATGGTGGGGGGGACCTGCCGCCCAGCAGCCCGCTCGGGCAGGCCGGCTCTGCTGGTGGTGGCAGCGCCTTCCCGTTCCCTAGGAGCCCGCCCACCGGCATGACCACTGCGGGGGAGCGCGCCACGAGCACGTCGAATGATTTTGTTACCGGGTACACGCTGGGCCTGATTGGTGGTGTGCGCTCATGGGTAGGTCCCCTTCCCCCCCCCCCACACCCCTTGTGGTGGTTGTGTTTTGTTGAGGGGGCTGTGCTAATTATGTTGACGTTTAGATGACCAAGAGCCGCCGGGTCGAGCGGGAAGGGGAGAGCCGGCCCGTTAGCGACGACGATTCGGAGGAGAGCGAGGAAAAGATGGGCAGCGAGGGCCGCCGGTCCATGCAGCTACCCGCGACGAGCCAACGGGGCTAGCCATGGGCCTGCTGGGTCGTTGGCTTCGTGGAAGTCGGTTGGTATTCCGTGTCTGGCGGGCGGGCTGTCATCGGCCGCCGTGTTGGCTGGTTTACGCTCCCTTCGTTGCGTTGTTTCGAGGACTCCTCCTGGGTTTTTGAGTTCTGGGGAATGGAAAAGTTGTGGTATAAACAAACACTGCGATGGTCGCTATAAGTCCAGTCGGTATTCCTTAGTGCAGGCTCACGCAACATTATAATGTATCTATAACCGCTCGGGTTTGCTCATGACTTTGATGGCGTTTGTGGCGGTAACGGCGAAATGTGGTTTAGATCAATGTACTCCCCCCCTACTCTAAACATATACACCTTCCCGTTCGGTTTTGGTTGATAATGCTGTTCGTGTGTGTCGCCCTTTTTTTCACTCTCAGCAGTAAGAAGTGTATTGCGTGTTGAGAAGTCGGTGGTGCCCTCCTGGTCATCTTCATTGTTAAGAAAACGCTTAGTTACCTATGCAACAGCTATTATTACATTAGGTTCTTCTAGCTTTATTTTCATATTGTTTCGGAGAGCTGGTAGTGAAGGCGGGCTAGGAGTCAACAGCGCACATCCTCTTATTATAGTCATGAGCTGAGCTTGCGGTTATGGGCGTATCATTAGTTGAACCGGATTACTTCTTCGCCATCATGCCATGCTCATCAACTCCCTGTGCCCCGTGCAGGAACAATTTACCATTAATGCCGAATATCACATGTGGTTTTCCCTCCACCGCGGGACTCAATATCGATATCACGTTGACGAAGTCAATCTTACCGAGGGGGTATGGTGGAATACTTGGGCGCTGCTGGTGCCGACCTCTCTGTGTATCCGTACATACGAAGAAAAAAACACCTCTGTCGCACCAGGACCGACGGAGTCCCGGAATGCAAGCCGGCAGCCTCGTTGGTTTCATGTTTATTTACCAGCCGCGCTCACGGCGGATGCGGTTGTTGCACGACATTCGCCCCGGGCGGGAAGCAGGCCCGACGTTGCTGCAAGCAGTAAAGTTCTTATCTGGCGCCACCGGGCGGGAATCATGGTGATACCAACCAAGAGCTGTTGGTTTCACCCTTGGACCCAGCCGAGCACTTTCCACGGTGCCAGAAACTTAAGTTTGTTTTTTTGTCTGGCGAACAGATGTACTGGTTACCGTATCTCTACTTTAATTGTTCATCTTACTCCGTGATTTCTTCAATGCGTTCGGAATTCAGGGGCTACCACAGGACGGCCGTGTATGGTAGGTGCCGGTGGAAAAGGGGGGAACGGTAGAATAGCAAATGAGGACAGTAGAACTCTTATTGGTCTATAAAGATCTCCTCCTTCGGAAAGCAAACACTTCGCCTTGATGGTTATGCTACACGTGCCTCGAAATTGCGACCGAATTACCTGTGCCCCTATCACGGACAGTATTCGGTTTGCCTCGTAGGGCTGAAGATGGGAGTGTGCCACATCGTGGGGTAGGCCCAACCCGCATACTTCCCGGGCCCGGGCTGCTGTCGAACTGGAGATCCGGCTGGGTTGGCACGAACTGCAGCAGAAGAGCGAATGGATGGGCCTACCCCCTTGCTCTGTCGGCCCCTTGCATGCGGCGGCCGTTGAAACGGCTAGGGGAGCATTGGGCGTCCACGTTTCCTGGAGACAGCGGCGGGTGCTCGCCTGTTGCTCCGTTGAGCAGCTGAACTTGTTGACACAACAACGGCGCGCCGCCACATCATGGGGTCATGGGGTTTGTCTGCGGATCAAGTGAACAGGTCCCTGAGGGAGGCCATATCTCCTGGTTTCGAATCCTGCGGTGACAGGCCCGGGCCAATGACAGTGGGACATAGCTTTCAAAGGCGGTGATATCTTGGGAAGCTGAGTGAAAAGGGCCGGTGATGAACTCGTTGACCCAGCATGAAACGGTTTCAGAATTGGGTGCGCAGCCGGGAGATGGAAGCATGTCTGAGGCACACACAGTCGACAATCAACTCTTTTCCATCAGCCCAGCCCATTCGAACACTCCCCGAAAGGGTCGTCGTTGTTGGGTTGCTTGTAACTAGTCATCGCTTGTATCGCTTGTGTTACGCGAGCAAGGCAGGGCGGTGGCTGTGTTGAGATGCCGCTGCAGTCTTTGAACCAACAGCCCGTGCTAAGCTGTGTTAGTGGTGCAGCCTCATCGGTCCGTTTCTTTTTCTGCTGGGCTGTGCCATTGCAACGGAAACATCTTGGGCTTTGATGCAACGGCCAGCCGAATTTAGTTTTTGCGGTGAGAGACAACTGATTTTTGCTTGCGGAGAGGGACGTCGTAACAGAGAATAAAAAAAAAAAAAGACAGCCGAAAGAAACAACCGCAACACCTGTGAACGCCAGAAGGCAAGCACGTCCCAGGGCGCCTGGGCGGGGTGGCGCACAGTTGGGTATTTTGCGGGTCGGGCAACTCGCCTCGCTGCCGGGGCCGTGTGTTCTGGCGTGTCTGGGAGCTGGTTGGTTCTCCACGGCCCACAGGAACGTTGCCGTGTCGGGGTTCCGTTGAAGGTGCCCCTTCTCTCAATGCGCTGCCATGACGGCGACTGTTCGACATGGAAGGCAATGTCTCGATACGCCAACAATCGATGATTTCCACACTGTCGTTCGCTGAGAGGCTTGGCCTATAAATAGCGCTTACTTTGGCATAGTACTATGTGACTAACTACATACATCGGACGAAGCGTGGGGAACCTGGCCAGTTCGATCTACGCTGCACTGGCTGCTATGGATGTGTGCTGCGGCTCAGCTTTTCAACATGGAATACCACACCGGAATTTCGTGAATGTGTATGTTATACAAGTCCAACCATCAATGTTGTATCGCAGTATGGTTGTGTGGTAAGTTTTGAAGCACCGTGCAAGTTCAGGGCTGGAAGTGGTTCAGTGCCCGGGGTCGCGCGGGGGCCCTCCGCCCTTGTTCCGCGGTGTTGAGCCAGGATCAGGGAGTTCGGACAGTGTTCCTTCAACGACGCTAGCTTTGCCTGGCATAGTGTTACCGGTTCGCGCCGTGGGCTCTCCGCAACCCCCACCACGAACTTCCATTCCAGTTGAATTTCATGGCCCGTGCTTCCATGTCGATGTGCGCAGCGACTTCCTGGCCAACCACCCAACCTCACCCAAAATATTCTTGAACGGCGACTCGATTTGTCCACACGAATACAACCTATGATGCGGTATTCATTTGCCGGATGACACAATCATGTCAGCGCTACGGGCCAGGAACCTCCGACCTCGACAAAAGGGACTTTATGGGGTGACATTATTTCGATGCTCACTCACTCGCTGACCGGCAGTGGTCTCCCGAGAGAGGCCACTAGTGGGCTTTGCAGAGCAATTCATTATGTATGGATATGCAGGACGGATGACATCCACCCACACGCGTTTGCCGTGGCACAAATTTGCTCCTTGCTTGCCGCCCGTTGTTGCACAAACCGTCTCGTTTGGGAACCCCGGTCTTCCTCAGCCCAGAATTAGGCGCCGTTCCAGAACCACCTGAGACAAGCGCGCGACAGGGGCGAACACCTGCACCATCTGCAGGTCCGGGTGGCCTGCCCTACCCACTAACAGGTCGAGTGCGCCTCCCCCTCGCCGACTGCACTTCGCCACGGACCAGTACCGGCTGTTCGTCCACCCATACCACCCCCCCTTCGGCGCAAGATCGGACGAATCGGTCATCGAGTCGAGGGCGAAGCGCCTGTCTTCCCGCATTCGTGGTGTGCCCCGTCTTCTCGAAGATGCCCGGCGAAGAAAAAAGCATGGCTCGGGAAGCTGCAAAGAACATTACGCTACCGGGCCGGTCCAGGAAGAGGGCGGCACCACCGTCAAGCCGGGACTGTCGATGGTAGCTCGATCGCTTCATGCATGCATGGTTCAATGACCCGCCAACATGACAGACACCCTTTGTTTGCACTCTTGGCTCACTAACTAGCGTGAAGGGTCCAGCGCTTATTTTCGCTTGTCGTTCGATTGCCGCAGGTCACGGGCAAACCGGCAACTTCTTCCTCCCCCAGGTCAAACCCTGAAGGGCCTGAGCTTATTCGACATACCTTATCCGTCAATGGTCAATGCGCTTGGCTTGGGCCATCAAATGCAAATCAATCATTGGTTTGCTGTCTCACGCGACTTGCACGATATCACAACCCCAACTCGATCGAGCGAAATATGACCGATCTCAACAATGGTAATCTGTAGTTATTCCGTACAGATGCAGAATCATTCGCTCTGTCTTCTCTCCGTGACACACTCCTTAACGACGACCGCGATAGACCTCGAAACTTCATCGCACGTATCCACCACGCGTCACTCGATTTATCGCGTCGCCGAGAAAAAAAAAGACGCCTCCAGAAAAGCCTCTCAGACCCACGAAAATAGGATCTCACTGGCATGCGGCGCAGCATGTAACTGCCCAATGAGAAATCAGGCTGGCCTCCGCCCCCTGCACATCAACGTTTTCCCCTCGACCCACCTCCCGTCCCCTGTCCAGCAACCGGGCCTCTGTGCCGCGGTGGAGAAACAGTCGCCGAACGGTCCCGAGCGCACAACTCGCAAGCTCGCAAGCTCTCCACCTTCTTCGCCGGATCGATCGCCGAAGACGACCCATGGTCCCATGGTCCTCACGCCTCCCCCGTCGTGGTCGCACACCACTTCAGACTTGTCCACACACGACACAGCAACTCCTGCTCACCTCCTGTGGCGAGAGTGTGCGCCCCTCGCGCTTCAAGAACCACACTCGGTGACTGCCGCTGCCACATTCCCAGTTGGGCCGGCCAGTTGGGCGGCTACGCAGTCATCTCGCTTCGTTGTAACCCTCCTTGTTGGAGTTGGCCGGCATTCCTGTGAAGGACACTGGTGGGCACTTCCGCGCCAAGTATCTTTTGTTAATATTCTTCCCGGGCTCTCGTCTGCCCCGTAGCACGGTCTCTAGGGTATTTTACATACGCTGGGAACCGGCCGGGCGAGCAAGTTACTGTGTAGCGTCTGGGATGTGTTGATGTGGTCAGGGTGCGTCGACCGGTGTCGTGTAACCTTTCATGCACGAGGACGGCTCCCATTCTCACCTGGCAGAGAAGTGACTTTTGGTAGCAGGATCTCACACACCCCGGCGGTCCCCTCAGCAGTCATGCCATGCCTTTGGGCCATGAAGATTTTCTTCGCAGTGGTCAGTGGAGAGAGGGGAAAACCGAACTCCGCGGCCTAAACAGAGTCTTCCCCCGACGCAGAGCAATGGCTCGACTTGGCGCCAAGGAGCTGCGTTGGTACAGCCCATGGAGCGTTGAGAACCCGGGCTTGCTCTCTGAGGAGGACGCTATTCAAGCATGGCCGAAGCTTCTCGGTCCGGGCCCAAATCTCTCCATGAACAACATGTCAGTTGCGAGCAGCGCTTTGATGACGCACCGAATGTGGCGCCGTCTTGCCCGGAGCGCGATGATCGATAGACAATCGCGGCTCACGTTGGTTGCCTGGTGTATGTATCGCGGCAAAAAAGATGCCGAATCAGCTCTACACGTGTTGCACAGAAATCGAGGGCAGCGTGGGAATCCGTACAGAGTCAGGGACTCGAAGACCGTGGCTCTTCCTGACAAAGCTCTTCCCCAATCATCTGCACTTGGTTCCACCGTCACAACCCCCCTTGTCAACCACCACCACCCCTCCCATGACCCCTGTACGCATAGGGGAGAGAAGGGAGGGGTGGATGGCGGGCGGGAGCAACAGCCCGCCCAAGGACTAAGCCTCCTGCACAGGTCGCCAAGACTGTACATTGGATCTCCCCCATCCCATCCCATCTCGCTGCGCGACTTGTCCAACAGCGTGTTTGGGCGCGGTGGGCCGTCTGAATATAGCAGCGCCGCAGACGTGCCGCGCTGTTGTCTCCCTGATGCTTCCAGTGTCATTGTCAACCGGCATGGAATCGAGCAGTCCCTTGGGGCCGGCACTGTGACCGTCTTTCTGCTCCATCCCCCTGTTCCCCTCCGCCGGCTGAGGCTTGTTTCCTGCTTCCCCAACTCCCAGCCCTACGTTGTCACTCTCGACTCACTTGTACCGTTGCTCGCCCTTCCCTTTGCCCTGCACCTGCTGCTGCAGCCGCGCGTGTATTGCGTGTACCGTACCGCCCACACTTGGTGGTCCCCCTCTAGCGTCATTGTTCCCATCTCGACTGCTACCTCTCCATTCGTTTCACCAGTCCAACAGGGCTGTGTACTCCCAACTTGGCGTCTGACTTCCATTTTGAGGGTCCGCCTGTCTCCCATCATGGCTAGCCTCAGCTTTATAATGGATGTCAACGACGACCCCCCTCCTGGCACCCGGTCCCCCCTCAATAAAAGGGTCAGGGGCGCAAACAACTTGACCAGTGCCGGCCCGCTCCAAGAGACACCCCCCAGCCCAGAAGCAGGACCAAGACATGTCAGTGATCCCGGCCCGGCCACCACCGAGCAGGATATCAACCAGGCCGCCCCCGTTGGCCCGAGCAAACGGCGCGGTACTTCGTCACGAGGTCCTGGTCCCGCCACAGCAAGAGCGCAGGTAGAAATAGGATCCGGGACCAGAGCCATCATCACCGCCTCGCCTTCGATCCCGTCTTCACCGCCTCTGTCGGGGCCTGCAACCCGCAAGTCGATACGCCGACGGAGCACCACTAGCAGCGACTCGATGGACCGGTCACGATATGGCTCAGCCGCCTCGCCGTCGTCCATGGCCGGGGGGCCGCAAAGGCCCATGCCTCTCCATCCCGTCACGGCTCAGTACACGCCCAAAATCACACCTAAGACGGGGCGGGTCAGCAAGGCAAAGAAAGGCCTGCCGGTTCATGTCTGCGACATCTGTCGACCTCCCAAGGTGAGAGGAGAGAGAAGCCGTTCACTCATCGGCCCCCAGCCGTATCCTGATTGGCGCCTGTGTTCTAACAATCCCGTGACAGACGTTCACACGAGCCGAGCATCTTAGGTGAGAATCCCAGCTTCCACTCACCGTCCCGGACTTCCACGCTAACCAGGACTGATGTTTTTAGGCGACATCAACTAGGCCACGGTGAACCGCAATTCCAGTGCCCCGGTTGCGAGAGGGCGTTCCACCGGGCCGATCTGCTGGCACGGCATCAACAGAAGCAGTGCGTGTGCCGTGACTCCTATATGCGCCGATCTGTGCTGACGAACGGCCACAGCGAGCATGAGGGTGACGACGCGTCTAAGGTGGGATCACCGCAGAACAGTCCGCGCCCATCATCAGCAGGGCTCTCCTATCAACCTCAGCGCTCTCCACCAACGCCCGTCCGTGGGCCGATTGCCTCTCCTACGGCCACTGAGATTTCACGCACGCCCAGTATCGCCGTTGGGAACCAGCCCGAATTCTCACATGGTCAAGGTTTCCGCGCCGCCTACCCATTCCCCCCAACCATCTCCATCGTCAACCCGGAGCAGCCGTCCTCGCTTTCGGGCCCCTACGACAACCTGGGTAGTTACCAGCCTAGGGCCGGTCAGCCGCCATCCATCTGCGTGGTCACCGACGGCCCCGGATTCCAGTCCGAGTTACCGGGGTTGCCTGACGCCTCGCCACTGCCCTCATCCGCCTCGGACAGCACCACTTATTCAACGCCGGTGTCAGACGGTTCTGGGAACCCACGTTCCTGGGCGCGTGGACACCGGTCGCCGTATCCTAGCGTGACCCCGCGCGGTCTTCCAAGCTCTGGGCCGGGGATGGAGACAAGCCCATCCTTTGCCGATCCTTCGTTCATCAACTCATACTCGGACCATCATCGCCAAGCCACGGATCCTACCTTTGACGGGACGCTCAGCGTACCATCAAACTTGGGATACGGCGCAGCCAGCGCGGGACACCACAATCCTCCCTTGAGCGCCACTTCCAACGGCACTATCCGGGCGCACCATCACAGCAACTCTCTTTCGTCCCTCCGCGGCCGGACACCACCTCTAGATACGTCGTCTCACGGGCCTTCTGGGACTCTCTTCGCGTCCGCTTCTCATCTCCCCGGCCACCTCGACTCGGCGGTGGACTTCGATCGTCGGAAGGGGGTCATGATGGACCATATGGCTATGGATGTACTCGGAGGGCTAGGTGTCGGGTACGCTGCCACAAGCCCGGGAGCCGACAACGCTAGCCATAGTAGCGACATGGTTCCGGAGCTCGACCTGGCTTTCATAGGTGGCTGTGCTTTGCCGGGGCCGCCCTCCATTACCATTCCGTTGCCGGGCCCGGTCCGCGCCGCCATCCCCCGCTACCTCGAGGTCTACTGGTCCCACGTCGACCCGATCCTGCCCTTCATCCACTACCAGACATTCGATGCAGCCTCGGAGGATGTGCTAAAGTGCGCCATGGCCGCCGTGGCCACACAGCACCTCGACAGCAGAGAGGATCGCACTCGGGGAAACCAGCTCCATGAGTTTGCATGGCAGGAAGTGAAGCGGGTGAGTGGCGGACCCCTGAGGAGATAGACCCTCCTATCCCCGGCAATCCAATATCACGCTGACGTACCATCCTCACCACGACAAACAGGTGCCCCAATGGAGCCTCCAAACGATGCAGGCCATCCTCCTCTGCGAGTATTTCGCGCGCTTCCGGGGCCGCAAAGCCGTCACACGACCTTCGAAGCCGTTCGAGTCTTTGTATTCGAGGGTGAGTGCTCTACGGTCCTTTAGTATGCCGCCGTCCTCTGCCCTTGCCGAGGACAACGGTCTCTGGCTCGTCGACACCACGGCTTGGTCCCCTGCCTCTTCCCCCGCGTCTTCCAATTCTTCCCTTTGTGATGCCGCGACGCCGACCTCCAGCACCATGTCCCCTTTCGCTCTGCGGCATTTGAGTCCGCTGCAGACCGCCCCCTGGGGCAGTTTCCCATCTTCCCGGGTTCGGTCGTCGGCTTCTTCTCCTTTTGGAAACACTTCTTTTGCTTCTTCAGATCCGTCTTTGGCTTTCGGTCTGCCCCGTTCTATGGGGAGTAATCTTAATCCTAATCTTCCTCCTTCTTCACCGTCTTCTTCTCCTTATTCTCGCTCTCGAGCACAGCCGTCATGGTCCTCTCTCTTTGCTCCCGATCGCCATAGCCCGGTGTCGGCCACGGCGCCTTCTCTTCCACTCGCGGCTCCCGTTCCTCAGGCTCCCGGACAGGCATACTCACACCGTGTTTTAAACCAACAGGTCCTGTCTCAGAACGCGGCCCTCCTGGACCATACCCTGCTCGCCATCGAGCAACAGCGCCTTTCCTCCCTCCAAGACCGGTGGCGCAGCTGGATCGACACCGAGTCGCGCCGTCGCCTCCTCGCCACGTGCCTCTTCGTCGACGGCCACGCCGCCATTTACCAGCAACAGCGGCGCTCGCAGGACTGTGAGGTCGGCGGCGTGATGCAGCCGGTTCCCCTTTTCGGCCGCACCACCAAGCCGTGGGAGTCCACCTCGGCAGACGACTGGGCCAACACCCTCGCGGCAGACCCGGGCGCGCTCCAGCCCGAGCACGTCCCCCCTCTCGAGCACCTCACGCGCGAAGACATAACGAGCCACACCCCCACCGACCGCATCATCATCCTCAGCGTCCTCGCCCAGCGCCTGCCACGCCGCCAGCGACCACCCCCAACGGCCTCCATCTCGGCCAACAACTCCCCGGCACCCGAGCTCGACCCGCACTCCCACCACTTCAGCAACCAATTCAACCCCGACACCCACCACCAAAACCAACAACACCAACACCTCCACCAACCCCCCCACCATCAACACCAACACCATTACCACGCCAACCACTACGGTCCCAACCCCGACATCACCAACACCACCACAACCACCACAACCACCACAACCACAACAACCTCCCCCCCCTCTACCTCAACCCACCCCCTCGACGCCGAAAAGCTCATCAACACCCTCTTCCCCACCTGCCCCACCGCCAACAGCTACCTGGCCCTGCACCACACGCCGCTGCGCGACCTGCTCGCCGTGGGCGGCGACTCGTGGGTCTTCTCGCAGAAGGTGCTGCCCGCGACGTCGTTCCACGAGCACCAGAAGCGGCTGCGCTTGTGGGTTACGGTTAACCCGCCGTTTTGTGTGGCGGCGGGTGGTGGTGCGAATGGGGGGGTTGGTGGTGGTGGTGGTGGTGGTGGTTCGGGGGGTGGGGCGTTGGCCGGGTTGAGTGTGTTGAGGGCGACGGTGTATGCGGCGAGGGCGATTCTGGCGTTTCTGGATCGTGCTCCCGCGGTTGATGGGGATGGTGGCGGCGGTGGTGGTGCGTCGTGGTCGGCGGATATGTCGGACTATTGGGCGTTGTATGTGTGCGCGCTGATCTGTTGGGCGTTTGTGCACCCTGCTCGCGGTGGCGGCGGTGGTGCGGCGGACGGTCAGGGCCAGGGCGGTAATGGTGCTGCTGCCGGTGGTGCTGGTGCTGGTGGTAGGGGCCGCAGCGCGAGCGGTGCCCCTGGTGGTGGGAGTGGGGGGAGCAGTCCCGCGCTCACGCCGAACGGTGTCGCTGCCGTGGCCTCGGACGAGGAGGCCGTTGGATGGCTGCGGCTGGTGGCGGCCGAGGGAGTCAGGCTGGAGGATGTGGTGCGGGTACGCGGACGGCGCGAGGCGTCCGGGGTAGTGGGCTTGGTGAGGAAGAGATTGGAGAGCGATTGTGTCGGCGGGAGGAGCAGGCTGTATGTGGATGCTGTGGGGGTGCTGAGAAAGCTGGAGGAGGGGCTTGGGTGGAAGTGGTTCTGAAAAGGCCACCGTCCCATTCACCCATCCTATCCTCGAGTACTCGGGACCTTCGCCGCCACCTACTACAACCAACCTCCTTCGCCATCTTTCTCCTCGGCGCGCTCACCGGCGACCACAGCACGCCTAACACGCTCATACCGGACGCAGCGGCAGCTACGAGATCACGCAATCCCTCCCAGTTTCGGCTTCGGCTTTCCCCTCTTCAGGGCTCATGATTTTCACTCCTTACCAACAATTTCAACCATCCCTGGATTTAATGGATAAGCATAGTATACAGGACGACGTGGCTTTTTTTTCTTTCCTGTTATTTTTTACCTAGTAGGGCATTTTGGGTTGGGTCACGGTCAAGATACCTCGGGAAGGAAAAGGGCGGTTGTTTGGTTGAGTCCAGTCCTTTCCACATTTTTCCTTTTTTTTCTTTTCTTTTTGGGCGACGACTGTTTTACGCCGTCTTCATTTTGGCTGTATTGTACTTGTACCATTTGTTTGTTTTGAGTTCTGTTTTGCGCATGTACTTTTATGTAAAGCAAGGAGGGAGGGGGCGATGTCATGAGACAAGATAATTTAATGATAGATGAGACGGGATGGTTGCTGGGAGAGATTGAATAGGAAAGCGCGGATGGAAACAATATACCGGGGCGCTCTTCATCCAATATCAATGCCATCGGTGCTCAAACGTGGTGCTCAAACGTGGTGACCAGCGAGTGCGACATGGCCAAGCATGTCCTACTTTCATTCTGTGTCTAAAAGCCGTTACTTTTCCTCTCTACCTGCCCTATGTGGTATCCCAAGCGCCATGTGTTAAACACGCACCCCGTTTCTGAGTTGAACAAAATGATGCCCGAAGCTGCCCCGGGCCAAGCAGAACGCCGATAATTGAAAATATTAATGAGGTAGGAGTGTATTTGGCTACTTGCTTTTAGAACAAGCCGTCGATCTCACCCGTTTCGACATCAACGTCGACGTTGAGGTAGCCGGGGGCAGTGGGCAGGCCGGGGATGGTCTGAATGTCGGCAGCCAGAGCGTAGAGGTAACCGGCACCGGCAGCCATGCGCACGTCCCGGATAGGTACCGTGAAGCCAGCCGGGGCGCCCTTGAGCTCTGGGTCGTGGCTGATTGAGTACTGCGTCTTAGCGATGCAAATTGGCAAATTGCCGAAGCCCTGGCGCGTGTAGGTATCAACCTTCTTCTGCGCGAGCTCACTGAACTCGACTGTGTCGGCGCCGTACATGTCCCGAGCGATCTTCTCAATGCGCTCCTGCACGGTGCCTTCAAGGCTATAGAGAAGCTTGAAATCCTTGGGCATCTCGGCAGCAGTGACGACGGCGTTGGCAAGATCAACAGCGCCCTTCCCACCCTCAGCCCAGTGATTAGCCAAGACTGCATCTACTGCGCCAGCCTTGATAGCCTCGTCACGGACGACGTCAATCTCAGCCTGCGTGTCTGTAGAAAACTTGTTGATGGCGACCAAGACCGGCACACCGTATGACCTGGCGTTGGAAACATGCTTCGCCAGATTGACGCAGCCCTTGCGCAGGATTTCGACGTTCTCCTCTCGGTATACGGCGTCGAGCGGAGCACCGGGCGAGATGGGCGGACCGCCGCCGTGGACCTTGAGGGCGCGGACGGTGGCAACCACGATTACCACGTCCGGGATGAGACCCGAAGTACGGCACTTGATGTTGAAGAAGCGCTCGCCACCCATGGTAAAGTCGAAACCAGCCTCGGTGACAACAAAACCAGCCTTGGCCGCGTGGTCCTCATCGGGCTCCGTGCCCGTAAGCTTCAAGGCCATCTTGTCAGCTAGGATGGAGCTGTTACCAATGCTGATGTTGGCGAAGGGGCCCGCGTGCACGAAAACGGGAGTCCCCTCCAGGCTCTGCATGAGGTTCGGCTTGATGGCGTCCCTCATCAGGGCCGTGAGCGCGCCACCAGCACCGATGTCATCGCAGGTAACAGGATCACCGCTCCTAGAACTGGCAACGACCATCCTGCCGAGACGCTCCCGCATGTCGCCTAGGCTGGTGCTCAAAGCCAGAATGGCCATGCACTCGCTGGCCACGGAGATGTCGAAACCCGTCTGGCGGCTGTGTCCCTTTTCAGTCGGCGCGTTTCCTACCACAATGCCGCGCAGGTGGCGGTCGTTGACGTCGAGGACACGGCGCCAAGTGATGGTCTCGGGGTCAATGTCTAGACGAGCAAAGCGAGTGATCTCGTCTGCGGTCAGCGAATCGGGGTCCGTTTTGTCGATACCCAGCTTTTGCAGGCGGCGAAGCATAACAGGGGCAAAGGCTCGCTTGCCACCCTTGGCAGGGACCAGCCGCCTGTAGAGAGCGGCGTCCTTCTGGGTGCTCTCGTGGAACATGCGGGTGTCGATGGCCGCGGCGAGCAAGTTGTTTGCAGCAGTGATGGCGTGAATGTCGCCAGTTAGGTGCAGATTGAACTCATCCATGGGGATGACTTGACTGTATCCACCGCCAGCGGCGCCACCCTTGATCCCGAACGTCGGGCCCTGGCTGGGCTGCCGCACGTTGGCAAATGTGACGCGGCCGACATGCGCGCCCAACGCCTGGGCAAGACCCATTGTTGTCGTCGACTTACCCTCGCCCAGAGGTGTAGGAGTAATTCCTGTGACAACGACATAGCGGCCATTCCGACGGTGGTCGAGGCGCTTCAGCAGATCTAGATCGACCTTGGCCTTGTATGCGCCATATGGTTCTAACTCCGAGCCCGTGATACCGATCTCCTTGGCAATTTGGGTGACGGGCTTAGGCGCCTGCGCCCGGGAAATGGCTATGTCGGAGGGGACGGGGTCAAGGAGCTTGAGGTGCAGGGGCACGATGTGCCTCTGTTTCTCTACTTCGAACGACCGTGTCGCAGCATCGACCACGTTCTGAAGAAGCATGGCGACGGTCATGGGGCCGACGCCTCCGGGGACCGGGGTGATATGGGAAGCAACCTGGGAGGCCGACTCGAAGTCGACGTCGCCCGCCAGACGCTGGCCCGACTTTTTGGTGGCATCGGGAATGTAGTTGGTCCCCACGTCAATGACGACGACCCCGGGCTTGAGCTGCTCGCCCCTGACGAAGCCGGGCTGCCCAATGGCAACAACGAGCACATCGGCATTCTTGAGGTACTGGTCCAGATCCTTGGTTTTGGAATGGCAGACTGTAACCGTGGCGTCGGCATTCTTCAGGAGATAACTGACGGGGCTGCCGACGATATCGCTCCTGCCCAGAACCACGGCGTTCTTGCCAGCCAACTCAACGCCCGCTTCCTGGAGAAGCACCATGACGCCCTTGGGAGTGCAAGGGATGAAGAAGGGGCGGCCCCCACGCTTGGCTAGTTCGCCGATGTTGTGGGTGCCGAAGCCATCGACATCCTTCTCGCCAGCCACGGCCGAGGTGACATTGTACTCGGAAACATGTTTTGGGAGGGGCAATTGCACTAGGATGCCGTGCACTGCCGGGTCGTTGTTGAGGACGACAACACGGGAGATGAGCTCGGCCTCGGTGGCGGACTCGTCGAACTTGATCAGCTCGCAAGCAATGCCGCACTGGAGGAGACAATGTCAGAATACCATGCATGTAAGTGATGGGTGTTAGCCGTGTGTGGCTAGCAGCGTACCTCTTCGGCGGCCTTCAACTTCATGCGCACATAGGTCGCTACCGGGCATTCGACGTCAGTACCTGATTTCCCCCATGCCCTTAGGCGCATGTGCTCTGGCGGGGTAAAAGAGGTGGGGGATTTCGTCGTGGGAGCTTACATGAATCGGACCGGTCACCGACTGCAGCGTTTGGTGGTTAGTTTAGTCACAAATATTGGATCATATTAGGGCCCTGCCTTGAGCCTGTGGCGGGATGCAACGCACCTTGGATGATCTTGAGGCACGGCTGGAACCGCGGGTTGACACTCTTCTTCTCTGCGATCTCGGCGTGCAAACGCTCGCGAACTCCCCGGGCAACCGCCGTTCCGTCGATTTTCGTCGCGGCCATGACTGCTGCCGAACTGGAGAAGGTCCTGAGAACAGTTGTGGGCAGGATGTGGTGGGAACGCAAAAGAGCGTTGGTGTGACTCCTCGAGCGCTTGGTGTTGTTCCCAAGTATTGGGCCCGAGACTGATGGAGCCCAGCGAACTGATGTGGGACAGCGCGGGGCAGCGGGGCTTACGGCAGCCGAGGGAGACCACCGAAAGTCGGCTGCCCGATTGTTGACTTCCCCTGAGTCACATGTCGCTGCTGTCGTAGTTGTGGCACTGCGAGCGGCGCGCAACGAGCACTTTTCCAGCCGGAGGGTCGACAATTTCCTGCCATTGGGAATTCCAGGATGCCTCGATTGGGATTGATTTGTCGTCGGTGGGCGATGTGATAGCCTGGCTGTCGGCGCAAGTCTCCGGGCCGGAATCCTCTGAATGAGGCGTGAGAGAGTCATGGCACTTGTGACTCTGCCGCTCCTGCTGCTCCTTCGACCGTCCGGTGACTCGTCTCTTCGGCCGGCAACGCCCTTCTCGAGAGCCAATTGGTTCTTAAACACGGACAGGAAGCCGTACAAGACACTGGGCTTACTGGATCCCTGAGGATTAAAAAGAGTCGGGAGGTGGAGAGAATTCGGCTGAGTCACGGCCGCGCCGAAGGTCTTGCCTTTGCCTGTTCGTCGAACCGGGGGCGGGAATCATGAAAGAGAAGAAGCTACGGTTGACAAGAACGGCGCGAGAAGAGACGAAAGGACTCTAATAAAACAGAAGACCGACCCATACCGGCGGATACCTACGTTGCGTCCTTGGTTCGGGGTGCGCTTGAAATCAATGTGTGTTTGAGTCTGTCGCCCGGGACTAAAAGAAAGTCCCTACCTTTACCCGCAGTTGACAACTTGAACTTGACACGAGACCCGAACGGTGCTGGTCTTCCGCGGCGGGAACGGAAAGGTGTCCGTTTCCACTCTTAAGAGCGTTGCAGCGGGCGCCGGCCAAGCTATTCACACAAAGTTACGTGCTGTGTACAGAGGGATGATGTTGGCCGATATTCTGAAATATCCGCCGTCGCTTATCTCATCTGTGGAATGGTTTTCTCTCGACCGGTCAGAGGTCTGGGTGACTCACCTGAAAACAGAAGGCGGTCAAGGACCCTTGCACAGGCTCCCACGCACCAACAATGACTCCGCAGCGTCGCTGAGCATTTGAGTGGGGCAGAATCGCCCCGCGGTGGCCGGGGGGTGGCCTATCGGCGCCGCGCACAATCTGCGGAAAAATTACTGGGCGCCCAAATCAATCCGGCGAAAGAAGCCAACGCCCTGAAAGAAACGCCCCGCAATAGCTCGCAAAAGACGACCCGGCGCCGATTATAACTACACTTCCCTGCGGCAGACAACGAAATTCTTCTCGAACGAAAACAAGACCATCTTGACCGACCTTCAGTACCGCGAACATGAGGCCTATCTTGTTGGCGGGCCACGAACGTGCCCTGACCCAGATCAGGTTGGTCGCCTTTGCCGTTGGAGGGGAAACACTGGGCTTCGGATCTGACCTGCTCGCGTTTTTGTAGATACAACCCCGACGGCGACCTTATCTTCTCAGTCTCGAAGGATCAACAAATTTGCGTGTGGTTCGCGCACAACGGCGAGCGGCTCGGGACGTATCGCGGCCACCAGGGTGCCATCTGGACCATCGATGTCGACCCCACATCCACCATCCTCGCTTCAGGGTCTGCCGACAACACAATCCGCCTTTGGGACATCAAGACGGGCAAGTGCCTAAAGACATGGGACTTCCCAACGGCCGTCAAGCGGGTTGAGTTCAGCGAGGATGGCACCAAGCTGCTGGGCGTAACAGAAAAGCGCATGGGGCACCTGGGCACGATTGTGGTGCTGGACATCGAGATCGACGTGGAGGCGGAGCAGAGCGATGAGAAGGTCCTGACCATCGTGTGCGACGAGAGCAAGGCCACGGTCGCGGGGTGGAGCTACCTGAGCAAGTACATCATCGCTGGCCACGAGGACGGCTCCGTTTCCCAATACGACGGCAAGACGGGTGACCTGCTGTACAACATCCCTATCCACGAGCTGAACCAGCCCATCACGGATCTGCAGTGGTCCCAGGACAGGACTTACTTCATCACTGCGTCAAAAGACAAGACTGCCAAGGTATGCCTGGCAATATTTTGAGAGGGTCATCCTGGACAGATACTGACTAGCAATCACAGCTCATCTCCGCCAAGGACCTCGAAGTGCTCAAGAACTACACCGCCGACACACCCCTCAACAGCGCCGTCATCACGCCGAAGAAGGAATTCGTCATCCTCGGCGGTGGCCAGGCCGCCATGGACGTCACGACCACGGCCGCCCGGCAGGGCAAGTTCGAGGCCCGCTTCTACCACAAGATCTTCGAGGACGAGATCGGGCGCGTGCGCGGCCACTTCGGCCCGCTCAACACGGTCGCCGCCGACCCGACGGGCAAGGGCTACGCCAGCGGCGGAGAGGACGGCTACGTGCGCGTGCACGCCTTCGACAAGGGGTACTACGACTTCATGTACGAGGTCGAGAGGGAGAGGCAGAACAGGCTGGCGGCGGCGGCCAATGCTTGAGGTTTCTGGTGGGGCTGGAGGGCGGTGGTTCGGCATTTACAAATGGCGTTCAGGGACACGAACTTAGGGCGGCGGATCGAGGTGGAAGGAGAAGGGATACACCCTTTCTTTGACTTTGGAAGAAAAAGTTGGTTCTTCGCCCAGGTAGTGTGGTTTGCTAGTGTAGCTCGGTCCTGCGCGCCTCCTCAGATGGGATGCGGATACCCTACATTGGCCTGTCTTTTCAGCTGTCCCGGTCCCTGTTCTTGCCCCGTCGTTGAAGTTGGAGACGCACTTGCTAGAGCTTGAACCAACGCCTCCCACACGGGAGAAGCGAGAGGCATATTCAGTGCTACATAATGCTGTGTTTTATTATCGGAAAACTGCGGGTTTTTTATCTTGCTCTAGCGAGCTGTCTGTTGGTCGACTCTCCATCATAAAAGCAAAGCACCGAAACGCCGCCCCCTTCCCACTCTAGCCACCGAATCACCCGACATGCCAAACGAATGTGCCGCCAGAGAAGAAAAAGTACAACTAGCCAGGACAGGGACATAACCCGCCCAACATGCCAAATCATCGACGGCCCCTCTCTATTCCCAAATTCCCACATTCCATCCACCCCTGCCACCGTCTTCTCCTCACACTTATTTCTTCTTGCCCTTCGACTTGGCCTTTGAGCCACCGGCGTTCGAGGCTGTAGACCCAACGCTTGATGCCCGCGAGGGGGATGTCGAGTTGGCCTTGCTGCCCGCTGTCGACTTCACATTGTCAAGAGCCTTATTCTGTACCAGTGTTAGTTCAAATCAAGTGTCGTTCGTACGAGGGCCGGCCATGCTCACCTTGACACCATTCGCCTTCGTCTTCTTCTTGGCCGGGGCCAAGCCGAGGATGCTATCCTCGTCATTCTCGTCGTCATCCAGCTCCCGCTTGAACTTCCCGTTCGCGCCATTCGCCTTGGTCGTGTTGACATCCTCAAACTCCTTAACAACGGTTGTGAGGAGCGTGTTGCAACGACGGCCGAGCTCAGTCGGCGTCCGGCTCAGGAAGAACCAATCGAACCGGAAGAGCGGGCTCTCCCGAATCTCATCCCGAATCCTCTCATAGATTCCCTCCGAATCTACGCCGTACTTGTCCAAAAGCACGAGCAAGAACCGGTCTTCCTCCTCTGTGTACACTTTCTTGTTGGTGGTCGAAACAGAATAGCTGATCTTGAGCTGCTGCAGCGGCACACGGTACTGGCTCATCTTCTTGCGCAGCATCTTGCGCTGGTGCTCAATCTTGCGCATCCGCTCCTCGCCGTCCTCGATGATCTTGAGATACTTGTTGTAGTCGGCGATTTCAGTGTATCGCTGCCAGAAGACCTTGGCGTACGTCTTGACCTCTTGGGGCGTCTTGCTGTCGACTTCCATGGCGATGCCCTCGTAATCTTGACGCCCATATCTTCCAGAGCCATTGACAAACTGCTGGAAGTCACGACGGTTCCAATCACCGAACCCTTGTTGGGCGAGCGTCTGCTTCTCCTCTTGCTCCTCCTCGGTAAGGGGCGTGGCGTTATCGATCTCCTGCTGATCAAGTGCCCTCTCGGCCTCGCGCTCTGACAGGTTTTCATCGTCGCCATCCGAGAGAGGGACCTTATACCCGATCTCCTTGCGATAGTATGCTGTCTCTCGGTCTTGGAGGTCGCGAAGCCTGGGGGGATAGAACTGGTAATCGTGGACCGGAACCTGTTTGGGTGCCCGGGGCGCTTTTGGTTTCGCATCGGCAGTCCTACCTCCAGTGTGCAAAGCCTGCTTGTAGTACTTGTCGATTGAGTAAATCTGTTCCTTGCGCTCACGTTTGGCGGGATTGATCCAGTTGACCCCGATATCCTTCTTGCGCGCGGCAAAGTCCTCGCCATTCCACTCATAGGCCGACTCCGATGTGAACTTCTGGAGGTCGTCGATACCCAGCTTCTCATACCTGGCATTGAGCTCCTTGGTCCGGGACTCACCAGCATGCAGAATGTCGTCGATATCGTCATCGTTTAGTTCGTTGCCCTTCTCTGCCAGACCCCCGAACGCGCCCTTTGTCTGGAATACCCGCTCCGCGCCATGTTGAATCATGGAGAGCAGTTCGTCCTTGTTGGCTGCAGCCTTGGCCGCAGCTTGGGCACGGCCTTGCTGAATGACCAACTGATCGAGGCGCAACTTCTGCGCTGCGCGTTCCAAGACCTTCTCCTCGATGGCATTATCCGTGACAAAGCGGTAAACAACCACCTGTTTGGTCTGACCGATACGATGAGCTCGGTCCATGGCCTGCAAATCGGCCTGGGGGTTCCAATCGCTGTCATAGAGGACGACAATATCAGCCGTGGTTAAATTGATGCCCAGACCACCGGCTCGTGTCGTCAACAAGAAGACAAACTTCTCGGAATCCGGCTTGTTGTAGTCATCGATGGCGGCGATGCGATCCTCGTGTGCCGTGCTACCGTCGATGCGGCAGTATTTGTATTGTCGGAACACACAGTAATCCTCGAGAATGTCCAGCAGACGGCTCATCTGGGAAAAGATGAGCACGCGGCTGCCCTGTTTTTGCATCCTCTTCAACAACTTGTCAAGAACGATCATCTTGCCAGCGTTGTAGACGAGGTGCTCGTCGGTCGTGTAAGGAGGGCCGGGCTCGGCGCCCTCAAACAGGTAGGGGTGGTTGCAACATTTGCGAAGCTGCATGACGATGTTGAGCAGTCTCGTCTTGGACTCGCGCTTTCCGCCCGCTCCGTTGACCGCGTCGATGTCCTTCTCGAGAATCTTCTGATACCACTTGACCTGCATCTCCGACATGCCAATGTAGACGTTGACCTCTTTCTTGGGCAGTAGACTTTTCTCCACGTCACTCTTGACGCGGCGAAGCAGGAACGGCCGTAGAACACGGTGCAGCTGCTGAACAACGGTGTCCTGGTCCCGATCCTGGCCAGAGAACCACTGGTCGAAGGCTTCTGCATCCCCAAATACATCAGGGAGGAGGAAATTAAGGAGAGCCCAGAGTTCGTGTAGGTTGTTCTGAAGCGGGGTGCCGGTAATCAAGAGGCGATTTCGCGAGTTGAACATGCGGATGACCTGAGCCAACGATGACTCCTCATTCTTGATCCGGTGGGCTTCGTCGATAATGATGTATTCCCACGCAAATTTCCGGAGATGGGCCTTTTCGCGAAGGATCATCTCGTAACTGGTGATGCAGACGTCAAAGTTCTCGTCAACCAGTCGATCATTGATCAGCTGTTGACGCTCCTCTTTGGCACCCTGCAGAACGAGCACGTTGACTTCCGGAGTCCACCTGGCAAATTCTCTCTTCCAGTTGTCGAGGGTAGACTTGGGAACCGTAACGAGATGAGGGCCCGTGGTGCCCATGATGTGACGCAGGTAACCCAGGAAAGAGATGGTCTGTAGCGTCTTGCCCAAGCCCATTTCGTCGGCGAGGATACCGGAGATGCCGTTTTCATGGAGTGAAATCAACCAGTTCAAACCGGCGATCTGGTAGTCCCTCATAGTGCCCTGAATGAAGCCAGGGGATTCGCGGAAAACGGTCTCGGCGGAACCGCCATGCTTCTCGTCCTTGAGCAGCTCGGCATCTTCTTCGGCCTCGGTCCGGCGACGTCTCTCACTAGTAGCGCCGCCCTGGCGAGCACCGCCTTTCCTCTGGTTGGACTCTTCCTCATTCTGGTGATCGATCTCGGCCATAATCTCTCGGATTTTGGGGTTCGGGTTCGTCTCGATGAAGTGGCGAAACAGGTCAGTTAGACCCAAAAGGTATCGGAATCGACGCAGTGTGTCATCCTCCTATTCGGCTATTAGCTCCAATTCATCGTGGAGAAGGTTGCAAACTGCGCCCACCTTTGACTCGCCCAGCCGGTCGTGCTTCTTGCCAAAGATACTCCTACGTAACTGATTGGCTTCTGAGCGCCTCTTTCGGCCATCGGGGACGGGCTCGCCAGCCACGCTGCTGGCAGTCGTGTTAGGGTTTGTGTCCGAGTCGGTATAGTCGGGGGTCTCGTCGACATCCTGGAAAGTTCATGATCAGCCGGTTTGCTCGCCATCGAGCAGGTGCGCACAGGGTTTAATAAACGAGGGGCGATCCATCTTACCATGTCGTCAGCTGCTTGTGAAGGATTGGTCTGTCCTGGAGCATCTGGCATTGACGCGTCGGTGTCGTTGCCGCTCTGTCGCGGACGGGGTGCCATGTTGGGTGCTGTGCCCTCGGCGACTCGTGGAGCTGCGGTACGCGACTTAGACGCGCTCGTGAGTGAGTGCGAGTGACTTTGCGCGATGGAATGATGGCCGCCTGTTCTTCAGAGTAATTTGGTCGATGGTTGTAAGCCTTGTGGCTGTGATCGAGACGAGAACAAGAAAGGCTCGGGGTAAGGCGTTTGAAGATGGGTGGGTGTGCTAAGCAGGGTGCGAATTTCTGAGGTCGAGGGACCCCAAAAAGGTCCAAACCGCGTCCACAGCCAATCACAACTGCCACACGGCGGAGGGGATTAAACGGCGGCCGACCCAGGTTTCCGCTACAAAAAAAAAGGGAGAAGTGACAAGGAAAAAGCGGAGGTCAAGTTTTTGCCAAAGGTCTTCCGCAGTTCTAAAAAATTACAGGCTTCTTCTCGGAGATATTAACTACCAACTACTTGCCTAACTAATTCCCTTGAATTGGGCCCTCGCGAAATCTCGTGCTTGTAGAAGATAAGAACGCTGACCATCTTCGCCTCGTCGCGAGTTACAACAACCCCTGTGGAGTTTGAAGCCCCATGAGGGCGACAAAGCAAAATTGCCTCCCAGTACTCAAGCCCAGGACATCAGGTAAACACGGGTAAGTTACCTCAGGTACCTACGATACCTCCCCAAGGAAGTCCATCGGATATAGCACACCTCCACTTCTCGTTGCTTGGTACCTTTTCTGCTTCATTAATCAGTTTCCTTGACTCCGACAACATGTCGAGGATTTTGCTCTGATCCATTGTATCCCTATCTCTATTTAATCCCCGTTCCTTCCCAGAATCGAGTTTGTGAATCAATATTGTCAGCTCGATGCTCTCGACTTACATCGACACCGAATTAGGTAAGCCACCCACTTGCTCTGGCTTCCGTGCTGTTTCCACAGAACCACGTGCGACGCCCCACAGCACGCTTCTACGGAGGACGATAGCCACCAAAGTACGGAAACTGTAACGACAGACATCCCTTACGGAGGCGTCGCCCACATTGAAACGTACTTGTAATCTGTATGCCGTACTTAACACGGGCAGTTACTGCACAGGAGGAACCTGAGTCTCTCTTGTCAAATTCTACGATATGAAATACCTCAGCTCCATTCTCAACTTATATTTATGCAACATTTTATAAATAGAAAGCATTCCACCGAGTGACTTGGAGTGCAATGGCCAAGTTGAAATAAAAGCGAGGGAATGAGAGGTCCCTTACTTAGGTATATGCAAGGATCGCAGCTTTATGCAATAAAGCACGGAACAGACAATCGCAATTTGAGGCGTAATGGGAATTGTTTTGTACTGTACAGAGCTCATGTAAAGAGGTTGTTCAAAAAAGGAGGTGAAAATTACGTATATCACTGTGGCGGTTATCGTCTTCCGTACCTTCCCCCCGAGTTGGCGCTTGACAACTCAGCACGAGCCTCGGGCCTAACTCAGTTCATGACAACACAGCGAGCGCCGGAAACCGGTCATCGATGTCATGCCCCAGACCCACGTTACAAATCCCAACGCCCGCCTGAAGACAATAATAAGCACGCGACCCTCTTCTTTCCTTCAGCGCGCACAACAACAGTAAGAGCGGGATATCCGACCCCGTCTCTCTGGAAACACAACCCATCCCGCTACGACGTCGGTGGTCTCCGCTCTGGCCCACCTTCATCTTGGCTCTTGTCGGTTTAGTGAAAACCCCTCAATCTGCCGGTCGAAGTCGAACCCACCGGAGCGCAGTCGACGACGAGCAAAACCCAGCTTCCTCCAGCGGGATACCGCACGCCGACCTTCAAGCCTTCTCCAACCGCCGCCACGCGTCATCGTGACCAGTTGCGTTCCGCACAATGAGTGCCGACGCGAACGAGCTGCTCGACGCCTTCAAGGCCGCAGCTCTCTCGGTCACGAAGCTTTATAAGACTTCGGCCCAGGCACAGGCCAAATCGCGCGCCGATGGATACCATGACTGCCTCGAAGATCTACTGTCTTTTCTCGACAAGGAAAATATCGGCATTCGGAATGGGGAGGCACACAGGGTACGGAAATGGGTAACGGACCGAATGGAGGGGCGAGATTCGACATCCCCACCACTCGAGAGCGACGACGAAGCCGAACGATCCGACACACAAGTTCTATCCTCACCGCAAATGCAGCGCGGCGTTCCCGCAGCAGCACAACGGTTGAAGGACAAGGAAGAGGCGCTGACGAGAGATGCGTCAGCGCCACCAGTGCTGACAACGGTGCCTATTCCACCCAGCCCCGTCGTGGAGGAAGTCGACGTCGTGGTCCCCTCGCAAGACACCTTCAACTTTCAAACAACACATCCTTATCCCCACGACGAAGCCCTGCGGCTTGCCAACCTCAATCTCTCCGACGCCCAGACGATCAATGCTTCGAATGCTCGTACGACATCTCGCGGCGGGAGGAACAGAAACGGGCGGACGGGAACCAGGACGGCGCTAGGAAGAGGGGCTGGGCAAAAACGGAAGGTCAACCTCGCCGAGATATTTGACCTGGGAAGTCTGGAGTACGGGAACGGCAGGGATATGTTTGGGAGCGGAGGCAAGCGAAGCCGCTTTGCATGAGGGCGGCGAAACCCAGCCAGATCTCGCACATGATGCTGCCTTCTGCGCAGGCCGTGGGGTTATTTTTTTGCGGGAGGAATGGGACGCGCTCTTCACTCGTATTGCATCGCATTCCTGGGAGCGCATGGACACGGGCACGGATTTAATGACACTTGGGCATCCGGGGAGGGGTCATGGGAAGGAGGCGGGACATTACCTAGATGGAGCATATCCGGGCGTTTACTTGATACCACGCAAGACGGCATGCTATTTTTCCTGTTGTATGTAGACGTTGGCTCGGTGCGAGCCATCTTGCCGCCGACATAGCGTTTTCGCAATACCCGATTATTGGTCTCGAAGTCGACCTGGACGACGCAAGCACCAAGCCCGAGCCAAGGCTTCAACATGATATATTATGCAGTGCATGACTTGAAGAGACCAACCTCTCCCGCACCCGCGCTAGGGAACTCCCCGATGTCCTACAACATCCTCAGCCGGTGGAGGTGACTTAGCAGCGAAAATGGTGTCTATTCACCCAAATCACACCCGCGCGGGCAGGGCTTAGCGCAGCTCATCCTGCCGACAACTCGAAACAGCTCACAACAATAAAAAGTACTCTTGGGACGACACATCTAGGCTGTTTTCGGGATTGGTTTTTCGCCGTTATGATGCAAGTCAAACAAGGATACCTAAAGCAGTAGTTACAACTGAAGTCACCCTTTTTCTCCTCTTTTCCACATTTCCACAACGAATCCGTTCGCCGCCTTACCAACTGCCCGACGTTTTGGGGTTTGCATGGATGTCAATAACCTCTGGAATCCAGGCCCGGCCGTTCGGAGACCTTCCCCCGGATCGCTGGTCCCACCGATGCCCAAAAGCGGCTTGACGATCCTTGAGTTTCGACGAAACGTCATTGGATGTTGAATCCGACCGCCGAGACGAGGTGCCACGGCCGGCTAGCGGTGTACCATTGCTCGTTCACTCATTCGGTTGTGTGCGGGTGTCTCCGAGATACGAAGGCGGGTATGCCCTCGGTTCCATGTGGGCAGTGTTGAGTCGGAGTTGAGGTGCAGGTCGGGTACCAGCCCGCTCCCGTCCTCAAGCTCCTCGGGTGGCCTGCAGAATGCAGTGCCTGGAAGAGCTTGGCACAAAACTTCAAGGTTCTGTTGCATTTTTGGCTCTTTGGCTGCAGGGCCGGCCCGGGGCATCTCGAGAGATTAGCGAATCAGCGGGGCTCTCTGGGGCCGGCTGCAGGGGCCACTCCGGACGCGGGATCGCGTCTGTTTTAGACGTTTTATTGACTGAGATTACAGGTTGCCCTTTCCGCAATGAAGGCATCACCATGCCGAAGCCGAATCAACACAAATAGATCCGCGCCGTCGTGGTTGGGGCACGATTACCACTTGTCGCGGCACGCACAACGAAATGTAGGATTTATCAACTAGCCGGCTCGTTACCTAGCCACCACGCCGCCTTCCTCCTGGATTGGAGAAGTCCGAGCGACGGAACCTCTTTCACTAGTGTAGCGGCCAAGTTAGCAGCGAGCAGGGGGACATCAAGGGTGGGCCACCATGAGATCTGGAAGAATCGGTGACACCCTAATGCGGGCATACGGCGGCGCGCCATGCCCATGGTGGCCCGGGCTAGCGTGCCTTTCATTTACTCGCCCCGTCGTCTCATTCTTGAAGAGGCGACCGCCCACTTCCTCACTCACCACCTCGTCCACCTCAGACATTCGTTTCCCGTTGCTGTAGCTGTGGCCCGTTACCATGTGAGACCCCCCATTCCACGCCACCCCGTGTGTTATGTCTGTGTATATTAACCTACCGAGACAGCGTAGATCAAGTCTTCCCTCGTTTCTTCTCCCCAGGAATCTACCATCGCAACCCGCCAGTTCAAAATGAAGTTCTTCCTGCTGCCCCTCGCCGTCATGGCCTCTTCCGTCATGGCTCAGGCGACTACTGCCTGCGGCGCCGACTACATCGTCGAGTCCTGCCTCAGCTCCGAGACGGCGAAGCTCGACGACTGCGGAGCCGAAGACTGGGGGTGTCGGTGCACCCAATGGAAGAGCATCGTGACGTACGACATACCTCTCCATCATCGTAACACAAATTACGCCATGACTGACGCATCCAACCTATAGCTGCTATAACAACTGCCCCAACGATCCCCGGAAAAGTAAGTCACTCCACCCAACAATCCCACCGCCCCTCGGCCTTACTGACCCCCTCCCAGACACCTCCGATGGCCAGCGTCAGATCTTCTGCGGCTACGCGAGCCAGTATCCCTCCAACGAGCCCACCCAGGCGGCAACCCAGACGGGATCCACGCCCGCGCAGAACACCCAAGACGCCGCCGGCCAGGGCGACTCGACCGATGGCGACAGCATCAGCGCCACCACTTCGAGCAGCGGTCCGGCCGACACCAACAGCGCGGCCAGCCTTGCTCTTAACGCTGGCGGTGTCCTCGCCGCGGTGGCGGGTGTTTTTGCCGTTGTGATGTAAGACGGTCTTGTTTGCGCGTGCGGGAAGGCTGGGGTGGCAACAAACCTGCCTAAGTAGGCTTGGTTCAACCGTTGCTAGGGGCCATCCGTCCGAAAGCCAGAGGGGCAATCGCACACGGCAGCACCCGTCACTGGAATTTGACTAATATTTAATGTTGGAGTTAACGCTAATAAATAATTGGGTACCCGTTGTGTGTTGTTTGTCTTGCGTTGGCAGGTTGACAAGTGGGTTGTGACTGACTGTACGACGTATTTGTTGACATGTACGGAAAACGGTTGTTGATTCTGCGAACAGATCTTTAATATCCCGCATGGCTATCACACTCAGCCAGGGTCCATCCATGTTGAGGAAACAAAGCTAACTTGAGACGTTTCGATCCATCAAAACATACGTACAGGACATACACGACCCCCGAACAAACAAAGAAACACCGGCTTTTCCTCACCCCCCGTCGAACCCAAACCACGCCCAACCACCCACCCCGCCCAACAATCAAGCCGGCTCATCCCCCCTCAAGGGCGTATACCAACTCCCCTCCTCCACCCCCCCAGCCCCAGCCCCAACACCACCCGCCCGTCCCTGACCCGGCGCAGCAGCAGCAGCGGCCCTCATACCGCGCGACGCCGCGCGCGCGGGGTCCTCGGCGCTGCCCGGCTCCGGCAGCGGGCCCGCCTCGGTGCCGCTGCCCTCGAAGCCGCCCTCGGTCAGGTTCTTGCCGTGCGGGCCCGCCGGGTCGCGATGCCGCTGCCCCGCGAGGTAGGTCGGTGCGGCGCCGCCGTAGGACGACTGGCTTTCGAGCCCGCCGGTTTCTGAGGCTGTTTTGCCGGTGCCTTGGCCGCGGGTTGCTTGGTGCTGTTCCTGGCCCTGGCCCAGGCCCTGGCCCTGGCCGGTGCCGCGGGCGGTTTGCTGGTTCTCGAGGTTGAGGGAGGTGGCCTTGTCGGCGGTGCCGCCGCTGGTTTGGGAGGACTGGGTTTGCGGTTGCTGCGACCGCTTCTGGGGGGCTTGCTCGTGCTGGCCTGGGTTGGAGGCGAATTCGCCGCCTTTACGGGCTGATTCGGCTGCGAGGGAGCCCTCGGGGACGTTGCCGGGCGCCTCGCGGGTGACGGGGATGTTCTCGCCCGTGGTCACCTGCCAATGGCGGTGTCAGGGGGTGGTGTTAGGTGAGCGAGGAAAAGGGGCTTATCTGCTTACCTTGGTGCCTGCGCTGGGTGCCTTGCTGGTCATGGTTGCGAGTTGGGGTTTGGAATGGTAATTTCGATTTGTTTATATACGCTTCAAAGCTATTATTGAGAGTATCGATATGTTGGGTTTCGCACTATGATCCGAGTTCAACCCCCTTCAAATAGGGGTTTAAACCTCACCCCAAAGACTTACGTGACATCATATACGTGATGTCATGGCTGAGCATGGCAACACCGTTGAGTTGCTGGTGTCACGGTTTATCAGATCCACAGGTACATCGTTCCCCAATCCCTCTGTGAAAGTATACACTACGTAGGGGATCTCATCGATCTATGACTTCATATGCGGTGCGGTTGGCTGCCGGCCTGCCGGCCTACCGAACAGTTGTGGGGCTACTCCGGTTGCATACCACACCGTACGGCCCTTGAAACTCGGTAAGTGAGCTACCAGGCGACCTATTTCGGGGGATGTTGGCACATGACATTAATCCCTTCGTGGGGGAAATGATAGTTGGTAAAATTATAGGTACTCATCCCAACATGTTATGCATTGAACGAGGCTTCACAGAGGACAGAAAATAACAATAATATATATCAGTTGTAAAATCGGTAGAATACGCTATATGATACCAAAGGTTAGAGTCGAATACACGTTCTAATTTGACGGCAGAGGTACCATCACTATAATTCTCCTGTGTGATGGTGAATTGCAACCCCACCCTGCCTTGAAGCAGCACGTCGATGACACCGCCCTTGGAGCCGAAACGAACCTCGCATGATGCCACACCGGTTAAAGGCCCCGCCGGCTGCCGGTGCTCATCAACGTGATCTTCTGTTTCTTCTTCTTCTTCCCCCCTCCACCACTAGGCGCAGCGGCTGCGGCCTTCGAGCTGCTTTCGCCGTTCGTCTCAACTCCGAGGGCCTCTAGCTGCATAGCGATGTCGGCATCACTCAGCGTCCCCAGCACAGCATCGTCCTTCAGCCACCCGTCATCCGCATTAGGGCGGGTCGGGATAGTTTCCGGCTCACCACTTGCAACTTGGGGCGTCCCCCAGACAGTCCTGCGGCCCGATGGGCTGGTGCTCATTTCCGACAGGGAGGAGAAGCCCGTTCTCGGGTTTGGCGGTGTCGTGCCTTCGGCGCCGAGCGGTAGGAAATCGTTCATATCGACAGGGGGCTCGTCCAGGCCAGTGTTCCCAAAGCGGACAGTTACCTCCTCGTCGGTGGCGCCAAAGTTTCTCCGAGCATCGCGGATCGCAGCTGCCTCTAGCCTTTCCGCCTGAAGCCGCTCCCGCTCCTCCTGCGTTGCTTTCTCCCGGTTACGTCTGCGGCGGCGCTCGATCTCCTCGGAAAAGGTGGATAGGATCTCGGGCGAGACAATATCTGCCCAGTCGCACTCCAAGAAGCTGATTAGACATCCTCGAGGTAGGTGGCCGAGGTATTTCGCCCGCTTTCGCATGGCATCGTCAACCACATGACCAGTCGAGATATGCTCAACTCTGGGGAGGAGGGTAGACGGGAAGGCGGAGAACGACCCGTACTTTGTTTTCAAGATTCGGATATCCAACGGCGAGAGGTAGAGGTGTGGTAAGGACGAGTAGAAATAGAAATCTTGCTCGACTTGTTTTGACTGGTCCGGCCCGGAAATCCCGGCGAGTGCAGCCGCTTTTTCCGCCTCGCCCAACTCGGCCGCCTTTTCCTTTGCCGCCTTGATCGCCCTGATTGCCTTCTGTGTCCATTCGTTGTCTTCGTGGTAGAGGAGCTCGTCCTCATGCTCCTGCTTGAGAAGCTCCTCCACCTCCTGGTCAAATTGCTCCGCCATATAACCGCTGGTGCCCCTCATGATCCTAGCATAGTCCAGAACGTTTGCCGCAAAATGCCAGGGGACCTCGTCGCCAGACTGAAACACCTCGATCGCACCCTCCTTTGGCAATGCCAATGTATTTTTCGAGGTACGCATCATGAGACGTAGGATCACATCGTCACCCTTACGAGGCAACGAGCATTCCTGACCCGCATACAACCTGACCGGTCGTACGTCTGAGATGTATATCGAGTCCTCGCAAATGGGGCACTTCCTCCACCGCAATTGCTTCTTTCCCGGCTCCTCGCTAGTATTGGTGTTCATGAAGCGCATCAGGCAGGGAAGGCAGAATATGTGGCCGCATTTCGCCATGCGTGGCGCAACCGGCTCAGAGAGACAAATAGGGCAAGACGATTGCTGAGATTCGGCCGAGGCGATGACCTGAAGAACATCGCCCCAGTCGATGTGCTCATCCGCGTCGGCGGCTTGGGCGGTATAATTGCCCCCGGGGTTGACAACAAAACGATAGTTTGCGTGAATGTAACGGGCCTTGTCCGCGGCGTGGTAACCGGAGCCGACGCCCCAAGAAGGGTTGCGGCGATAGGAGCGGGAGGACGAGTGGTGGCCATCATGTGGGCGAGGCGGCAAGGCGTAACTCATCAGATGCGTGATGGATGTTTGGCCGCGCCTGCTCGAGGCGTTCCGCAGCGCGCGAATCTCAGCCATTGCGTCCTCGTCGTCAATGTGTCTCGGGTCGCCCTGTGCTCCTGCTCGCCTCTGGTTTCGGTGCTGCCCTCTTGCGCCCTGGCCCTTCCGGGGGATTGCTTGAGGGTGTGATGGGCCTTGTATCTGGCGCCGATTCGAGCCAATGCTAGGGTTTGAGGTGGGAGGAGCCGATGGGGAGTGGTTCGTGGCTGTCGGGGCCGCGGGCGCCTTGTTTGGGGCAGATGACGTCGGATTCATGGTCGGGGAGTTTGATCGATGGAGCGACAACAGGCCACAGTTGCTCGCATACGGTAACCTGCGGGCGCAGGTGTTGACGGATGCTGGGAAAAGAAAGTTAGTTCCGTTTTGTTGCCGATGACTGTTGCCGGCCGGGGGGGTATGGAAGGGAGGGAGGCGAGGCGGGTCCCGGCTTACCAAGGTGCCTGGGCCCAGCGGGCGATGGCTTAGTTGTCTGCTTCTCGAATTGGGACCCTAGTTGTGGTAGAAAGTCGGGTTTAGCAACTCTGTCGTCAATCTTTCATCGTCGATGGTTAAATGTAGGTTTTGAGGGGCCCGATCTGGACCCCACGGAGGTTCCGGCGAAAAGAGAGGGAAGAGTCACGTCCCGCGGGGCGAATGGCGAACGTTGGAGCTGGGGCATGAATAGGTACTTAACTTGATTACCCATGCAACTCGTCAGCTGACTTGAGACAGGGCCCATTTTGCCCATAAAGTACCCTGTCTGCTCAAAAGGGCCCAGAACAAGTAAAGGAGGCACCTCTATGAGGACAAGAACCCGCACCCTTCGAACAACTCTATTCGCATTCCGACACATAAACCCCGCGCTGCTAGATTATCAAAGCCCCGCCTGTGATTGCGAGGTGACTTAACTCATCGGACATTTTGACAATCCGTGGAAAGCGACCCCAACAACCAGCCCGTCGCTGAAGATACGCAGATACTGGCACAACATCCATATGTGCTTGATCTGGGCAAACCAGGAGAGCTTGATTGTGGCCGTGGCGTAAACGGGGCACTCGACATTATCGACCACTAGGCCACTGATACCTTCTGTAGATAGATATCTAGTTGTTAATGCAAAGATCCCGGTATACAACTCCGAATCCGTGAAGATAGGTTAGGGTATCGAGAATACAGAGAATCCAGCGTAGGTCCGCTCAAGGCCAGCTTTTCAAAGAGTAGCTCTCTATCTAAAGGTACGCTGAGGAGACGCGGAGACGACGACGCCAGGGTATAATCCGCCCTAGTACTTTAGGAGACTCTCAATATCAAAGCAAAAATACGCGACGGCGGGGCTAGATATATAGCGTTGTTGGAACTTGGTTAGCAAATCGAGACGTGACGGACTCATCGCAGGACTGCCGTACAAACAGATTATATCAATCTCAAACCGGGATACGATCCTCATTTTAGAGAACCCATGTGTACTGCGGGAAACAAGTTTCGAGGATACACGTTTTTGGGTCGAAATGGGGTCGCCTTTAACCAAGCTAGAAAACTTCAAGATATCATCCAGTGTTGAGTGCTAAACACCATCACCAAATTACTGACCGTCGGCACAATAAGTTCACGTGCGTAAACCCCGAGCAACATGTGTCAATGTAGTTACGGAGCCAAAACAAGATCGAGACATTAACAATAGACGAAACCCTCCATACAGGAATCAAAATATGGTAAAAAGAGTTGGATATCGCAACCACTCGCACCCCCCACACAACCAAGTTCCCATCTCATTCATATGACCAAGCCGAGGCGAGACAATCAAATTATGGACGACGCCCTCCCAGTCATGACACAACAACGATAAAGAAACATCACCCTCCCTCTTCCGACTCCATTCGTGAGTTTAACCATGCCGCAAAACGGGGAGGAAACCGGCTTGAGCAGTAGGTATGATACAAGACGGCTGGTCGGCAAAAAGACGTGGGGATGGCGAAGTAGGTTAAAGAGGAGTACATCGCCAGCTTAAGCAAACTTCTGCTTCAGCTTGGTGAAGAACCCGCTGATTCTGTGCTTCTTCTTTTCGGATGTGGCCTTGTTCGTGGAGGCCGCGGCGGTGTCAGACGCAGGGGCAGGGCCAGCGGTGGTGCCGTTGGTGCCGTTAGCTGCGGGGTGTGCTTCGTCCGCCTTCTTGGCCGCCTCGGTCGGTGCAGCCTGCTCAGTCGACGCGGGATGCTCAACTGCAGGCTTGGGCTCATCAACAGCCTTGGCCGGCTCAGAAGCCACGGTCTCCGCAGGTGCAGCAGCAGCCGCGGCCGGGGCCACGTCAACAGCCTTGACGGTCTCGACCGGTTTCGGCGGCTCAACACTCAAGGCAGTCACCGCGGGCGCGATATCATCGGTGAGCTTAAGGTTCTCGGTAGGCTGAACCTCCTCAGCAGGCTTTGGCGTCTCCGCAGGCTTGGCCTCATCGACAGCCTTGACCGCTACGGCGGGCTGGGGCGGCTCAACCGCTAGAGCCGTTGCCGCTTCGGTGGTCTCGGTAGACGGCTCGCCGACTGCCTCGGTCGGCTTCACGTTCTCGAGAATCTCGGCCTCGTACTCCTTCTTCTCCTCAACGGCAGAGGCATTGACAGCAGCCTCGGGGCTCTCGCCTGCCTCCTTCAGAGATTCCTTGACCTCGGCCGGGACTTCCGGGGAGACATTATCAATAGCAGCCTTTTGCGTTTCCTCAGCCTCGGTCGGCTTCACCTTCTCAAGAATCTCGGCCTCGTAAGCCTTCTTCTCCTCGACGGCAGAGGCGTTAACGGCGGCCTCGGGGCTCTCGCCCGCCGCCTTCAGGGATTCCTTGACCTCAGCCGGAACTTCCGAGGAGACACTTTCGATAGCGGCCTTTTGCTTTTCCTCGGCCTCGGCCTGGGATGTCCCGGGTAGGGCTCCTTTGACGGCGGCGGGTACGGTCGTTGTTGCGCCAGAGGCAGCGGCTGTGGCCTTGGAAGCGATATCCGCAGCAGCGTCGCCCGCTTTATGCGCATAATCAGAAGCAACTCCACCAGCATTGGTTGCAGCACCGGCCGCCGCGGGTAGTGCCACCCCAGCAGCAGTGATGACAGCTCCGAGTGCCACTTCGCCAGCTGAGGTAGCAGCGGCAATCACGTTCTTGACCGGCGACTTGTCGGTCTCGGACTTCTCGGTGCCCTTTCCGGCAGTGCCCTCCGAGGTTGAGGGAGCTTCGCCCACGTTGTCCAAGAGTTCTTCCTCCACGGCGGCCTTCTCCGTCACTTCCTCGCTGTTGGCGCTTGCCTCGGGCTCCACGTTGGCCTCCTGTTGGCTTTGCTTCACGATTTCGGGCACCTTGGGCTCTAGGGGAACCTGTCCAGCCAACGCGGCGGTGGTTGATTCAGGAGCAACCGTGTTAATGGTGGCGTCGTTACCGCTGGTAATGGGCAGACTCGACTCTGGAATCATGTTGCCGCTAACGGGCGGGAGTGTTGTTTCAATACCAGGAATGCGATCGCTCTTCTCGTATGACTCCTTGTCAAGCGTCACATGGCTGTCGACTCCGCTAGCGGTGACGTCCCTGGGGACCTTCTCGCCAGCCTCGAGCTTGATGGGATTGACGGCACCCTCGGCAGCGGGGAGGGGGTCGACCTTCACTTCCTCATTGAGTTCGGCTGCGGGCGTCTCAGGGTAACCACCCGGAGGGGTGACATCATCGTCGGTTTTCTCGAGTGGTACCGCAGCAGCCAATTGAGCTGTGGTGGAATCGGGGGCCGCGGAGCTGAGGACGGCAGCGTCCGAACCGGCCTCCTCCGTTTTCTCCTCCCGCGTTTCCTCCTTGGCTTCTAGGGGCACCGCACCGGCTAATTGGGCCGTGGTAGACTCGGGAACGAGGTTATTGATGGCCGCGGCCTGGGAAGCTTCTTCTAGCTTATCCATTTGTTCGGGCAACAAGACGTTGTTATCGTTCCCTTCGTGGTCCTTTTCTTGGGGCGCAGTGTGGTCGGTGGTCCAGCTACCGTCGACAACAAACTGTGAAGCGACAGATACGTCAGCAACTGGAGAAGGATTTGATGAAGTAGATCGACAGCACCAATGTCAATGTTGGGGTCAAGCTTGTGCAAAGCATGCGCGGGGACCCCGGGCCATCTTAAAGGGCCCGGGCGCGAAAGAGGGGCGAGGTCAACAAGCTTGAAGCAACCTAGGCCCAGACTCCCTGTGACGGACCTTGGTCACGGGCCCAAATGACTGTTTTTTTGCGCCCAGGGGGTCCCACAGTTGCCGCTAGTGTGGTTTGCGATCGGCTGCCCGTCATGTCCATTTTGTTCGCCGCGGGGTGGTTGGAGGAGCACGAGGTTGCGTCATCGCCGCCCCAACCGAAATGCCAGGGCCGGGCGGTTACGCAGTGTGCGGGAAGGATAACAATTGGAAACATTGGAGCCGTAGTTGGCAGGGGGCATTGCCAACAACTGCGGTTGAGTCGTACAGGCATCAAGGCTGAGGTAGCCGGCTCAATGACACCAGACGCGAGGGCGGGATGATGATGGTGGGGTTGGCTTCGGAGGAGCGACTTGCTCCGTCCTCACCGAGCTCACCGCTGCTTCATCAACGACCCCTCCTCTGCCCGGGACTTATCTGGCCGCAATCGGCAGTTTGGCCGGGAGGAGCGTCTTCAGCACGACTGGTGCCGTCTTCTCTTCGAAGGATGCATTGGATTGCCTGCTCCCGCAAACACCCGGGCGCCCGAGCGTGGAGGAACGACAATGCAATGGCTGAAACAAACAGAAAGAAACGGCCCACTAACCTTGTAAAATATTTTGGCGTCAGATTCAGGTTCTGGCAGTGTCACGGTTTTCTGAAAGATCTGTCCGACTCGATCAAGACGCTCGCTCTTGGTCCAATTGTCGAAGGTGCCTGTCACATAAACCTCTTCGGCGTGGTGCGGCCTGCATATAAGTTCGAGGAACAACAGTCAGCGACTCGCCTGTCGTTATAACAAAACCGTGCGACTGTCCGTAGTCTTGGTGTCGCGGCCGCGCAAAGCTTAGCACAGGCAAAAGCGAGTCAGAGCTCGCGCTCTGGACCAGCCTCTGGGCACGGGAAAGGTGAAAGAGGGGTTGTGACTGACCACTTGAACGTGTAACTGCGCATGATTACGGAATTGTACGACGTATTTTTGGGTATTTTCTTTTGGTGCTGGAGACGACGGCGGAGTGTGCTGAGGTCGGGATGGTTTTCGGCTTGGTGGAGCCGAAGCAATCGCGATTCAAGCTCGGGCCAAATTGAGCAGGGAAGAGCTTGCGCTGAGGGGCCTCGTCCGATTTATCACGGACCTCTTGACGTCAATCAATGATCAACGAGAGCTGTGGGAGAGCAAATATGGAATTGAAATCGCCCAATGTCAGTGGAGGTGCGCGGGCATTTCTTTAAAGTTGAAAATTGCGATTTCAATCTCTGAGGGTTCGGATTCGAGGAGGTTGGTGTTCATCACCTGTGAAGGCCGCTCAGGGTGGCACGCTAAGGTGATTGCGCACGCCAAGAGCAACTTGCAGCTTCTTGCTCTCGCCGATTCGTCCGGTCATACCGGGGTCCTCGGCCGCTTGATTCCGACCTTGACGGCCAGGAACGATAAGCCAGGGCGAGGGCGTTGAGGCTCACTCAGCTTGCTCTTTCTGGCTTCTGCCCCCCCAGTCCTGATAAAAAATGAAAAGAAAAAAAAATGTGAGGTTGGTTTCAACACCATGATGCTCATCCCCCGTGCCGGGACACCCGGGACAGTACCAAGTAAGCTAGGGAAGCCGTTTCAACCGAACCTGCAACCCCTCGGGCGCGCACACGATCGGCCACCCGCATTTTCGCCAACCGGCCGCCGAATGGTGCAACAGTGTGAACCGGTACTTGCATGTCTGGTGCAGTGTTGAAATGAGCGATAACTACTATGTACAGGAGTGAGGAGGGATGAGTGGGATGATTAGGAGGGACCCAGAGGGCGGAATAGCTGGATGTACCCGTACCACAGTCATGTCTTGTCACCTCCAAAACCTTGTCAACATAAACAAGCCAAGTCTGTTATTGTTCTACACAGCGGCCTATGAGTCCGCAGCCGGTCGTGCTGGTGTGCAACAACTCAACAAAGCGATAACTAAATACAAATCCCGGGCTGCCGTCCCCTTCGAGAGCAACCCCTGCCGAGGAGTAAGACGACAACCAAAACGCCGATTCATTCCAGCAATCAAGAACAGGAAACACCAAAGGAAACAAAAGACAGCCCCTAGCAAATCCGTTGATAGATAAATGAGCCCTTAAGCAAGCTGATGGAGCCTCCCAGCGCGAGGGATACCGAGTCCGTCTATAATAAGTATACATCTTTTACCAACCAAACTGTTCACAGTGCAACTCCACGGCCGGGCCGTCACCAACGATAAGCTTCGCCGTAGTATCCCGGACCACATGCATTAGCCCGTCCGGTCCACATGCCGCAACTAAAACGCGTTGGTTCCGTGGCGTAGTCTTGACCGCATCGCGGATGAGAGACGCAGCATCTGGACGCCCCGCCTTGATGGGATATTCGAAGAAGGTGTGGGATGATACGGCTTCCACAGCTGTGGTCGACTTCTCGTCAGCCGCCCCGTTGTGCTTGACCTGCGTCTCAACGGTCCCCATCTCCTTTTCGAGGCTGCCGTGTGAGAGGGACGGCCACCGGGCAGTCGATGCCGCAATCTGATGGGCGTTCTTCTCGAGATCGGACCCAGCCGGCGACAAGGGTGGCGAATCAGCGCCGTCGGAAGAAGAGTCGGAGTGGCCAGCATGTTCGCTACTTTCACTCTCGCTTGGTAGGTCGGACGTCGACGTGGGTGCCCGCGTGACATAGAGAGAAACATTGACTTTGGGCGAGTGCGCATGCGTCCTCAATAGCTCGAGCTGTTCCTTGAACCAGGTGAGGTTCTCTGTTTTCACCTTGTCAGCCCAGAACTGGTATATATGTACCAGAGACAGAAACTAAAAAAGAAAACAAAAAAGGACTCACCGTGTTTCTTAACCGACCACACAAACACAATGTTCTTGGGTGACCCCTCGTCCATCCTCTCGAGTACGTTGACGGCAAGCCCAAATGTGAAGGTGGCACCTCCACCCCCGGCAATCAACACGATCTTGTCAAAGTCCATGGGGTTGGGGAACGTGCCATACGGCCCGTCGATCGATGCCCTCACTGACACACCCGGGTTGGCCACAGCATACTTGTAGAGGTCGCTAGTGAAACCATTGCGGGCCTTGACTGTGAACTCGAGGGGCGAGCTTCCATGGATTGTAAACGGATGCGTCTCGAACTTGCGGATGGCGGGGATCCAAACAAAGCAGTGCTTCCCCGGCTCTGCCCTTGCCGGGACCTTCTTCATCACAATCTTGGTGCTTCCGTCAGGCAAGGGGTGCAATGTTGCTCCGTTGTTGGCGCTGTAGTACAGGATCCTGGAGGCCCTGATGACACGGTCGAGGATCCACATGGAAACGGCAAGGAGGATGACGATGAGCGTTTTGTTCGCAATTTCGGGCCGATGGAAACCGAGGGCGATGACGGCTATGATCCAAGAGGAGATGTGGGCGACGTAAAATAACTCGTACCAAAAACGCCTAAGGACCAGAGCAGAAAAGATAACGCTCAAGAAACCGAAGCCCGCCACGATGGCCGCGATCCCGGATCTCTCATGGTAGATGTGCTCCAGCCTCCCTGTACTGTCGAAATAGGCCGTGTACAGGGCGCCGTGAAGAAGCATCGCAATGAACATGGTGCAGCCGGCAATCTGGTGGAGGCAGTTGAGCCGCTCGTATGAATAGGCCGTGATAAACGCCAAGGGGGTGTTCTTGAGCGCCAAGAATATGACCAAGGCCAGGTTCCCTAGTGCCAGCCTGTTTGTGACTCCCGTCGTGAGTAGCTATTCTAAAACATGGTGAGAGGATGTGAAGGGGTCAACGTACCAGCCGAACCTGTGGCCCAAGCCTCCCATCGAGCTGGTGTCTATATTGGTGAACTCGACCGCCAGGTTGATGGCGACATAGGCCATGATAACCATGGCATGTCCGGCGGATTTGAACCCAGGGACCTTTCGTACCAGCAGGTTCCTCACAAGCCTAGGGAAGTGAGTCGATGGCTCTTCAAAATCGTGGAAGAAGGTGTCCCTTTACCTTGAGCTCGCAACGAATGGGCGACTAAATGCTCCGTGAGGCTTGTTTGAACGTTCCACCTTGACGCAGAACCAACGTGCCCAGTGGAAGAGGACAAAGACGGCGATCAGGCCACAAATGCCGGCGGCAAAGTACTTCATGACCCGCTCTATCACCACTTGTCTCTGGGCGAAGTAGGCTGCCGTGGCACGACTGCTGTGCGCATGGACGCCGCCGGTAGCCCCGCCTGCAACTCCATGCCCGTTTCCTCCATGCTCGCCTCCGCTCGGAGGGTTAGCGGACGATCCGGCCATGTCGAGGACGAAGTCGAAAGGGGAAGGGAAGGGCGGTGGCTCGGGGTCAGTAGGGGCTCGGAGAACGGTTCGACAACGGGAGTCTAGTAGACGAGGTTCAGGAGGAGCCAGCGGCTTTATACGAAGCGCAAGTCTCTGAGAGCGAGAACGAGGTGGTGGTCTAGATCGTCCAAGGGGCCAACGGCACCTTCCTTGACAACCTGGTATATAACTACGTTTCCCGAGACGCCATGTTGCGTGGCGGCATGGCCCCTTCCAGGGCTACGCCACTGGACAGCCCGAGAGGGGTGAGAGGGTGTGGGAATACGGCGACTGGCTGGGTGAGAAAACCATAGCAAGGCATGTATGGGTCACAAAATGAACCGTTGATTGCTTCGGCGTCACATGGAGGGGAGCTTGGTGTCAGAGGCCATGACGGCCACGGCACTTGAAACTCCACCATAACCACGATGGCGAGGGTATGGGAAGTTCCGGCCGGCCAAGCCAAGGCCGGTGCCATATCAGAGGGCCGCTGATGAACCGCCGTGTGGTAGCCCACTGGGGCGGTAGTTCCGTCAAGCGACGCAGGGCTTCGGGGCTGCTATGCAGGTATAAACGGGGGTCTGCCCTAGGTCGGTGTAAGTGACGACCACTTCGGGGCTTGTCCATTTTGACGACTTCCAGTCTGGGATTTGGTCAGCTTGACAAAGCACCAAACCCGATCCCTGACAGGGCAGACAAGGACGCTGGGGTGTGGCCAAAGCGGATCCCCATGGCAGCTGGTGGCCGGGGCTCTGGCAGGACAGTCGCAATATGCAATCTGGCTAAAGATTGGGATAAAACAGGAACCGACGAAGAGCAGCATCTGACCGTTGGATGCTACGAAGTCTTCGACTTGGTCGAAAACCAAGAGTTCGACGAGCCCACTCCGGCTGTCACCCTAATTTTACCCCACAAACGCAGGCAATATCTGCGAAATGGCATGAAGCAACAACGCATCAGGTTCTCTAACAGACCTCGTCCAGCATCCGGGCAGTGGGGTTCCGGCAACGTCCTGCCCAGTCTGCCACACTGCATCGCGCTGCAGCTTGCAGCATCTGATAACGGCACGGCCGCCTGCCCACGTGAAGCGCGTGTGCAGGGTCGATAGGCGAGTGCTCAGCCGAGGTCGCTTAGACGAGAGCGGGAAGCGGGCAGCAAACGCGGCCGAGTGGCATGGAACGGGAAGGAGGATGACGACGAAAAGAAGTCGAGAGACACATCCACGACAAGAACTTTCATGAAGGGCGTGTTCCAGCTAAACCACCGAAAGCCGCGACCGACAGGTCAAACCAAGCATGCAGGCAATGGCAGTTGATGAACCACGGCGATCACGAATCGGCATAGCGAGCTGTCACGGCAGATGTATGCTGGGCAGCTGGGGCGTGAGAGGGCGAGGCATAGTAGGGAGCGCTATAGCCACGGTGGAGCAGCGGTTTAAATGAAGTATACCCAGGCTGATACTTTGCAGGGTTGTGACATTGCCTGTCCACGACGGGCATGCAGTGAGCAGCCAAGCTTCTCGACGACACCTCGTTTCGTGTAAAACCCGGTCGAGGAACGTCACCCCCAAGACACCAAGGGTATGAATAGTCACCTCGAGACCGCGGCCTTGGCAGAGATGAAGGTTGACCCTCCACCTGCAGAAGTGGGATCTCGCGCAATGGTCTGGCCTGGCCGGGTGAGCCTGGGCAAAGCAGCCCGTCATCATGAGTGGTGACCGATTGGGAAAGATGACGAATCCCGCTCGTTACAAGCCACAAACAGTCCGAGACTTGTGCGAACAATGAGATTGACAAAGAATGGCCGAAGAGAAAGGACGTGAACCAAATAAAGCCACGAAACAAAGAATCAGGGTTGCAGAAGGAACCTGGGGTCGGGACAGGGACATGCACCTGCCGTCAGTTTAAGCTCCGTTGCGAACATGGGGAAGTCCCCGCAGCGCTAACCCCGATTAGGAACGAAAACTCGCAGTGGTAGGGCCGAACCCTTTCTGAGCGCAGGTTCGGGCAAGGAGCTGTGGCCGTTTGGGGCGGAAACCACCGATCGCCTGCATGGAAGGACCTCTAAGAAAATCTCCCGAATGCCCAGGACACAACAAATTGCGTTGGGGGAAGTCCCAATCTGGCACAGTTGCCCCTCTGAGACTCCATTGGGTATCAGCTCTCTTTTGCCTCAGCGATCAATGCGCGGCGTCTCTGCAACCTTCGGCACTTGTCAGCGGTGGGAATTGAACCTGGGGAAGCCTGGGGTCTCAGGCCCGCGAGGCTGCATCGCCAAGGCCCCGAGGTGCGTCACCCGCGCGGAGCAGACCTAGGAGAAGATCTTGTGAGAATCTTGTGAGATCTTCCCGAGGTGGAGGGAACCGCCCGGGCTTTGCGTGCCTGGTCTGAACACGTCCGTCCCGGAGCATCTTCCGGTCCATCCCCCTTTTCGGGGCGCACACCCCGCGCACACCTCCTAGCCTAGCGCACCAGTAGCGGGGATAGATGGGACGACCTATTCTCTTACTCTCTTCCCGCAAACCTTTCTACCCCCACTACCTTACCTAGATCGGGCTACTTCTTCTCCCTTCCCGCCGTCGCTACAGCCTTGAGCGTGTACTTTCGACTCGCACATGAACATGACAGGACCTCCTCGTACTAAATCCTTCCTTCGGAACTACAAAATCGCGCCAGAAAAGGAAGCTGTCGTGGAACACAAGCTCAAGCTTATCTCCCTCACACCCGGAGGCCGTTCGCGTATCCGCCAAAGTGCTGCAGCTGTCCTGCTGAGCCATTCCTCGTAACACCCCATCTGAGATTATGACCAGTTACTTGCCTCATTCTCTCCCGGGACTGTCCCAACCTCGGCGGGTTGTGCCCCATCTCGCTACACAAGCGAAGCACGGACCCTATCATGCTTCCTTGGTTGACCCCCTTTCGCGGGGACGGCTGAGAAAGTAACCAACCGCCCCGGACTTTGTTCCAAACCTTGAACAGCTTGAATGGGGCCGTGTGGCAACCTCGGAATTGCCTGGTCGCGAGGGCAAGAATGATGGTGCCCGGAAAGCAGTTGAGACATGCTAAGAGGCCGAATACGATTCCGGCCCGAGGCCTTGACTCACCTGGCCCGCGGCTTCTTCCGGCGTTGTGTGCATGTTCCTTCGTCAGCTTAGTCTGAACTTCGGGAATGATAGGGAGTGCTAGTCGATCGAGGACACCCACCGCGGCCTAACTTTAAGGCCGGAATGAAGACGGCGATTCTCGGAAAGGGAGGAGTCACAAAGATCGTGCGGGAGATCCATCCCACATGGTTACGCTGGGGATCTGGCCGCGATGCAGGTGGGTGGCATACCACCGGAGGATCGCTGGAGCTGGGCCTTGGTAAGATCTGTGCCCTCGGGGGAACTTTGGTAGCCAAGACAATGTGCTGGCGGCAAACCAGAAAAGAAAAAAACGAGGAGGGAAGGGCACCAGACTCCTCTTACCCTGCCTCAAACGTCACCGACACAGGACTTACGAAGACATGGATGAGAAGATTAGAGTTACACGGACGGCCAAGTCTTGCAGCATGCAAACGCTTACTCACGACCAGGGGTTGTTTACACAATCACACTGACCCACAGCAAACTCGCTCAATTGTGTTCACGATAGATGGTTTGATGGTCTACGGTTTGGGAAAACTAACATTGAATGCCCTCTAAACCGTACGATGATTACTCGCTATGGAAAACAACGATTGCTGACCGATTATACAAGCCCCTCGACCCACGCGTCCTCTTCCCAAACCGGAGACGCCAGTGAAACCAGCTCACCGGCCCAGCGCCGTCATGACCGAGAAAACACCGAGATACAGGGCCACGGCGTAAAAGAGAACGAACTTGGTCCAAGTGCCAAAGATGACCACACTCCCTAGCCCGTTGAACCCCCCGTTGATGAACGGCCCGTAGCCGTCCGCCAGCCGCTTACTGTGCAACATTGCCTCCGTCACAAGCCACACCAGCACCATCATAGCCAACACCACGAAGCTGAGGTTGAACCCACCCGCCTGCTGGAGCCATCGGGCCGGCGTTTGCGAGCTCCCTGCCGCTTGCAGGTCGGGGTCGTCTCTTCCGGCGAGGGTGGTGGTGCGGGCCTTGCTCTTGGTGTCGAGCCCGTTCTTGCTCTTGTTGCCAGGCTCGTTCGCCACAGTCTGCATCTTCTTCTCGAGTCCCTTGAGCTTTTCGTCGGCGGCCTGCATCTCCACCTGGAACTGCGCGATATCCGCGCGGGCCGCGTTGATTTGCCTTTGGCTGGACTTGAGTTGCTTTTCGATCCCCTCCTGACGAATCTCAATTTCGCCGATCTTGCGGGATAAGTTGCCCGTCCTCATGTCTATCGTGGTGAGCAGCTGCCTCTTGTCAGAAGCGCCTCGCCTCTCGACCTTCTCCAGCCGAGTCAAGAGAGCGTCGATCATATCGAGCGTTCTGTTAGACTCCTCCCTGAGGTCCTCGATTGCGGCCTCGGTGTCGAGGCCGCGGCCACCGTCGCTAGCGCCCGAGAGGGCATCGGCTGCCATGGCCTTCTCGACTTCCGCCAGAGATGCTGGGGAGTGGATAAACGTCGGCTCGCTAACTTCGTCGAACGCACGTGGCCGCTCCATGTCTTGGTAGAAGGAACGGATGACCTCCTTTTCCGCGTCGGTGAGGGGTCGTTCGCGGATCGCCTCGCACCGCCGGATCTGGTCCCGGACGATGACGTCCGTTTTGGACTCGCCCGGCTTCGGGAGGCTCCCCTTGAGGAACGGAGCGAAGTTGACATCGCTTACGCCATTCTTGGGAAGGAAGATGGGGGGTGGGCTCCTTTGAGGGTCTTGGGGGCGTGGTGTTGGAGAGAATGGGAGCGTTGACCCCTTTTTATCTATGGCGGGTATATCTTTCCCCTTGATATCAAGGATGCTCCGAGACAAAATCGAGTCGGAATTGTCTGAGAAATTGAGCGATGGTGTCGACTTTTGGCCGGTCTTTGCTTTGTCTTCGACAATATCCTGGCCTCCTACTGAGCTGTTGACCAAGGTACTAAGCGAACTTATCGGAGAATAAGTCCCAGGTTTCTTAAGGCCTTCCTGCTCCTTAAACATCTTGTCTGATGTTTTCTGGGGTGGTGCCCGGGTCTCATCGGCCCGCCCCTCGTTAGGTAACGGCTCGTCGCCAGAGCTGCTGTCCCTACTGCCGGCTCCAGTATCAGAAGCAGCGCCTGACGAGCTGTCGGACAGATCGTCCATGCCAGACCCGTTTGCCCTCAACAGTTCTTGTTCCAAGGTGGACGTAATGTAGGGCTGGGGCGGAGTCGGTACGTCATGGCTCTCATGTGTCTGTTCATTTTGCGGTTCCGTGTCTGAGCTCATGTCGCTCATACCTCCTCCCGACACCAGTGGGCAGGCGTCCACCTGGAAATCCCGTACGACAATGACTCCGGCAGGGGGCTGCGAAGAGTATGCTGGAAGTTGATCGGAGATTTTATCTTTGTACTCGTATCCCTCGATGGAAGGAGGCGTTTCCCGAACCGAGCTGGTTTGGATCCGATTAAAGATACGATCAAAAGCACTCGATTGGGCTTGCTTTTCGTGACCAATGTCCTCGTCCTCTTCAAGGCCCCCGTCCTCCCCGTGAGGCTTGTTCGCATCGCCAGGGTACAGGTTCTCTTTGGGGTGCTGATCGATCTTGCCGGGCTGCTGGTCTGCTTCATGGTATTGACCCTCTTCGCCCAGGGTCGGGTTCTCTGTGTGAAGTTGGCTTTCCAAAGCTCCCTCGATGTCATCGCTGGTATTAACAGTAGAAGATAAAGAGGAGACAGGGCTCGGCTGTTGATCGTCGGTAGCATTTTCACGCCGGTTTCCAAGGATCCGCTGACTAGCCCTTGTCGCAATATCTGAGGTGTTTGGCATATTTGTCGTCGCCATCCGCTTAGGACTATGCTTTGTCTGTGGTGTCTGAGGTTTGATAAAAATGAAACTGGTCGTATTATGTATTATTAGCGAGGTTAATATTGCTGGGCCGTAATACATCCCATATGCGTTGACTTCCCCGTGCTCCCTATATGTTACATCATCGACAAAGGGTTTGGCTGGAGGTCGTCCTTTGTCTCGCTAAACTCGCCTGATAATGGTATTATTGGCGGGGCCCCCAAAATAGCTTGGGTGCTAATTAAAGATCAGGGGTAAAAGGACAAAGGGCTGGGGAGGCCATTGTCAATAAAAGGAGGTTCTTTGAATCATGTGATAGTGATGTATCGGTAACACGGAACCGCGTCTCGAACAGTGTCATGTCTCTCCCATGGAGTCGGATGGCGGGTTCAATGCGTTATCAGAATCTCCGAAAATCCTCAGGAGGCTTGGGGCTACCCACACTATTCATTCTTTATACCATTCCCAAGGTTCACCGTGTACCAGTACCATAATACGTACATGGCTCCTTAGGATAGACATGTCATCATGATTTGCCAAACTACCGAAACGAAAGACAGATGAAGACAAGCAAAGCAAATCATCCCCCTAAAGCCGACGCCAGATCAACTCCAAACACGCCACACACCGGTGAAGCACTCCCAAGATACAACCGAAGCCCCCAATCTAACACCCCAAAGAACACCCGACGCCCCAGTTTAAGCCCCAAAGAATATAGCATCCCACTGTCGTGTCTTGTTATCTAACGTCAACCTCATCAACTCCATAGAGCATCCCCTTTTACCAGTTGGTTCCCCTCCGGCCCAGAGCCAGCCCTCGTCCTTTTTTTCCTCCCATGATCAGCAGGCGGCGTGGTCATCCACATGGCGGAATCAAGACCCGGGCTCTCCTGGGGCGCCATAAACGGCACTTCCTGGGTGGGTGAGAGATCATAGGGAGCTCGCTGGTGAACCGGGTTATTCCGCGGCGACATAAGCGGCGAAGGGTGCGCCGGGAGCCCCGGTGTCATCCCCCCTCTCGGCGTGTACCCCGGGCTGAACCTGGGCGATGCGGAAGGAGATGTGTATGGGAGCGAGATGACGCGTTTGTCGATGCGGGAACTTCGGTTCCGCCGGTGCCGTCGGAGTCGCAGGGGGAGGGTGTCCGGCCTGTCGGGGGAGGTGGCCATGGGGGATGTTGGTGCCCAAGCAGCCCCGAAGGCCTTACCGGAGGGGCACACGGCGAGGATAAGGGCCGCGACGAGAACGGGGGTATCGTCGAGGAGGAACGAGGTGACTTGTGAGCTGGCAAATGGGCTGTTCAAGCCGTCGGCGAAAATGGCGATCCGTACTGACGTTCTGAGCATGAGCAGGAACGAAACCACCTGGATGCCTATCGTGTGAGTGTTAACAGGCGGTTGTGGTTTTGTTAAGCAGGGGTTAAACACACAAACCATGAAATATCTGAACCGGCGGGATTGATACACGAAGGCATATCTGTCGTCGAGGATATAACGGCGATGGGAAAGTTTGTACCGAAAATAGCGATATGTTCCTAAGAAGGCAAGTAGATTGGCCGCTTGAATGGCAAGGCCGGTAAGGAGAATACTGGCGCCTTGGGAAACCTGTTCAGGGGAAATAAGCAAACGACCCATATCTCTGGACACTAGGGCTTCAAACCTCGGCAGCCGTGTGAGCCGTGGAAGCAAATCCTATCCCAACGGACTGGAAGGCCAGGGCAAAAATGTCAAGAACGAAGAAGAGGATATTCAGGTAGACGGGATCCGACACGATGCGAAACTCCTCGCCATAGATAACCAAGGCGTGGGGAAGGATCAGGTTCGTAGCGGATCCGATCAAGATGGCGCCCCAGTGTGTCCCCATGAGATAGACGGCGGAATAGGCGTGACTAGTCGGGTTGGCGACTAGGAAGATCTTGCCGACGTGACCAACAACCTCGAATGCAAGTGCTGCCAGGAGCAGAAAGGTGTGTGCCAGCGTTCTGTACCGAAATCCTGCGTATATAACGGGCAGAATCAGGGCGGCGAAGGCAGCAAGCATAAAGGCGTTACCTGCCGGTGTCGCTCCGTACGGCAGAGAGCCCGGCGGGATAGGGCAAGCCTCACCGGAGCAGTCCCCGACAGCTAGCATGGTATATGGAGGAGTGGAGACGCCCTTGCCCTCAACGATGGTGACGAGGTAGACCGGGCATCAGTCGACGCGGGCGAGAAAGTGGTATACAGGCCTGGGCGAGAAAGTCATTGAGATGGGCGTTCAGCGAGGAGGCAGGACAGAAGAGTGTAAATATGTTTTCTATCGTTGCATTGCGGGACGTGTTCGTAAAGTGGCGGCCCCGACAGTCTGGCACTTAGGCCGCAGGGCGCTTAACATGCACGGCTTGGTGCTGGAGGGGGGACAGGGGGCCTAGAGGAGGACGATAATGACCACGCCGTGGCCTCGGCCCGGTGTCTAAGAAATTCGGCGGGGGGCCGGCAGTCCGGCCGGTTAGTCAAACCCGACGAACTTCGGTAGTGAGAACATGTTTGCCATCCCATGGATAAGGCATTTGCCTCTTCCACAGCAGCATCACAACATCACGATTCTGTATGTCTCTGCCCCCGCACCCGGCTGTCCCGATGATGCTGGTATCCGATGGGCGCAGAAGAAATGCGCCGAACCACAATGCAGCCGGCCCAGCCACCAAACCGACAAGAAGGTTCGCTACGTAGGTCCTTGTCGAGGTGGGATTTAAGCAGACAGCCTTGCCGTTGGCGGCCGGCTGGGCACTCGGGAGTCAACCGATACTTCGTACTGTGCTTTTCCACATCGTTGCGGTCACTGATAGCCAAGGAAGGCAGGCTCCAACGCGCCATAACCGCGCTCAATTGGCCGTCTGCGATGCAAGTGAGAATGTTGTTGGTTGTTGGTTCTCGACCGCCACCGCACATGCTCCTTGAAGGACCAATCGGGAGCGTGTTACCGGCTGAGGATGATCAAGGTCTGGCGAAGCCGACCGTCGCCGGCAAAAACAACCTTGTTTGGGGGTTCGGGGGCCGCATTATGCACAGTATGGCTACCTAACATGGCAAAGCAGGGCTCGCGGGGGCTGGTTATCGCATTCTTTCCGGCCGCAGTTGTGGTTGCAGTGTTGCACGTCGATATCGCTGCGTGCAGCCGACTGATTCAGTCGCGTCAAATTCGAGCGAACGATGACCTAGCCAAGCAACTCGCAAGAGAAAGGCTGCGGGGCAATGTGAGTCGAGAGAGGTTGAAGCGATGAAGTTGTTTTGTTCGGCTCCAATCAACTGCCTGGAGGTGAAAGAAGGCAGCTGATGATTGCCATGCCAAGGGTAGATCAACACAGTGAATATTGTTTTTTTGCACTCGTAATACATACTGTGCTTGCGAGATCGTCATCGCTTCCTGCCAGAACTGGGCTGGGCTGAGCCAATTGTCACCAACACGCATCTGCAGGCGGAACTGACCGATTTCCCCCATGAGCCGGCGGCCGGGTATCTCGAATCAAGGAAAACGGAAGCACCGCAAAAGAAACTATCACGAAAATATCACGAAAACAGAGGAGACTTACATGTGCATTGTTATTTCGTAGCTTCTAAAACGTGAAGCAGCTTGTCTCATCTTTTTTCTCCCTGGTTTTCTTTTCTCCCTTTTTTTGGTGGTGTTAATGTTAACGAGGTAGGGAGTTGACGGCAGATCAATGCAGAGGTTGCCAGTGGCTTTTCGGTCCGCGTCATGGCTTGATCCTGTCGCGTCCGTCCGCCCTTATGCAGGAAACCAGACGATTTGTCGGTCTGCAGGTCCAAGACGGCACTTGGGCGTCTATGCACCTCTTTGCCGCCATCTTGCACCAACAGACGCGCGGATCAAGGGTCTGGGCAAAGAGATAGCCGACGAGTATGCCCTGCTCAGGGACAGTTACAGTATGTCCCCCCTGAGGGAGTCTTGATGCGCACTGTTGTCAGTCGAATGGAGGCTGACACGTTGCGCCAAAGAAGCCCCCAAACACCCCATCGTACTTGCCCATGGTCTGTTGGGATTCGCCGAGTTGAAGCTGGCCGGATCCTACCTGCCTAGCATTCACTACTGGCACGGAATCAGAGAAGCTCTCAGTGCTAATCATGCCGAAGTCATCACCGCCTCGGTGCCCCCAAGCGGCTCCATCGAGAAGCGGGCCGCCAAGTTGGCCGAGGACATCGAAGCCCAAGCGCACGGCAAGAGCGTCAACATCGTGGCTCACAGTATGGGGGGCTTGGACGCCCGGTACATGATCTCTCAACTCCAACCCACCAGCTTCAAGGTCAAGTCTCTCATCACCGTGGCCACCCCACACCACGGCAGTCCCTTTGCCGATTATCTCATCGACGGCATCGGGCCAAATTATCTGCCTCGTTTATACCATCTCTGGGAGCGGACGACCGGGTGGGAGCCGAACGCCTTTGCCCAGCTCACGACAAAGTACATGGCCGAAGAGTTCAACCCCAAGACCCCGAACAACCCGACGGTGCGCTACTTTTCGTACGGCGCCACGGTCAAGCACAAACCGCCGTTGTTGAGCCCGTTCCGTCACGCTCACCGCGTGATTGAAGAGCGCGAGGGGCCAAATGACGGCCTCGTCAGTGTCGAGAGTAGCAAATGGGGTAGTTACAAGGGGACCCTACTGGGCGTCAACCATCTCGACTTGATCAACTGGAGCAATAGGCTTCGATTTACAGTGCAAAAGTGGATGGGCCACCCACCGTCGTAGGTCTTGTCCCTTTGTCTGCTGCCTTGGGGTTACTAATCTAACATGTTGCTGTTTTTGTAGATTTAATGCAGTGGCTTTCTATCTCGACATTGGTGATATGCTGGCTGAGGAAGGGTTGTAGGCCAACGCAGGGTTCATATCCCAAGACCACTTCAAGTCTAGGCAACTACTGCTTTCGCCAGCCTTTCTAGGCCACCCGACGCCGGCTAGACGCTTTGGGGCCTTTCCGGGTAGCTGCACCGGGTGCAGAAGAAGGCCCGGGACTGAACCAGCTGTAGGTCCCCTTCTTATGCCCTTCGTGCTTTTCTTGCTCTGCTAACAAACAAACGGGTAGTCACCAGCAGGAAACAACATTGTAGGCCAAACCCCCGGTGGTCTCACCGCTATAAACGCTCTCCATTCTGTAGCGCCGGCGCTGCCTTGGAAGCACAGACACGTGGTGGCTTGGGACACCGAGTGCAAACTCCATGCCGCTGTTTCACGGCATACAGCTGGCGCCTGCGGGGAATTGCGCTCCCTTACCAAGACGAAAGACGTAGTTTACGATCTGATCGGTCCTAGACATGCTCCGGACTCGCGGCAGCCGGGCACATAGGATAGAGCCAAAACGGTCTTCAGCTTTAAGCGGGGGTGAACGAAACAGAAGACCGCGGGCCTTGTGCCAATCAGAACCTGCAAGCAGACTGGCTGCACCCCGCAGGTATCTGCAGACAATACATCCAAGCTGAGACTTTCTCATTGTCTTCGAGTCTCACATCCATGCATCACGACATCGAATCTCGGCGGTAATCCGCCAGGCACACACACGGCGGCTGTGCGTAGTTTGCTGTTGGCCTTCTACTTGTTTATGCGCCAGCGGCGCAACAGATGTGCATGTTACACGGCTTCAGCGATGAAGGCCGGTCAAACAAGGTCTGAACCTCGGTTGCTTCACCGAATTCTGACGGTCAACGAAACCAAAATCGAAGTACCGAAGTGTGCTTGCGAGGCACACGAGCTGGACAAGACGCTTGGCACCCAAAGCTTGTGCCTTCCTTCGACGTTTGCGCAAGTAGCGCATCCATTAGCAGGCGGTGTGGCGCTTGCGCCGTTAACGTAACACCGTCTCGGCCCAGTGACCTGGCTTCGATGTTGCGTTGGCTGTCAGCGGATGGCGATGGGAGAATCGAGAGATGTTGAGGGGGGTCGTGTGTGCATGGGTCCGTGCATGCAATGGATCGTCATGGGCACTTCCAATTAAAGAATAGCGTAACTTCTTGCAAGTGACGATCGCGATCCCTGCTTGCGCTCCACACCACACCACGACCGAGCATGGCGCCTCGTTTGGCCAACTTCACGGCACCTTCCACATCCTTCTTGGTGCTTTTCTCCTCCCAACCATCTCGGCCCCTCTCGCTTCTCCATTCATTATCCTCGTGGCCTAATGGTTCCGGGCAAGTTATCAGGGAAAATCATCGGCAGTACCTAAGGCGGTAGCAACCTTTTTGTCCCAAGCTGCCTCATTCAACCCGAGCTGCAATGATTAACACATCCATGTCTCGGATTCCGCAGCCTCTTTTCGAAGACTCCGCGACGGCGGTCATCGAGTAGGCAGGTAGGTAACTACCTAGGTACCTACCTATGTATTTATCTCGTTCGGTAGGCACTGTAGGTAGGTAGGCGGGGCTCCTTCCGGCAGTCGCTGGACCGGCGTTCCGGGGGCATCCTCCGTGTCCCTCCGTCCCCGTTCCCCGCTCTCCGTCGTTTTCACCTCGGCAAGTCCCGGACCCTTTCCACTTCAGATAGCCCAAGCAGTAATGTAGATGACCATTAACAGTGCCGGGACTCTCCCCCGGCCCGTCGTTCTTCAGCTTTCTTACCCGATTTTCCAGCCATTCCCATGATCCCAAGACATGGGCGGAGGACGTCATTTGGGTCATTCGGGCGGCGGCTGGAATGCTTCTAAGTGTAACTACACAAACCCCTTCGGCAACTCCATCCCTTGTGGTATGCGCGTGGTCATGTCACTTGGCGTACCCGGAATCTTGGCGTGGGACACCAGCTTCGTCTCTTGTCCCACATCGCGCATGCCGACCTAGGGCCCATGAGCAGGTCCCGCGCCGCCCGAAGACACCCCTTCAAATGGTTCCCACAGAGGACCCGTATGGTATATTCAACTTCTCCCTCGGACGAAATGCCACTGTAATCGACGGAAAGATGTGTTTTGCTACCACTCGTCACCTTCTCTTTTTAGATACACCTTCCTTAACTTCTCAGGCTGTAGCTGTTATGTGTACAGTACCTCGGAACCCCCAGGGAGCCCATCACTGCTCGTTTCTGCTGTTGCTGCTGCTGCTGCTGTACCACGCATGGTGAATCTTGCCCCCTATTCCAGTGCCTGCCTGCCTGTCTTGTGCCACTTCTCCGATGTTGCTGGCCGTTTACAAAAGGCCCCGGCCTCCCGTCCCGGCCCTTCCCCTTACAACTTCCGGATACTCATCAGCCGGGTCCCTTGTGTATCTGGACCCTTCGGAGACCGCGTTTCGGCGTGCCCTGCGAATTCCATTCTTATTTCGAGCATATTTCTTAGCAGCCGTGGAACCCCCTTTGCTTCCGACCCTTTCTCATTCTTCACTTTCCCAACAACAACTACTCCCATACCGCATTATTCTCGTGCTAAACCATGTGGCCCCTAACGATTCTGGCTACGCTGTTGGCTCTAGTTGCCAATCTTGTTGCTGCCGCCTCCTCATTCTCGCCAGCAAAACCACCAGCAGTGCCCCTGGCTGTGAGGTCACCATATGTGAACGCTTGGCTCCAGGGGGGCTCCGGGGCTACCCTCCCGGGCGCCTGGCCCCGGCATTGGACGTAAGTGGCGCTCGCTCTCTTGGTTTCCGACTACATGTAACTTACTGTATACACAGGGGCAACGTCCTGGGCTGGCAAGGCCTGGTAGCTGTGGATGGGGTGACTTACAACTGGATGGGCGGAGCACCAGGCCCGGCGCATGTCAACCAGGTGTCGCTCGAGTACACCTCGACCAAAAGCATCTTCACTTTTGACGTGGATGGGAAAGTCACCTTGACCGTCACCTTCCTGTCCCCGGTTTACCCTGACGATATGGCGCGACAATCACAACAGTTTTCCTACATTTCTGCCAAGGCAAAGTCAGCCGATGGGGCATCCCACCGGGTCCAAGTCTACATGGATGTCTCTGGAGGTACCATTCTCCGCCTCTCTAGGCCTGTGGTATATTTACTTTGCTAACGTCATGTTTAGAATGGGCTAGCGGAGATACTTCCCAACTTGTCCAGTGGGATACCGCCACTGCCGGGGAGATCGCTTACCACAAGTTCTTCCGTCAAAACCAAGAGGAGTTTAGGGAATCAAGTGAGATTGCTAGCTGGGGGAACTGGTACCTAGCTACGCGCGCTGGTGACGGTGTAAGCTGTCCCGTTTATGCCTTACATGGGGAGCGTGATGGGACTAACAAACCCGGAATAGTCGACTTGGCAAATCGGACAGGACACAGCGGTGCGAGGCCAGTTCGCGGACAGCGGGCTTCTTACCAACACCAAAGAGTCTAACTTTCGGCCAGTGAGCGAGAAATGGTACATCCCTTTCATGAACGAGGCCTATAAAGATACCGGCTGACCAGTCCAGGCCGGTATTCGCATTCACCCACGATTTGGGTGACGTGAAATCAGACGACGTGGAGAGAGTCTTCACCCTCGGTTTGGTCCAGAATCAGGCCATTCACTTTGCCGGGCAGACCGGCCAGTTAGAGCCGGTCCCGGGGCTCTGGTCGTCATACTATGAGGACGAGATCTCGGCGCTCGTCGCCTTTTACAACGACTATCAACACGCTAACGAAGTGTCCTCCGCCCTGGACCAGCGGATACGGAGTGACTCCGAGAGTGCTGCAGGAGAGGATTACGCTGTCCTCACCACACTCGCCGTCCGCCAGACCTTTGGAGCGCTGCAATATGCCGGCACCCCTTCAAAGCCGTATATCTTTCTCAAGGAGATCAGCTCGAACAGCGACATCCAAACTGTCGACGTCATCTTCCCTGCTTATCCAATCTTCATGTATCTCAACGCGACGCTTGGAAGGTACTTGCTCGACCCGCTGTTCGAGAATCAGGAGAGCGGGGCGTACCCGAACGACTATGCTGAGCACGATCTCGGAACGTTCCCCGTAGCCAGGGGCTACCCGGCTGGAAACGATGAACCAATGCCGCTGGAGGAGTGTGGAAACATGGTTATCATGACATTGGCCTATGCTCAACGCACTGGTGACACCGCCTACCTCTCAGCCCACTACCCCATCCTGTCGCAATGGGCAAAATTCCTGGTGGAGGAGTCTCTGATTCCAGCGAACCAACTTAGCACTGATGACTTTGCGGGAACTCTGGCGTAGGTCGTCTTCCGTCTCGGAAATTAGCCGCTTACTGACCAACATCGTGTAGCAACCAGACCAATCTCGCCATCAAAGGCATCATCGGGCTCAAGGCCATGTCTCAAATTGCTCAGCTGACCAACAATGATGACACCTTCGGAGAGGTAGCTGATAGATATTTGGAGGGCTGGAAAGGGTTGGGCATCAACTCCCAGGCGAAGCCCCCTCACACGACGCTAAGTTATGGAGACGGCGACAGTCATGGTACTTAAACACCTTTTACCCCTTTTTCTCCAGTTTGAAACCGAATACTAAGCCTCGGTCCAGGCCTCCTTTACAACATCTATGCCGACAGATTGCTTAACCTCAACTTCATCGACCAGTCCATTTTCGATATGCAGAGCAACTTCTACCCCACGGTCGCTAAAGAGTATGGCGTGCCCCTCGACACGCGGCACACGTGGACCAAGTCAGACTGGGAGATGTTTGCGGCCGCCGTGGCCAGCGAGTCGACGCGGGACATGTTCATCTCCAAGCTGGCCCACTGGGTCGGGACAACGACGTCGGATCGGGCCATGACCGACCTGTACGACTCCGAGACGGGAGGGTATCCGGCGAACGGGCCGTACTTTGTTGCGAGACCGGTGCAGGGGGGGTTGTTTGCTTTGCTAGCGTTGTCCCATGAGTAAGGACCGAACTACGAGATAGGTACTGGCCATGGATTGGCTGTCGAGAGTTTGCATTGATTTGAAGTTTTGAACGCCAAAGGTTTTACCACATGAGATCCAAAGGGTGCTAGTTTTCTTTTTCTTTCAGACAATTACCACCATCGAGTGTTTCCCCTAGACATGAATAATAGAGACGGGTATCGATGCGTTCTGGGAGTACTTTGTCCCAGACCATGGCCTCAGGCTGGTTCTCGCTCGATTTGCGACGCGGCTCGAGTAGAGTAACCACGGCAACCCATCTAACTCGCGAAGGCCGAGTTCAAAATGGTCCGGTTGTGGTTCGATGATTGGCGGTTTGGATATTGCCACAACGGGAAGGAAAGAGGAAGGGCGGGATGTTCCGGTCGTTACATGCCGAGAGGAGGCTTTTGCTGGCGCAAGGATCATTAAACGATCTGAGCGGCTCGATCCTCCTTGGAAGAAAATCATAAGTTCCGCAGTAACGAATTCACAGGTGACAGGGATCCCACCAGCAACCGCATGAATTGGCGTCTCGCAGCATAACAACCCGAGATGATGTCAACAACGAGTGGGTGTTTTGAAAGCAAGACGTCAGCTCTTCTCTACCTATATAGTTGGTAATATAGTGACGTTTTCCTACGACTTATCCTCTCAGATTATCCTAAAGAAGCATACATTTCAAACACCATCCACCGAGCTTGTTTCAGCTGGAGTGGCTGGGTACCCGCTTAACTTGGTCATTAGTGTTAGTGAACGACTACCAAGCTCTCGCAAGCTCAAACTCCACTCCCCACTTTCAACTGCACCATCACTGGCCATCCCACCTTCATGCCTTCCTCCTAACCGCACTCTTGCCCCTCACCTCACAGAAGTCGTCTACAGAACAACAACACGATAGCTAGGCTCACGAATCTTGCCATTTCGATTTAACAAAACACACCTAGCGGTGTTCGTCCGCAACTAGCAGACAACACGAGCATTTGATTGACGGGCGAATCGATCGTTCAATCGGGTACGGCTTTGGGAAACGCTGCAACCATGAATCCTCACCAGGCAAAGAAGGTCGACGTCAAGGTGAGTCGCCCACTCTGTTTTACCGTTCTCAGCATAGTGCGGTAGGCATTTTGAACGCTGGGGTATAAAATAAAGCTGCCTTGAGCTGCCGTTGCCACACCCGTACTAACATGACTCGACCCCGCAGTCCCTCTCTCCCGAGGAGCAGCGGCTCTTCCGGTTGTATGGCAAACTCCCCAACCGCAGCGACCACTTCGCCAAGCATCTCAAGGACCGCAAGTACTTCGACAGCGGCGACTATGCCATGAGCAAGGCCGGAAAGGGCGACAGCGTCGACACGGGCGCCGTCGGCAGCCAGCACCCCGTCCCCGAGAACATCCCCCATCTCTCGAGCCCGATCAGCGGACCCAACGGCATCGGCAGCCCGTTACACCCCCATCACCACAACCAACACCACCCCGGTCTGCAAGCCGGCAGCCCCGTGAAGGAGAGCAGCTTTCTGAACCGCGAGACCAACGCCGAAGACATCGAGGCCAACAAGACCTCTGACGAGCAGCAGCAGCAGCAGCAGGAACAGTCCCCTATCGCATCCGAAGAAACAACCCAAGTGGCCGCTGGCGAGCAACAAGAGCTCCCTGTCCGCCGGTGAGCGAAGTGAGCGAAGTGAGCTCGAGAATACGGGACATGACATGCTGCGTTCGTTGCTTTCGGGGGATTGTTTTGCGCTCGGAGAACCAGGCTATGCTTTACGTCTTCTTTGAAACGTACCTTGAGGTATCACCGATAAATTGCGCGCCCTGATCGGGAACCACGAAACTTCGAAAATGATTATGGCGTTGGGTTGGGTTGGGTTGGGCTGGGTTGATTCACTTTGATGATGATGACATGAGAGGTTCGCGGATAACGGGGATCCGACTAGGACTGTCTTGCTTTCTGTACTTATTCCGTTGCCGGTGCGGGTCCACGAAGCATTCTGGCATCATTTATTCCCTCCAACAAACCGACATCGATCGTTCCCTCGCCGACCGCCGGTCCCCGGCCGCCGAGCCGTTTGCGGCAGTTAGCAGAGCCGAGATTGACGAGCCGGGTGCGAAAGAGCGCTCGATGGGCTCTAGGACACTTGGGCACGGGGAGAGAGACACGAACATGGAAGGGCCAGCCTCAGATTGGGTTTTATTGTTCAGTACCATCTGTATCACATGTATCTTAGCCTTTCTTGGTCGATAGCAAGCCTATGGAGTTCAAGGCCATCGTTTTGCTGGCGAGACCTCGATGGGGAGTTAACCGGGTGAGGCATCCTTCCACGGCGACCGTGTTGGGCAGTCAACTGGCGAAGCGCTGCGGCGATTTCCCCAGAAGATTTCCCGGCCCTGGCGTCGCAGCCTCGCTCGTCTAGCTGCCCAACGCCTGATGGTCAGGAACGGCCCGCTTGGGCAGCGACAGAGCCACCTTGGGCACATCTGTGGAACCCCTCAGATTTCGAGCGCCTTCTTTGCCATGGCAAGGGCACCCTCGAAAGTCTTGTTGCCTCCGATGAACCCCGAGGCATGCACGAAAACGGAGCCGCTCACTCCGGATATCCCATCCAGCTCCTCATCACGGGAGCCCCTCCACGCCTCAGGCAGTGGTTTCCTGCTCTCGAACGAGTCCTTGGCGACTGGCACACACTGGATCCTCCACTTCGCATCCGGGACCGGCTTCTCCGGGTATAGCACGTAGAGCACCTGGCTACCCTCGGGCTGCTCACCCTCCAAGGTGTAAAGGTGATCCTTCCACGGCGCCGACTGGCGCTTCATCACCATGATACGACCTTGGCTGTCGAATTCCTGCCGTCCGTTAAACGCCTCAGCAACCACTTCCCGCGCGGGCAGCCAAGCCTGAGTGAAATAATCCAGGTCACGGTCGAACTCCTCACCGATGCGCTGGCTGGCTTGCGTGAACCGCTTGTCCTCGGCCTCCTGCGCCGCGGCGGGGTCCTCCGGGGTGGGGTCGTTCCAGTTGCCGTTCAGGCGGCCGACCATGGCGCCCAGCGTGAAGCCGCCGTCGGAAAACTTCTTCTGCACGCCCGCGGCGGCGAGCGCGGCCGAGTCGTAGGCGTTGATGCCGTTGTCGTGCGCGTCCAGCGCCTCGACGAAGCTCTCGTAGATCTTGCGCCACACCATGCCCACCTGCTCGCTGTCCTCGGCCTGCGCCAGGCGCCGCGCGATGATCTCGCGCCCGAAGTGCATGTACACCAGCCCCGCGCTGCTCAGCTTGGTCTCGCGGCCGGGGAAGGTGGTGGCGAAGGTGCGCTGGTGGTGGTCGAAGCGGTTGCGCGCCGCGTCGTACTCGCCGCCGACGTCCACCACCGTGTGGCACTCCTCCAGCAGCTTGGGGTCGCGCGTGCGGACGAGCTTCGCGCCCGAGTACGTCGGGATGTGCGTGCGCAGCATGTGCACGGCCAGCGCCTCGTCGGCGTGGAAGTGGCCGTTGTGTGTGGCGATGGCGACCACGCCATTGTCGGTCTTGAGCCGTTTTGCTGCGTTTTCAGCCATTTTGAGGGCGAATGTTCGGAACATGCAATGGGTTGGTCGGGTGTAATGTACTAAAGAGAGGGTCGAAATCGGGGAAAATATTGTGCTATTTTTGACTTATGGGGGGGTTTCCCAGAGGGGTGAACGGTGCTTTGGAGTTCTCCATAATTCGGCAATGGAACTGTCGTTGAAGTCTGGAACCGGCTGTATCAAAGCCGAATTTACCCCCTGCTACACCGCGTATTGTACCCAACGCGGCGTAAGTACGGTAATCACAACGAAAAGCTCTCCATCGTTACGTTACTTATCCCTTCAACCACCGGACTCCAATACAGGGGTGCAACGCGCCATCCAACACGATGACAATCAACGGCTCAGCCTTTTGTCCCTCCCTCGCCCGCAGCCGCGAATCCGCACAGGCCGCCAGCCCGAACGCCCTTGTTTTAAATTATTCATCAACTCTGCATCTCCAACGGAAATCCGAACCCCAAACTTCATCAACTATTCAATTGACACACCCCCAAATACCACACCCATGGAAGTCGCTGCGCGTAGCCGGCTCGACATGAAGGTCAAAGCCGAGGATGATTCTGGCGACGTCCGAATGACCGACGAGAAGCCCACCTACCGGTCATGGAAGAAGAAATACCGTAAGATGCGCATCATGTTCGACCAAAAGATGCACGACGGCGAAGAACTTCACAGGCTTGAACAGAAGGCGCTGGCCACTGCCAAGAGACTCGCCGTACAGAAAGAGTACGCTTCATCGCCATCAATCCCCTTTTTGACGGCGTGACTTACTTACTGACCCTTTATCAGTCGGTTACTCGATCTCCTTCTCGACGTCAACAATTCGGGTCAGATCCCGCCCGACAAGCAAATAGATCTCGCGGTCGACCTCCCCTCCGACGACACCGCGCTCTTCTTAGACTTCGACCGGCCGTCGACCCCTCCGCCCGACCAGACACCAGCCAAGCCCTACAAGAAACTCCTCCAAGAAGTACCACACTTCAGATTCTCGTCGGCCGCCGAGCGCTTCCCGGAGCTGCTCGCAGACCTCGAAGCCGGCCGGGACTCACCGGCGGACCCGGCCCAGGGGCAGTCCCACCCGCCATCCTTCCTCACCGCCGACGACCTCGACAACTACATCTGGGAGCTGGACGCGCACCTCGCCAACGAGGACGCGGCGGCGGGGACGGGCAAGACGGACGCGGTGCCGCTGCCCACTCTCGCGCCGCTCGCGCACGCGGACCGGCCCAACCCCAAGGACTCGCAGCGCGACTTCGCGGTGCGCAACCCGACCTCGGTCTACAACTGGCTGCGCAAGCACGCGCCCAAGACCTTCCTGCAGGACGGCGAGCACGACAAGGACGGCGGCAAGGAGCACGCCGACGAGGGCCACGGCGGGCACGGCCACGGCGCCGGCGCCGGCACCGGCCGCCGCGGCAAGGGCGAGCGCGCGCCCCGCGGCACGGGCTCTGCGCGCTCCAAGCGCACCAGCGCCGCGCACGGCCGCGCCACCGCCACCGCGACGGAGAGTTTCGAGGACAACGACGACGAGCCCGGCTATGGTGGTGCCGGCGGCGGAGGCGGCGGCGGTGCGGCAACGCCCGGCGCGGCGGGCGCCGGCAGTGTCGTGGGCAAGGGCAAGCGGAAGAGGGTCGTGGACGACGACCCCGGGTACAGGCCGAAGGGCGGCTCGAGTCGGCCGACCAAGAAGAAGCGCAAGAGCGAGGGCGCCGAACGGACGCCGACGGCCAAGGGGCCGCGGAAGAGCGAGGCCACTGTTTGGTCGGGACACAGCGCGGCCTCGGAGAGGAGCTCGTCGGCGAAGGGCTCGAGGAAAAGTGAAGGGGCCGCTTGGTCTGGGAGACGTGATGATGACTGATTCTACCCGACCGTCATGATGGGAGTGGCTTGGCGTTCACGCGGTTGATAAGATCATTTCTCGACCCGGACGCCTTGCGAAACCGCATGGGGTAAAGGGTTGGGGGGGTTCATGTCGGACGGTCAGGGCTATAACCAGGCATTTCTGTCTGGTGTTTGGAAGCTGAGACGGTGACTGGGGATAATATGGATTACGGGGTTTAGATTGGAGGTTTCTGGTAGTAAAGCGACATATGGCGCGGGCGAGGCGTTCCCTTTTTGCTAGCTTGTATCAGTATCCTGATGTTCGTGGAAGTGTCTTCTGCAATTCATCGATTATCCCGTCTGATGAGCGCGGTAAAAACCACGCGACTCACTCCCCTCTTGGGTCGGTCGAGCTCCTTGGAAGGAATGCGATTGCGTGACGTTAAACGGGTTGGGAATTACTTGTATTTTTTGGCTCTCCCAGCCGCTTTATATACAAGAAACTGCTATGTCCTAACCCTCAGCACTCGGGATATACATAGGAATGCTGGTGACGGGCAATTGTGGCACGCCCGGCAGAACCGAGCATGCATATCCAGAAATGTACTCCGATGTCCAATATGAACACCCAAAAAATCAGGTAGCCCTGCTTCCAACATCTACCCAGGTATGACCATCGTCCCCCTTGTGAAAATGGCCACCAATAAACGGAATGAAATCTCAGATATCCTGTGGTTCAAATCCTGTAAAATCCTAACAGCCGGAAATGGTATCGGTTGGTATCATTGGTCCCTTAGAGCTTTTCCTTCAGGCTCTGCTTCAACCTCCTCTCGACGGCGCTCAGGTACTCGCCAGTCGTGACGTAGTCCTCGCGAGCGGACTTGCCGCACGCAAGAGCCAAGTCCTTGGTCATGATACCGTCGACGTCGACCGTGTCGATGCAGGCACGCTCGAGGCCCTCGGCGAAGGCGACAACTTCGGGAGTCTCGTCTAGCTTGCCACGTTGGATCAAGCCGCGGGTCCAGGCGAAAATGGAGGCAATTGGGTTGGTCGAGGTCTCGCGGCCCTTCTGGTGCTCGCGGTAATGGCGGGTAACGGTGCCGTGAGCGGCTTCGGACTCGAAGGTCTTGCCGTCGGGGGTGATAAGGACCGAGGTCATCAGACCCAGAGAGCCGAAGCCCTGGGCGACGATATCGGACTGAACGTCACCGTCATAGTCTACCGGCTCGGTTAGTCATTCCTTTCCACCAAGGGAAGGACAACGACATTCGGACTGCCAACTTACTCTTCAAGGCCATAATGTAACCGCCGCTGCTCTTGACCATCTGAGCGACCATATCGTCGATCAGGCGGTGCTCGTACCAGATGCCCTTGGCCTCAAACTGAGCCTTGTACTGCGCCTCGTAAAGGTCCTGGAAGATGTCCTTGAAGCGGCCGTCGTACTTCTTAAGGATGGTGTTCTTGGTGCTCATGTACAAGGGCAGGCCCTTGTCAAGAGCGAGCTTGAAGCTTGCATGGGCGAAGCCTGTGATGCTCTCATCGGTGTTGTACTGGGTCTGGGCGACGCCGCCACCGTTCTTGAACTGGAACACCTCGATCTCCTGCGGTTCACCACCAGCCGGGGTGTAGACCATGCTGAGCTTTCCCGGGCCGGGGACGACGAGGTCCTTCGCGCGGTACTGGTCGCCGAAGGCATGGCGGCCAATGATGATGGGCTTCTTCCACCCAGGAACCAAGCGAGGAATGCGGGGGATGACAATGGGCTCGCGGAAGACAGTACCGCCGAGCGCATTCCGGATGGTGCCGTTGGGCGAGAGCCACACTGTTGACAAAGAAATCCAGGTTAGCTTCTCGGCACTTTACTCAGCTAGTCACTGCAGCCAAAGGCAGCTCCTGGGCTCAACATACTCTGCTTCAGCTTGAATTCCTCAACACGAGCCTCGTCGGGGGTGATGGTGGCGCACTTCACGCCCACCGAGTACTTCTTGATGGCTTCGGCGGCATCCAAAGTAACCTGATCGTTGGTCTCGTCGCGGTACTCGAGGCCGAGATCGTAGTACTTGAGGTCGACGTCCAGGTAAGGGAAGATAAACTTCTCCTTGATATCCTTCCAGATGACGCGGGTCATCTCATCGCCATCGAGTTCGACAACGGGGTTCTTGACCTTGATCTTGGCGGGGGCGTCGGTAGCCATTGTGCGACGATTGATCAGAGAGTAGACGAAAACAGGGGCGGCGCGGGGCACGGAAGACGCGGGTGTGACACGGAAACCGCTAGATGCCGGTTTAAAGGTGTTGCGGGAGTAGGCGGATGTGCGGAGGAGGGAAGCACGGAAGGCTGCGGTAGACGGCGACATGGTGGAGAGAAGGGGGGGGGGGGGGAGGGCAAATGTATAAAAGGTGATGCTGAGATAGGCAGGAGAGCCGGGCTGCTGAGAGGCGCCGGATCGGTCCGCTCGAAGACAGCAGTTCGGGCCTTCGGAGCTGGAATTGGCAAGTGAGAGAGATGCCCGGTGAACGAGAGCCGAGGAAGCAACTTCAACTTCGGGGCAAGGAAGCTCTTGATTGGATGTGTCGGGTGGGCCGCGGCAACTGCGTCCGGCAGAGGGGGAAGTCAAGAATGGGCGGGAGTCTGCACGAAAGCCCGAGACTAGGAGGACCCGGTGCCAACCGTCGAGGATTGTGCTCTCCTGCAATGGTCGAACACAACAAAAGGTCGGTTTGGCTTGGCGGGGTCTTCTTCAAGAGCTGGAGGCGGCGAGGTTAGCAGGGTGGTTCAAAATTGTGGATCGAGGGCGATCAGTGGGATGATATATGTACATGTGAGAAAGTCCAAGTGGGGGATCTGAGACACTGGGATCTCAATCAACCACAGCCTGATTCGAGCTGTGACCTGTGACAGTCCTCCCGTTTTATTGCAGGTTGTTGTCTGCTTCTGCTCTCGGCTCCGATATAGGTGATCAGCTAAAACGCGCACTGATTGAACAGAAGGGTGCTCGATGACACATGGGCAAACTCTTTCCGGGAAGCGGGGCATGAGGGGAGTGGACCGGAGGCTCTGGAACGCAGGTTCCCCACACTGACCCTGGTCCCATGCGACCCTGCATGGATGGGATCACGCACGCAAGCATGGCAGATTGCGGGGTTCGTCTGGAAAACAACTCACCCGTGGGCCGAGCCGGCGGCGATAAGGAACGGATATCACCGGATATTATTTGTACAGATCGGAGTTGAACGCAACAACAACCGCAGAAAATCAGTCTCAATTAAGACGTCATGATACATTCTCGACATTTAAGCTGTTCCGGGTGTTATGGGAAATCCCAATTGCCTCTTCCGGTCTGCTGGTGGAAATATATTCTGCTTGTACGACTTCGCCAGGCCTTCTCTCGTCGGCCCTAGAACTAAACGCGAGGACCCCACCTCAATTCTCCCGTTCAAAGCTGACCAAAACCGCCTGTCTACTGTGTGACTGTGTAGGAGACAGCACAGCCCCAAGCGATCGTCCATCTTTCGAATATTCCCGTCATTACAATGAATTTAAATCTTCTCTTTTGGCTCGACGGTGAGAGCATTGTCTCAGACCGCAGCCGATCCCCTCTATCGTTTAGACGCCGACTTCAAATCAAGAAAACGTACAACGTTGATACACAGCCTTGCCGGGCCGAAGATGGCACAAGGCCAGGTGAGAAGAAGGCATCTGCTTGCATGATGCAACCAGCTCTTCATCCGCCTTAAAAACGTGGTCTCTGCAGCCTCCTGTCGTTGCCAAGCAAGCATCGGACTGGAGTCTGCAGGATATAAAAAAAGAAAAGATTGGGGCGCCTATACCTGCCCACCAGTGTCATCGTCATCGTCACACAAACCGCAAGTCCCGAACGCCTTACCCCTCGAACGAATGGAAGTGAATGACAGAAGGATCGAGACCGAAAAATAACGCCATGGAAGTTACCCGATAGTGAACGGAATGCCCTCCCCAGAGCTGCCCGGCCAAGACCCCGGCGTTGCCCCACTCGGAACTGGACTTGTCGCCTGCTTTGCATCCGGCAGTGATGGTAACGAAAAGGACAACCATGAACAACGAAGAACAGTAAGAATGGGGAAACCTGAAGAACCGTGGTGTTGAACAGTCACGAAGAATCGATAAGAAAAGGTAATAGAAAAAGAAAAAAGAAAAATTGGAAAGGAAGAAGAGCCTGCTCAGAAGCCAAGAGTGAAGACACCTTCAACTGGGAGGAACGGGATGAACACCAGCAATAGAGGGGGAATTGACGTAACGTGTCAACCTCTTTGATGTAGCCGCCTCATGTCTCGGTACTTGCGGTCATCGCCATCCTGTACTGCTGCCGTTCCTTCTCGCAGCGGGTCTTGCATTTGGGGCAGGCAAAGTCGTGCTTGTTGACGCTGACCTTGATGAGGCAACGGCTGCAACGCCACCAGCCGTTGATTATGGCTTGTGGGTTACGGCACGACCACCACTCCTCGTCGCCCTTGCTGCCGCGCCGCAGGAGATCTTCCTTGTGGTATTCCCGGAGGTGATCTCGAAAGTGGTCTTGCCGGAAAAAGGGGGCGGTGTGGCGGCCGCACCTCTTGTAATCGCATAGGAACCTTTTCTTTTGGTCATCAGAGAGGTGAACGATCCGGTAATGGCGATCTGAGTCCGCCTGTCGACTGGCCACGTTCGTGCACCCACGAAACGGGCACTTGAACTTCCCTTTTTCCGATGATGAGGCCCTAGGTGATCTCGTCAGCAAAGCGTGCGGCACTTCAGGAGAGGGCCAATGCGGCTCACTGTGTTGGCGCCGGGTTGGGGCTACGAGCAACAGCCAGCCCCAAGATTACGTCGTTGTTGTCGACTTCTGGCTCACCGGTCATGTCGGCGAGGACTGCGGCAATGGCGTAGAAACATATCTCGATCACCTTCGGTCCCTGGAGCCGTATTTGGAGCTGGTAGGCGGCCTCTTGCAGTAGCCGGATGATCTCAGGGTAGAAGTGGTCGGTATCACCAAGCCGGAGGCACAGTTGCTGGTAAAGGACATCCTGGACTGCTGGGCGGACCGGTTCCTCGTCGCCCTGATCCTGATGCCTCCGTAAAGCTTCCTCGACTGCCTCGGACGTGACCAGAAATGGGCCGCCATCCGAGAATGTTTGTTGATCGATGATCAAAGAATTTGCTGCCAGAGTCGCCTGCCAGGCAGCTTCCTCGTTGGCAGCCTGTGTGGTGAACAGTTGCAGGGGGCTGGGAAGTTGTAACCCCTGGGGTAGCTGTGTCCCACTTTGTTGGTACTGTGATCCGGTAGCAGAGAGCATATGGTTGGCATCCGCTACTTCGCAAATGGAGTATGAGTCCTGATACGATTGTGCGTCCCGGTAGCTCCCATCTTCCGGAAGGGTGGGCTCGAGCGATGAGAAATCGGTGGCCGAAGAGTATCCCGATACCACGGTGCTGGTTGTGTAGCTACTGTCGAAAGTGCAAGCGGTGGACTGGGAGTCGCTCCTCTGCATGCTGGCCGAGCCATCCCAGAAACCGGCTTGGGCTTCCCAGGCCGAAGGGTAGGAAGAGTCTGGATGCGACGCCATCGGAGCTATAGCGAGTCGTAAAAGCGTGTGGCGATGCCAGGCCCTGACCGTACTGTTGACCGGTCGGGTCTTGAAAAAAGAAAGCGGCGGGTTGTTGGCACCAACAGGTCCTAAACGCTGGAAAGGCGTGGTCCTCGGTGGAGGGCCTGAGTATTCTTTATGTGTGATATATATCTGACGGAAACGTGATCCGGCCCATATATGCGAGGGGATGGGAAACAAATCGAAGAGGATGCCTCGAAATAAATACCAACCCCCCTGCGATACTTAGGACAAGTCTCCATCGCTACTAATGACCTCAACACACACAAAATAATCCCTGTCGAGGGTAGTGCGCGAAGTGAGGCGGAATGACACATTCTTCACCGTAGGTAAGGCGAACGGGGCCGGCATCGAGGTTGCTGGAAAAGGAAAACCGCGGCACGCATCAGGCCACGGGGGGTGGGATAGGTCGCAGAAACTCGCAAACGCCCGTCGAATGGGGAGGAGAGGAGAGATTCCACAGCACAGAAGGTGCCCCAGCCTGATGGTCCATGTCTTTTCTCCCAAGCCATGCATCGCAAGAGATCGGGCGAGGCGCTGGGCTTGGTTGGAGGTCCTTGGAACTGCCCCCTCACAACCCCCCACCACCACACACTGAATCACGAGACATTGACAGTACAGACGTCGCTTTCACAGCCACACCGATGACCGGAAACACCCAGAAAAACAGAAGGATGGAAACCAGAACAAGGGGTTTCTTGCAAGCACCAGGTGGTGGGGGCCGGCACCCGCCGCTTGAGATGGGTGGGAAAGCGGAGGGTGGTCCGGAGTACCCTCACGGTCCTCGGTGTGGGACAGTCGCATGGATAGCACTCTAGCTCTTGAGGCGGGCTGCGCACCACAAAGGCTCCAACAGAGAACAATCCTGAATGGGATAACGGGAATATCCTCTGTCCAGCCGAGCCGCCAACATTACGCACGTCTTCGGCTCGCCTTGGTGGGGGATCATCTGGCGGGGCGCACTCAGGGACCTGCAGCCAAGACTCCAAGCTCGATGCAACAGAAGCATGCAGGAATTGTAAGTTGATGGCACTATCCGGTCGAGCTTCGATCCTCATCAGCCTTGCCAGTGGTGGGACTTGCGTGGCAGATGCTCGGGAGGGTAGGACGAGCCTCGTCCGCGGACAAAGCAAGGCCACGTCGCGTTAATCTAGCCCGGCGGACGGGGGGCGCCGGCCGGAGAGTCTTTGTCAGTCAAGCAGGCATGTGTAAATCAGTAATCCACCTGTCTCTTCACGAACAGCCCAGGCAACTTCTGCCCCAACTTCAAGCAAAGAGAGCATCCGGGTGCTCGCACCGACAGGGACCGAGCAACGCCGGACTGGGACGGATAGGGGTGGAATCCACAAGCGAGAATCCAGCTAGCCGTTCCTACCGCGCGTTATCGACCTAACCGATGGACAAGCGGCATGGGATGGGTACGAATTGCGGCGGCGCGGCCGGTCGCCTTCTCTGAGATCGGTGCGGCTGAAGAAGGTCGCGCGGTACGGCAAAGTCCTTGGTGCCGCGTCCAGGACAGCAAGGCCCTGGTTACCATTTGTCACGTAATTGGTTCGCCAGGTCCCAGGCTGCCTGACAATTTTCGGTGAGCGGAAGTGAAGACCGTCCCGATTGCCCACACCTCGTCTCATGGTCTGGTTGTGATTCGTCAATGCCGGCAGCCGCAGCGGATGAAACGTCTTCCATCTGCGGCAAGCAATCATTGGTGTAGTCGTAACGAGATACCGACATGTTAAAGAGCGCGATTGTTACGCCGATGCCGTCTTGGATGTGACTTGCGCCCGAACTGCGCCCCAAAACCCATAGATCGGTTTTGGTGAGAGGCTCGGAGAAGCACGGGAGAAGGGAAAAGCAAGGCTTCTTGCTGACGTTCGTCTGATGAAACCGAACCTGCTCGCCAACCTCGATTGTACATAGGTACATCGATCCTTGTATATGTGGCCGAGAGGCCCGATTACCATATCGGGTACCGACTTGCCGTCTTAGCCTGCCCGCGCCCGGCACATTCACCACAGTGGCCTGAGCCGCCGCCCAGATCCCCAAGGCATACTCGGGGGCTCCACTATCTCCTGCGGCGGGTGGTGCAAGTGTTCACATCGCGACTTGATCATGTTTCCAGGAGCGGTCTCATGCGTTGCCATCAGTTGTATTCGGCTCAGGGCCCTGCACTCAAAAATCCCGCGGTTTAAACCCAAGGGCAGAACACCCCATGAGCAATCTGATATGATCCGAACGAATGGCAAACCTGGCTGGAACAAACGTGAATAAGCAACGGCGAACCAAAATCCCATGAAAAAGGCAAACAGCACAAGCAAATGGGTGGTTGACAGTTGACAAGGCAACGCTCACTAGCGAGCCACCATTTGCTAAAGTCCTACAGGGCAGGGCAAGTGGCTTGACAATTGGCTCAGGAGGCTGAATCCTTACGCAGATGCAAGTGGATCGGCAGCCCACAAGGGACTTGATGGATGCAAGTCAAGTCGGCTGTATTTTCTTGCTATTCATGTTCATTAGGGGTGGTAAACGCGTGCCCCTAACCCAGCCGGCTCCCGGACCCCCTTCCCTCCCACAGGAGACCGTTACCCATACAGAATACCGAAGCATACTCCATTGTTACCTACCATACTGCCTTGCCACCCCCGGTTCCCACCACCGCACCGCTTTGGGCCGTGTGGTTTCATCGCCGCCGAGAACTAGACTTCGTCTTCAAGGAACTTATACGCGAACTTGAAGTCAGCCTTCCTCCGGTTCATCCTGCTCCACGTTAGCCATTGTCGCACGATACATCCCCCCCCCCCCCCCCCCCCCCCGCCTCCAACTGGTCAGACTCACCAGGTGCTCTCGTAGTCGAAGAAGCGATATGTCCCCTGCTCGAATTCCTCTGTGATGGACTTGGGTTCCTCGTGCCTCTGGAACCATGTTTGGTACTGCTTGTGAAACCTCCAGCTTTGGTCCTTTAGCGCCCGCGCAGCGAGGAACTGCTGATGCGTGTCTTGCTTGTAGTAGAACACGTAGAAAAGCGTATCCGGGTCGATCTTGGTGTATAGCCGAGGGTCGTCGAATATGGGTAGCGGCTCCCGCGGAAATCGGCTATGAGAATGGAACTTCACATCTGGCTGGTAATTCCGTGGTGGCTCGGCGTCCAAAATCCCAGGCTTGTTCGCTTCCGATGCGACCTGCATACGATGGGCCGCGGGCGCATTCATCGGCGCAAGTCGCTTCTTTGTGACCTCGAATGACTCGACAAGGTCTTGCAACGACGCAGGGAGATGGTAGATCGACTCTTCTTCTTCCTCGGCCTCTTCGATCGGCCTGATGCCATTGGCTGCACCGTTTGTCTGCGCCGCTACACAACGTCGAATTAGTACCTTCATTGGGTAACACGTCCAGCGGCGTCCGTTCAAACCTTTTACCACTTCGACGGAGGGTGCCTGCGCCACCGCCTTCCCCTTCGCCTTGTGTGACTGAGCCGCCATCGCCAACCCACTCCCAGGCGCCATGGCCATGCCAGGCGCCTTTTCTTGTGATACCGGCTGTATAGATGCAACGCTTGGGGAGTTTGCTGCGCTCGCCCTCGCCTGTGCTTGTAATGGTGCGCCGCTAATGCTGGGTGTTGTCGAGGGCGGTGGGGGTAGTGGGGCAATTCCGACGTTGTTTGCCGCCGCCGCCGCCGCGCTCGCATACTTCAAGCCCTCCCCTGCGAGCCTCGGCGGGGCTACCGCAGGCTTCATACCAGCATTGGCCGAGGATCCGTTGCTGAGGGTCGGTAGCGGCGTGCTGTGATGCACCGTCGCGAGCGTCGGGAGTGGTGATTTGAGTTGCGTCGACGGCCGCCGAATAGCCGTCCCTGCCACTGCATCGACCGCCGTCCGCTGCTTCCCCGGGGGCGCACTTGGCTTCGTCTCGGCCTCGGGCATCACATCGTCCTGTATCGACTGGGTGTCTTGTGAGGATACCCTATCGTTCTCCTGGTTCATGCCGTACTGGTCTTCCTCGTCTTCCAGGTTGAGGTCGTCGTACATGGTCTCGTCCTCCATGAAATCATCGTTCATCCCGTCCGTGACGTAATACTTGATGTTTTCCCCCAGCTCATTCACCTGGTCGGTGTCGACGCCTCCATTCTCGAGCGAGCGCCTGATTAGTTCGAGTTTCCCTTGGTGCCATTTATGCCGTTCGATGATGCGTTCAATCTCGGCTATGCGCTCCGCCTTTGCCGCATGGCCTTTCCCTTTCTTCATCGTTGCCTGTATTGATTCGCATTCAGCTTCGAGGGTCTCGATCTGCTGCTCCAGCTCGTCGACCATGTTGCCCAGGAAGTCGCCCGCGTCCAGTTTGGCCTGCTCCCTAGGGTCAAGCTTGGCGGCGGCGGATAACCCCTCCTTCGAATATGCCTTGGTCTTCATGGCTTTCTCGACAGCCTTAAACTTCTCCATTTGCTATAGATAATACCGGTAAGCCTGATGCTGGCTGGCCCAAAGCGGCGCCGATTGGGATACAAACCGTCTCGATCAGCCGTCGCTGCTCCAGAAGCGGAGCTTTGTCTTTGATGTCATTGCTGGCGGCCCATGTTTTGATCTGATCGCGCAGCCTCTGCAGTTTTTTGATCTCGCGCTTGAGCTGGTCTTCTAGTTTTTCCTTTTGTGCCTGGTTCGTGGACTGCTCGATCTTCTCGTAGATGGCTTCGAATTCGGCGACGCCTTCGGCCACCTTTTTGAAGCACTTGTCCACTTCCTGTTGTAGTTTTCGCGCCGCCATTTCGTCGGTAAAGTTCCGTGGCCCGGAGATCGATATCGAAGGCAAAATTCGTCGGATGGCACTCGCTCTCTGGCGCGGTCAAGAGCCCGGCGGCTGGGTATCGCGATCGTGTGGAGGCAGGGGAGCCTGCAGGAGCGATGTTCAATGTTAGGTAATCCCGATTCGGTCGAATTTGAGGGAAGTCGGTCGGGCGCACCACTCACCCACGGAGAGAAAGCACCTATTTAGTTCAGCGACAGCGAACAGGCTTGGCCAAAGTAGGCGGGCGACTGTTGGGTGGCCTCGTTTGCGGTTTGGCCGTCGATTGTGAGTTGCTGAAACAGACCCTCTGCAGGTCGCAAATCAAAGAAGCTGATTAGGCAGGTCGACCCAGCCAGACACCCGCGGCTGGGCGCGTGAAGTTGGCACAGTAGCCCCTTAGCGGCACTGTTAAATGGGACGGGCGAAGTACCTCTACATATCTTCAAAACTTGATGACTTAAAACGCCAGAAAGTATTTGCATTATCGATAGCTTTATCTAGATGAGAATTTACTTTTATTTACACTACAAACATTCGTTTGTGTAAAAGCTCGGGCTGTACTTCACCCTCCTATCTAGGATGTTGCTGAAGAACTCTTTTGGACCTGCTCTCAAGCATCTTTCCACTCAGAACGGAAGCAGCTGAAGGCATACGACCCGCTTTTCCTTCCACACACAGAGAGAGAGCCAGATGGGGCACCCAAATCCGGATTCAATATTTAACCTCGTTCAAGTTAGGCAGTTAGCCTCAAGCTTTTGATTCCCAGGGCGCCGGGTCAGGACAGGGTATCTCCGGGCATGTCTTTGAATTTATTACAGAGGGCCACCTACCTTATGCTATCCTCTTGGCCCTTGTGGGGAACCCGGGGAAGTTTGCTTGCCGTAGGAGTCACCCGTTGCATTGCCGACTAATCACTCTCTGAATGAGCTCCTAATTCCATCCGTAGCATCATTCTGTCCATAACTGGGCGAACTAACAGCCAGAAAAATGAAAGGTGCGTATTCCACTTGTAGTGTCAGTAAGCCGTGCGTGATGGGTTTTTGACGAAATGCTTCCAGCTATACTTCAACGGGTCCTGTCGGCCTCGGTCACGGTGGACCAGGAGGTTGTATCCAAGATAGGAAAAGGCGTGCTTGTGCTCGCAGCTATGGCGCCCGGTGATACTGAGAAGGAAGCCGAATCTTTAGCGGCGAAGGTGCTGAAGCTGAAGTTATGGGACGATGCATCTGGAGGTCGTGTAGGATCCCACTCGCAATTCACACTTTGTCCCGGGCCCGCTCTGATGAATCGATATTAGTGGAAGAAAAATGTCCAGGACATAGACGGCGAAGTCCTATGCGGTGAGGTGTTTAGCTCGATACCACGCGGCGGGAAAAGGCTCTAACTGTTGCTCGCAGTGTCTCAATTCACGCTTCTCGCGTCGACGAAAAAGGGCAACAAGCCAGACTTTCACGGCGCAATGGGTGGGGAGGATGCTAAGAAACTGTACGAGTACTTCTACAGCAAAGTTCAGGCGGGGTATGCGGTCGAAAAGGTCAAGAATGGCGTGTTTCAGGCCATGATGCAGGTTGCTTTGGTCAACGATGGACCGGTTGGGCCCCCCATCTCCTTCTGGATTATGTTAGTCTGGCTGCTGACTCCAAAGAGGTGACACTCGAGATATCGGCACAACCGAAGCCAGAAAAAGATAAGCAAAAGACGACAGCCGCCGAGCCATCAGCTTGACAGCGAGGCGGCAGCAAACTCACACCGAACGCCTCCATTCTGGCTCAAGCAGAGCCAAGGGAGGGGGTTCGGCATCGTGGGTAGTCCTCTGGTTGCTACCTACTTTAAGCACGAAATGGAAGAGGTACCTGGTATCTAAAAGCCGGAGGGTACCTCAGCACCTCATGGACAAAAAAAGCCGAACTCCAAGTGCAGATGTCGGCAATGGAAACTTCGAGTCCTCAGCTGGAGGAATATAACGAACGTCATCCTGAAGCCCAGAGGAACTCTATTTGCTCCATTTACTTTACTTTTACCCTCTTTCTTTCATTTGACTTAGTTTTCTCGATTTCTTTTCATTTGTTCTTTTTGCTTGATTTCTTGCTTTCCTTTCGAGTTCAGCTTTTTTTGGCCAGAGGGTGCTCAGGTTGAGCAAGGCTGCTCCTCTCTGGTCCGTACCTGATATTCGTGGGGTGGTTGGCTGAAATCCCTCCCTTCAATATCCAGATGACATACTGTATCGACACAGTATAGATTAGATGGAATCGTCCAGGCCTGTGCACACCGCTTACCCGAATCGGTCCATGTCAGGGCCCCGCGGGCCCGACCGCGTGCCCCTCATGCAAGTCGCCAGCCCCACCATATCGAAGGTTCACGAAACGTCCCTGCCTCAGACTTGCATGTTTGGGGGTTTCGAAGCTGCGACCTGGAGAAGAGACCACGGACTCTGCTCTGTTGGCCCTTTTTTGCATTTCTTGTGTCATCTACTATTTTGAGCACCCGAGGAAACAGGCTTACCACCGACCTCCAGCAGAGGAACAAACAACTAACCGAAATCGTCAAACAAAGTAACCTTGGGTAAGTGTGTTCTTGGGCAGCTTTCGCCCGCTGAACGGCGCAGACTTCGGTTCCCGCCATTTCCCCATCTCATTTTGCCGTCCCAGATTCTAACGTTGTGATCGCGCCGTAGTTGCAAGGCACCATCATTCAATCGTCATCATGAGCACTGACGAGACGAAGACGGCTCGCAGCCGCGTATTCTTCGACATCACCATCGGCGGGCAGTCCGCCGGTCGTGTGACGTTCGAGCTGTTCAACGACGTCGTTCCCAAGACGGCCGAGAACTTCCGTGCCCTATGCACTGGCGAGAAGGGCGTCGGCAAGGCCGGCAAGCCGTTGCACTTCAAGGGCTCAGGCTTCCACCGCGTCATCAAGCAGTTCATGATCCAGGGCGGTGACTTCACTGCTGGCAATGGCACGGGCGGCGAGTCCATCTATGGTGCCAAGTTCGCCGACGAAAACTTCGAGCTGAAGCATGACCGTCCTTTCCTTTTGTCCATGGCCAATGCCGGTCCTGGTGAGTAGCATCGAGTTTTGTGATCTTCGCTGGGGAGGAGTCGGAATGCTAACCGTTGCTGGGGTCCTCTTGTAGGGACCAATGGCTCCCAATTCTTCGTCACCACAGTTGCTACCCCTCATCTCGACAGCAAGCACGTCGTGTTCGGCGAAGTCCTCAGCGGCAAGTCCGTCGTGCGCCAAATCGAGAACCTCCGAACCCAGAGCGACAAGCCGATCAAGGATGCGGTTATTGCTGACTGCGGCGAACTGTCGGCGTCTGAAGCCATTGCCGCCGATACCAGGGCTCCTGACGCCTACGGCGACGAATACGAAGATTTCCCCGAGGACCAGACAACAGGTGACGAAGTCCTTTCCGCCTCCAAGATCCTCAAGATCGCGACCGACTGCAAGGATTTCGGCAACAAGGCCTTCAAGGCCGGCGACTTCAGTATTGCCCTCGACAAGTATCAAAAGGGCCTGCGATACCTAAACGAGGACCCCGACTTGGATAATGAACCCGCCGAGACGAAGGAGAAATTCGACGCACTGCGTATGAGCCTGAATAGCAATGCTGCGCTGATGAATCTCAAGCTCGGCGCGTGGGACGAAACTGTCCGGGCCGCGGAGAGTGCGCTTGCCGTCTCGAAGATCTCGGACAAGGACAAGGCCAAAGTACTCTATCGTCGGGGCTTCGCTCTTGTGCGGCTCAAGGACGAGGAAGCCGCGCTCGAGAGCCTTGAAGAGGCAAAAAAGCTCGCGCCGGAGGATGCGGCCATCAATGCCGAATTGAGCACTGTGAAGAAGGCCGCTGCGGCTAGACTGGCCAAGGAGAAGGCTGCCTACTCGAAGTTCTTCAGCTAATGGGGCAAAGGCTCTCTCTGGTCGGATCTCAAATGCTAGGGTCCAGAAGCAAGCATACCCATCATGGACCACATCTTAGTACTACCGAGCCGTAAGCCAAGCATCATATCATCTCCAAATCCCATCGGTAATAGGACTATTGTGATGGGAACAAATATTGATGTGCTGAGATTAGTGACCTCCCAGCCGCTCAATACGGTGGCCATGTGAATTCGCTAACTTCAATGCCAAAGCCAAGAGAAGCCAAACTCTACAAGACAGGGTCAGTTTCATCACACCGTAAAGCTCGATGTCCATTGGCCTGTGTCGATCGTGTATATATATATCCCCAAGTACATATCATTATGAATATGTTAACTTGAACCCTGCGTATGGGCTCGCGCCACCGTCTCGACCTGCCTTGGTTCCGGCAGCCCCACGGGACCCTTCTCATGCTCCCTCTCCCTATCCCTATCCCTCTCCTTTTGCCTTTCTCTTTCCCTTTCCTTCTCCCGCTCCCTCTCCCTTATCCTCTCCCAACCCTTGCTCTCTTTCGCGTGTTCCTGGTCCCCCTCTCGGTCACGTTCCCCCTCCCTATTCGGGACAACAACAGAGGCCGACGCCGTGGCATGTTGTTGTCCCGGCGCCGAGAGAGTCTCGGGCGACGTAGTCCGCGTCTTGCGGATGAAGCCGCTGAGGAGCTTCCGCGGGTGGATACCGCTGCGCAGGCTGCGCACCGTCCCGCCGCCGTTGCCCCCGTTGCCGCCCTGAGCGGCCGGCGCCTCGCTGTTGTTGTTGTTCCGCGGAAGTTGGCGCAGCGAACCGGTGGCGCTCAGCTCGCGGCTGAAGCTGCCGTGCCGCGCGTCCCGGCTGATGCTGATCGTCCCGAACGGAGGCGCGTCCATCTCGCTGCCCGACGAGCCCGGCGCGCGATCCTCGTTCTCGGCCCACGCAGCCGTGCCGCCGCCGCCGTAGGCGGATAGGGTCAGCATGTCGCCGATGCTGATGCGATCCATCACGTCGGAGAGGGTGGCCTGGTCGTCTGCCGGCTGGCTGGCCGTATCGGCGACCCGAAGCGCCTCGATGCGGGTGAGGCAATCCTCTGCGCGCTGGTGGAGGCCGATGCAGAGGTTGTGGAAGTTGAGCAGGTCGCCGCTGTAGAGTTGGGACTCGCTGGCTGAGGCTCGGTGGGCGTCTGCCCAGAGTTTGACGAGGGCGGCGAAGTAGCGGCCCTGGTCGACGAGGTAAGGGAGGGAAGGGAACCCTTCGCGCGCCAATGGCGAGAGGCGGCCCAGGATGGTAATAGGCGTGGAGTAGGACGGCGGCAGCGGGGCCTTGGTGCGCTCTACCGGGATGGCGCATACTTCGTCGAGAAAGTCCTTGAAAGATTGCCTTTGCGCAGTCAAGAAGCGGTTCATGGGCTCCATCCAGGTCTCCTTCTTGCCGATGGTTGACAGGTTGGCGAGCGCTTGCAAGGACTTGGCGATGAGTGTCAAGGTACGTTGGGCGCGCGGCCGGGGGTGGTCGCGCAGTAGGCCAAACAGTTTCGGGTTTAAGATTGCGGGACAGAGGAAGCGGAGAAAAAGGAACCCTGAGACAGATGTGTAGGTGACGGTGCGAAGGAAGTCGCCGTAGCGGTCCTCGGCGACTGCTCGGATGTACTTCAAGATATGCCTCAGTTCAGGAGGTAGACGGGCGGTGGACGACACAATGCAGTCCCAGATATCCGTGGTGAACTGAACAAGGTGGCTCCAGTGCTGTTGAATGTCCTCGCCGTGATGTACTTTGCTCGGGTCCACTTCGCAACAGTAGTCGCTCTCGTTGATCTCTTGGATTCTATCCGCGAGCGTGTCGATCAAATATTCCTTGCCCAAACGGCGCATGTAAAATTCCAGAGCTTGTGTCAGCAGTGAGTTGCCCCTGAACAGCAGATTGGCCTCGCCCTGGAGCGACTTGCCCAGGTCGCGCACGACCTGTTCTCTGTCGACGGCAGATTCGATCGAGTCGTTTGACTTGAGACGGCCGCTGAATCTGCCCTTCTTTTTGGGTGTCTGGTTTCCGATCCCGTCGATCTCTTCCTCGACCATGTTCATGAGCCATTCGTTGGCACTCCCTGAAACCTGAAAGATGTTGACAAAGATCTCGGCAAGCCGGCGTAGACTTCCAGGCAGCGCCTCGGTGATCTGAGCTATCAGCCCGGAGCTAAAGCGGTGCAAGAGCTCCGAGATGGGCTGATAGTTCCGTTGGAGAAGAACCACGAACTCCTCGTGGTGGACCTTGATAAGCATGGAGCCGATGGACTGTTGGCCGTCGTCGTGAATCTGGAGCCATTGCTCATGATCCTTCCCGTAGTCGAGTTGATGCAGAGGTATTTCGACAGAACCGCACAGCACTTCTGTCGTATTAACTGCCCTTGCTAGTCCCAATGTGGCTTGAATTTGGTGGCTGAGCCTCTCCATACTGCCGTCGGCCCTCTTCAGTAGGACCGACAAATCGGGGAAGGAGGCCGGAAGGTCGGTAAACACGCAATCCTCGCGCCAGAAAGGATTTTTGGTGTCCATTTTGGTCGTTGTCCTCGCCCGCACCTCCCCATCAAGAATGACCTCGGCTAAGTAATTGCCAATGATTGAGTCAACTTCAGCGCCTTTCCCGTGGCGGTCTCCGTGACGGTCTCCATGAGCCACTTCGGCGACCCCAGTTTTGCTGCGTAATTTGGCTTCAGTGACCCTGATAGATATTGTCTTTTCCACCCTAAACGTCTCTCCCGCCGGTTCCTGCTGGAATTCCGTCACTTCACAAACGCGCCCTCCGTTGGCAAGGTCCATGTTGTAGACGTCCGGGATCGTGAAGGCGCGTAACAGTACGAACCAGACCTCGAGGAGCACTCTTGTCTCTAGGGCTATATACACCGGCCTGAAGATGGAGAGCTGTGTCGATGTGGACGAGTAGCTGGGGAAAATGGCTAGGCAGTAATCTTCGTCCAAGACAGACTTGTCGAGCTGTTGGATGGCGGATCTCGCGAGCTGCGAGAGCTCAATCACAGAGAGAACCGTCACGTCGTTCTCCGTCATGATTTTCAGCTCGCCATTGTCGTGCAGAATGCAAGACACTCGCCTCCAGCATGTTTGGGAAGACCGCAGGTCACGGGTCGACGGCCGCCTGACAATGGCGCGCGGGGAGATGGCAGCCCCCTTGTCCCAAAGCAAGACCTTGCCCACTTTGATTATGGCCGTTTCCCGAAGAGCCGAGGACGAGGCGCGGCGCTTCATCTCCATCCTTGCGGGTGCGCCGACGGCAGCATTGCTAGGGCGCCCGGGTTGTGGTTTTGTGCCGGACGGTCGCAACTGCTGCCAACAAAGCAGCGCGGCAAGCCAGAGGTCGAGCTCATCAGCCACTAGTGGCCGCAGGAAGTGCGCCACGCCAAGCTGAACACTGGCAACTTCAAGGCATGGGATACCCCCGTCCGGGTGCTCCACGGGAACCACCCGGCAACCTCTAAGGTCAGGAATGAGCGTAGCGTGGAACGGGCCGCTGTCGCCGGCGTCAAACATCAGACTGCCCCTCTCCTCTTCGATATAGCACATGCCGCCGACCCACGGCCCGCCAACTTCCTTCTGGTATTCGACCTCGCCGCGCATCCTCCCGCACAGGTTTTTCATCAGAATGAGGACCTTGTTCGCATCGGCCGTCGGAATTGGAAGAGGGAGCGAGTCAACGGAGGGCGGGAGGGACGAGAGAGGGGAACTCGGTCGTGACGACGGCCGCTTGGTCAAACGACTCCTTGGGCCAGACGATTTCTTGTCCTTGGACGACGGCATGGCAAGGGGCGGCTGCAGGTCGGCGTGTTTATACGACTCGAAGGGTGACTGAAAAGATGACAGTTTCATGTCGTCGGTGACGGAGAAGGAGGCCGCTGACGAGAACGAACCCATCCTGTTACGCGTCTCCGGAGTCGGGGCGAGCTGCTGGCGGAACGCACCATCCATGGTGTGGGTTCTCGGTCTGAAGGAGTTCGACCGGAGAGGGGGGCTCGTGGAAGCGCTGTCGAAGGAACCGGGGAAGGCGTCATGGAACACGACACCCTGACGCCTGGCCGGCAGGCCGGCGCCAGCAGTGGGGATGGTCCTAGGAGAGGTCTGCGGCGACACAGAACCAAAACCGCGGGGCACCTGCGACGCATCGCTTCCAGCCCCGTCCAGGCCGTTAAACGCGGACTCGATAGGCTCGGGGGTTACTGCCCTCACTGTCTGCCGAAAGGCCCCCCGCAAAGCGGCGGCTGAGGGTCTCTCCATGTCCCGTGGCGATGGCACCTCGGAGAGTGGAGGAAGTACCGAGGTGCGTGCCGGGCGCTCTGGCAGAGGAGGAGCGATGGCGCCATGGGGACTACTCCCGAGGGAATAAGATCTCCCTTCCATGACGACCGGGAGCGGGCTCGTCGGCCTCCTTTCTCGAGGCATGCACTAGGGATAGAGGGGCGACGACGACGTCTGCGGTGGCGTCGACGGCTAAGGCGGCGATGGCCCGTTGAGGGGATCGAGACCATAAGACGGCACACATGCGCGCTGCGTCCGCGGGTTCTTTTTTCCTCGTCTCTTGACCTCGCCCCCGCTGGTCAGGGCCGTGATCCCACTCGAATGTCCAGTATTATACGCGGCCACCCCAGCGCAACCATAGCAACACGAACCGGGGCGACAAGTCGACGGTCAACGGGCGGGTTGCGACTCGCAAATTTATTGTGGGTTTTGTGACGGGCGCGGTCAGATGATTGATGGTTTTGCAGATGCTACCGAGTGTCGTGAGCAGTGTTGCGGCGCGGGTGGTCGGTATTGGGGCCCTGCATCGTCCAGCGGCGTCCCAGTGTCAGCAGATGACGGGATGACGGGATGACGAGATGGGATGTTCTGCGTTGGTGAATCGCGACGATCCAAACCCGGGGGATCGACGGGACGGGGCAGCGCGGTCGCAAACCCGCAATTGGAAAGACGAGCCAGCCAAAGACGGGGCCGTGAGGAAACCGATGGGTTGTCACTTTGTCCACCAGGTTCACCAGCACGGTCTTCCTCTCCTGCTGGCTGCTGCAGCCCTCCACAGCAACCAACGGTCAGGTTCCGCAGGATGCAAGCCAAGGGAGCAGTTATTATTATTAATTAGCGAGGGTCTTTGTTGCAGTGCTAACCCCAGCTCGGGTCTGGCACGGCGGTGCACTGGGGGAACTGTTGGGTCCACCCGAGAGTGGCGTGGGCGCTCACTATCTTTCTGGTCGATCTTGGCTGTCTGCGGGTAACGAACCCTTGGAGGAGCATTGTCTTGCAGCTGTCGAATTCGGGATTCGTCCGATCGGGGTCGCCCAGGCACTGAATGTTGGGGATGGAGACTGGGACTTGTAATTGTAGTGTCGCTCCAAGTAATCTGTACGAAGCATCCATACCTGTTCAAACATCCATGGATCCCAGCACTGACAGGGAATTTTGGTGGAAGAACCTGCTCCGAATATCAAGAAGATCCACGCTAATAAGATGATGGCTTCCAGGTTTGCGGGGTTGGAGGGGCCCTTGTCGGTCTATCTCATGCGATAACCCTAACCCTTTACTTGATCCCCAATCCACCTCTCTTTCCAAGGCCTGAACTGCTTCTCACTTCCTCTTGTATGTATGCGGTATATGCGTCAAGGTAACCACCTACCTACTTTACTTGAAGACCTCTCTTCCCCATGGACTTCGAGCCCTTATTAGAACCCTTCTCCCGCCAAAATAGTCCTCCCACCACCATACCACAAGGTCCCGCATCGGGCCTCCAGACCCCGTTCTTGGCCGACAACCCACTCTCCGATGAACTGGCCGTCTTTAACCTCCCAGACCTCATCCTCAAGCCACTTGTTAACCTCCTCGATGGTCTGGATCCATCTCTCACGCTGCTCGGGTGTCTCGTGGTCCTCCTGGGTGAGATAGCGTCCCAGCGTGATGTGTGCGCTGGGGACTACATAACGCGAGCCGATGGGGACGCTTTCCGAAGCCATGTTAAAGACATCTCGCCGCAGGTGGTGGTACGTGTAGTGGTCGCCCTCCGTCCCTGTACTATTGTCCTGGCCGGACGGCACGGCGGCTGGCGACACTTCCTCCTCCCCGGACGCTGGCAGGAACGACACGGCCACGGCTGATAGGTCGTATGAGATCACGGGTTTCACGAGCCGCGAACGCCGTGTAAATGTAAGCCCTGTCAGGGCAGGAATTGCCGGGCGCATTGACGACACCAAGTCTGCGATCCCCTGGGCCGTCTGCGAGTGGGCGATCTCGAGGGTTGTCAAGTGCATACGGTGTGGGGGCATGAGCCAGAGATCTGGTCGCCGAAATGTCAGTTTCTCCCGAGCCCGTTGAATTTCGGAGCATGGTGAAATGCCTTACTCGGCGCTGCCTTTTGCAGGAGCGTCTGGAGATGACACGCCAACTTCACGACATGGTTCGGGGGTCTTGCCCAGAACACGAGGCAGTGTCGGGGGTCCTGGAACCCGGGCTCTACGTCGGGCCTCTCCAGTCGCAAGAGAATGGGGTCAATGTTCAACTCGTTGAAGTCGGGGGACAGAAACTTCTCCCGCTGCTGCGCATTCCGTATCGTACGATGAGTAGCATAAAGCAACTGGATCTTGGCCTAGGGTGAGGGTTCAATATCAGCATCGAATCAAGCCAAAACATGAGTAGCACTACGCGTTATCGGAGCCCGGTCTCTTCCTGATGCCCCCAAAGCCGCTATGTGTGGCAATACGACCAGGACTCCCGCTCACCCCTAGTCTCGACACATCGCGAGCCAATCTCGGTCGCAGCGCCTAACGACATCCGCCCTCTAGGGCAGGGGGTTATCCCGACGCCGATTTCCTTGTACATCCACGCCGAGCACGTCCTTAGTCTCCCCTCCCTGCTATCAACGCCATACCTCCCACCTCGCCGGCTTTCTTCGTCCCGGCGTCCATGGGATAGTAGGACTTACCGGGGAGCCATAGCAGGCGCTGATGAGGGCGTCGTACGGGTTGTCTCCCGGCTTGATGTCGACCCCGGAAAGATCCTCAAACTTGTTTCCAACATCAGCTAGAGGCAGCGCCATCTTGTTCCCCTACTTCTTCGAAGGATATAAGCCAAAGCGTGGACTGGTGGTAGAAAAGTCGCAGTCGTTTCTTGTCCCCTCAGGTTTCGTATTCCCGGCGTGCGGCTGAGGAGTCAACAGCAAGGGCCTGGGGCCAACCAACCAGCCACGGCGCGCGCCCCCACGGGGTAGTGAGCCACAGGAGGCGCCTGGAGCCACAAAAGGGGGTCCTTCTTGGCAACCAACCTCAACGTCGAACAAGACGTCGCCCGTGGATGTTGAGATAGCAGCACCATTCTCCTCAGCCTTCCTCCGACCGCCGCCAACTGAACTATTGTCTCAGTTACGGTATCCTTTCGTTGGTCCGTTTCCCAAACAAGACACTCCATCTTTTATATCCAACACGTGAGATGTTCGAGGAGGCGGAGGCAGGGCCGTGGCGGCCCGGGGCCTGCATGGAAACTTCGTCAGGGGGCGCGGGTGGCTTCCTCTCCGTATTCGGAATTTGTACGATGGTCACTGTCCGCGAGGCCGACAGCGCAGCACGGCAATGCCGTTACTGTATCCTTTGACTGCTTCTGCCCTGACCAGTTGTTTATTGTTGCCTTCCTTCTCTGACTAAAACTGGGTATCTAGATTTCCCTGCAGCAAACCAACAGCTGTCAGCCACACAGACCCAAAGAAGGCTGAACAAGGGGTAGGAGAACCACTGGTACTGAATACGCCAGTTCAGGGGGTATCGGGTACCTAAGAGCCAGTGATTTACCATGAATGAGCTATGACCTGTGACACTCTATCCAGTCCAACATACTGCTCCTGTACTCTCCTCTGCCAGTGGGCAAACATCGGCAAACACATCGACATACAGACTCACTTTGCTCGATCACAAGGGCGGTAGTCCTGTGCGCACTACGCCACCGCCGGGCGCAAGCAGTGGTTGCTTTGCGTTTCTCTGGCTCGCATCTCTGTGCAGAGGCTTGGTCAGGTATTAGGCCTTGTTGACTTGCCCCTCATGCAGAGCATTCCGGAATAAGGGACCTGCCTATTGACTGGTTATGAGTGTGAAAAACCTGCTCCCAGCGCCCTGTTCGGCCAGCTCTTTTCGCTTCCAGTTGCCTAGGTATTTCTGCTGCCCACAATCCTGCTGCGATCTGTTTTTTTCTTTTCCAAAATTCTCTTCCTCAACCGACCTGGAAACACCTCAGAAGCATACAACTCCCAACAACTTGCATCGCTTTGAGCCATCCTAGACCCTCTCCAGTCACCATTCGCTCGCTGTTCTATCGAACATTTCATTTCTCTTCAGTCAACCTCAGTTGCTTAGAGCCGACGGCCGATCCTCTATATTTCCCTACGGCGTGGGTGGCTTTCCGCCGTCGGGTCATCAAGTAAAAAGATGCAATCGATCAGCGAGTTGAATAGCGACCCAGCTAACATCGCCCAGGCATGGCCTCTCGGAAGAGAAAGGCACCTCGTGCTGCCGCAGCTGGCAGGCGTTCTGCGAGTCAAATTAGCGATGAAGAGTCGTCTCTCGCACCCGCACTCTTCACCAGGAAACAAAAGCGCCAGCGGGGAGAGACGTACGCGACAGCAACTGGTCAAGGTACCGAGTCCGCAACTGCCGATACAGACGCTGGTGGCTCTAGTTCCGCTAGCACCGATGGAGTGGAAGCTGGTCCTTCAACCGGCGACGGAACCGGTAATCCCGATAATGGCACCAAGAGAGTGCTTGACACCAGCCTGCCGCCTATCTCTAATGTCCGCGAGATGATGGAGGACATGGTCAAGCGCCTCGACCTCACTGCTCTTGAGAAGTCACACTTTAAGCTGAACGTGGCGACCGTCTGCTCCGGTACAGAGGCGCCCATCTTCGCCCTGGAGCTAATCCGCGATGCCTTCCTAGCGAAAGGCTCCGGGTCTGTATTCGACATGCAGCATCTTTTCAGCTGCGAGATCGAACCGTACAAACAAGGCTTCATTAACCGCAACCTCCCCCCCGGCACTCTCATATTCAGAGACGTTATCGAAGTAGCCATCGAAGCGTTGACAGGGGAAGCGTAAGTTTGAATAATATCATGAACATGATACAAGCAAGGCCGGAAGGCTAACATAAACTAGAACTACCGCCAGCGGCTCCAAATCCGCGATCCCAAAAGAACCACTGGACATCCTATTTGCCGGCTGCTCTTGTGTTGACTATTCCAGCCTGAACACGAACAAGCCATCTGGGCGCGTGCCGTCACTGGATCGCCATCTCAAACAGGATTCAGAGAAGGAAACGTCCGCAAAGAAGCGCGGCAAGGCTCGTGCCAACCAAGGCTCCGCAACGAACAGCGAGGAGGGTGGTATCAACAAAGGGTCAGCGCCTGTCAAACTCAATGAGGCCTTCGTCAACGATTTAGACGCCGGTCTTGAAGAGCTTCGGACGCTTCAATCGGGCGGAGAGTCTGCTAGGACTTTCTTCGCCACTATCAAGCTCATCACGGTCACTCGACCGAAGATAGTCGTCCTGGAAAATGTCGGAGGCGCGCCATGGGACATGTACACGGACCAGATCTTCCCCAAGACTGGCTACGTCGCCGGCACAGTCTCGTTGGACAGCAAGCACTTCTACTTGCCCCAGACCCGCCAGCGAACCTATCTTGTTGCCATTGACGCCACCAACATTGGCGTGGAGGCGGCCACAGCGATTGTTAACAAATATAAATCGAACATCGAGGGCTGTAAAAGGCAAGCTTCGGCTCCCATCTCGGCCTTCCTCCTCCCCAACGATGACCCGGCCACCGTCCAAGCCAGAGCCGACATGGAAAGCAGACCGTTGCACAACTCCGACTGGTCTTTCTCCTCACTTCGCCATGCCGATGCTCGCCAGAATAAAAACCTCCGGCGGGACGACAACCCCGTCAGCATGAAGAATATGCGCAACGGCAGGGTCATCTTTTTGGTCCTCCCCCCGCATTGCTGGCGAGGGTACTGGGAAGGCCAGGTCCCTAGAGTCATCGACTTGATGGACATTATTTTTGCTACCGCGCACCAGAAATCCATCGACTTGGGCTACAAGATCATCATGATCGATGTGAGCCAGAACGTCGATCGCAACGAGTTATACGGCGCCACCGACCTCAGGGCTCGCGTAGAGAGCCACCTAGGCATCGTCGGCTGCATCACACCCAGCGGGATGCCCGTCGTGACCCATTTGATGCGTCCTATCACCGGGGCAGAGGCGCTGGGGCTACAGGGTCTCCCTATTGGCGAATTGGTCCTCTCGACAGAGACCGAGGCCGAGTTACGGGACCTGGCGGGGAACGCCATGACAGTTCCCGTGGTTGGGGCCGTCACCCTGGCCCTTCTTGACGCCGTCGCCTCCGAGACGGACGGAGGTCCGGAACTGCTGCAGCGGACCCAGACGGTGCCATCGAGCCGTGATCTATACCTAGAGACCCCTCAAGACGAGATGTTGGAACCCGGCCGGGCAAATCAGATCACCACATGCCTTGCACCGCTCCTTGCCGAGGTGAAGAACATGGTACGCCGGTGCTACTGCCGAACGCGGCCGAGCGACATCCTTGCCTGCCGCGATTGCGGCGTCACGGCTTGCTCTGCTTGTCGCGGGAACCCGAGCCATCGTTTCGAGACTAAGGCGGCCACAAATTTGGAGTTCACTCCCGAAGAGGGCAAGGTCCGGCTCAGCGACATGTTACCCAACGCTCTCCAGCTGGTTATCCCGCCCTTCGTTCTCAACTGCGCCCTAGACTCCGTCAAGCAGCCATTGTACCGCTCGGTTGCTCACAAAGTTTTGAACGAGGAGGGCGACCATGACTATTACTTTGATGAGATCAAGGTCACCGAGGTTGTGACCGTGTGCTACAAGGCTGCCAACAGCATTGCTCGTCTTGTTCTCGCCCCTGAAGGACCTTGCAGTTGGTACATCTATGTCGCCCCCTGGCACCCCCAGCGCGCCGATCTCCTCAGGGTATTCGATCTTGACCAGCCTATCGCACGGGGACAGATTGGTTCCGGCGACATTTCCCTCCCTCAGTGGTCTGTCTGGGCTCACGGCCGCATCGATTTGGAGCTCGGGTTCACCAATGCCCGGAACAACAACATCGCCCCCAGTTCCTTGTCCTTCGCGCCCGAATACCAGGAGGTGCCGACCCCATCGCTGCAGGTGTGGAAGAAGTCGGTAGAGGCAAAGGTGTACGGTACCTACTTCCACCTTCCCAACTGCGGCACGGCGGGAAATCGGCTACACGTTAATCAATCTTCGGCCATACCTGCCAACAGTGTCTTCATGATGTGGGATTCCGGGTACCTCCGCGATCCGAATGACGACCATTTCGTGTGGACCGATACTACGAGAAGGATGGAGCCCCATGAGTATCGTGAGATTCTACTTCACGCCCAGCCTACACGTACCTGGGAGGTTGATCACGACATCCACACGCCGATGAGCGTGTTCTGGCCCGGATATTGGTCGTCCCCGTTCGATCGCGTTGGCAACTCGGGCTTCTCCAAGTCATTTCCCTCTCAGGATCTCGGCCAGGTTCACTGGGGCCTCGCTCAAACTATTCAACAGGCATCTTGCCATACTGACGGACAAGCTTCCGTCATCCATATGCCCGCTCTTGCGACAATTACCGCGGCCTTCCGCGAGTTTCCGGGAACAGCAGCGCAGCTTCTCAAGATTAATTCGTGCCCGACCGACGACAAGTTCTCTATCATCCCCGCCACAAGACGCGAGCCTTTCTTGAGAGCGTTCGCTTTTCTCTCCAACACTCTCCGCCGGTCTACCACGCCGGACGCCCTCACTTTGTTCCCGCACCTCGAGGGGAAATGGGTTACCGTTTGCCCCTGCCGGGACTGCTCCGCGGCACCACCGGAGATAACAGTCTACACAAAGAAAGAGATGAAAGCGTCCAAGAATAACGATCTCAAGCTCACAAAGGCCATCATCGAAGACCCGGATGAAGCTGCGCTGTTCGAGAGGCAGTACCTGGACCTCCCCAGGGCAGTGGCGGTCGCTGCCCGGTTCTTGCAGGGCAGTGAAGGAGATGTCACCATGAGCATGAAGCTCCTATTCCAGCCCAAGACTCTTGCATCGAAATGCCTCGCACACTTGGGGCAGGCGCATCGCAACCCAGCGCGCGGTCGGAACGCGGTCAACTCGGACGCAGTGACATCCTTCACGGTGGAGCTCGACTATGCGTCTACCTCAATGGCTGGCTTCGCACCATTCGCCACCTTCGTCCAACCCTGTAGCGAGGAGAACACGGCCGGCATCGACACTACGAGCGAGTACGAATTGCCTGACGCGGCCCCCCCGCGTATGACCGAGCGAGGTCACAAGCTTAGGTTGAGCCAGAAGGAAGCCGTCCACTGGATGTTGAAACGTGAGCGAGCTCCCCTCGACTTCGTTAAGTCCGAAGTCGAGGAGGAGGTGGTCTCAGCGCTCAACCTGCGCGTGCTCGGCAAGGCTGAGTGGACCAACCACTTTCCGTTCAGTTCGCGTGGTGGTGTTATCGCCCATGAGATCGGCTATGGAAAGACTGTGGTCACCCTTGCTCTGATCGACCATATGCGGAACTTCGACAAGAAGGAGTCCATCGACGAGCGGAGAGAGAAAGTCGACGCCGCGTGGACAGAGGAGCTGTCTAGCCCCCTCGAGCCTGCTGAAGAAGGTGTTCTGCCGGACGTCAACCACCCAGCGCCGTCCTTCTTCTGCCACCTGTCTGCCACCCTTGTGGTTGTTCCCAGGCACATCACAAGCCAGTGGTGCAACGAGACTCGGAAGTTCCTCGGTCTGGCCAGCCCTAAACTGATCGTGATCAACAGTACCCCCGATTTCTACGGAAAGTACACTCTGGGCCAACTTGAAAAGGCGGAAATCATCATCGTCAGCAGCGCGGTCTTCGGGCCTGCTTTTATGATGCGGCTGCAGGTGGTCTCCGGAAGAGGCGAGGAGTATCCGGGCGGCCTGTCCGGACGGACTCTTGAGGCCTGGTACCGCGGAGCGCTGAAGAACCACAGGATCCTCACCTCCCACTATCTCGCTGGCCGTGATGCCGACCGTTTCGACGACGAGCTCATGGAGGCGATCCACGGCGAGATTCTGCCTGGCTTGATCAAGAAGCAGCAGGCTGACGTCGATGCCCTCGTCGAGAAGCAGGTGCCCGAGATCGACCGTCAGCACTACAAGAAGATGGGCAAGAGAGCCGGAGGACCCGCGGGCGCCACCGACGTCGGCGAGGATGAGGATGACGCCGGTCAAAACAAGAAGCAGCGCGGCGCCAGAAAGGGCAAGAACGCCAAGGACGAGGTGAAGGGTTCGTGGGCAATCTCTTGGCTTCACAACTGCAGCTTCGCCCGTATTGTTTGGGACGAATGCTCTCGTTACGAAGACGGACCTATTGGCCTCTTTGTTGCGAACGCCGTGGCCAACTCCAAGTGGCTAATCTCCGGGACCCCCAAGCTCTTCAGCCTCGAGGAGGTCTGCAAGATTGCCGCGGCGTTCGGCATCCACGTCGCCCGTCCCGAGCCGCGGATGATGCCCGGCCTCCCGGCGGTGACGAGAGGGTTGAAACTGGAACCCATGTCCAAGAGCGAGCAGTTCCACGTCTACTCCTCTGTCACCAAGTCGGCCGCGCTTGCCCACCACAGGCACGACCGCGCCGGCATGTTCGTGGGTGTCCACTTGCGCGGCAATCCCCTGGACCCCGAGATCAACATCGAGTTCAGGGAGCACATCCTGCCCGTCGAGATGTCGACATCGGACGCAGTCCGTTACCACCTCATCAACCAGGAAGTTCTCGACGCTGGCTCTGACTACACCGCCCTCCCTCCTCACGCTCGGGAGGTCGTGACCCTGAAAGGGTCAGACTTGTTCGGCATGGATGGATCAGCCGCTGCCACCATGCTCTTGGGCGTGCTCGCCTGTGGTCTTGGCCAGCCCCACGCCCTGACGCGAGCTGATGATTTTGTGAGCCGTAGCGCTAAACTTAGCGACCAGATGAAGCTGCTCTGGGATAAGATGCTCTGGCTCCGGCGCTGGATACTCCTGCTCAAACCCAAGCAGCCCAAACAGAGCGGAGAGGACCCGGTTGAGAACACCCTCAAGCGAGTCGAGACCCTGTGCGCCCACATGAGCCATGCATTGTCGGGGGCGGGGAGCTTCGAGGAATTTGGTGGCGCGGAAATGTACCAGCGCGAGGCTACTGTCGTGGCAGGTCTGCAGATCACAGAGGGACAGGTCGGGGCAAACGCTCGCCCAAACATCAACTCCATCCGTGCGCAGGTTGGGGAGCACTTTCGCCGGGACTGGGCGAACACCTACGACATGGAGAAGGCACTGAACACCTGGGTTGACTTTTTTAAGGTCGATAGCGAGGACCTGGATTGCCTGGCCGAGAAACAACTTCTCCTACTCGCCAAAGACATCTGCTGGCTCAAGTACAAGGTCAACGCGGATGCAGCCCCCTTCAACGGCGGACGCAAGGACTTGCCACTGCTCCGGACTACGATCGCCGCAAGCTCCCAGACCGGCCCCCGAACCATCACCCGAACTATCCCGACGGGTATTGCCGCTCTGGCTGAGGGCGATATGCGCTACCTCTCCGGCCTAAACGAGGCCCAACTTCGGGAGTTCCTCCGAGTATGCATCGAGGCCAGACCGGAACCTCCAACATGGGAGCGGGCCAAGCGGGATTTCAAGCTGCCCGACCACCAATCCAAGTCGCCAAAGACTTTTCTCCAAGAGTGCCTCACAGGCCACAACGTCAAGTTCACCACAGCCCACTCCATCGACAATCTCAAGGAGAGACTCTGGCGGCACGAGAAGGGGCTCGGAGTTCCCGAGCTCTACCGCGACGGCCGGGCGCCGCCCGACAAGTACCGGGACTTGGAGGGGGCGACCTCGTGCAGCGGGAGCGAGGTGGCCCAGGTGTTGGCTACCAACGAGGAGCTGAAGCGGACCATGGTCCATCTCGCCAAGACGGTCGAGGACTTGAGGGCGACGAGGCTTGAGGCCAATTTCCTTCCCGGATACACCTCGTTGGCCGGCGCTGTGGACAAGGATCGCGCCGTGAGGGAGAAGACGTGTAGTAGCTGCTCGCAGCCTCTCACGTTGGCGTCGGAGTCATTCCTAGTCGTGGGTTGCGGTCATTTCCTGTGCAGCAGATGCAAATCCGCGGGGAAGTTTTACTGTCCGGTCCTGGACTGCCAGGCTTTCATCCACAAACGCCCGGTCCTCCAATGCTCCCAAATCCCGCCACTCCCAGAAGGCGAACCTCGGGCGAAAGCCAACAGCGTCGCCGAGCTCATCAAGAACGGCATCCCGAGCGAGGACTTTGTCCTCGTCTTCGCCCAATACCGGCCGGTGATCGAAGCGCTCGCGGTGGCGTTCGAGGGCGCCGAGCTCCAATTCCTGAACCTCGCGGCCACCAAGGACGACGCCATCTCCTCGAAGCTCGAGGAGTTCAAGGCCGGCAAGGCCGGCCAGGTGCTGCTGCTCGACATGGACAGCGAGACGAGCGCCGGCAGCAACCTGACGATCGCCAACCACGTCATCTTTGCCAACCCCTATGTGCACCGCGACCAGGAGCACCAGGCCAGGACGGTTCGGCAGGCCAGGGGTCGCTGCATCCGCACCCCGCAGGCCAAGGAGGTGCAGGTGTACCACTTCCTGGCCCGCGGCACGATCGAGGAGCAGATGCTGCGCAAGTACAGCAAGGACAGCCCGGCGGTGGAGGCGTTCTTTGCGGATTTCACTCGCCCGTGGTGGCTGGAGGAGTGAGGAATTGAGAAGGACGGGTTTCTGGGCGTGGAGAGGGGGGGTTTTGCGGATTTCACTCGCCCGTGGTGGCCGGGTGACTGAGGAGTTGAGGAGTTGAGGAGGGTGGGTTACTGGATATGGAGAGGAGAGATTTGTTGGAATTGGGCTATATTGGCCATCTGTACGAGTATGGCATTACTCGGTACCCTTGAGGTACGAGCCGCTGTACGAGCATGGGAATAAAAAAGAGCTCTGGATAACCAGGCCCAGGTGGCAAGCAGTGTGCCCCCTAGGTGTTATTTGCTTCATTAATAGGGATGGTCACTGGATTAGATTTAGAAGCACATACGAATGATAGATAGGTATTATATAAAGCTCTCTCTGCTCGGTGACTTGACCAGCTGACCTGTATAACAATGCTCGGCGGGTGAATATCTTCAGTATACAGCCCAGTCAACCGCCAGCTCTAGCGTAAATGATCCAACATTCTACACATCTAGATGTTCCAACTCCAACACATGCAACCTCACAACTTCGCCCTCCCTTCGCCCCTTCCTCCTCCACCACTCCGCTCCCCCGACTTCAACACAACCAGCAACCCCCCCTTATCCAACGCCCCCTCCCCCCTCAAACCCACCTCCTGACAATCCTCCACGCCGACCCCATTCGCAAACTGCACCACCACAAAATCCACCGCCGTCCCCTTCTCGCCCAGCGCAACCATGGGCGCATGCCACGTCCCAGCGCCGTAGGTAACCGCCTGGGCGGCGCTCGCCACGAACGCGCGGACGCGGCGCAAGTCGGGCATGCCGCGCCCCGGCAGCGGGCGCGGGTACTCGGTCGCGGGCGGGAGGCGGGTGGGCACGGGCAGGGTGTCCTGTGGGGGGCCGTTGTTGAGATCATCATCGTCCTTCTTTTTTTTTCCCGGAGGGAGGGAAGGGGCGACGATGACGAGGTAGTGTGCTGCGGGGTCGGCGGTGAGGGGGATGAAGGTTTGGGTGGTGTAGGGGTGGCGCTCGAGGACGGTGATGGGGAATGTGGAAGGCTGGGGGTGAGGAGAGGCCGGCTGTTGCTGCTCCGCGACGGCTGGGTTCTGGGTCGGAGCCGAGGCCGGAGCCGGGGTTTGGGGTGGGTCCGGGATGTGGGCGCGGGCCGCACACACAAACACGTTCATCACGGCGGACCCCGGTCGGCCGCTCGGGGCCTGGTCGTAGAGGTTTATTTGGCGCGAGACATGCTGGTATTTGATGGCCGAACCTTGGTTGGCGACGATAGCAGCGAGCGGGAGGGGCAAGTGCTTATCGGCGGATGAGGGGTGGACGTCGGGCCGTGGGTTCTCGGTCACGTCTCCGAAGGGTGCAAACGCTTCGGCCGTGAGGGGAACTGCTTCGATTACGGTACTTCGGCTTGGATAGTGCATTTTGCTTTGTGGTGGTATCTTCTAAAAACAAAATCCGGGTCCGGGGAATATCAATCATGCGCCGGGCCCCGAGAAAAGGACTTTAAGGACAGAGGCAAAAAAACGCGAGTGGTTGGGAAGAGGAGGGCGCCTGTGGCTGACGCGGGCTTGTTTGTTGTGGGGGCCTAACTCAAAGCGAAGAACATGACAAGATCACCACTGACTCTTATCTTCACGCTCGACCTCTTATCATCGACGGAGAACTTTACATCGAAAAAAACTAACAAAACCAGCCGACGTTATGGTTTCTGTTATCGTTTAGGCCAAGTTGTAGCGTCGTTACTATTAAATACATCAGCTTCAAACGGAACATTCCACTGGCTTGGGTTACCTTATCGCGCTACCGGCAACATGTCATCCATCCTCCATCATATGCCCAGCTTCCCTAATATAATTGTATATGAGAAAGGACGGCCGTCTCAATGAGTTAGAAGAAGCTAATCGGACCAAACTTCCACTGCGGGGCTTGCGCAGTGATAAAACGACAGACAAGCCAGAATAAGAACCACCCGCCCAAATGCACCCGCTACACACCCGCATATGAGCCGAACCATTGAGTCCACCCTCCAAGTCGAGTTGACCCAACCAAGCCAGTCCGCGCTGTCCGTGATCGACAATACCCGGTTTCCCGCGATCCCGCGGTTTTGGAACCTTCCGGACCGCCGCTCTATTTTTGGATTCACCCAGGCACACGGGATGCTCCTCGCCAGCACCCATACCCCGCCCCGTGTAACGTTCATGCGTTCTTCGTCTGTTTACTTCGTGGTGCCAGTTCATAAGTCGACTCAAATATCATGCTCTGAGCACCCCAAGCCGCCAGCCCTCCCTCCCACGCCGTGCAACTCCGAGCTGCGGAAACTCGGCGCAGAGTCAAGTACCTTACCCTGAGTTCCCACCACGACCAGTCCACGGCGGAGTCCTATCTCGGGGGGTCTTCCAAAGCCATTGCAAATACCCTCTCAGACTAGTTAATAAACAATGATGCGGGCCAGCCGGTTTATATAGACTGGTACCAACCCCGCCGTGTCGCTTGCTCCTTGGCCCGTCCCGGGTATTATCTTTGCACCACTAACACATGCAGGCCCGCCGTACTTCCCCCATCGACATCCGATAACATAGCCGATGAAGCCCTGGCGGGCCCTCCCATGGCGCGGCCGCCTCCAGGATTGGCTTGGGTCGGTTGTCTGGACGCCCTCCAGTTAATATCTTTTTAGAGAGACACTATAATCTTCACCCGATCACCGGGTTGAGTTTGCCAAGTATGAGGTTGCATAAGAGCCAGGGCCCGCGTCCGTTATGTCGCTCTTGAGGCCAGAGGACGCCACATGTCCCCTGAGAGCGACGATGTATAGGTCAAGTCTCGGATGCTTGTGGGCGCTTGCGCTCCTGGGCCTGCGTGCTAGCGCCGCATGCACCAGTTACGGCGTCGACTTTTCCAATGGCGGTGCCTACGACATTGACGGAGAATCCAACGAGTATTTTAGTTTCATCACCGTCTTCCAGGGTAAGCCAACGAAGAGGGGGTGGGGGTGGCGGCTAGCGAGAAACAGCGCTGATGTTCACGTAGGATGCTCTCAGGAAACCATCAGCCCCGTCCTGGTCGGTCCAGACGACAATGTGTATGCCTGCTCCGACATTGACACGCAACCGGCCGGTACTCAAGCAAAATCTACATGGTGAGAACACCTCTTAGCGTGTATCTATACGGCTATTTTGCTTATTCCTTCGTCTAGTGGTATCCCCTATTCCGCCATGTCATCGGGGCGCTGGACAATTATCATCGCTGGTGACCAGATATCCACCCAGCGTACCATATCCCTTACTGTCGGTGTGCCGCAGACTACGCGGGTTACGGTAGGCGATGTTACTCTTTCCAGAGCACTGCTCTTTGTTCTGCTAACCGCCCCAAAGGTTACACCAACGGTTGTCGTGGGGTACACGACCACCGCGAGGGCCCAGAGTATTTGACCTGCGTACCCGAAGCGCCTGAGCGCCTTAGAAGCTAATAATCTCACAGCTGTGTTGACCACCCTTGTGCTGACCGAGACCCTCATCATCGTTCCTCGAACAGTGACTACCCGGTGCAGCGGCGCAACACGGACAGTGACGAGCTACCAGCAAGGTCCAACCCCTGTAGTTACGTCGACGGCAATCAGGACAGTGACAGACGCCCAAGTGACGAGCTACTGGACGACTACGTCCTCGGAAACAGCTAGCTGCCACTACCCATCAAGTCAGTTCCCCTCCCCGACCCGACAGTCCTATTTTCAACGGCATCCTTTTAAGCAGAACCACGGTCGTCAGCCATAGGAACGGCCAATTCGAAACCAGAGCCATGCAATGCTGACCCAACCATCGCAGACCAACGAGACGTGGCTGGTGCCGCTGCCGTAGCCACAGTCACGGTGACGTACACGCAGACCACCTACACGGTTACTAGCACAATCGTGACTACGGTTCCGGGTAGGACAACTACTGAGCTTGGTAAGCAGCCTAGATACCGGTTGCATAGGTACTCTCAGCTAACGGAATCATAGTTGTGAGAACAACCACCGCCACTGTGTAAGGACTGCCAATTCACCTCTCAACACCTTCCCCTTACTTGCCGCGCCATACTAGGACGCTAACCCTTGAGAAACAGCACTCCGGCTCCTTCGACCGTGTGTTCTGGGGGCAACCCCGATGTGACAATCACGATCAACAGAGGAAACCCTACAGCAGTGACACGAACAGATGTCGTATACCTCACAAGCCACCTGTCCGGCACCGTGTGGGTCGGGTATGTGTCCTGCGAGCCCCTTTATAGCCCATACCTGCTCACCAACTCCCAGTCAAACGCATGTCACCACTGTTACCGATACGGCGAGCGCTACAGCCTGTTGGAGGGCCGGCGGGTGGTTTGGCTAAGCCCATGGTCAAGGGGGAGGGTCGAGCTGCTCGACATGAATGGTAATGGGAGACTGCCCCAGAGGAGCCCTTGGAATTTGGCAGTAGCATTACCGTAGTTCTCAATAAGTAACTGTCTGCTTATTTCCACATCGTATGTAGTATTGTGTTGTACGGGTATTTGTTGTGTTCTTAAACGCCATCTAGTCGTATCCGTGTCGAAAACGCCGCAGCAGCTGGGACAAGCTGACCCATGGTTCCCGACGTGCCGAGCGCTGTGCATGATAATTAATATTCTTCCTCATCCTTCTCATCGCCCTCTAACCAGATCTCATGCCCGTCTCCCTCACGCACAAACCAACTCACGATGATATTACACACCGCAACTCCACTAAGGCCCCAAAACACAGCACCAACCACCCCTTTAGCCAGGCCCAACCCGTATAGGAAACCGCCCAGGATAGGCCCAGTCGACCTCGCAAAGCTGCTCACGCTCTGTCCAATCCCATGTACGCTCCCCAAAACGCTGGGATGGGGTGTGCAATTGTTCACGAGAATGGTCTGTGCCGGGAGCGCAACGGTACGGCCGAGGACGTGGAGGAGGAGGACGGCGAGGATGGCGATCCATACCGCTACCCCGTCCTTTCCGTGCGGCGGAGGGCTACCCGACGGGACAAGACTCAAGTAGGGCACCAAGAAGTAGGTGAGGGGGGGAAGCAGCAGGAAAAGACGCCAGCTGCCGACCGTGCCGAGACGCGTCGAGAGCCGGGGGTAGACGCCGATTTGGAGGCCGAGTCCAATCACGCCGAGGATGGCCATTGCCAGTCCCACCTCCGGAGGGTGGAGGCCGAGCCCCCCGGTGAAGACGAAAGGGGATCGGCGCCCCGGCGGGTCGCTGTGCGGGTCGTACACGGGGGTGGAGAGGAAGACGAACCAAAGGGAGTTGAAGGTGCCGAGGTGGAAAGTCAGAAGGAAGTTTGCGGTCAGCGTCCGGATGACGTTCGGCGTAAAAATACGTCGGAAGGCAAGTGTCTGCGTGTACCTACGTCGGGCCTGTTTCGATATTTGAGGGGTGTCAGAGATGGGCGAGTGCCGCGAGTTTGCCGTGCCTGCCACACGTGAATCATCGAGGTCGAAATCCGCGTCTCGGTTTGCCAGAAGCGTGTAAGCTGTTCTTGAGCGCCCTCTGGAGAGCCACCTACGCAGCTGTCGCCCCAATTCCAGCCCCCTGTCGCGATTATCCACCCTCAGGTCCAATGTCTAGCCAACATTAGCGATGGAGCCTTGGGGTGGACCACGTTGTTATCGATGGGACTCACCTCCTCCAGGAATAACCATACGCCAAGAAAACCACACAAGAGAAAGAGGGCGGAAACCAGGTTTGGTGTGGCGTAGGGGAAGCGTATAAAGAAGTCGATATGACCGAACAGTCCTGGGTAGCTCCCGGCCGGGTCGGAGAGTACACCCCCCAAGATGGGTCCAAGGATAGCGCCAACGTTGAACGTCATGGGTAGCAGCAAGAAGGCCCGGGACTGATACCTATACGCGCACCGTTGTGGGTGAGCATCGGCCTATCTGAAAGGGGCGGCGGCGGGCGGTTGGATAGAGGGTGTTCGGAGAGTCATCAACCTACTTCTTCTCCTTGACAATTTCGCTAATCCTGTCAGGGTGTGTTAACACGCTGGTAGTGCAAACGGCAACATTGTCTAACCTTACATGGTCCTTAATATGCCCACATTCCCGTTTGTAATGCCTCCGAGAGACCGAAAGAAGAGGGCCTGCTGAAACGAGGTCGAGAAGGCGAACCCAACACAGGACAGCACTTGGGGGGGGAGAGTCAGCGAAAAGCTTGAGCACTAGGCTGCTTCAACACCCACATGTTCCCGCGAGGCCAATCATCAAGACGGTTTTGCGGCCGAACCGGCCGGAGTCGGCAATTCGGCCCCAAAGCATGGCAGTTAGGAACTGCGCAGCGGTGAAACTCGCGCTACGAGATGGCTACCGTCAGAACCAGGTACTCATGTGCAATCACCGAGGTCAAAGGGAACAACGTACTGCAACATGCCAGCCTGACCCGAAATAACCGCGTCAGAGAGTGCTGGGTCGAACCATTTGAGTTGGTAAAACATGTAGGACTGGATAGAGGTTTGAACGAGTGGTTCACTCAGTCGTGCCAAGGTGATGACACAGAGTTGGTCTTTGCGAGGGAGATCTCTCCACGAGACTGTGTTTGGGTCGGCAGCGTGGTTGCTGGGTGCCCTCATCCGGCCTTCTCTACGCGAGGATGGGCGCTCGTCACCCTGTCCCGGACCGTGGAATGGAGGTAACGGCGCTCTCCCAACACCTGCGCCCCCGTTGCCTACATTCTCTACCGCCCCCGGTGCATCTGAAACCCCCATGGCGAGCGAGAAGATAAACAACGGCGAGCGAGAAGATAAACAACAACCAGATTCATTCAGTGACCCTTTCGTTGGGTGGTAGTCTTGGCTGAGGTGGCATCTCTAGGTACAGGAAGAGGGGCGAGACAGGCAATAGGCTAAAGGCAAAGGCCAAGTTTCAACTGCTAATCAGGTAGTTTAAGAGTATCAATAAGTCGCTGAATATACCGAAACCCTTTAAAGCTTTTGGTTGTCTCCGCAAGCCGAGCCATCTCGCAGCTGGATGCCTGGAGCGCAGTGTCCTCGAGGTGAGGAAGGAAGCGGACGATGGAGAGAAGGAGAGAGCGCGATCACATGGGCCGCTCTCGGTGAGGTGAGCCGCACCCACCAATCAAGCCCGCCAATTGACCGCAACCCTGCAGCGCGACCCCCGCCCCTGACGAACCCCATGGATCTCGGCCCGCGTAAACAAAGAACCGATCATTCGACCTCACCTCCTCCCTGGGATACATACTGTTCGCAGCGTCGCCGGCAACTGTACTGTCAGTACACGGTATATGACAGACTCGCTGGTTTCCTCCGCACGAGGAGCATATAGACGTCATACTATATCATCTCGAAGTCATATTCATTGTCATGAAGGCATTTTCTAATCCAAGAAAGTCCGAGCACACTGATCTATGACGGCGACGATTGCCGGGTTATCGATCACAGCTGCCGATTTTAAGATCGTGGACTGGGTGACTTGGGCGACTGGCTCGCTCCTTCGCACTCCTCGGCCCGTAAAATACGCTCTGGTAAGGCGACTCCAGGCCTCCGAAGTCAGGGGTTCCGTGCTGCTGCGCCTCATAACTCCGACAGAAATCCGATTTGGACACCCGGACAACTTCATTGCTCGCTATTATGACTGGATCTTTTCGTTCTCTCCCTTTGTATGACTCCCATGCCATTGCAATAACACCAACCAGAGGTTTTTGTAACAAACATTTACAACTCGTGCCGGCGGCTTGACAAAAAGGGCCATGGCTGCCCGACGAGGGATGGTGAAGAATCGGTGGCGGCCGAAACATGGACGATGGAGGTGGACACCATCCCACATACTCTCCGCCCCGACCCCCGCACCAGCATCGACAAGCGAGCCAAAGTTCGACACCGGCCGTTGTCCAAGCCCCAAAGATGCCGGGGGGCAGAGCTCCCAGCGTGCTTGCTGTGTACAGTCACCTCTCCGTTGACCAGAAACCTGAGAGATCAGTGCCCTCGGTCTTTGCATTTTGAACGGCAACACTTATACTCCAGAGACCGGCTCCGAGTGGACAGCGTCGGCAATTAAACAAAGGTGCACGAATAGGTATCTTCCGTTTCCCAACAACTGACGGTGCGGAAGCCAACCACACATCGGGTCCACCCGGGAAAGCATTGAGATCGGGGTGGTTTCGTTGACAATTCGCCACAGCCGTGCCCCCTCATGTCCCTATACAAAGTGTGAGCTACTGTGTACGATACCACCTAAATACCGCGCTTCTTCCCCTCCACCCCGGCTGCTATAGCTAGTGTAGGGAGGTTGCAACGCTATTCTAGCCGAAAAGCTTGAGTGAACGTTGAGGTCCCGCATAAACGAGACGCTGCCGTTGAAACCACAACCTCACGCATCGAGGATCCTCGTTGCAAAACACCGTTCTTTCCGGTGGACTTGCGCAAGGACTCGAAATCCTGGATTATTAATACTCTAAACCGCGGGGGTGGTCCCCGTGTCTCCGCCTGCGCGATAAATACCCTAAAACAAACATTTTTCACCAGAAGTGGGGAGATCGTACCCGTAGCCAGGATCAACCTGGTCCGTTTCTTAACGTCCCGGCATTTCGAAATGCTATGCTGGCGAGGAAATGCCCTACAGCGAGCCTGGTTGGACACGACACCATCGGCCGTTCCCTGGTCTGTTAGAACGCCGTCGAAAAGCCTCGAGGAAAACCCCTCACACAAAACACTGATGTGACTGTATACGCAGTAGTTCAAGCAAATGAAGTAAATCCAGTTTATTTAGACTTGAGGATGGCTTTCTTCCGTCCCGACGGCCGAGGATTCGAGGATTCCACGGTCGACATCTGCACTTGGAGTTCGGCTTTTTTTGCCCGTGAGGTGCCAGCCTCCCTGCATATCTGATACCGTTGCTCCCGGCTGGCCTCGGGGTGTCCCGCCCCAAATCACCAAGCAAACACACGTCTATCCCAACCTAAATGATCATAACGCCCCATACCCGCTCCGTAGTTTAATACCCAGAAAGACCGTCAAACGTTGTCCAAATGTGAGCTAGACACCAGGGCCGGCGATATGGGTCTCGGATCCTTTAAAAAGACCGACCAAATATCACCACAGCCGCCAGCCACAACATATAAACTGGGAGTTCAGTCCCTTGAACTGGCAGAAGCGAATGCCATCATCTTCTGAGACCATCTGCGGCCTACTCCCGGCGTCCCAACCCGTGAGTCTTTGACTTGTTTCCCAGATACGGCTCCCCCGCCATCATGGAGTTACGTGGCGTGGGTGTAGTACGGGGTGACAGGGTAAGCCGGCCAGGATGGTTGTTCTTGAAGATACGTCGAAGACTGCTGCCCGCCATGGTTGGTGTGACGGTTTGTCGAAGGCCCTAATAAGAGTCGTCAGCACCGAGCGAGAGAAATCACCCACCGGGATTGAAACCCGGCAGCTGTGCCATGCGTGCGTCCATACCTCGGTCAGCCTCCTCGTACCTTGCCTTGCTCGAATCGAGGCTGGGCGCCGACGTGTGGGTTGCCATGACGCGCCCCATTGCCATTGGCACTCCCGTGTGTCCGTAAGCTGGCGTGAAGTCCTCCCTGGGCTCGGATAACCTTGGGCTCGACTCGGGCGAACGCATCGTGGCCGCAGCTGGAACGGGCACCACGCTGCTCGGCCACTGGTCGTAGGGATTCCCCCCGCCGTAAGGAGATCCGTAGGCGTGCGCCACCTCGTAATTGTTCACATCCGCCTCTATAGGCAACCCGAGACTGTCGGTATCTGGACCGGATCGCGGATTAGCGGCAGGCCCCTTGAGATTTGGACAGCTAACAAAAACGGGGTTGCATACCTGGAGCGTGATATTGCCGTCCGGTGTGTGCCTCAAGGGCCTTCCTTAGGTTGCAGACCTCCGCCTCCAGCAGTTTATTTCGAATCAATGCTTGTCTCAACCTATCGACACCCAGCTTTCTTTTGAGCGCGTTCACCTCTTGCTGAAGATTCTCAATCAGCTCCTTGTTGCGGCGCCGTATGTTTTGCTGGGCTATTCGGTCGTTCTCTCTTTTCTTATTCCGTTGCTCTTCTGACAAATTACTGACTCGCCGAGCGCCTGCTCAACACAACATCACCAAGGTCAGCAAACACAAGGTTCCATGGGGCCGAACCCAACGGTGGCTTGGATATCATCAACGTACCCTTTCCTTTGAGCTTGGGGGTTTTAGATGGCTCTTTGTGATCAGACTGCGGTGTCATATTCGATCTCGCTCGTTGGAAATTATCCGAAGCGTGTGCGAGAACCGCAGGCGGGTTAAGTCACCGACGCGTGACAGGCCGACCTGATAAACCCTCAACTTCCTAGACCGGAACGGTACGGTAAGGATTGCTGGCCCAGAAGGTGGAGTACAGAGAATCTTGAAGAAGCAGGGCTCTCCTATCTACCCACACAGGGCCTATCCCTGCCGATTGGGGCGGAATGGACTAGTTCAGCAAGGCTGGCGTCGGGTGACGTGAACCGTAACCATCGATCTCGGTTCACCAATTCACAGCTTGAGGCAAAAACCATGTTTTTTGACTGAGAACACGCGAGAGCTTAAGAGTCTCCAACCCTTCATAGGCATCACGCCCTTCAAATCTCGTCCCCACCCCCACCAGTCCAGACCTCGATCGCAACCATCAAACGCCCCCAACTAGGTAACGGGCGGTGGACAGTGGTGATGACATACATGCCTTTGGTCCGGCGAAACACTGTGTGGCACTGCCGAGCTCCGCAGAGGAGGAACTAGGGAACCCTTGTTGCAGATCCATATCGCCGACCGCATTGCCGCGCCGGGGGACCCCCAAGGACCTACCGGGGCGTGTGAATCACATTCAACGTCTTGACTGCTTGCTCGCCCGAGGATTCAAGACAGCTTCCCACACCGCGAGCGGCTGGGCGCGGATGGATGGACTATAAGGATACTCTTCCGCCTCCTGCCGCACACTCCATCCAACCTTCGGGCATGGTAGGATGGCAAGAGACCATGCTCTGGATTCCTGTGCCTTCAGGGTTGTGGGCTCCCCACACCAAGGCTTTGCCATCAAGTACTAGCAGGGCAGCAATGGGTAGGTCGATGAAACATGCCGGCCCCGTACCGCGGAGTGCTGCATCGCCTCTCTGCCATATTGTTGGCGGGCTGAAGGGAAGGGTTGCCACTCTCCGCCCCTAAGTCTCGGGATGCTTCCATAATTCCCTTAGTGCTGACGAGTGACCGTACAGTGTACGGGCGATGAGTGCGTTGAAGGCGGCCTCGTGGCGTCTGCCAAAACATACTGTGTAAAACGCTGATAAGTGGTGCCTTGTCCACTGGGTTCCTCCCTGAGCGTCCGAGCCGGTGTGGCTGTTGACAGGAAGGGGTGACGTATGGCCAATACCCAACGATGATCTCGGTCTACGGTATCCGGCTTTAATAGTATGAAATAGCTCAGGTTGAGCAAGTTTTGTCGGACCCCCCGGTTGCCCCCCGCTCATCCGCGGCGAAAAAAAGCTTGCACTTGCAGACTTCGAGGTGGCTAGACTGCTTTTACGGTTCAACGAAGAGTCCCTGGCTCCTAGATCGAAGCCTAGGTAGTGATACTTGTGTCGGACCTCGGGCGGCCTACACAGTAGTACCGAACGCAGGCGAAGCACTTGCTAGCGGGTGAAGCTAACTCGGCAAGTTAACAGCCGGGTCACGGGTAAGGTAAAGAGGGGGGGTCAGGGTAGGAACATGCGAGCGAAAAAGCTAGACATACGGTACAATGATGTACCATAGAGAGAAGGATATATCGGAGGCGTGACTAGCCTTAGGAGGGCTATCCCCCTTCGTTCGTCTTCGGGCATCGGTCTATCTCCCCACCATCAACAGGGTACACCGGAGATGCCTCCTCCTTCGTGCCACGGGTTGTGTGGTCTCACTCAACAATGACGTCCCCAGCTGCGCCAACCAAATCCTCCATCCCGCCAACTTGTGTTGGTCCGCTGGCCCCCTCTGGTGGCAAGGCCCAGGCAGGCAGAGGGCTGACGTAACTCCAAGCCCCCTCGGCATCCTCATACCGGAGACTGTGGAGCCACAGCGCGAGTTCTTGATCTCCGGGGTCAGTGTAGAGCGGAGTGCTACAGAGAGAGCAAACCTCGCCCGACATTTTCTCGGCCTTCTTTTTGTAGTAATCATCCACCATCTCGTCGTAGTACGCGACCGCATCAGCCACCTGGTCCTTGCCCATGCGGGAGAGGCGAGTGACGACGTCCTCGTCGGTGTTCAGAGTCCCCTCGGCATCGTTGCTGCCCAGACCCAAGCCCCAGACCCGTTGGTTGGCATAGATCGGGTCGTTTTGGATTGGATGTCCCAGGAACTGCAGATGAACCCTAAGCTGGTGAGTCCTGCCCGTGACAGGCAAGCATCGCACGATGGAATAGCCTTCATCTGCCTTGCGGCCGTTGGTCGGCTGAGGGACCGATTCTGGCCGCTCGGTAGCCGATTCCTCCGCCGACCCCGTCGGCCCACTACCATCCCGAGACACGCCTAAGTCGGAAGCTGGGGGGTAGTATGCCAGGCGCTTGAAGACAGTCCTCGCGGCTTTTCCGTTGGCTCGCACCCTGTTCAACCCGAGCTTGGGGGAGATCTGAAGAATGGGCTGGTCACACACGACCTCCCCGTCGGGGAATTTGCCGATGACGCGGGCGACGTACTCTTTCCGAACACTCCTTTGGAAAATCTGGACCCCGAGTTGCTCGGCAGCCTTGGCGTGTTTCGCGATGAACATGATACCGCTCGTTAACCTATCGAGTCTATTGCAGGGTCGCGGGGTAAAATCAAGGCCCCTCTCCGCTTTCATGATCTCAACAATGGAGTTGTAGTTGTAGCGTCCAGCCGGGTGAACAGGCACGCCCGACGGTTTGTTGATGACGATCATGTCATCATCCTCGTGAATGACGCCGATAGGGTCGGCGGTAACAGGGGGTTCGTGGCGATGAGTGGTATGAGATATGAGGTGTCCGTTCTTTAGTATGTGGTGAGGGCCCACGGTCTTTCCGTTGACGGCAACCAGGCCAGACACCATGGCTTCGCGGTAGTATTCAACGGGCCGGTCGCGGAACTCGCTCTGAAACACGTCAACCAGTTGCCGGCCTCGCCATCTTTCTTTGCACCACGTGTTGTACGTATAAAAGTAGGGTGAGACGCGACGCAGGCCGTCCTCAAAATAGTAGGGCCGCGGCCATGGTTCCGAAAGCACTGGGGAGGGGAGAACAGGTTCGGAAGCGGAGCCAGGTGGGACGGGACTGCCATCTTGGGTTTGCTGCGGCGCGCCCGACGCGGCCAGGCGGGTTACGGAAGCCGCCATCTCCCGGCAGGACGCTACAAGGCCTAGTAACGGCCTTGGTACAGCCAGTGTCGTAAAAATTGTGTATCTCGGTGGTGCCGCTTGTCTCGTGCAGGTGCGATTTACGATGTGCTACGTGAAATCGCTGGGTGTCTGTTCTAGGCACAAAAGAAAAAAGGGCGGTCACGAAGGGCAGTATCCCCAAAACAGCGCCTGGGGCAGGGATTCCCCGCCTTTTCAGCCCCCAAGGCCGATGGGGCCCGGGCCTCGGCTTGTTGACCCGCTGTTGTTTTATTTACATACTATGGAGCAGCAACTCGCGCCGTGTCGGTCCTCGGCCTCTTTGGCTCAGGGAACCGTTAGTTAGCGCCACCTTCTCCCGTCAAAGGTAAACCTACATCTCGCCGACGAGCCCCAGTTGATGATCGATCTGTCATGGCGGATATCAGCCAGTTAAAGCGTCGGACAAGGGCCGATTACGCGTACATTCTTGAGTACCGCACTCGGTGGTAAGCCGCGCCCGACGGGCAGCTCACTCGCCCTCGTTAAGGCTGACCAGTTTAGGGCCGACAATGACATGTACAGCCACATGAACAATTCCATCTACAACTTCCTCTATGACTCTGTCATCAACACTTATCTGATGGAGAATTGCGGACTCCATCCGGCGTCCTCTCCACAGTACGGCATGGTCGTCCACTCTCACAACGACTATTTCGCATCCATCTCGTTTCCCGCTTGTGCAGAGCTTGCTTTGCGGGTCAATCGCATTGGGAACTCCAGTGTTACTTACGAGATCGCGCTATTCGAAAAAGGGCATGAAGCTGTCAAGTCTGTCGGCGAATTTGTTCAGGTTTTTGTTGACCGAGGAACCGCGAAGCCGAACCCAAAAGGCATGGATGCAACAATGCGTCAGGGGCTCGAGCGCATCTTGGTGCAAAGTCGCCAAAGCAAAATGTGAAAACCAGAGTTTATTTAAGAGGGATCGGTCTTTCACAACGATACAGCGGTGTTTAATGAGATATAAAGGTGTAGATTTCGAAGTATATAGTTAATGCATCGCGTTCATAGATATATACAAGGAACAATGGTAGGAGTATAAGAGTATAAAGTACAAGTATCTGACTGTGCCATGTTGCTTCGTATACCACAGTAAGGTGAAGCGAAGCTGCTGTGTTAGCCACAACGCCACCGCATGCAAGATTATGCACGATAATGCGGCCGAAACTGTGGCATCCAATCGCTCCTCTGAGAACTCTGGAGGGAAACCCTAGTAAATGAAACGAAGCGTTCCTTCTTCGCTTCCTCAATGTACATTGTACATCTCAGAGACTCATCATTGAAGCTTCGCTTCAATTACTCTATATAGTGTAACGAACCTGTCTCTGGACCCGTCCTGCTAGGGTTCAGTATCAGTTAAAGGTAGTCTCTCTTAGTAGGTACTTAGTTTTGGTACAGCCAAAGGGTATATAATAAAGACTTGTCTCAATAGTAGGCTTTCGAGCTTGTAGCGAACTGTAGTTGTAATTGCTAACTGGAGAACTCCTATAGCTCTCTAGGATGAGTAACTATATACTATCTAGTATTACTATCCTTATAGTAATAGTCCTCTATTATTACTAATAACTAGTGATAACCTTCTATTATTATTGGTAGTTGGTAATAACTGTTCCTATTAGTTCTTTAGTAATTAGCTATTAGTATCCTATATCTTCAGCTATAGCTATCTTAGATTATCCTTTAGGTTATTCTATAATACGATATGATACCCCTTCTCTTATATCTTTTAACCTAAAGAATATTAGTTCTCTATCTCTAACATTAGCTAATAAGCTCTAAATATAGTACTTCTCTCTACTATTGGTAATTTCCCTATTCTATTCTCTTTCTTTAGTTTTTAGTACTTATAATATATTTATAGAGAAATATTAATCTAAATCTATATATTATACTTTCCTAGCTAATAATATCTGAAAGAATAGTTTTATTATTATACCTTGTTCCTAGTACATTTTCTAGAGTTTAAGATACTATATATTTTCGAAAATAAAATACTATAATATATATATTTAATATAGTTAATTATATAATAGCTCTAATATTTCTGTCTTCTAATATAAGTTTCCTTCCTATCTATTATATTCCTAGCTTATCCTAATATCCTTAGTAGATTATATTATATCGAAGTAATAACGGATTGAATATAAGGAGTAGAATACCGAGCAGTTTCTTAAGGTAATTTAGTAGAAGTTAGAAGAAGACTAATAAGCTTTTATAGAATACTTAGTCTATTTATAGTACCTTCGTTAATAGAAGAAATTCCTAATAGACTATAGTACTAATATAATAGCTTATAGTTTATCGACTCTAAATAACCTTAAAGTAGCTAAAAGATAAGAGTCTCTTACTATAGTAGGGATACCTTCGGTTAAAGGTAATCTTAATTCCTTTACTAACCTCTCTATAGGATTCGACTAGTCTCTAGGGGATTCCTTTACTGGAATTAACCTTCCTATAGGATTTCCTTTAATCGATCGAGGTTCCTTTAGTAGAACTTCTAAAGTTTCCTAGGCTAGTTAAGATTTAGAGCTAGTTACTATAAATTATTCTTTAGATTAAAATCTAACTATTTAACTAAATACTTTAGTTGTAAGGTAGTAGCCCTATAGTAACTGCAGATAGGTGTACTGTAACGGCCCGGCACAGTCACAACAAGGTTGGTCACGTAATGAGCCATTTATACACTGCTCCACCCTCGGTACTGGGGGATCCACCTTTGTCGCATCCACTCTCGACACATCCGCCAATCAGTACACTTGGTTCTGGAGCATCCACTTTCATTCACTGAACACCAAGATAGGTCCCTTATTGATTGGATATAGGGGATCTATATCTACCAACCTGTAAATACAATAGTAATAGCGACCAACTGGGACTGACCGTCCCCTTATCTATAAAAGGCTGCTATTTCTCCCCTAGAACTATATTTAGTTTAGTTCTTTACTTTTAGTTATATTTTCATTATTAGATATAACCTTTAGGCTATATCCTAGTTTATTTATATATATTATAATACTATAACTAAAAGTTACTTTACCGGCTAGTAATAGCGATAGAATATCTATTAAAATCTTAATAGAAGATCTATAAGGTAATATAATAGAAGATCTATTTAGATATACTTAACTATAGTAATCCTATTAAAAGATTTAAAGGAGAAGTACCCTAAGGATAACAGCTCTAAAGAGTATCTAGATAATAACCCCCTAGTAGTAGTCTAGGAGTAGGTTAAACCCTTTAAAGGAAACTATAACTAAACTAATAATAAGTTAGATACTATTATTTTCTTTTAATAGATTAGTTTAACTCTTACTAGTAGATATTTAATAGCCTATATTAATAGGTATATAGGTAGCTACCCTCTCTTAGACTTCTATAACTAACTTATATAGAAGGACTTTAAAGGTAAGAATATCGTTAAAGAATTTACTAAAAGGACTAATAACCTCTTTAACTAAATCTCTCTCTAGCTCTATAATTTAAATAGAGAGCTTAATAAGCTTAACTAATACTAGATCCGTTTAAACCTAGATTATATTCTCTTATTAATCTATAGGCTCTTTACCTAGTAGGATATAATAATCTCTCTTTCTTAAACTCTTTACTAGATATTAATCGATAATTAGCTCCTATTCCAATAGACCTTATAGTAGGTTTAAGAGCTAGAGGCTAATCCTAATATAGTAAAGTAATAGTAGATCCTAGACCTTATTAAGGCCTATAACTATTTAAACTCTCTATTAGCTAAGGTATAGAAGGAGGTAATTATAGCTAGTAGAGAGGTCTAAGGGCTCCGGTTAAAGCTAGCTTAATATAGCAATCTAAATTACCCCTAGGTTAGTATAGAAGATAATAACTATAATATTTAAGGCTTCTAATATTAGAGTATAAGGATTAAGGACCTAGACCCTCTAATAATAGATAATAACCTAATATTAAGGGTTTAGAGCGGTTAAATAAACCGAAAGCTTTCTAGAAATACCAACTAATTCCCTACTAAAGACTATCGATTTACCTATATTACTAGCTTAGTTAAAGGTATAATACTCTAATACCTCTAGACCTATATCGATAAAATAAATAAGGACTATTTTACTATTATTTAGGAAGTTTTTAAATATCTAAAGGATATCTTTAAGGATATAATAGAGATCTAGAAGGTTAAGTAGAGCCTAGAATAACTAATAATATCTAATAGTAATAAATATTAGAACTTTACTTTAAAATTTATCCTCTATATAACTTAAGCTAAGGAGCTAAAGTTAAAATAGAAGAAGAAGTTTAACCGGCAGCTAACTTATAAGCTATAGACCGCTCTTACCTAGGATTATATTAACTTTAGGATTAACTTCGAGACCTTCTAGCATCTCGGTATAGAGATAGCCCTCCTATATAAATAATAAAACTTTGCTTATTTAAATAAGAAGGAGAAGGCTTCTATAGATAGTATAGGAAAAGGCTCTAATACTTCTACCTATAGTAATACCCTAGCTCGATAAGGTTTAAATACCCTAGCCTCTACTAGAGGTAGAGGTATTACTCTATAACTTAGCTAGGAAAAAAAAACTAGCTAATAGCTAAAAATAAATACTTCTACTATAAGGAAGTTAGCTACTCCTCTAGAGACTATATAAAGTAAATAGTAGTAGAGATCCGGTACCTCGGTATAGATACCCCTACTATAGCTGTAATACTTACTATAGTACCTGCTCTAACTACTCTTCTAGCTCTAGAGATAGAAAACTAGCTGCTCTAGGATAAGCCTCTCTACTAAGGCGATTTAATATATAATTATCAATAATTAAGATAGACCTTTAGAAACTAATAGATAGAGATAGCTTTACTATCCTCTATACTCTAACTAATAATAGAATTAGAGTTACCTTAACTATATTAGTTAATATAGGAGTAGACCTCTATATTACAATCGATCCCTTAATATCTACTAAAATAATAAAGAAACTAAACCTTATCTATATCCCTCTTAGCCGATCAATCCCTATAACCGACTACTATAGATACTCTAATACCCTAATTACCTTAGTACTAATCTTATACCTCTAGATTAAGAGCTAAATAGAATATTTAATACCTATCTTTAAAACCCCTCTTAGACTAAGCTAGTAGATAATCCTAGGCTAAATTTAACTAGTAATCTATAATATACTTCTTAATATAAGATACTAATAACTTATCTAACTATCTGAAAGGTTATATAATATCTACTACTAGGTAATCGAGATTCTCTATAATAAACTATATATATAGCCTATCGATCTAATATATTAGTAGGATATATAGTAGTATAATAGTATAATCGAGAAATAGAATTACCGATAATAGGAATAGTAGTTTCTAAACCTTTTAAAAAGGAAAAAACCTAATCTACCTACCCTAGACCTACCCTATACTAAGAAGCTACCCTATACCGAGTCTGCTAAACCTTATATAACTCTATAAATAAGTAAGTTTATTTTTAGTAAAATATATTTAATTAAGTTTAGTAAGAATAAGTAATCTATTCTAGAGCCTACCGGCCTATATAACCTACTATACTCTAGTTAGAAATTATATAAAAGGGTATAGAAAGCAATAAATATAGACTACTATTATAAATATAAATAAAAGATAGTAAAGATACTATAGGAACCTTATAGTACTAACCTCTCTAAAGAATATATAGTTATAGAAGAGCTCTAGTAAGAATAGAGCTAATATAAAGATATAAAACGTGTCACGGATATGGTCACATGCAGCCGGCCAGCGGGGCGCGCTGGCAGCGTCCCGGGCCAATCAAGACGGGACGCCTAGCTACCAATGAGAAGGAGATCTGTGGTGGTTACAATGATCTATGGACAGACCACGGCAGTGGTAACAGATCAAGGGGCTCGGCCTCCTGGATCTGTTGACGACCCACCACGGATCACGCAGATCCAGGTACAGAGGTACCTAGGAATTAGATAGTATATAGTCACTCGTTCTGGAGAGCTCTGGGAGTTCTCCAGTTAGCAATCACAACTACAGTTCGCTACAAGCTCGAGAGCCTACTGT